GTAAGGTTTTCGCTTCATTATGTCAATAATCGCTTATCTCAAGCTTTATCAGTGGGAACAAAGTCCACTGAAATATCAACTTTTATTTATTTTGACTAAAGGGTAGAGAGAGATTGCCTTTCGACATATGAGATCCTGGTTCCCTTGGGTTTTGAGCTACCAACCGACAAACGAACTTAGCGGCATGAAGATATTCCATTGATTATTAATGCCATATGGTTTTGGTGTCACGCGATAGAGTGGTCTCCTTCGCATGTCACGCAAGCTTCTTCTGAGGGCTGCGGGGGAGATGGCGATATGGCCGTCCAAAAGTTTTGAAGGTCGGTGCATATGAGGGAACAAGTACCTTAAACGATTCTCAGTAGTTTGGAGTTGAGCCGCTAAGTCCATAGCCCTAGTTTGATACAAAACGCATTCCTTTTTCAGAACAAAAGATTTGATGTAGATTGTGGCATTCAAACTCGTGAAGAAAGTTTGGTATTTTCTGAGAGAATACTCGATACTAGCTCTAGAAAAATTATTTTCACCGTGTTTTAGACTGGCAGATGAAGAAGACACCCAGCCAAATGCGCTAAATAGTAAAATCACGTTAAGACTTGAAACCGATAACTATTCTTCCCCTTTAAGTGGGGCGGTGATTAGATGAACAGCATGAAATCCTTAACTCTTTAACTCCCAAGATCTGATCGTTAATTCTCCCTTCTGGCCGCTACAAGTTTCCTTGTTAATTGGTTACGAGAATTTGGAGTAAGATCAAGATAACAACTTCTACCTGATAGGTTTGTGTATTCTCACTACCTACTTGCTGGACAATGTATGGATATTACAGGGAGAGGTTACATTTTAACAGCTTATGGGAGGTAAAGGGTTAATAGCAGCCATGTGAATGTTATATATCATCTAACTTGTAACAGAGATTGTTTGAACCCCAGTTTGTTACAATATCCCCCTCCCTTTGCACATTCATTGCCATGTATTCACAGCAAACAGAGCGTGACATTCTACTGGGGAAGAGGGAGTGAAAGAAAAATTATTGGGCTATACAAACTTACTGGAAAAAAAAAATTAAATTTCAATTTTAATTAGGTGGTGGTGCACGTGTTCTAGACAATCAGTAAGTTGACTTGTGAAGTGCTCTTTAAAGTTGTTCCTATTACAGTTAAGACACTGAAAGAAAGGTTTACCCCAGGATGTGAAGCATGAAGAGGGTTTGCCATTGATTTATCATAGATTTAGGGTTGAGTCACCTGAAAGGCAAGTTGCGTTACCCCAAGTATTCAAGTTTAACCTAGTTTTGATTTGTCTCTCAACTCTTGCAAAGTATTTCCTTATTGTATGGCAAGAGAAAACATAATAAAATACCAGCAGGAAAACTTTCTTCAAAGCTATAAAACTAAATTTTGAAATTGCTCAGACCCAGACTTATGAATTTTTATTGTGGATGGGACAGTCATGACCTAGATTTTACAAATCAACATTGCAACAACCTGGAATTGGCCACAATCAAAACTGCCACATATGAATTGCATGTACCGGCAGTGTATGAGTGGATAGAGAGGAATATTCCATACAACAGCAAAAAATCTCCAACATACAGGTAGTGAGAGCAAACAAAAATATCAAAGAGGAAACCTGGGAAACTGTAAAACTTACAATACCCCATGCCTCACCTTAAGCAAACATATCAAAAGTCATAACGAAACATACTGCACTATCCACTGTGATAGTGTTATCAAACCCTAGTATAACTGGGTCTGGAAAATTATTTCAAATTTACTCAAATAAAAGGTTAATACAAATTCTCTTTGCACTTGATGTTGTTCTGAGAAAAGCATTTTTTGAATCTTAGATATTGAATTGCATCTGATTTTCTGCTGGAAAGTGGTAACAATTAATTTACCTCATTCAAGTAAGAAACTTGTCTTTAGATTAATTCAGATAATTAACTGGGGAATTGATGGGCAAAAAAATTCCACCTGATTCACCACTTTAAAGTCAAGTGAGAACTTTCAATTTACCAAGTAACTGACTGCAAATACGTCAGTGGATTAATCCACACCTCAGTGTGTTTGATTCACTAGCAAACTTAACGAGTGATAGACAGATTGCCCACTTGATGATTGAAAGTCAACATGTCAGCAGCAAAAAATGAGTTTTTGTAAAGTAAGAAGTGTTTGTTATTGTTTTCATTTAAGTAATTTTTTTTGTCATTTGCACAATCTTTAGAGCACAAGTAAATGGCTGATTGATTGATTGATCAATTGATTATTTCGGTGGATTGAGATAATTTTCTAATTAAATTTTCTGCTAATTTTTGTTGAAATTTTGCTGTTCTGAGTGGATAACTTGTTTTATACCAACTGGTGCTGCTATTGATCATTGAGTGGGTATTTTGGCTTTTTTAATCTAGTTTTTTGTTTGTTTGTTTGTTTTTTGATAGGCCAATTTTATAATGACAAAATGTATTTTATTTTTGTTAAGAATCACATCATTTTGAAAATATCAAATGCTTTTATCATACATAATAAAGATGGGATTTGGTAATGAGGGCATAGTTGGTTTTGTTCATGGTAACATGTAAGAGGTGGTACTTAATTTGGAGTCAAACTCCAATCTTCTGGGCCAGGTTGTTCAAAGCTGGGTTAAGTTAACCCAGGGTTTGTGTGAAATTTGAAGATTTCAAATCTGAAAGCTTTAAAAGAAAATTCATTTTCTTTTTTTTTGTCCACAATTTGATGATTAGATGGTCGAAAAAGAATAGGGAAAATTATCCCCAAAAAGGCTCTTGAATAAAGAAATAAAGAATGCTGAATTAAAATTTAACTCTAGGTTAGTGCTAATTGGCTGTTAAGGACACTAGCTGGAAGGATTATTTTTCATTTAATTGATTATTGATTAGTTTAATAATTTCAGAATGATTCCAGATACGAACATAGTTACAATGTTTATCTGTTTGTCTAAATTTCTATTGGTTTTGTAATCGGACCCTTCAGCATCACCACCTGCATATAAAAGTGAGTTAAGCATCCCTGTAATCAGTTCTTGATAAGTTTTTGAGTGGTCTTGGTGAACTTTCATCCTTCTGTTTCTTAAACTTTTGGCACAAGCGGAACCAATATATGAGTACCTTTGTGACTTTGTTTTCCTAAGTTTAGTTCTCCAGCATTGGGTGAAAGTATACAAACAGATATTTTGATGCATTACCATATTTTCAATTGATTCAAGATTTAAAGGCCAAAATTGTATCAGATGCAAGTGAATGCCCACCATTTAGATAAGAACCATGGGCTGTTCACCAGCCACTAAAATTCTTGCAATTTTTGTACTGAAACTTTTGTAATGTTCTTGGTCATTTTAATCTTGTTATTGGCGTTAAGGCCCAGTTTTTACACATGATTTTTGATTATGTATTTTGCAACATTTCATTAGATTGATAGAACTTCCTTGTATTATTTTTTCAGTTTACAATTGATTGACTGATTGTGAGATTGATCTTGATTTTGATCATTGATTGTGGTTTGTGGTCAATTGCTTGCAAGATTAATGATTTGTGTAAGTGGTCAGCTTTGGTTAGTTATTCTTCAGTATCGATCTGTAAAATAGCCCCAAGCACCTTGTTAACCGTGTCTTGGAGTAAAACCCCTTGGAATCTTATGAATTAGATTTTTTCGGTCACTACATTGGCCTTTGCAAAACTAGGCCATGACTTTGCCTTTTTTTCCCCTTCAGATTAGGTATGATACATACTGGGACACTTCCTGTAATTCCACTGTTTTGTATTAATTGGTGAAAGCTTAATAAGTGAAAGATCAGTATGATAGTTCATACCTCTAAATTTTGAATACATTCTCTTCTTGTCCTAACACCGGGGCAAGAGCATGGTTGGCGAGTGGTATTCAGCTTTGGATTTTAGCCCAGCTGGTTTGCCCCAGCTAGTTGGGATTTTGCAAAATTATTCGGATCACTTCCAGGAAACCAATAATTGTATGCTACCTTTGTAAGGTGTATTTGTTCGACAGACAGAGATTGTGCTTGGTAAAAAGGCAAGTAAAGGCCATGAGGTGTCCAAAGTCGTTTAGGCCAGTAGGAGGGTCCGTAATCCCCCACCTTTGGGACAATCAACAATCAATGCGTACTAGTGCTGTGCATGAAATGTGAAACATTGTAAACATTGTAACAATTTCATTTAGCTTTTTCATTTGACCGGAAGATACTCTTATTTCCCCGTTAACCAAAAAAATTTGGTTGTAATGCTCAAAAATGTTTTGAAAAAACTCTACCACCTTACCTTTGACAGAGGCTCATTCAACGATATTTCAGGTTCTGGAACTCCTCCTCAAGAACTGTCCGCTATTTTCGTGACTCGCAAGCTCGTAAGCCATCATGATTCTACAAAAACTGTGTTACAAAGGCATGTTCCATGCAAGAGGTGCTTTTAGGGTCGGTATTGGTGGAAAATAAGATCATCGTCGCTCTTACACATGACTCAGATCTTCATTGTTATTGTTGGTTGAAGGCGTTCATCGAGAGTAAGAGTACACAGTCATTTTGGTCAGCGGGGAAATCACTAAGCCTGCGAAAGTTAAATATACCGGAGACACCTGAAAATGGTGCCGAAGTTCAACCGTCTTTAAATAAATCCTACATCGATTTCTTCGGAAAAAAAATTGCATAGTGTATAGTAGAAAACTGGTACTACCTGGGTTATTTAGAAGGAAAAAAGACTAGCTTGAAGATGTGCTCGTAAGTTAAGGAGTTTCTTCTCATAAGAACCACTAGGGCGGGCTAGATTATGGATTGGAACCAAGAAGGAAGCTGTCGGGTGCGTTTACAATTACGATATATCTAAGCCAGACGACCTATCCAAATTAAACTTTTACCTTAAACCTGAGAATTAACTTTGTTGTGTAGAGGAGTCCTAAGGCTCGTCGTGATTCAACTTTTTACCAGTTTAATGGCAGGGTTGAGAAACGAACAGAGGTTAGTCATCATGATAAATTATTTTCGCTTTTATTTATTATAATAATAAGTGGTAATGGTAGGGCTTCAAATCCTGCTCACTCACTTCAAACAGTCTACCATGGTACCGTCTTAAACAGTCTGAAATTCTTTGTTTCAATACTTGTAGCTCAAAACGTGCTTCGTTACTTGTTCTAACTGGTTGAATTCCGTTAAATTAAAAAAATACTAAAAAGAGCTGAAATTAGCCTTTCCCAGGCTCACTTTTGAGTTATTAATATCTATAAATACAGGCAAGTTAAGATTGTAATCCAACAATATTTTTCATGACTGTCAAGCAACATCAGTAAATAGTAATGATCCATCGAAGTATAATGACATACTTTGGGCTGTTAAGAGCCTTCCTAAACCCACAGTTAATTAACCAATGGACAACAAGAATTTCAAATACTCTTTGCTAATCTCTCATCTAGTTTTCAGAAGAAAAATATAAATATGACTTCTGACTTAAACTTTTTCCAGTGGAAACTCATACATAATTAGGGTAAAAAATCATTTCATAAGTCCTTACTAACTTTGAGAGGTACACATTAAATACCTTTAATTTTTTTAATATCATTATTTTGTTCACACAATTAAATAAACATGCAATCATTTTCGTGACTTTACTGTTAATATTGCTATTACTCTGGCTGATACACTTTATCAATCAGTCATTCAGTCAGTTAGGCCACAATCTTTTATCGGCTTATAGACGATTAAAATTCTCACTCTAATTAGTACGTACTAGTAGTTGTTTGTTTCAAGCGTGCTAAATAAGCAATCCCATTTTTTCTGTTATTAAATAACCCTTATGAGTTTTTAATCCTATTTGGAAAACTTTGCAGTCAACCGAACGTACGTAATAAAAAACTTGATCCAAGAACTGATGTTATTATAATGTAACTTTCAAAAGATTAATCATGTTTCATTACCCTGTCTCATTATTTTTTGGGCGTCTGTCTGACACTGCAGGCTATTCATTTAATTCGAAAAGGCGCAATCAACGAGAAAATATTAGCTGGCATTTGATAATTGCGTTTGCGGGGGTAGAAATTCCTACACGTTCTTATTTTCTCTCGCCCAAAATTGGCGCCGTCCGCAAATATAACTAAAGTACACACTTTTATACCAAACTTCTTTTAAAAGATTCTGTGAAGGTTTAAGGAGCTTATCACGCTCTTCAGCCTGCCAAATTCTTTTGCAAAAAGGTACAAAACTTTTTGCGTCACTACCATAAATTTGAATTTAAAATTGTCTCCTCTTCTGGATCTTGTTTTGACTTGGAGACTCTAAAGTATTGCAGCTATGTTTTTAATTATGGAGTTTTGCTCGACTAGATTGTCTGGTTCATAAGTGGTTTTACACCTACTTCTCCATACGCCCAAGCAGTCTTCCTCTGGATATAGCGACTGTCGCAAACTGACTGTCGAATATCACCTAAGTACAATCATGACTGTACTCAACAATTCAATCAAATATATATGTTTTTTTTACAGGCCTTCCTCTTCAGTTCAAAGCAATTTGTGTATGTCTGGCGACGTCAGCCAAGTAGGAAAGAATTTCGATAATTCAATAATTCCTCGAACATAAATCTGTGTTATGAGGAGCCAGAATTTATTTTCGGCTTTTATCTTTTTAAGAAACGGTTTTGCGGATATTTTACTTTCATCACAGACATCCACAAGACGACACAACCATTCCACCATACTCTGTTAACGCAATAGATCTGTCGCTTGTCTTATATAGCACACTGATGCCATGTAATTTAGTAGGAGCGCACATAGGAGACGGAATTCGACTGTCCAATTTGTGTAAAATGTTCTGCAAGATAGCATGATTCGTTGGTTCCAGTTGCATATCAAGAACCCTCGGACAGACACCATCGCAATAGTTAGCGCTGTAACCATTTGGAGCAATAATCCAGTTCCATTTTAACTTTTTAAAATGCACATAAACCCACCGACGTTGACATCTTTTAGGCGGTCTGCTGGAACGCCTCTGACGAGATGCGGACGTCATTGAGATATTTTTAGAGACGTGTTCTTCATTCTCTTCGGGAACTGAGTCGCTGCTGCAGTTTACATGCAGAGTTCTTGGAAATTTTTGTGGGCTCTTTGTATACGTTACCAAGAAAGGTGCTCTTTTACCATGTCCCCCGATACGAAAATCTGATGGGAAGGCACCAACGCCATCCACTGTAACACTCAAGCCAAAGTTTTCCTCGGGTTTCTCTTTCCAGAATTTAACCGCAGATGTAACATCAAACGTTATCCACCGACCAACGTTTTCTTTGTAACTAACTAAGTGGGAAGCGATAGGGACCCCTTTGGTCCAGTGCTGGTGATTTTTCAAACGCAGAATTCTTATTTTAAAGTAACCAGCTTCTCTAGTCCGTCCCAGCGGAGTCTTCTTGAAGATTCTCAATTCAGCTTTCTTGACTTTCTCTTCCACTACAATGGTGGATATGTTAAAGTAAAACCCGTAATGCAGTGGTCCTTTTCTCTTGCTTTCCCCTGCGGCTAAAGAGAGTAAAACCAATAAATAACGCTTTACCTGGTGTTATGTTCTGATTGCTTCAAAGAATGGTTACCGTAACTAACTAAATGCTATTCTCGGTCAGGCATTCTAAGGAGCTAGCACTTACGTTCTCGGAAAAACACCCTCACTATCTCCGAGTCCCGCTGGTTTATTACTCGGCGGTGTAAAAGCGCTCGCTTTCTGTATAAGTTTAGAAGAAATCTTGGTACGTCATCTCTCTGTTTTGATGATTGTTTCAATTGTGAAACCTCTCTAAGGCTAAACCCGCGAAGCAGTTCGGAAGGTTGACTGAGTGCTTTGTCGTTCGTCTGGTGTGTATGGCAAATTAACAAACAGAATAAAAGAAATGCTGTGAACATTTCGTGGCCGTTGTTGACTCGATTGCGTTGGATAGAATGTTGTCATTGAGTCGACAAAAGCGCAAGTTCTAGGACTTACTCCAACACCGCAAACTCTATATATACGTCGATACCAGAACGTCGTTTCTAAAATCGATCAGCCAACCCGTCTTTTATGCATACAAGTACAGACGAGCGGCTTCCTTTACAGTACAGTTCGACCCATATCGCAGGGTGAATATTCATGTGGGTGTTTTTCAATAAGGACTGAAGATGATATGACAAGCGTTCACGGTTGAGTCCACATGCGTCAAAAGATTACTTAGACTCGCTTGGAAATCTGTTAGACTGTTAGAGGCGCGGCGGAAACTTACGTATGCTGTTGCTATTTTTAGTGTATTGAAAAACTAAGTATAAAATTGTAAACCTCTGACTTTCAACGAAGGAGTTTGTTAGCAAGCCCTTGCTGAAAATCTCTAAAAGTGATATGATGTCTACATACATGCAAATTTTGCAGACGAAATTTAGGAAAACCAATTATTCAAATTGGATTTTGAAAAACCGATCACACGCCATTGTGAAGGTGTTTAGAGCCTTCTATTGTTTTGAATTGGTAATAATTTCAAACAAATAATCAATTTCTCACTGCAAAGGGAACAACAGATCATTGTTGTCGTTACCGACGTGGAAAAACCGATTCAAGGAAGGCTACACCGAGAAACTCATTTCTACATTGATGAAAGCTCCTTTGTTTTCGACAAGGAAACGGATGAACCTTCCTAATGAAAAAGTTATTGTTGTTTTCGATATTGTTCTTGTCTGGTTTTGTTAATTTGCAGATAGATTTGAGTTTTCACATACTTTCACCATTAAAGGTAACTCGTAAGGATTCTTTTAAATATATTCGAACTCAAAACTGAATGGATGGCGAAAAGTACCTAAAAGTTGTGAGACTGCTGTACACGATAACGTACATTCCCAACATAATGAGTTATTACAGAAATTTCTTAACCATATCTTTTGTTTAAGGGCTTCTAAAACTGACATAGATGAATTCATTTTAAACTTGATTAATGGCCTTTATAACCATAATAATGGGCTTATCGGTGTCAGAAACGCTTTTGAATTCGATGTTTATCATATCAGCGGGAAAAAAGAAACCCGGTGTCAAATTAAAAACTAAGATAATAGCTTGATGTGAAAAATCTAAAAGAAAAAATAACATTAACAAAATGCTTCGAGTTTCAGAAGAAAGTTTCATAAATCACAATTTTGCGATATTAGGTTTGGTCGATCATTATAAATGTAATCTGGTAATTTCGTCCAGTAGTTCTATTCAGGATGATTTCGGTTTTAGCCGAACTCTTGTTCGGACAGGAACAACGGAAATAGGACGGAGGCTTCCGGAATCAGACGGAGATGAGACCTGACGGAACCGTCCAAGAGTGGATGGAAATATCCGAACCTAGACCCACTCTAAGAAAGGTGTTCTTAAATTGTAATTTTTCGCCAGCATGGAATATTTGTTTTATCAAGGCGAGGTATTACAAGTGTCCGATTTCGAAAAATAGCATCTGTTCCGACATCAATTTAAAAGAAAGCAAGAGAACCAGTTTGATATATGAGATTTATTTGCAGTGCCACCCACGCTTAATGGGAAATGATAATTACTTATCACCCACCAGGCCTTCGCTGATCTCCTTTTCTGGCCCTTTTTTCCCATTAAACTATCCCCACCTTTGTGCCTGTCACCACAATTGCAGGCCTATTTGACAATATCATTACAGGTCACATAAGTGAGAAATTTGTTCCAAAATTCATGTACTCTGTCTGCCATAAAAGGTTCTTTATGTTCTTTAGAAATAGAAACATTTTTTTCTGTTTTACTTCTAAAATATTTTACATATAAACAACTTTAATTACGTCGATAAATTGTTTTGATACTTCTCTTCCTATTTTGTTTTCAAAGAACGCAGCCATACGCTTTAAAATAAGCTTGATGAGATTAAACAATTATTCCTCTTGCAAATCGCCACGTGGGAGAGCATTCACTAAATATCTTTATCTAGAGAGGAACGCTTTTATAATAAAATCTTAACATGTTCAATCCTCCTCTGGTTTTTGCTAAAGATTAACGTGCGTTGGCTGGAATTTTTACTCATTCTACCACTGCAATTGCCACAAAATGCGTAGCCTTATGTGTCTTACTTTAATTAAGGATGGCTTCATCCTCAAATGAGATTTTTAGACCTGACGAATACTTTATAACCATGTGGTATACAATTGCTTATAACCATGTGGTATACAATTGCTTTTGTTCTATTCTCTGATGCACCAAGTAAAGAACAGTGCTTTCATGATCATAAATGAACACGAGCCAAAATTATGCAAAATTTTGGAAGGAGATGAAGGAAGATAGCCGACTAAGTACGTATTTGAATGATTAAAGTTTAAAATCCATCTTCCAGTCCCTTGCTTTTACTTCCAGAGGTTACCAGTATAACATCATGAACAAACATATAGTCCTCAACATAAGGGACTGAGCTGTCAGAAACCAACATTGTACATTGTATTCCATGTTCCATACAGCCACCACCACAAACGATAACCACTGCATTGTCAAGCTGAGCTGAGAAGCGATCATTTCCTAGTGCAATTTTTAAAGGTGATGTCAAATAAATGTTTAAGACATTGTGGGGGACTTTCTAATTTGGCAGAGTCGGTACACCGACACGCTTTACTCGTTTGAGTCTTGTAGTGTCTTGACCGTCATAATATTGCTCCATTAGCCCTGGCGAAGTGGGCGGCGGACCTTCTGGTGGTAGTGACCCTGACACAACCGTTCCATTTACGTTCTGAGTGTTATACGTTTGTGGACCGTGCCTTGGATAGTTTTGGGGTTGCGAAGGCCGATACAGGGAACTTTCTGACCTTGCACTGGATATTCCATGCGTATCATTGGATGGAGAAAGATACCATGTGGCACCCGCTGTGTTGTAATCTTCCTCAGGAAGTGTAAATGGGGGTTGGCTCTGTTCCATAGACCACAACTGGACCTCTTCACTCACAGGTACTAGCACCTCACTATTATGCCTAAAACGCTGGTTTTCAAGATCTCTCGACCCCCTCTTTCCACCTTTAGCTTTACCAGGAGACTTGGCCTTTCCAGGCACGGTGAGATAACCAGGGGGGATGCTTCCGTTCACGTAGCCGACGGATCTGGGCATTGCCACCCCTTGTGGCGGGTCCGCACTGTATCTTCTGCTTCCATCCATATCTAGAGATTTCGCCTTTCCTTTCTGTGACTTGCCTCTTCCAGGTTCGGTGTAATAACCTGCTGGGAAATGTCCGTTGAATTCGTCGCGTCTTGGCGGAATCATCCCTAACCGCACCATTCTCTGCTCAGCTTCATTATGGCTGACATATCTTTGTGGCGTTCCTGGTCGAAGGCTGTTTGATCTGTCAAGTTCGTTAGAATATTTCACCATTGATTTTCCGACTATGAAAGGCTCATTCCCAGCTGCTCTAGTTAAAGTAGGCGGCGAGCTTAATAAGTCGTGTGGTTTTTCTTTAAGAACCCAGTTGGCGTTGTTGTTCGAGGACGCCATAGACGCAGAATTAGACTCTATTCCCATGAAGTCACTATTTCTACTGGCGAGAGCTGCTAAGCGTTGCCGGCGTTGCTCTTCACGCTCATCACGTCTCCGTTGGCTGTCTTTCCTAATTGTGCCAGAGAACAATAAATTCCCAATTAATGATGATCAGCGAGATAATTCAGAGCAGTCACTTTGCTTACAAAAGGAACATGGGGGAAATAAGGTATCATAGTTTTCTTACTTTCCAAAAAATCTTTAAATCGGTATTGTTGAAAAAGTGTAATGATATCTAAATTTCAATGTAGCGTTTACAGAAATCAGATGATGAGAAGTTCAGTTTTTCCTTTTTCTGTTTACTGTGATGGTAATGCTTATCAACGTTTGTGATGTTGAAGAGGCCTCGTCACAACTTTTGTGATAGTCAACGAAATTTCAAAATAAATGGAACCTTGGAATAACAGTTTCGTTGGGTAGACGAACACTAAAGATGAACCGAAGGGAACAACGACGGTGAATGATGAAGAGGATTTTAATCAAATTCGTTAATCAAAGTTAGACTGAGCTCTCGTGGATAAACAAATCATCACCAACTCTCTCTTTACTTGGAATTCTTACAATTTTCTGATACTGAATTAACCTAAGCGAGTTAAAAGCCCCAAAAAATACAGTGCAGGCAGATGAACTATTTTAGATAAGCGTTCCACATCTCAAGCAATAATTGCACAGTCTTCATGATAGTAACTTTGAATCGATTCCTTAGCTTTATAAGTAGTTACAGGCTTAATCATAACTGTTACAATTTCCTGAAACGTGATTGGTGCATTAGCTGCCTTATTTTTCACTAATCATTCTGCAGAGCTGTAATTGGACAGTGTAATCGGACAGTTGGCTGTAATCGGACACCTGTAATCGGACTGCTGAAGTAGTCAATCATACTAAGTCCAATCAGCCAAATCCACCAATCACTGAATTAATCACGAGAACCATAGCAACAACCACTTAACCTTAAAAAATTGAGGTATTTCCGAAATAGAGAGTATGATGATGATAACATTTACTGATAACAAGAACAACGACAATGACAGTGACTATGAGTTGAAAATGATAATGACAACGAGAACGGCAGAAACAGTGATAACATAACGAATACGAAAGTGATAACGATAACGAAAAGCCAACAATAATGATAACAATGAGCGAGACGACAATGATATTATCTGATACTATAATTACCTGGCCCATAAAACGCAAAAGATGCCGAGAATACAAATCAGGACCAAAATCAACGCTGCCAATCCTGCCACGAGTCCTATCACCCAAGGTTCGGCTTCTACCATTTTCTGAAAGAAAAGAAATTATTTCAAGCATATTTGGAGTCGACATCAAATACGTGGTAGGATTAAAAAAATCTTATCTCTCCTCATGCATTTACAAGAATAGGTAAAATTGCAAACTTGAGATGCTCGAAATTATAAGCAAGCTAGTGCTCTCAAATGTATGCTGAAGAACAAGACTCTCTTCTGTGCCGCGACTTCGCTAAAAAAAAAGCAGAAGGTTTTATGAATAATGATTTTTCTGCGCAGCACTTGTCTTGTTCGATTACATATTATTACGAAATTTCAAACGTAGGATACAAACTTTATTACTTGTCAAGGAGAATGAAGATTGCTTTGAAAGTCGTGCAAGGTCAGAGACTTGCTTTGCTTTGCAATCTATGCAGAGAGGCAGAGAGCTGACCAGATGTATGTGTTTGTTATTTTGGGAATTAGAAGCAACGGGATAGAATTTTACAAACATTTCTGTGCGGGAGTCTCTATCTATTAAAACCTTATGCAATTCTGACGATGGTACAAAACGTAAATGAAATTATTGGATTAATATTTGAAAACCGAACATAACTAGACTACCAGAACACAATGCAAGTTATTTTAGGACCCTCTTCCAACCAAATATGAAGATCGAGTTCTTCTGTGCTTTAAAGCGACCATATCGGTGTAAAAATTAGCATATTTCCACGTGAATGAAGTAGAACTTGTTGAACGGTGCAAGGGACTCAAAGTTATGGCGGTGAACGAAATTTTTACAGGACTTCTTCTTCGAACACCTAACATGAAATGAGAGTATTGGAATTTGAAGCTGTTCTTTGCTATTAATACACGCTAAACATACGTATGCCAGTACAACGATAAATATAGAAAATCCAAGTTATTTAAGGTAACACGAGAACGAGTAAACAAATTATTTCCCTCAAATTATCTTTATAGTTCATGAGTCGGCTCGAAATTCATTCTATTGAAGAGCACGTTCGAAAGACAAGCCTCTATTCTTGCGATTGCTATTATCAATTAATCTGTCGCTGCCATTTCACCTCAAAGATTATCATTTCTTTCGTATGCTGAAATATTTATGTCCAGTCATAGCTTTTAAATGATAAACGCAGAACAGTTCAGAGAGATTGTGCAGTTCTCAGGAGTTTGGCTTTGACGTTAAAATTTAGGATTTCTGATACGTGCCCGTATTACAGCTAAGGTTTGTCAATGCTTCCTTCCTTCGCGAACCTCCCTAAATGTTGCATCCTTCACGCAAAACGTGTAGTTGAAATGTCGTGCAAATTTATACCAATTCAAGAGAATGCTTCGCTCGCCTTTCTCGCTACTTACTTCATCTGGCGTTTAAGATTTGTCTGAAGAGTTAAACTGAAGCACGCTGTTTTCGTTTCCCTGATTCATCTCTCAGTGGCCCACTCATTAATGTAATACAAAGAATAGCAATGTTTTCTTCCTACGTGCAAGCATAGAGTCAAGCATGCGTCGCATTCCTTCTCAAGTGCTTGCTAAAATTAAGTTCTTTATCGATCCCTCGACTCTTGTACGTGCCGATTGCTTATTGTATCGTCTGAAGAGGTTTCTCTTTGTCACGATCACACGTTTTTTCTACCGTTCCTTTTTGTTTTAAAATATCCCTCAAATGATAATTAAATTTTCTTTGTCCTAATGAAAATGCTAACACGCTAGACGGTAGATTGTTAAAGAAAGTCGATGTATTTATTGTTAGCTTGGTCGTTGAGAAGAGAAAATCTTGCATAGATGTCTGCTAGAGATGTGACTCACCCGCTAATTCTTCCGCTGGCTCTTCAGTTACCCTCACTCACTCTCACCAGCACAAGCTTCATCGGGTTGTTTATAAGCTCTAATCGTGCGTGAATAGACAACAATTACCTATTTCAAATTTTTGCGGCATTTTGAAACTCTAGAAACGTGACCGACATCGATTACAACGAAAATAGTTTACAAAAAGACACCAACATATCTGTTTTCTTTCCTTATACCTGAAGTTATACCATGAGACCTTACGTTGAACCAATAAAACTGATAATAGTTCTCTTGACTTGACAAGAGTTAAGAAAGGCCCACCTGTTTTCAGCCACTATTTACCCACTCCTTCGATGTGTTAGAGTATGTGGTGGTCGCAAATATAAGAGCATTGATGAATATAAAGATATCAGCCCACATAATATATTGAAGATCTTAACAAGAGCTCAAAAATTAACTTTTGTTATTAATTGATTAACCAAAGTAAGCAAATCAGTGGTTTTTGTGGGTTTTGTGTTAAGTGCAATATGATGTGAAGAAATCTAAAATTTTTACTGTTCTACGGTCTCAGTGAGACCGTCAGATAGTAGTATTTCAACAAGAGATGAACCTTCCAGAAAATATTAAATACTATCCGACAAAGCCGGAAGAGAAAAAATCTAAGAAAATTTCGTCGCGGGCGAAAGCAGTCATTCTGCTCTCCTAAAATCGTGCTCGAGGTGAGAAAAAAGAAATGTCCGAAGTAATTACAACTTTATGGCGAGCTCTCTAATTAGAGTAAGATTACTGCATGAAACTCAACCGTCTCAAAGAAGTCGCATTCAAAAGGGATGACACACGTTTCTCGAAAAAAGAGGAACTGTCAATTCTATTTTTCCGAGAAACGTGTGTCATTCCCTTGGAATGCGACTTCTTTGAGACGGTTCAGTTTTATGTAGTAATCTTCTAGTTAGAGAGCTCGCCATAAAGTTGTCATTACTTCAGACATTTTTTTTTTTTAATCTCACCTTGAGTATGATTCGGGAGAATAGAAGGACTGCTTTCGCCCGCGAAGAAATTTTCTTAGGCTTTTTTTACCTTCAGAACGCTCTCAACGCACTTTTTTGAGTTGCAACTATCTTGCAAAGTACCGATATTTCACAGGAAGATGAGGAAAAAGTCAATATCGATATTTTCATTATGAGTTTCGTGATAAATATTTCTGTCAAAGGCATCAGTTCATGCTGTTAAACAAATTTATGGAAAGTCCAGATAATTATAACGTCATTGTTCATAAATCGCCATTTGGCAGGTCGATAAACTTGCACTGATGGTGTACAATGGTGTAAAAAAGCCCCAGCAATGGTATATGTATTGCCTGTAGTTAGTGAAATAACTGATACAAACTGAGTAGAACTCCACTCTCATGCAGCAGTCTTTTTGTATAATTTAAAGTCTGCCCTTGTACTTAACTCGAGCGGTGACCTAAAGAGATTGCTCAGATCCAATGATCAGACAATAACCGCAGAGTTAACGTGTTCCTCACACAAGTTCTTCAAATGATACCTTTGAGAGCCACTTGGGCAGTAATTTCTGCTGTTGTGACGTAGCGCGAGGTAATTAAGAGTAATTAGATGTGATTCTTCTTTTGAAAATTCCGTACTACTACTATAGAACGAGGTACTTCTCTGTTTGAAATAGTCCTTGTTACAAAAACATTTTTGAATTGGGCTTCGAGAAGTTGGATTCAAGCAAAAAATGTGAATCCAAAAGTCTGCTGGTAAAGAGATCCTGATACTTGTTTTAAAAATAATGATGGTCTAATTTGGAAAATTGTGCTCTATTGTCGTTTGAAAAAAAAATCGTTTAACACATAAAAGAAATGTCTACCAATCCAACCCGGGCGTTCATAATCGCGTGACCCTTCACTGCTTTTTCCTTCCTTTAATTAGGAAATGCAGATGAAAGACAATATAAAAATTATTTCCTGCATATCGGTGTTGCTTCTGTAAGACAAAACTGGCCCAAATGGGGTTAATTTAGTGTTGTTTTGTTAAGCTTATATTTTTTTTTAGAAGTAAAAGATTATTACTATTAATTGTTGTTTACCGTGATGGTTGGCACAAAATCTCGCCGTTGAGCATGCTACTTACGCATTTATCAATCCTGGTATTTATATTTATCCTTATTTCAGGCAATTGATCAAACAAACAAACACAGAATGCTCTAGTAACATTCTTGTTGCAAAATACACCGAATATTTTATGAATACGTTTCGTCGCGTGAATTCTTAATCAATATCATTATGATGTAAATTAAACGGAATATTGTACGTTGTCACATTGAATTTTGAAACATACGAGCGTGGGAAGAAATTGGGCAAGTTTAACATTGCTGGCACAAAATTCTTGCTTGTTTCAAAACGTAGAGCGAAATGAACAAAAAATTAAAACCTGCCAACCACTCTTAAAGCAATACAACACAAAATAATTTGCCTCATAACTGAAGATGGTGATGAAGATGTCCGATAACAACGACACAAGATATCTTTACAATCGATATTCGTTGTGACGTTCTAGATAATGCTGAAAAATCATACCTTCTGTGAAAATTCCTGCCCCTTTGCTTAGAGATTTTTCAGCAGAGCTCAGTTTACGAGACACATGTTAAGTTTCTGAACATCACATTTGGGTGTTTTTTTTATCATCACCGCATGGTTTCAAAGTAATGAATATTGACGGTGATGCTGATGTGTCATGATAGCAAAGCATCATTGGTGCCGTGTGACGTCAAACAAATCACCCGCTGTCGTAAGATTTACTGATTCAGTTGACCGATCAAACTTCCGAGAAACGAACACGAGGGAAGACTGGGCACAAGTGGAGGCTCAATTGCTTTGCGCAAAAGTGCAAAGTGCAGATTAATTTTGTAAGCGGCCAAAAATCAGCCGCGAAGAGGGTAAACGAGAAAAATGTGATCATTGATGATCAAACTTAAAGAAATAAGTTGATACTTTTAAGTTGCACACAAGATGAGCTGCAACTATCGAAGATATTGACGAATGTGCCGGTAGTTCTTTAACTGCACGGATTATCAAAAGAAATTTTGAAGTAAACGTCAAACATATACATGATGAAGTGACGTTAACATTCATCACGAAAAGCTAGTTTTTAAAGCACGAGTAACACATTGATGACTGAAAAAAGAGAAAAAGAAAAAATATGTACAAATCCTAGCAAATAAATATAGCTAAGCCGCAAGCTTGAAAGCCTAAAATAAAATCGTTTATCACCACGTAACAGGATTTGATTAACTCTGTCCGTCTTTCCGTCGGCCGCGGATGACTTCTCCAATTTTTCACGCCATGCAGGAAACCCGTATTTTCTCACGGAAATAGTAAGATCCGGATTCTTAACAAAGTTGAACCGAATTAGTTTGTTGGTCTTTATTTTCCGCACTGAGAACCTTTCCTTCATTCTTTTCTTTTTTACTTCTCCGAAGCTTGTGAACAATTCAATTTGACTGAAAAATTCTTGACGATTTTTAGCATGATCCTAATTTTTTAATTTTTTTTTGTGAGAATATGACAATGTGATATTCACTGCAAAAACGTTACTGGCGTCATCAGTGCGTGATCAAAACAGGAATAAAAGCAATATATTTAAAAAAGTAATAAACTGCTTTTCAGTGAATTTTCTATATGTGTTTTAATATTTGTTTTCGATTTTATGGGGACTCATCTGGTATAACACCTTTGCTCGTTCTCTAGTCGGGCCAGATCAACCGAAAACGATGCAAAACCGATTTATTAAACTTTCAAACGCCGCTTTGGTCCCTTCACTCATCCTGTGAACATGCGGGATAGTGAATACTAAGGTCATCAAAAACAAACAGAAAACTTCATTTGAGACAATCCGTTTTTGTTTCACTCGTTGAGCGCTTTAATACCATTTGCATGGAAAGGCAAATACGTAGAACTTAAACAGCAACCTGCTAATACGGAAAACACAAATCGCTGCTGAAGTTATTTGTTTAGGACCATAATTCTTAGGACATTGTAAAAATCATCAGAATGTGACACGAGAAGATGCAGCAAGACAATATCAAACTTGATCAAAGGAACGTAATGTTAAAAATTTGTTATTCTAATTCAATTGGACCAATTTCTACTCTTACTTCAGCTAATTTAGCAGGTTTATTGAAGTTTAGCAACATATAGTGAGTTGATAGAAAATTACCTAATTTCGATGCTTCAAGAATATTAAACTTAAGTTACCGCTGAGAACCCAAACCAGAACTCTAATGACCGAGATACGACAGCTGAATTCTATAAACATGAAATTGTAATCAGTCAGTTAGTACAAAGAGATCATTTTGTCGTGACATTTTGTGCCTTCTCGAATAAAATGACTTCTAAAAGGTTTTTGTTTGCAGCAATGTGTTTTCTACTAGGTGACAAAGACGTTGATAATCCGGTCCTGCATGGGTAATGCAATTAGCTCTGACAAGCACAATAAGATTATGGTAAATAGTTTCAGTGTAGAGCTTACTAAGTTAAAGCCTTAGAGCTAATAAAGAAAGACACTATTCCTCTGTTAATATAAATGTCGACTGCGTTGAATAGACTTACCTTAAATACTCTCGAAGTAATTGTAGTCGCAGCGCGCAGACGTGACAATACTTGGTTCAAACGAATCCAAGATGTTATACAGAAGAGTTGAAACGAGTCCAATTTGTTAACCCACTCTGCTGGAATCAGCTAGGTATGTCTTCTTTAAAATACGCCGAGGGAGGAACTGTTACGGCTTACGTAAACTTATTGTGTGCTATCGCTCCGTCGAGCCCTCACAGTGGAAAAAATGAGCAAATCATATCAGCTCAGCTATTCCCAGAGCACAATATTTGTCCACAATTTGTTAAGGCTATATCGGACCCTCTGCCCATGATTTGCGCAAAGATCACCCGTAGCTGCAGAGCTAAAGAAGGTGTAGTCCAAAATACTTATATCCGCGCTGATTTTTATGAATAAAGTACTGCAGTTCTCAAGAGCTAATACAAGCATTCGATCTCACTTTGTGTGAACGATAGCCAAACAAACATGACGCCAATAACCGTAGGCGGAGCTCTATTATGCATTTTGCTAAGAAAACCTAAAATCCTTAAAGAAAATTTAAAATGAACAAAGCCATAGCGAAAGTTTACATGTACCATTTTCGTTATTCCGTAAAAACAAACCAGCCAAAAAAGATATTCGCTGAACCTGTAGAGTTAAATAATCTTTCGAATTTATCCATTGCCACGTTCTCAAAATTAAACAGCATTTAAAAACTTACAGTACATTACAAAGGTATGTAAAGGGAATGCAAATATCTGATCTGATAAAATGGCCTGCGATTGTTATCGGAGAGTAACAAAGAACGATAAGACAAATGTTCAACTAATGTCTTCAGCGAGGAATAAAGAAAAATTTCTGAGTCCCCCGCGGGGATTATAACCTCCGTCAGTTCTATTTCCGGCGGTTGTAAACTTTGCCAAATGAATTACGGATAACTCTGAGCCATGTCCAAGATTCATCATGAGAGAGGGATCTTATTTACAAACTGAAAAGATCAGCAATGGTAAATGCTTCGTATGTCTAAATAGATTAAGAGTTTTTAACTTTCTTGAGAAATTCAAAAAACAGAAATGACAATGTAAGCACGTTATCTTCCTTTCAAGTCATAGGCAACTCACTTGTGTATATATTATTGCACTTTGCGTTCAATTCAAAAGGATCACTGATAAACCTTCAGGTACACGCGTGAAAATGTAATGCTCAAAGTTTACTAGAATTTACGATGGCCAAATAACATATTACGGTTGGAAAATTCTATTTTAGATAGTAAAATCTTTATTTCGTCCCAGAGAAATTTTTTCTTAGCATACAAATGAACACTAAAGCTATATACTTGTCAAGGACTTTCCGGGAATAATTCCTTTTTAAAAGATTCTCATGACGAAACTACGACGAAATTCGTAGCGTAACTGAGTAAGCTCTCTGATTGCAAAATCCCAATTAAATTTACTGGAAAATATTTGGCTCAGTTTTACAGCTTACTGCGAAGTGAAACGAAAGCCATGCACTGCTTCAACTCGATTTGAGAGGAAGGATTTTTTAGTACTTTGACCCCTACGAGAGATTAGCATTTAAAATTTCCTTACAATATCTCCCCCCCCCCCCGAATCTCACATTGAAAGTCACGCAAATCAAGGAATTGAGCACCAGCTAAAGAAGCTCTTCATGATAGTTTGACAAATTCTGATCAGCATCTTAGAAAATATGTTGAGAACTATATGGAGAATGTGTATACTGATCATGATGTTAGGATGTAAGGGGTTAAAGATCATGCATGCATGCATGCGCGGGCGCGTCTTTAACCCCTTACATCCATAACGAACACTCCACGACCTTCCCACAGTCTTTTTGGACTATGTAGTAATCCCTGGTAGTGTTAACAAAATTTGCTTCATCAGTGTTATAGTTATTCTGACAATGTATTATATCAAAAGGCGTCAATGGGAGAAAAATCAGTGATCATCTCCTAGTATACCAATGCCTTTTTTAAATTTTTCATTCCCCTTTTTAGACTTCCAAATGAACGTTTTGTCCTCAGCATGTTGCGTTGTATCTCTTCACAATGCTCTCCCATCTCAGACATCTTATGTTTACATGCATTTCGTCTCATTTATAATCAAATTTGCGAAACGTTATATCTGGGTAAGTTTTTAAGTTTGTAACTGATGTATCTCTTAAAGAAAAAAGTTTCTTTTTCGAGTTATTCGCATTAGAAGCAAGGGCTTTTACACAATGGACATGAGATACCATTCCTATGGTTATCTTTAGCCAATGTAATCGATTATATCAACATGTCAAGCAAGGCTTAGAAATTTGTTCTATAACACCATCCTATATGAGATGATGCAGAGTAGTAATGGTGATTTAGAGAGGAGCTACTTCCTCAAGGCGTCACTCGCCGCCATAAAGCCTAAAGCCAGCGATACACCTGGCGATTTTAAACGCCGATCGCGCGATCGCGGCGAACGGCGAAAATCGCCAGGTTTGCCCGGTGCGGCGACTGCAATTTTCCCTGATCACCGCGATCGGCGTATAAAATCGCCGATATCTGAAATACCAGATATTTGCAACTTTGTACGCCGATTGTGACGATCAAAATCGCCGCGATCGGCTAATAAATCGCCAGGTGTGTCACAGGTTTAAGAAGGCTGTGTAACGACGCTTACGTCACAAACGCTCCATTGCTTCGGTACATTCTTCTCCTGTGTAATGTTTAGCGAATGCACACAAGATTCTTAACCTTTTGACTCCTAACATTGTCTAATTTCTTCTCACAATATCAACCACGATTCACACATAAAGGTCACAAGAAAAATGAAAATTATCACCAACCAAAGAAGCTCTTAGATTGTCAAAAAAATCTCCTTTTCAGCACCTTAGGAAATATCCAGAGAAGAGTTGGGAGAATATGCATACTGATGCTAGGGTGTAAAGAGTCGATCACCACACTTGTATCAAGGGGGAGGCGTTAAAATGGTTTTAGAAACTTATAGAGGGACGCACTTTCTGCGATATTTCTCAGATTGTGATTGATAGCAAGAGCATGTCGAACGTTACGCTTATGCGTGGAAAATTGTTAAAAAAAAAGCATTCCCAGTTTTATTTCTAACAGCTTTTCCGATTAACACTTTAAAGTATCTATATTTGTTGGACCCATTTAGAGATCACCTGTTCATTTTGATGGAACTGAATATGAACATTATAGCGCTGAGTTCATATTTTGGATTAGGACCTGCGCATAAATTATGAGTTATTCTTGACTGGGATAAATGAAACGAAAGTACCATGATAAAATTGATTTTCATGTCTGTTTCCTTCGAAGGAGCTATAAAGAACGAGTGAATTAAAATATGACATTCTTTATTGTTTACATTTAACGGATGACTTGGTTTCAACTTGACAAGAGCACTTGATCTTGGCAGGGGAGCTTTAAAATTATTGGCCAGTCTGCCACCAAAACAGCATTTGCCCCAAAGACACTAATTAGATTCAGCCAAGCGAAGTTGAATAGCGTGAGAACTATTTGAAGGCAACAAACCTGCTTTTCTTGAAGAGAGATGGTCACTTTTGGCAGCCACAACCCTCCAGAACCTGTGTAGAAGATAGCAGGATATTTTTGCCTACGATCACCAGTGAAACTCACAAACGAGGTATTCTTGGGTACTTCTAAACATCATGATTCATCTTCTGTAGATATATTGTGTTCATCTCTTGGTGTCGTATTTCGAAACCGCAGAAAACGAATTCAACGCCTCATTGAATCGAAGTCTCACTATCTGTGTTCAAGGACTTTGTGCTTAATTAAAAGGCGAGCGAGATTTAGGAAACTTAAGGTTGAAAATTATGAACTCGTCCCCGATCACTGCTTGCCAAAATTGACTAATCTACAGCTTTGAATAAACTTAGGTATGACTCCACGGAAAGGCAGTCGTGCAGCTATTACATAATGAGCGCTTTTTTCATCTCTAAGCAATTTATTAGTAAGGTAAACAAAAACAAACCGTGAACCACTACAAAGGATCACGTTACTCAGTTTCCATCTTGCCCCATTTTGCAATTAAGATACAAGTACGTTATATTTAAGGGATATGATCTGTAGCTTCAGCGTACGAAACAAAAACACAATTTTTTTCTTTTCCAGCCTGGTTAAATTGACACTAACAAGTTGCAAAATTTAAACCAAATAGAAAGCTCTAGAAAATACTGTTCATTTTTCAGGAAGAAGCCAGCTGGGCTAAGTAACAATCCAGTAATTTTTAAACTACTCGAAAGAAACAGGAAGTGATCAAGGTGGGTAACTACAACTAAAGTTTGATGACGTCAGATGGAAATCACTGGAGGCTATCTCTTTGATTTCTCTGTAACCAGCAACATTTTAGTTGCATCCGTTTTGGACCACAAAACGTCATGGAGGGCCACATTTTGATCGTAATTGATGGAATCTCGCCAATTCTATTTAGGCTTCAGGTATAGTGCATGAAGTAAACATCTTTGTGCTAGTTCAGCTGTTTGATGATATCACAAAATTATGAAAAGCACGATGTTCCATCCATGACCGTAAAGTAAATTGTTGTATAAAATTTTAAAGTTCTCCCGAGACAATGACAGAGGTTCGAGTCAAATTTTGTTTACTTTCATTTATAGATGAACGTCCTTAGTAACGTCAAAAAGAAATTGCTAGACAATTCCAAGTTCAGTCATATTCCACTTTTGCACGAACGTGATTAATGAGATAATAAAAATTCCTCGTATTAAGATAAATTTTTTCATCCGTGTGATAAATAATAACATTTCATTAACTATCATCTGATAAGATTCGTGTTCCCCAATTTTCCCATTCGTCCATTTGATGTCCACAATCATCCACAGAAAACACCAGGTATTTGATAATCATAATTAACAAACAAGCTGTAGGTTAATTAATTGCTCGTCTGGAAAATAAGTGGTAAAAAATAAATAAAATGCATAAAAAAATACAGCAATTACAGTGAGAAGGGATTCAAAGAAACAGTAGAAAAGAGATTTATAGTCCGAAACAATCTGTCTGCATTAAAGGGTTCCAGTCTTCTCGATAGAAAGAAGGATTTTTATTCTATCCAAGTATCATAGCTTATTTATCAAGTTGATTTGAAGCAGTCCCTATGTTTTATTCCATAACTTCTAGTAACCCTTGCCCTCTTGCGTGACTCCAAAAACAGTATCACACTAACAATCTCCATCCGCCATCATCGCTTTAGAATATATCTTGTGAATTTATAGCCTCCTAAAATCTTCAGCTCAGTCAGTTTTGACTTCTGAGTAGGAAAGTATCAATTTGGCTAAACAAGATGACTGTGTTGTTTTGAACTTACAAAGGGAAACCAAACACATTTTGTGTAGACAGAGTGAAGGACACAGATTAGGCACACCAATTTAAAATTACGCCGAAATTCAAAGAAGAGAGGAGTGAAAATAGAAATGACTTAGTAATACATAAAACATTTAACTTTGATTTTAAGGCTCCTTGAAGCCCCCCTGAATTTAAACACAAAAGCCGATTTTTAATCATTATTTTACTCGATTCATTCTCTCAAAATGGATCGGCGGCAAATTTCCTACAGAAACGTGTGCAGTGGCGTTGGGACTACATAGAGCAATTAATATATGTTTGACTTTTCCCTTTCTTTTCTTTTCTATGACAACATCACCACAATTAGTTATATGGTAATGTGTTGGAAAAACAAAGCAAATGATGAGATTTGTTTGAGCTTGTAGCTTTTGTTTCTAGAAAGCGCTCTTTTTTGGAACAATAGGAGACACGATTCTTTGTTGCTAAGATATTTTGAATACCGCTGCTAGGATAAAGGGGCCTGTAGAAGCTAATCGCATTAAATCACTCTCCACCTCGGAGTCTGTGCGAATGCTTCGGTCAGCGCCTTTGGGAAAGAACAGAAATCAGAAATTCCGGATTGGCGAACGTGAAGTTATTAGAGGAGGTTTGGGCACACAGACAACGTCGTTGACAAAAGTGAGTCGAAACCTAGCAAAATTTAGCACTATTGTCGGTTTAATCATGATTTAAAAGCGTACATTGTAAATGAATCGAGGACCTGGTTGATTTGTCAAGTCTGCATTTATCATATTTATTACAGAAGAATCTCGAACATAAAACATAAAACTGCTAGAAGAAGTCGAATCGAAATATAGCTTGCGCTGCTGTAACAAAATCTTAACTTCTGCAAAAGAATAACATTTATTTACAGCCTGTTTGTGGCTTATTAATATTTCATGGCACTACAGGCCTAAGTAGAATTTTTCTTGAATCACTGAATTATGTCACGAGTCAGAACTTTCAGTTCATGTGCACAAAATATTTTTTTTATTTCACACTCTTTGAAAAACATAAATTTGGCGAAGGTTTCTCCAGCCAACCCACTGACAGACTTGTTTTGACACGATTTAGCTGTAAGCGAGTTATTTATACCCTGCAACCAGACTGGCAAATGAACCGAGCAATGCAAATATTACTCTAAAACTGAAAGCAGTTCCGAATTTTTTATTCACTTCATGGAAAGCTTTCTGAAGAGAACGATCTAGATATTGCGTTTTGACATTTTTAACATATATGCCGACACAAGATTTTTAAATTAGAATACTTAGTTCATAACTTGACGAAAGACTCGTGTTTTTTGTTTAAATTAGTTCTCTCCTTCTTAAGCATAAATTAAAGAAGAACTTGTCGGTAATAGACACCTGTCTTATCAAAAGATACCACGCTCAAATTTATTGCACCAGTTAATCGATTCTTCTTCTCCGGTTCCATCATCGACGTGAAACTGTAACACGCCAACATTTCACAGCAAATTATCAGAAATTTTTACTACAAATTATTTCGCGACTGAATCATGGATCCTATTATTCATAACGTTTACCTGTTTTATTAAGGTGTGAGATTAGAAATTACAAACGTTTTAGCTGTGAACACTGTCCATGATCCACACACTATTTACCATTTTAAGTGTGAATTCGTAAGTTTACATACGTTGAAAAAAATATCACCACTACTTACTTCTCACGAATTAGTGCAAGCCCGTGATAGCAGCCGATTTTGTCTTCTTAATTTGAATATTACCATTTCCTTATCTTAAACAGTATCGAGATGATGACCCACGCAACGAAAGGCAACTTTCAAAGTGTGAAGACGAGAAAAAGCGAAAGAAAGTAATGGGATATTATTTTCTCTTGGTTAAAGATTTGTCAGAGTTGTTCGAAGTATACATGAAATGAAAGAAAATTACTCGTCTCAACATGGCGATTCATATGGAAAAATTTTTTTGTTTACCTGTTTATTTGGTGTAAGGAATGTTTTTTCGATAATTTTTATCTTAAAAGAGCCCGCAGCGGAAGTTAATGCACTGAGTTGACTATAAGGCAGATGGCCATAAAGGCGATCAGTATGCAAATTATAATACAGTTCAAGTGAAAAGTGTTGTCCTTCCAAACTTCTGCTGCGTGTACCCTGCGTATACCCTAAATATAAAGTAAAAAGTTTGGAACTCACAATTTACTTTGTAATTTTTAGATCTTTTGCTATTTCTTGTCTCAATAACTTTATAATGTTTCTTTTACATATATCCTTTCGTATAGAGATAAATGGAGCTCTGGTGGATTATTTTGGCTGGCTGTGGAGGAGGCCTTCTTCTCGTCGCTTATGTGGCAGTTGTCATGTACAAAATATGTCGTCGCAAGAAAAGGTGAGGAAGTACACTCAATTTTACAGCTGTTCGTGTCGTTCACAAAATTGCTAACTTTTGAAGTTAGGTGTTGTTGACTTCAGTACTTTCGTAAATTTATTATTAACTTTGAGTCTTATGTGTACGAATCTCGTTCATGAGGCACTAGAAATTCTTCTTTTCCTATATGTTTTATCGCCAGTTTCGCTGAGCTAAGTATATGAGGAAAACTGAATAACCAATTCAATTCGTGCATTCAGCCGTCAATGGTACATTTTAGATTAAAACAACATTTAATAACCAGCCCTGCAAGTCAAGCTTGTGATCATCAGACCAAAATCGAGCTTTGATGAGAGCTGATGGTTTGTTTTCGTGTGCATGAAACAGAGAATTTCACGGGAAGTCACAAATAGTGAAAAAAATACATTTTCTTTAGTGATGGAGAAAGTTATTCTTACTGCTGAACCTAGTTTAATTCTAAAAGCCCCCCGGCCAAAAAGGAATTCATCAAGTCAAAATTTATAGATAAACAGATTGCCGCTGGCAAATCTCCATGGCTTTCTGTGGCTACAGACACGCACGTTAGCTTATTTACGCGCGGATCACCAATAGTTAGCGTCAAATTTTTCTCGAAGCTTACTTTGTTCGTATTTAATAGATGACTGACTTTTTTAAAAAAAAGGCATATCCTCCACTGTCAGTATTAATGCTAAGAAAAGATTCTTTCTTGGCTTTTTATAAAACAGGTTCATTTCGTGCTTGACTATGGGATTGTATATCATACAGTAGTCTTACATAATCTTTTTTCGGCCGCATCGTTACAGGGTTCAGATGAACCAAGCGGGGGATCCTGAACGAAACACTGATGATAAAGATTGGGTAACTCACGTCAATCCAAGCGTGGTTTCTGAGAGAACAGAAGACGGACTCTGTATGGACACTAAAAGAGGTTCTACCAAAATTCGTCGCAAAGCTTCCACTGTGCTTATACCAAACGCTTCTGTTAGCGAGATTCCAGGGACTTCAGACGCAGTTCTTCGATCCGTGCAAAGCGTTACATCTCCGAAGGCTAACTCTGCAAATAAACAAAACGGATCTCGGCCGACGATTGTCGAGAAGCAAGCATCCACTGAACAAAAGTCACCTTCTGATGAAAAAAGTAAGGCCGCACCTCCCTCAAGTAACAGTCCTTGTCTGGTCCAAAGGTCTGAATACACATGGGAAACATTGTTACGCCAACCAAGCGATGTGAGAAAAAACCGAAGCCAGTCATTTAACTGGGAAGTTTCGGAGCCAAGAAAACAAAACATGAATACTCGCTCCTTGAAACTAAAAAGAGGTGAAGAAGGAAGGCGATTTGTAAGAAGTAAATCCCTCAAAGGATACACACAGCGCGAGCTAGCCATTCTATCCACAGAGGAGATGCCTCCATCAACCGAACTAGTTCTTTCTGTAAAACGCGGTGGCGAAAACAAGAAAAGGAAGAGCCCCCAAGAACCTGAGAAGGATCAAAGCACAGACGCTGATACACGGAAGAGAATGTCTGTCAAATCTATGACTGCTGAGAAAAGCATAAAAATCAGCAGATCAGGATCTGCACCATCCATGACAGCTAAAGAGAAGGCAGTTAAAAATGCAGAGGCAATTATCAAACCTCGAACGAAATCGTATACATGGATTCCAGAGCCAGACTACCAATCAGTTTCCATAGAAGAGATCGTTTTAGAAAATCGAGAAAAAAACAAAGTTAATCGCGAAGATCAGGTGTGCATAGTGGAGATTCGCAACGAACCAAATGATTCAGATTCACACGTTAGCTTGTCTGCAGGAAACGAAGCCCAAATGATCGGTGCAGCGCAAGACGTGCCTAATGAAGAGCAATCGCATGAAGAACAAAAGGACTTCAGCACTATAATTGATATCGTTGATATTGCGGTTTCCTCACCGTGCCCAGGTGTTGCCAGAAGAGTAACAACAGTTATGGATGATGACACCCCAAACACAAGGGAAACGGAGGAGACCAAGATTCTAATGGGAAGTAGCATAAAAAGAGAATTATCTGTTAAAAACCAAGTTAAAAACTTGGAGGCTACGATTACCAGTGAACAGCCAGTTACTCACCATGACCAAACTTCAAAAACAGAAAGTAATAACGCAGAGGAAACGAATGTATCTTTTGGAACTGATATTAACAATAACGTCAAAACATTGTCCGGTTTTAATCAAAAGCCAAGTCCGAACAAAGCGATGACAGTAGAAGCAACAGTCCACAATATCCCTAATGGCCATCCTCCTTTCACAACCAAACCATCTGAGGTCAGATCGATTGGAAAATTGACTATCGTCAAAAATGTCGACGTGCCTTACTACCAGAAAACACAGGATTCGCGAAAGAGTATCGATAAAGCCTCCTCTATTGTTATAAGGCAATCATCTAATGCAATGTTGATTGGATATGGGGGACTTTCAACGGGGAAAACCGATGAAATTCATCAAATTGAGACCTCGCCGATGCCTCCGCCTGTACCCTACTCAATACAACCACGGGCTTCTAGCCAAACGCAGGACACCACCAAAATAACTATTTTATCGAAAGATAATCAGAAAAATAGCAACGCAGTCCCTCAGCTGACCTCGGCGGAGGTACTTCAAAGGGCGTTACAAAAATCTGTGAAAGGCAATGCAGTGAACTTACCGCTAACAACGACAACACCAACACCAACTAAAACGTCAACAACAGCAAAGGAGGTAGACGCCGAGCTTACTTTAGAAGAAAAGAAGAAAGTGTGGAAACGAGAACAAATAGTGGATCAGCTGCATGCCGCTCGGACTAGAAATGAAAACCAGAGCTACGTATTTGGCACAGGACTGGCTTACCAGTCTTGCATGCCTGAACTGCAGAACAGGCTTAAACAATTAACACTTACAAAATGAATTCAAGGATGGAATAATACCAGAATGTTAACCACTCAAGAAAGACCTTACAAACTGTTCCATACAAACGCTCTTCTGGTCAATAAAATAAAGCTTCCTCGTCAATGGTTAACTATAAGCTAGCCCGGCGAGGTTTTTAATTGTTGTTAGAATCGCAGCCGGAATTTCTAGAAACTTTTAGTGGCCGAAGATTCTCAATAAAATATTCTATGTCAAATATAAGTAATTGACGTACTATCGACGGGTATAAGCCAACACATTATACGGATATGGAAAGAGGTTCGACTAGCCTCTAAATTCTATTATTAAATAAAGAAATAATACATTATCGTATACTCTTTATCGTATCGTTCCTTCTCGGAAAAATGTAAATTTTAACGCCTTCACTCCCAAGAGTGGACCTTTGGTAGTCAATATTTGCAATATCAACTTGGTATTGCAAATATTGTACAGTGTCGAGTGAAAAGGTGACACGATGATCATGAGAGGGAAGAAAAATATCAATAAGGAGTGGTCTGATTACTGAATACCAAATTCTTTGAGCTATAGTTAACTATTATATGACAGACATTAAGGAGAATTGATATTGAGATCTTGGTAGTGAAACAGAGTTGATCCGCAGGTGCATCTTTTTGGAAGTAACGTTGTTTTATTTGACACGGCCCCGAATCATTTGAATAGTTCCCCAGGCGTAGTGCAATCAGTAATGTGATAATATCAATATAAATGAATATGTATTTTTAAAGCAAACATTGATCATCGAGAAGAAATCCCCATTTTTTTTCCCGAAGTAAGGGGTAAAAACTATACTGATAGGCTACGCCGGATTTTAATTCCCTATCAGGTGCAAGTCCGAGGAAGCATGCTCCAGTTTTAGGTAGCTATTAGGCGCGCGCTTCATTCAAGCTCAACGCTCCACGCGCGCAAAACTTATCCTAGTGATGAAGGAAGACAACTGAACAGCGTCTATTAGTTGTTTTTATGTCTGATTCAAGGGTCAGATACAATTGTTTACCGCGAACACTTTAGAAAGCCCCCGGGAATTATTAACGTCCGAGACTCTTGGGCTTACAGAGGAAGGAGTGGGCTTATTACAAAACTCACCAGCGACCACTAATTCGTGATTTTCCTTTGAATTTACGCCCAGATCTCAACCCACTCGAATAAATTATAATGCAAATGCCGTTAGACAGTTTTCCTTTGCGTGGAGCGGGAAGCGCAAGTGGTTAGCCTCCATACCCTGTGTGCGCATAAGACACATTAGACTCCTCATCGGTGGGTTGGTGGTCCATTTTTGAAAAAAATTATTTCCTTATGGTGGTTGATAAAGTTTAAAGTCAAAACGGTATTATACCAAGAGAATATCAGTTGATACTCTCTTGATAATACCGAATATTGCGTGGCATCGCCGTTTAGGTTGGCTTTCTTAGGGTTGGGGTAAAGGTGCTCTCAGCTTCACCTCTGGTAAAACGAGATACAACGCAACTGCTTGTACACAAATTGTAGTCGTTCATCAATAACCAACAGCTTTTTAATAGACCCCGCCTCATGTTGAGCAGCTGTGAAACGACGCTGCAAATACTAAAATTGTTTTAACTATCCACTGGAAACTGTCATTCAAAGGACAGCTAAGCGTCACCTCCACTGTGAGAACGACGCACCGCCGGGACTCCTGTCAGGAAACAAACTACAATTGTCACAGATATAGGAGCATCCCGTGAGTTTTGATCTATGAACTTACTTGGCAGTGTGAATAGTTAGGTAAAAAAGCTTAATATAAGGATGCCTTGAATAACTGCTATTTTAGATAATGGAGCACCTGGTGATCCCTCACTAAGACTTATGTTCATTCATCTCTTGACAAGAAGAACACGGGAGGTTATCGGGAGTTCGAGTCATTAAGCGATAAGAACATAATATACGACAACAAATTCAGGTGTGACTTTCCGAAAAAAAGGGTGTAACTCTTCAAAGTTTCAAAACAAGCTTGGACATGACTTCAAATAGTTTAAGGGAAAACTTTAAAACTTGCAAACACATACACCGGAAAAAAAAGAAACACGACAAGAAACTTTTTTTTTTCACAATTTTCGATAAAACAAAGCGAATATGTTCTACTTACTGTGAGCCGCCACCGAACGAGCCAAAAGCAGGAGATGTTTGTTGCGGCTGTTGCATTCCACCAAACCCTTGAGTGGCAGGCATACCAGCCACAGCTCCAAATGAAGGAACGTTAGACTGCCCGGCCAAAGCCCCAAAGGTGGGGCTGCCTTGAGATCTATAGGGTGTAAAACAACGTCTAACATGAGAAATTAAAAACGTGGCCATGCATCCTTCAGGGTTCGTACCCTTTTTCAGAAACAAATTTCAAGAACTTTTCCAGGACTCTTCCAGGACTCTGATTTTCCCAAGACTCCAAATTTCACTTCGTTCCTTTCATTCCCATTTCATATTTTCAAGATTTCAAAATAAATTCTCCTTACGGTCTACATACATTTCTTACAACGTAGGTTCTGAAAACTTTCTTGCTTGAGTTAAGCAAATTTCCAGGACCTTTCCAGGACCTGTGGTCTTTTTCCAGGACTTTCCAGTCATGGAAAAAGGTCAAAATAATATTCCAGGACTTTCCAGGTTTTCTAGGACCTGTGCGAGCTCAGGTCCTTGTGAGTAATTTAACGGAGTTTTCATTTGTCACTGCCAAAAAAAGAACTTTTGGATGGATATCGAAGGAAAACGCTGCTTCAGAGGGACAGAAATACTCATTTCTCAAGACTAGACTAGAACTTCAACGACACAATGAGGGGTTTTACGGGATCACCATGATGACACACTTGAACAGTGTCCTCTAATCAAATTATAGGACTACATTGGGAAAGGAGTGAAATCAATTTTCATTTTCGACCAACCATTACTGACCATAACGGCAACGTTACATTGAGGAAAAGTCAGTGATAACTTACTGTCCAAATCCACCAGAATTGACACTTCCAAAGATCCTTGTGAATATACAAAGTAAAAAGAGAAGAGTGACTCCTTTTCAAATCGCAGCTATTGCAAGTTACCTTCCGAAAATAAGGACAATTTATTCCTTTCATTCAGTCTACCTTGTGCAAGTCAATTTTCTTAGCGTTTTTCTATTTCAGTTCGTTATCGGTGAAGGGGCGGGAGAGGAGTGGGTCAAAACAAACAGTGGCAACACTTCGTTGATTTCTGTTCTCGTTTTTTACTACTGAGCAGCCGATGCTTATTTCGCTGTATATTAAAACAAGTCTACAGTTCAAACAGAATCCAATCAGCTGAATGCAACAACAGAACTAATAAAGCACAACGCCTGACCTACCAAAACCTAAAGAAATAATAAAAACAAAATATGAACACACCACCGACATCGCCTATTTGAAAGGTGGTCGAAATCCTGATCATTAACTTACAATAGTGTTCGAAAGCTCTCTCTCTCTCGTATAGTATTTCTGGCTTAAACAACCAGTAAAAACTAATTCAATTCAAACAACATATAAACATTCAATAAACAAACAAGTCTTACCCTCCCGTAGGACTAGCCCCCAGACCTCCTTGAGGGGATCCACCAAACGCTGAAGTACCTCCTAACGCAGGAGTACCACCAAACGCAGGAGCACCTCCTAACGCAGGAGCACCACCAAACGCAGGAGCACCACCAAACACAGACCCACTAGCAGTAGGTGAGCCAAAGGGTTGGGGTGTACCAAACCCTGAGGAAGCTGAAATTAAGAAGTTTGAGAAGGCATTATGAAAACCTTCAAATCAATTTACATTTCCCTTAACAAAAGCTGCAATTGACATTTTCTTTCCATGCATGAAAACGCATCATACAGTGAATACAGATAACTGTTATATAGCATTTTCATTTCTTGTGTTTGCTGCTATTGTTTTCTCTTGAAAGTTCGTCACCGTCTCATCAAGGAGCACAAGAGAGAATAAATGGGTGGCTTTCTAATTCGTGAGTGAGGGTAGAAAAACGCGCTTACTGGCTGTAAAATGAACGACAAATTTAAAACTCTTTAAACCGTTAATTCTAAGACCTATTTTTATTTGCTGTTAAATACAGCACGAGCGTTTTCTCTTTCCCACCAGAATTCGTCCTGCTAGTCAAAAATACTAAATATCTCGGCGCTGCTTGAACTTTGGGAAGGTATGCGCAGCGACGGTTCGTAAGAAGCGTTTTAGTAAAGAGAGCTTTTACCTGATGGCGATGCAGCACCAAAGCCAAAACCACCGGCACCTACTCCAGTACCTGGAGCACTGAAGGAGCCTCCTGAAAAACCACCAGTGGACTGGGAACCAAACACAGATGAAGAAAATGGACCACCGCCGAACGTTGGCTTTGATGTATCACTCGCCTGACGTTAAAAATGAATAAATAATCATATAAAAATTAACACCCTTCCACCTCCATGAAAGAAAGAGAGAGAGAGAGAGAGAGAATAGAAAAAACGGTGTGCATGCGGAAGCCTACATTTCCGTAACGATTTTAATGGCACCTGTTCGATATCCACAGACAAACGACAAAGATTGATTAGGAACTAAATATGGCCGAGGATGCAGCATGATGGAATGTAAAAGACACTTCACAAGGTCGCATTGTAAGAAAAATATTTTTTAACATTACCAACCTTAAAAACATCAGCTCCTGACTTCCCACCAAACAATGAAGACTCTACAGTTAAAAACGAGAACAACTTCTCAGACATAAGTAGCCATACTTCTATTGCTATGGAACTACAATCGACACCATGCGCAGTGAGCGTTAAACAATTTTCTAAACATCTCTGCCAACCTTGTCCCCATTAAATTGATTCAACAAGGAATCAGCCATTACGTTACCAATTCCACGCTCTGAAACAAAGTAAGCATTACTCAACAGTCAGGAATGTCAGCCACAAAAATAAAAAGTCATAGTTTACGTGTAGACGTGGGAGCCTGTAATCCTTGCGTGACGCCAAAAGGGTTCGTCTTGCTAGTCTGTGGGCTTGCTTGTCCACCTAAACCAAAGCCACCAAATCCAAATCCTAGAGCTTAAGGAGAAAAAAGGCAGTCTATAGTAAGTTACTAGTATCCAAGGTACCATGGCAGACAGCTTCTTATATTTACCATAAATTAATTCTCAGAAGGTTATAGTATCAGACAACGAAACAAATTAGCTCTAACGGAGTTCGTTTTAAATGCTTACAGGAGTGGATTTGCTTGAAAATGTGAATGAACACATGGTAGACACTTTTTGCCTAAAGGTTCCGGCAGGAAGGCTGCAAGTTATCACAATGGGACTGCACTCCAAAAGTTTTCTTCTCATTAATATAATATGAAAATAGAATTCAAACGTAGCAAGTCTCTTTGGAATTCTGAGAGTTGGTCAATGTGAGGGGAAGAAAAGTGGAGAAACCTGCTCTTTTCGAAAAGCCTTCTCATAAACAACCCAGAGACAAGTCATGTGGCTATAGAAAATTATCACCCAACAGTTTACATAGAGGTTTTTACTTACTATTTTCATTTGGCTTGGAGGCAGTGCCAAACCCACTACTTGTGGTAGAAGCAAAAGGTGACTGCCCAGTGGAAGATGCCCCAAATCCTGTCCCTGACCCTGTGCCGGTCGCTGAGCTTTGCGATCCAAATACTGATGTGGAACCAAATGTGGAACCTTGGCTGCTGACAGGGACGCCGAAAGCTGGAGGAGTGCTTGCGAAGGTGAGGCCTCTTGAAGCTCCAAACACTGGAGTGGGAGAGAAGGGAGTTGATGTGAATCCTCCGAAGACGTTTCCAGAGGCAGTGGTAGTTGAAGTAGCGCCTTGAGAGCCAGAAATGTTACTGCCTGTCGATAGAACTGCACCGAACGCACTTGTGGTGCTTGTGATTTTGCCAAACAGACCACTTGTAGTAGCAATTGAGGTTGAAGAACCTGGAGATGAACTTGCAACCACGTCTGTTGACTTCGGTGTTGTAAAAGTGGTTAATGAAGAACTTACTAATGGTGAAGAGGTGCTTTTGGAAGCAGAAGTGATACTGGGGAAGAAAGGACTCGTACTACTTGTCACAGAAAAGGCAGATGATGCAGAACCAGCTGTGAAACTGAATGCACTACTCCCTGCTGAGGTGACAGAAGGCGCAGCTGTTATGGCACTTTTAGCGCCACCAAGAGAAAAGCCAAATTCACCTCCGGATGCGAGCGTAGCAGACGTGGCAGCCGTAGCGGTCATAGTTGAAGCTCCAAAAGCACTTCCTGTGAGTAGTGATGTGCTCCCTATACTTGTGAAAGACGGCGAACTCGACTTCATACTTCCTGAAAGGGCCTGAGCAAATGGACTTGCAAATGCACTGGTGGGTGTTGTAGTTATGGCTGCAGCACTGGTATCTTTGTTCTCAGATGGAGTCCCTTTAAAAGGCAGAGGGACCTCCTCGGGAAGTGAGCTGACCGTAGGTGCTGCATCACCAGATGCTGAAATACCTCCTATGGCAGACGTTCGCAACAAATTGCTCATGATGCTTGTGGAACCACTGCCTGTACCAGCAGAACCAAATAGACCACTTACACTGCCAGATGAAGAAAACCCTCCACCAAATGAGGTGGACCCTGCTGCTGTGCCCGTAGTTACGAATTCTCTGGAAGTGAAGACAGACGAAGCTGTGGTGGTCTGTCGAAAACAGGAAAAAAACACTAGTTTCCTTTTCATAGTTTTTTTTTTGTACTAACTAGCAGTAAATTCCAGATGCTAATTTGGAACTTCACACTAATTGAGGTGAAAATTGGCAAATTCTAAACCCTCCTTTAGAATAAAAGGTCAACTTAACGTGTCGGGGAACGGACTTCAAATTTACCCAGTCCATTCCATGAAGTCGTCTACGTTTCTTCATCGTTTACAGTCTTTAACTAACCACTCGACACTGTGGAAATGTATGTGTGTGAGTCGCTATCACGTTAGTACTTAAGAAGGCCTTGCAATTTTGTGTTTAGCGACCTGAAATAAAGTCGATGTCTTTAATACCTTCATCACAAGCCTCAAAGTCTACGACGTTTCCATTTATTATTAGTCATCACAAAATACCCAGTTTAAAAGACTCACCTTCGCTTCATCCTTTCTAGTTTCTTGCTTCAATTCTTGTTCGCCTCTCGTTGGTATTGCTTGCTCACCTGCATTTCCTGCTGCAAATAAATTCCTACTCACTCTTGCGCTAGGAGTGATACCCACGGCTGGTGTCGAGGAAGTAGTTGCTGGTTTAGGTGACTCAACGCTTGCCGCAGCGGTAAGACTAGAAGCTTTGGCATCTGCTGTGTCTTTCGCTTTACTACTGAAACTAAATGCACTGAATGCAGGAACGGCAGTCCCAGACGAAGTTCCCACGTTGAATAAACTTCCAGCCGGTGGAGTAAAGCTGAACCCGCCTATAGCCTGAGTTCCTGACAAAGGCTGCCGCAGCCCACTAGTTCTGGACGTCGTGGACGATGTCGGCAATGGTGGTGCAAATGTAGGTTTAACTACACTATTTGGATTCACAGTGACATTGGGAGCAGCAGAAAACTTGGTACCACTCTCATTTATTTTTGGCGGAGAGGCAGGTGGCTTAAAAGTGACAACTGGAGGGCCAGGCTTGCTACTGTCAGGGGATTTGAAGACAAATTCTGTGCTATACTGAGGCTTTGTGGAAGACTTCTGGGCCTCTACTGTAGCGGCCATCAATGCTGCGTTGGCAATTGCTTTCGCAGCAGTGTTGCCTGCATCATAGTCCTTAGTTGGTGCACTTCCTTGGGACTGTGGTTTGTAAGTCACCAGAGTTACTGGTTCGATGCTCGCTGAAGGATCAAGGTTGCTACTTGACTGAACTGTTCCTTGGGTTGCACTGGCTCTACTCATTGCAGCCATAGCTGCAGCAACGTGCGGAGGTGTTTCTGTGCTTATAACCTTAACATTGGGCTTAAAGTCACCTTTCGGCTGAACCACTGGTGCAGGCGAGGACTATAAACGAAACGACAGAAAGAAAGCGAAGATGATGCGTCGGAAGAGATTGGGAACAATAGCGAGGAGGATATAACGGTGAAAAAAAAAAACGGTAGTGAAAACAAAAAAAAAGAATACTTTACCTCTTCCTTCATTGGAGGAAGTTTAAAACCATTTGCTGGTTTGACTGATTCAGCTTGTGGTGCCTGTGATTCTGACGTCTTAATGCCTTCATTACTGGACTTATCAACTTCAGAAAATGCTCCACCTGCAACAGCCTTCGGACTGTCCCTGACTTGTTGCAAATTTTTGATATCAGCTGATCCTCTCGCTGTTTGAGGCGCTGGCTCCTTTAATTCAGCCGTTCCTTGTGAATTCCCCAAACTGAAACCGCTCTTTGAAGTGTCTTTAACTGTAGATTGTACAGGTTGCGAATCAGGCGCACGTGAACGGGTTTCTTGGACTTCGCTACACGGATTAAGCTCTTGTTCCTCACTGGTGTCGTCATCCTGGGACTCTTCCTCGGAAAGGCTTTCTTCACTTTGCCTTTCAGCCTCATCAAGGGGCTCAAAGCTACCTTTGGATCGTTCTGCCATTTCTCCTCTCTCTAGAGCAGGAGTCGAAGAAAAGAATGACTCTTCAGGCTTAGCCGGCTTCACTAAGGGTGTCTTGTTAACCGTAGGAGGAACTGGAAAAAAAATTAAGAGTTAGTAAAGAGTATTTTGAAAAGGTTAAGAACCCTGGCACTGCTAAAGTGGAACCGTATGCAGAATCATAATTAGTCATAACTACTTAAAACATTTTTATTTCAGACAATGTCAGGTAAAACTAATGTACTGTTGAGTTTCCCTGTAGATTACAAAATTCAAATCAAAGGAGAAAAGAACAGGGAATATTAACTCCACGTTCCTTTGCAGGAACAAAGTCTGACTGCACGCTTGTACTTTCATGTGATTTTTTTTCAGCAACGTAACCATCTTTTTAGCCTCGTCCATAAAGGAACATCAAATCGCAACATCCGCTACCATCAGATATTGTTCACAAATAAAGCCAATGGATGCTCCGAGCAGCTAAGGAAAAAGGGAGTCTGGTATGGCGAAACGAAATGGCAAATACAACGGGCCAAACTGGACTAGCCCCGTTGGCGTTAGAACCATTGAAGCTGACCAAAGCTTGCAGTGTGTAATAACAATAATGACAACGATAACAAGACTTACCATGCATGCTTTTTCTCACTGGGGTAGTTCTCCGTTTCTGAAACATGTTTCTAAGCTTGGCTCGTTTTTCAGGGGATATTGGAGCTGTAAAATAACCATAGGAAATATCCAAAATAACATTTTCACCAAAATAGAGAGTAATGTTCAAATGAGTGACAAAGTGATCCTGGATTGCATTGGTTTTGCTTTAACTTGCTCTATGATCGATCCCAAAAACTTGCACCAATTCTCGACCAATCAGATTCAACTAAAACCAAACGCGATTTGGTCACCCGCGTTTTCCCGCACTTCAGGCACTTTGCCTGTTTCTTATTATCTCCACGTGATATTTTCCTTTGCTCTGATTGGCTGTGCCTGCTCTGGTTTCAGTTCCCTGACACGCAATCGAAATGTACCCCATAATCGCTCACTCAGTATGAATCACTATGGGAGGGCGAGTTGAGTTGATAAAATAGGGCTACATTGGTAGTTGTCCCCTAGAAAACGGCATTTTGATCCTTCTTCAATTTTGAAAATGTTTGATATAAATACACCTTGATTGAGTACGAGGAAAAATGGAAGCCAAACTCTTTACAAAAAGAACAAAAGTGTAGTAAACAATTGGTACAGTGCATGATTAATGGGTAACCAGAGTTTACAATGGCTGAGGTGTTCCACTACCAAAACCATTGTATATGAATAGGTTTAAATGTACCTGAGACGGGTTTTGTAGGTGATTTTAATCCCAGTTTCGAAACAGAAAAGGGGTCACTTAAAGAGGAAACTTCATCTCTGAAATGGAAAATAAAATTCAAATTTAAACAATAGAGCCTAATAAATAAAATAAGAACAGAAGAAAACGAGGGAAGGGGAATAATTAATTGTAATTTTCAGTGGATATCAATTTCAGCTAAAAGAGAAAGGCAGTGATGAAGTTGAATTGTAAAACATTTTACCAAACTGTACAAACTCTCACGTGCTCACAGGTCAAGACCTGTGTAAGCAAGCTGAAACTGGGCGTTGTACTTTATCTTTTTGAGGAAAGAGTACATCGCGGACTTCAATTATGAAACGATTTGCTTTTTGTTTCGAATGCCAAATTCAAACTCGCGTAGATTCGTCTGCGACACACAACTATTTGAGGAGTGGATTGTGAATACTGACATTGATGTACAATTGTAGTCGATTTGTAAAATACAATTAATCTAATACCTTAAAGGTGTTGTAGTCATCGGATTTCTTTGCCAAGAGGTTGACACCAGGTTGCGATTTTTCATTTCTTGTACAATTTTGTCCAACTTGACCCCCTGACAAATCGAATCAAACAGTGAAATAAGGTTTTATGTTCAGATACGAACCGTCGAGATACCACATGAATGAGAATGAATATCTTTGAGACTCACCTGATCTTGTGCTATCTTTTGGTGCATCCTCAGTGTCTGGTAAACGTCGGCTAGCGCAGGACGTTGGATAGACCTTCAATTGAAGCGAAAAAATAGCTCATTTTGGAAAAGAGTGATAGCCTGAGAACAAATGTCGCCGCGCAATCGCTCATGGGATTGTTTGGAAAGGGGGAGGGGGGTTGGGGTGACGCGATAAACAACGCAAGAGGTATGGACCATGAAAAAACTTTTCCAGTCCGCCGCCTTCTGCTGCAAAGGGGAGCTGTCTTGTTAAGGAGTTCCGATAAAAGGACTAAATAGAGAGACTAGGCAAAAATTAAAGATGAGCCTAAGATACTTCAACTAAGCCGTAATGCACTGCTGTCTTCCTCGTGCTTACCTTTTCTGTTCATTCTCTTTGTTCCACTGTTCGTCAAGAACCATGATAACGTCTCTAAGAAAACAGTAGGTTAAATAAAATACATGTATTTGTACTAACTCAATACTTGATCAGTACATACGTGAACGGAGTGGATGGAGAAATCCAAAATGAAGGCGGCTAAAATGATTAAAACTTTGGTGAAGACCGGGTGAATGACATTATTACCTCAATACGACAATTTTCAAATGATTATCGAGAGAAATTCCGAGATTGCATCGGTCCTTCTTTACTTGGCTCTGTGGTTTGTTTAGCAAACTCGCGCCACCAATCTCGACCAATCAGATACAAAAGTAAAAGCAATTACCATTTGCTCTCTCGCGTTTTCCCGCGCTTTGGGTCCTCATGACTCACTGAGATAATTTCCTTACCCATCTCTGATTTGGAGTTATGATTACTTTCGTTTTAGTTTTACGACACTTAATCGAGAAGCCATCTATAGTCAAACCTCTATCAGGCGGTCACCCACGGGGGAACGGCGGGTGACCGCTTAATACAGGTTCCACAGAATTGGGTATTTAAAAAAAACGATAAAAAGCTTCATGTTATGTCCTAATTTACCACTTAATGTACTAAAACTCGCTCAAAAAAACTACTAACCTTGATTTCGGGACATGAAAGTGGATTAAATTTTATGGGAAAGATTACTCTTAGTTTTAATTGAGTGGTTCCGCTTCAAAGGACCATTCGATACAGTAGCAGAAGAACACAAAAAGGCCGTTGAACCAGGTTGACCTTTTAACACAGTCCCGCTTAATACAAGTTTGACTACTACGCTTTGGCCGTGGCATAGTCGCAGTACATTCACTAATAAAGAATACACTTAAGTGTTGATTAAAAAAAAAAACATGAATTAACTCGCACCTGAGTGTTTTATCAAGATAGAGATGAAGCTTTCTGATTTCTTTCATCTTCTTTGTATTCAAAGGATCCAGAGCTCTTGACTATCGAACACAAATAAAATAAATGACATTCCCTTAATGGCGCACAAATATTCTTTCACACGGTTGTTCCGACAACGTCAGATAAGCTTCGAGGAACAGATAATTATATGACGTATGTCCAAGGACAAACACATAAAGATGTTTTCAAGCAAAATCAAGGCCACTGTGTTTATCATCTATACGAGACTACAAATGTTTGAATGACATGCCGCCAAAAAAGTTCATAAGGAAGGTGGTTGAAATCTCTGTATTCCATCTCTCGATCGGGTTAACTGACGAGCATATCTATTCTTCCTCCTCGAACGACGGTAAAAGAGAGTATTGCCCTGTTAGAGGGAGCTTTTTTAAGTCAAAAGCTGCGTTCAGAACAAGTGCGTGAAAGCGAATATACATAATCAATCATGTAATATGTTTTCCGTTTGATTTTACTCATACAAGTACGATATAATCATCAGTTCTACTCATACCTTAAGCAATTGAATATACCTTGCATCGCTCTTCTTATCCTGTCTAATCCTAATGTGTAAAAAATGTGCGTGTTGCAGTTATAATTGTGATGATACATTCTGTTATCAACTGCCTCCAAAAAACGAAGCTGATGTTTACAACGATCATTACATCACTAGATCTTCTAGTCATCTAATTTCTTTAAGAAAAGAAACCACATCATACAATTAAAGAAAGTAGGAAATTAGAAAAAAGCAAAAAATAATAAACAAACAGACACCCTCACCAAAAAACAGCAACAAAAAGGGAACGGGAACTTTTTAGCTTTGAAATCTAATGAACTCCAACAAAAATTGCATCTGATACGCACGCACCTGATATCTTCAAGCATTTCAAATGCTTCAAATAGTTTTCTTTTCTCCTCGTCAATGTCATTTTGTTGATCCTGTAGTGTTAATAATGGTAGGACTGAGCCTGGTTTCGACGGCACGATTTTTGCTGTCTTTATCTGGCTAAAAAGTTTATTGGCTACGAGTAAACCTTGAGGCCTGATCCTCCACTGTGATTGGTTAGTTTTCGGCTAAAGCATAACGGGCGTATTTCGCGCAGCAAGCCTGGCTTCAAGTTGACGCAAACATAGTTGAAGTCAAACGCACTGCCTATTGCAGAAGCAATATGCAGTCGAAACATCGTTATCTACATAGATTATATCACAAGTGACAGCATCGTAACACGAATGTTAACAATTCAAGCAATACTAGAGTTAACTACCACATTATCCACAACCTTTCCGAATATACAGGTTGTTTTACTATGGGGATGATGCCACAGATTTACTTGGGTATTGCAATTGAGAAGAAATTAAAAAAAAACAACAACAACAAATTACCAAAAAAAAAAAGAACTAACACAAAGAAGTGGTTTGACCCGTATCTACCTGTTTGTCTTCAGGTCTGCTCAACAGATTATAAAAAAAGGACAGAAAATTTAGCTGCTGATCACTCTACAGAATCATGGGGTTAACTAAAGTACAAACCTTTGTGGCCAATTTGATGCCTTTGAGATTTCGACCAACTTCATCGGTTGCCCTCCTGAATGAAGCCAGCTCCTTATCATCGTCAGTAAGACGACACTTCCTTTGCATGCTCTTTACACTACTTCCCAATTTTGCCATTTCTTCGTTAAAGAGGCTAATCTATAAAATGTTAATCATTACAGAAATTAAATGAGAGGAAAGTATTATCATGTCACGTAAGAGTTATAAAATTATCATAAAGGAAAGTCAGGGTATTTTTAAAGACAGTCAGTCGATAAATACAACAACGGGAAAAAAAACTAATTTAATTATATTTGGAGGTAAAAACATTTTTGCTTTCCTTCCATTGCGGTCTCGGGGCATATCCGAGAGCTAAATACCCACGATATTCTCTCAACGATAGCGGTCAAATTACAAAGATAATTGAAGTTTCCAGCCATAGCAATCAAGACATTACTGTTTCATGGATAGTCTCTGACACAGATGCTTCCATTGTTTTTTCTTTTGCAACTGGAGCAACCTAAGAAAAAGTAAGGATTACATCAAATTAGAGGTAAATTGAATCACACTTTGCATATAGTATTACGTAGAACCGACCAGTCAATTGGAACTTGTTTGCAAAATGTTTATAACAAATTGAAAACAATTCGTTCAATCATTTCGAACTTACAAAAGCCACCAACTAACGTGTGACGTGTGAGTCTCCAATCAAAATTCTCATAACAGCGCTTATTATAGCAGTATGAAGTTCCTTTGTGACAAAAAGTGTAGGACTCCAACACATTTGCTGTATATGGAGGACCTAGCTGACAGATGAGATATCTGTAACTCAGACAATCCATATGAAAATCTGGAACTGGCCAGAGTTGGGATTCTAACACAAACAGAGATCTCTTCCAAACAATAAAATTGAGAAAAATAAATTACCTTTTTGGTGCGTTCCTGTTTTGCACTTTCTCTGGCATTTGATTGCCCAAGTAATTTTAAGCTCTGTGAAGGAGAATTTGCAGTAAAACTTAAGCTTCCCTCAATCCTCTGCTCTTGTCTTGAAGTAAAAGGACTGGGCTGATCTTCCTTTGTTACATGCCCAGCTGGTTGTTTAGCAGATGTTAGCTTCGGTGTTGATGGCAAGCTTAGTCCTGCAACCTGAGAGGGAACAGAGCAGATTGTCTTTTGTTCTAAACCTTAATTATATATTTCAGTGTGACTTCCTTTATCAAAGGAATCAACAGTGTACATATGCAGTATTGAAATATCGATGTGGCCCAATCTCTTGACAGATTTATAATACAATTCTTTTTGGTTTCCTAAAAAATAATTTGAACAAATATTGAGTTATCGCAAATTCTGATCATCGTTTTTAAAATCAGCATAGCAAGGCTAAATCCTGTAAGAAGCACCATTCATTTCAACTCTTTGTGCCATTGGCCTTGAAAAAAAATTTGGTGATCTCCCAAGCAAAGCAACCTCTGAAAATATTGTGGTTGCATTTATGAATCAAGCAAGGTATGGAAAAAAAATTAAGGAACTCATTTTTCAATGATTAAGTAGTTTTTACTCAATTGAAATTGACATAACACTGCGCTAAGGGGCCTCGTAAACGGCACAAGGCTGTAAGTTAATGAGTTTTATTGATGCCCATCTTCTATTGTAAAGTTAAATTGTGTAATACCTGAGGTTGAGAGGGTGCCTTTATGGAGGTTGCAGCAGTAGTTGGTGCTGGTTGAAAAGATGTCTTTACTTGACTATCTGGCTGCAATTGAGTGATAGGAGTGGGTTTCACAAGAGGAGGCCTACTTCTTGAGGGCTTCCCTGATTCTGTGGCTTGCACTTGTGCAGTAGGTTTAAAGGGTATTGGCCCTGACTGCTTATCACTTGAAAATGAAAATGCACTGGCTGAAGGGTTCCCAGATGTACCTGAGGAAGAAGTTCCAGCTGTCGAAGGAACAGTTAGCATTGAGCCTGGTAATGAAAAGGTACCAGACTGAAGATTCCCTGAAGTTCCAGATATCAAAGGAGTGGTTTCTTTAGGGCTTGCAAATGAAAAGGTATCAGTCGGAAGGTTCCCTGATTTGCTTGACAAGGGAGTTCTAGATGTCAAAGGAGTGGTTTCTTCAGGGCCTGCAAATGGAAAGGTACCACTTGGAAAGTTTCCTGATTTGCTTGACAAGGAACTTCCAGATGTCAAAGGAGTGCTTTCTTTGGGGCCTGCAAATGGAAAGGTACCACTTGGAAGGTTCCCTGATTTGCCTGACAAGGGAGTTCCAGATGTCAAAGAAGTGGTTTGCTTGAAACTTGCAAATATAGAGGTACCAGTTGGAAGGTTCCCTGATTTGCCTGACAAGGAAGTTCCAGATGTCAAAGAAGTGGTTTCTTTAGGGCCTGCAAATGAAAAGGTACCACTTGGAAAGTTTCCTGATTTGCTTGACAAGGAACTTCCAGATGTCAAAGGAGTGCTTTCTTTGGGGCCTGCAAATGGAAAGGTACCACTTGGAAGGTTCCCTGATTTGCCTGACCAGGGAGGTCCAGATGCCAAAGGAGTGGTTTGCTTGGAGCTTGCAAATGAAGAGGTACCAGCTGGAGAGAAATAGCCAGATGTTGTGGTCTGTGAGAAAACACCAGTAGGGAGGTCTCTAGCAGTACCAGAGGTTGGCAAAACATTCCCTTTAGGAACAGAACCTGATAATGAGAAAAGAATAATATCCCCGGAGTGGTAAATGACAAAGGTTCTTGATTTGAATCAGTCATTAATGTTGGAATTTGTAGAAATAACATTGGAAATGAAGTCTCCTGCTTATTTACAATGTTCAAAAGATTACTGAGTTGAAAGTACGTTCACAGAAAAAAAAAGAAAGGTTTGGGTTGCAAAATCTACACATTTTTAAAATGCATCACAGGAAGGAATTCCCAAGTACAATTCATCACCTGCTTTTGATGCTATTGCCTTTCTTTGTCCTCCGAGTGGTAAAGGTTCTGGAACTCTAATTATACCTTGATCTACATTAGGGGTTTGATTCACAACGTAATATGGGCACAGGACACCATCTGTTGATAGAAGCATCATCATTGGGGCTGGGGGAAGCTTTTTTTCTCCTTCTAAAATGGGCTTGGTTGATCTAAAGTCAAATGCCAATCCCATAGGAAATGTTTCATCATTGTTGTTAGTCAAAGGCATTTCTGCACGACCATTTTCTTCAACATTCCACTTTTCCCAAGGAGTAGAAGCCTGTTCAAATACAAGGAAAGCAAGGAAGTATCAATAGTGCAGTCTCACAATACTTAAAAAATATTCTTTGAGGGACAACATATGACTATGCTAAATCAGGAGACTGTGTGATGCAATGGCCCTTCAGAATTGTCATTTTCAAGAGTATCAATTCCACATTTTATCTCTTCTTTAACCAGAGAATATCATTATTTACTAATTTTTGATAGAGTTTGATTATTTGTATAGGTTACAAATATACCTGAAAAATGGAAGGCCAAAAGAATATCTTTATTTTTACAGTAGCAGCACATAAATCTTAGAGCGGGCTCAAGCAATGGAAATTAATTAAAAATGTCATAAACAAATAAATTTCAAGGGAGCTACTGCATCAATTCATATTTTTGAGCTATGCAAGTCCATTTTGAAAATTCAACATGCAAAACGAAAGTTACGCATCAAGGAATTCAATAAAATAACATCATACCTCTCCTCCATACTTCCCAAGTACAGCAGCTTCAAACCCATTGGAACATGCTGAAATCAAAATATTCCTAAAACAGAAGTATCTACACAGTAAGTGTTACTTTATTGAAGTGAAACAACCTACAGTATTTGTTGCTTAGGCAGTGGTTTGGTTTCTATGGTGCTCTCTGTGTTGCTAACGAGGTTACTATACTAAAATTAATCTCTCACTACCATAAGGGTAACTAAATGGACTATTCAATACCAATGACAAGCTACAGCTATAAATGCAATTTAAGCATAATGAAAAGAAAGTCATGTAACAGGATAATTGTCAATGTTATGTGGTGTGCCCAGGGGCCCTTCTACAGTATGTTTCTATGGCTACCTTTATAGCACCTGTCCTCCAATATTTTTGACAAGGTATGTTAATGGCAATTTGTCAAGATTTTGCTTTGAAATGTCCAATTTTGTGATTAAAACCCAATAAATATTACTAAGAAAACAACATAGGGTTTAGTTGAATAGTTCTTTAATTGCCACTAGATGAATTTTGTATGGTCCATTTAAATTAGTCAGAAATTCATAATATATAGATTTAGCCAAGCCTAAAAGTGGAGCTCGCATTTTTTTTCCCACATGTCTCAGGGGCACAACGCCTTGCCCCAGCCAGGACTAGAACCTGGGTCATCTGACTCGGAGCCCAGTGCACTGACCACTGGACTACTGGACAAAGCTGTGGCATTGGCGTGCCTGCAGTACAGTTGACCACGCATGTTAAAAGTAGCACCTTGTATGGACGCCTGTACAGTGTCAAGTCCAAATTTTTTCAGCTTGATGGGTTACTACAATTTTGTATCATTATGGGGCTATGCTGAGCTCTGCTAAAATTCTCTTAGACTATTCTTACCATTCAGTGATGAGTTTTAAGTAAAACATGGGTTGCCGTTCCTCGCTCATCACATAGTAGATATCATCAAAGTTTATTATTTTCTTTGGTTCATCTCTCTAAGAGCAAAAAGAGGAAAAATAGAGCTCAACTTCTGTCACTGTTCAATAGTACTAAATATCTTTTTTGCTCAAACCATCTTTAGACTGCAAAGCACAAATATTTTGCTCAGTTTATTTTGCCTAAAGGCCATGTTTTCCACGTCAGGGGAAACAAATTTTGCCATTCAAGAAGAGTTAAGGTTTCTGATGGGAAATTATTTTTGTGGTTTCTTTTTACAGAACATAAAGAAAGAGGAAAAGCAACTATTTTCAAAAATTTTAGCTAGTCAAGTTAATAAGCAGGAGCTGTGCATGTGTGCAGTCTACATGGTAAACAGTTTTGTAGCCTGATGGGTATTCCATGTCACTCAAAATAAAAAGAACATGAATTGACACTGCTTTGCATGTAGAGACTTTCATTTTGTCCTAAATAGCAAGTAAATGTGGCCTTTTTTTTGGATTCATAGCTGTACACAAAATTTGCTAAAATAAAAAACCCCTCAAAATTTTCAAGCCACATACAAAGGTACATGGTTTGTCCTTGAATATGTCAAGGTTGGAATTTTTCTTGGTGTGAAAATTTTCAAATTACCCTGATTTGTATTTTCCTGTGTTTCAGATTATGATTATAACAAATACAAGATTAGTAAATAAGAATCAAACTGATCTGTACTAACTGCTTTCGAAAAGTTAAACCAAGAAAATGTTTGATCCAAAACATATACTAAATAACATTTAAACTTACAGGAGTGGAAATAAGCAGAAACTGTGGAGTATCCCCTTCCTCAAAGCTGGAGTAAACAACAGCAAACAATGTTGCAGTAATCCACAGCACATCCGTCACTAAATATCACATGAAGTAATTTGTTAACAAAGTTAAATATTGGAAGAATGAATCAAATGATAAATCAATCAGTCAGTCAGTCAAGAAATACAGTATATAAGTGACTTCACTAATTTACAAGACTACAGTGTAAGTATTGCAATAAATGGATGTTGGTTTATACCCGTATGTACTGTACACAATTTAACTATTTAGCAAAAGAAAGTGGATTGAAATAATTGAATCAATGAACAGCTCACAAAGATTATTTGTGAAGCAAAGGTAATTTACATCAAAATAGGGTAGAAAAAGTTGATGTTGTGTCAATATACATGTGCTATTGCATTTCAATTCTTATTTGGAAGAAGGGAGACATTGCCACTGATTACAATTTTCAATACCTGAGTGAGGATCGTCAATAAAAATTTCAGGGCATTCTATTTCCTTTTTAACTTCCAAAGCCTAAAGAGAATCATTTTAGATAATAAAGAACATGTTGCAAAACTGAACCCAGTGAACTTAGCAATCAATATTCAAGAGTAATATCACTTCTCACCTATTATTTTAATTTCACCCAAGGGTTTGAAAACAAACCTTACTTTACTCTTTACCAATGAAATAACATGAATAAATCAATTTTTTAAATTAAAGATTAGAATTTTTAAATTCAAAAGGTTGTAGGGGACATCACAAAATGGATGTGAGGGATGTCACAATCAATGCTACAAATGGTACAGATCTGAGGAGAAGATCAGCAAAAGTGCTAAAAAACATGTAGTTCCCCAAGCATAGTATACCAAAAATACTCTAAGTTGTACCACCTCAAAATCATTGTCCCTGCTGAAAAAGCATGCATCCAGTTCCTACTGGTCAAAACTTAAAAAATACCCCCCTAGCTCCTCCACCCACCTTTATGGACAAGAAATGAAATACATGTTTTGGTTGTGTTTATCACCAGCATGACCTTTTATAACAATAACTAATATGATGATTCCACCCCCCCCCCCCTCACTAAAATACCTTTTTCACTAGGAATTTCCTTGTGCTGTATTGTGTATTTATACCGTCCAGGTTTCAGTTTTATAAGAAACAAGGCCAAGTTTGCAAAAAAAAAAATGACCAGTACAAACTACTGGTATTATGCCATTTAAAAATCATGACCACCTTTTGCATTTTACTACAAGTTCGTATTGTTGTTAATTAAAAAATGCTATGTCATAAAACAATCATTGGTCCAGCCAAATTTTTGGTTAAGAAATATGAAATAAGCCCCGTTTCTTGACATGCAAACTCTTTCTGATTACTACCTGAAAGTGCCCACATCTTGTTCTAAATTTGAAATACAAGTTAAAAGTTGCCCTAAGCACTAACATGAAGATTTAAAGTTAGTTTGAATTACTGTACCTGTGAATACTGTGTTAAACTGCCATCTCTGTGTCCAACAACAAGCTGTTTTCCTTTTGGACTCCAACAAACTAGTAAAAAAATTCTCAAATCATTTCTTGTCCATAATTGACTTTAATTCAAATAAAAGAAAAAAAAATGCAATTAAGTGACTTAATAACACCTACTTGCATTGGCATTTACACTTCCTGGAAGAGAAGCCAGTGTTTTGATTTCAGTTTCAGTAAGCTCCATTATTGACACAGCTCCAGAACTAAAACAAATGGCAAAGATACCAGGAAAACCAGGGTTCCAGAGAAGGTTTGCAACACTTACTCCTGTTTAAGAAATAATTATCAAATAAACATTACTTTATTTTGCAACTAACAATATGCAAGTTGTTAACTGGTCTCCCTTGATATACATAGTATCATGTTACATTGTAAATAACGTGACAAAAACATCCCAGCAAATCACGTGCAAAATGAGTACATGTGATAACTTAGAAACTAAGCGATGAAGCACATCATTCATACCAACATATACTTTAATGATGATGTATAACGTTATGTAAAAATTTATTCTGTTCACAAAAAGAATATGCAATAAATTAATACAATTTGTTTATTCTCTGTGTATCGTATTTCGGTAGAATCAGCTAAAGCACTCGTTTGTAACCAGTTGTCGCGTTCTGAATGAATGCTTATTTTATAGCTTTTATCATCGGTGAACATGCTGTTCTCGAAAACTGATTCATTCATCTCGCCTTTTAAACAAAAACTAAGAAGTGCTTGTGATAATGGTGTTGTGTTACAGTTTGGTCACGACTAAGCCCTGTTCGGACTCGTATGCAAATTTTTTATGCGAAACCGAATTTGCTTCGTGTTTCATCGATCGATGTTCATCTTCTGTTCCTCATCGAAGGTGATCGAGGTAAGTTTGAAGTTTCGAAGAAATAATCACGCGCGATGCTAACACCTATTGTTTACATTCCCGATACGTAAACAGTCAAGGGGGCGCTGATTGCAATGAATAAATTTGGGAAGTATATCAGTGAGTATTCGCTTCGTTACTCGCTTAATAATACGAGTGTTTCGATGTCTTCTGTAAGGGACATTTTCTTTCCCTCCTGATTCATCAACGACTCAAATCAAGCAAATCTACTGCAACTGCTACTGCTCGTTAGTCGATAAATTCGCGAAGCGATGCGACATGCGTGAGTGTAACATAATAGCTTTTTTCATTATGTAAATTTCCCATTGTCGATTAGTCGCATTTTTCAAACCAAGAAGTTCTTTGTTTTACACAACAATGTACTCTAAAGGAAACTTACAGCACTAAATAACAACGGCACATGAGTCGCGAATTTTTTTCGACCGTGCGCGCAAAAAAGTCGTATATACGCGTATGACTATCCTGCGTCAAGGCGTATTAAATTCGTCTGCTCATTTAACATATAGGCGAGCGGTATTGTAGGTATGTTTAATATAATCTGTATCATGCTCAACTAGACGTAGATTGTCAGAAGATTGTTTATGAAGTAATCATAATTTTTATAATAACTTCGTTAACTCCAAGCCTGTAAATAATAAGCAGGTCTTTTGCCGTGCTGCTAAATAGTTTTACCAGAAAAGAAGCAAATCTGCTTAGATGAAAAAAAATTGTTAACCTCTCATGAACAATGAATGTATTTTTTTCAAAATTACAGTACGTCCTTCTGCCAATACTAGTTTTTCATATAAGTTGAGATATGAAAGAAGTAGCACAGGATAATATACTTCTTGTAATAGGCTGCTTGGTTGGCTCTCAAAATTTGAGAATCCAATTTACACCAACAAGTTGTAATTTTGCAAGCTTTCAAAAGAAGATGGCATTGTTCAACAAAGTATGTTTTCACTCGGAGCTTTGCAGGAATTGTACCTGTAATCGTATTGTTCATTCAAAAAGAAAAGTGATCCATGCTCTAAGTTAAACCCTTTATTGTAATACATTGTATTGGACACCTTAAACATTTGACCATTACAACCAAAGAGTTGGCAAATAATTGTAAGATGATAGCTTGTTATTTGCAGACTTGAAACTTAGTTCTAAACAATGTGTACCTGCATCACTTGTAAGAATTGTGTCACCAAACTTGGCATTTAATGTGTTCTGAAATGACAAAAAGTTTATCAAAGGGAGCCAGATAAATTGAGAAGTGTAGCATGAAACAAATCATAATTGTAAAACAAAACAAAACAAAACAAGCAATTGACGAAACTGTGCCACAAAACAGTATCATTCTGCAACAGTACAACATACAGAACTTCCAAGGGTTGGAACATCATAGAGATTCAAGAGAGTTTGATTTCCATTCACATAGCAGACAGACAGAGTCAAATCATCACTGCTAAGACCCACAAACTGTACAAAATGACCAACTTCTTTAAAGGTTGAAGGGCAATTTGCCACTGAAAGATACAATAAAAAAATACTCTATCACTGTTAAACAAATGGATCCTTGCAGGATGACATCATAACAACATTCAAGCGCATTTAAAATTCCCCTAATGTGCAAGTTTGGTAACTTACTGTTTTTTTTTTTCTTATCAGCTTATAGCCCTCTGTATATTAAGATTCAAGTTTAATTTAAAAGACAGGGCGTGAAATTGTGCCTAATACAGGCGCCAATGCGACTAAATTTTTCACTATGGCAACCAAATTCTGAAAGTTAGTCGCCAAATTGGCGACTAGAATGTTTCATCATAACCTTACCAAGAGATATAGTGAATTAAAAAGATTTGCAAAGATAAAGCCGTGGCAAACTTCCTCGTTAAGTTTGTTTCCAAAACATAGCACATGCATCTCGATCGATAACTAGATGCCATCTTGGATTTAGATGAGCCTGAACTTTGTATGTCATCCATCCTAGCATCCATTTTGCAGCACATTAAAGATCTTTTCCCTAACTTAATTTTGGAGGGTCTATCTAGAACGCTGACAGCGTAAAGAAAGATTTTGTTTGTCTTTGAAAATGGCGACCAACTTTTTTTGAATTGGCTACCACTTTGAAGAATTTAGGAGCCAAGTGGCTATCAGAAAAAAAAGTTTATTTCATGCCCTGAAAGATCATTCAAAGTATCCCTGTTGATTCAAAGCTGCATCAATTTTGCAATGATATACAGCTATAACTTAGCTCTGAATGTACTAATTTTTGAGAAAAGAACAGGATAGCTGTTGAGGTGCTGATGCACCAAAGAATTAAGCCACCATTGAAAGAAGTAGGTTTCCCCAAAATACAACAAAGTGACCCCTTGAGTTTCAACTTAAACAGGCTAAGGGTAACACATATGCAGTTTTGTTTGCTTGTTTTTTTTTGAGAGGGTGGGTGGGTGGGGGGGGCGGGGTTGGTGGTTATGAGGGTTCTTTCAACAACTTACCAACATTCTGCATGCTTCCTTCATCAGATTCATTTATTCTTTCAATGGTTTCAGTTTTTATCACTCTTGTTCCTGTTACAATAAATAATGATGCAATGTACTGTATGATATATAATCTTGAGTTTAAAATTGAAATAATGTAGAGCACAATAGTAATCAGAAAGAAATTAAAAAATAAAGTTGATACAATTGTTTTAATTCAATTCTCTCCTTGGTACACAAACAAGTAAAGGTGCACTTTTTGTCTCGATCTTGATAAATACATTACTCTTATAACCAAAAGCAAAGAGGAGAGAAAATTGAGTTCAAAAGAAAAAAAGTAATTTTAAGATCTTCAGGCAACAAGTCAAAACTCCTCCACCCTCCCTATTGTGAGGAGAAATTCTGTCTTGGTCACTTGTGGGTGATAAGGGGGTTGATGTGCTCATTTTGTTTAAAACTCAATAGGTATACATTCCAATCTTAAAAGCCAAAAAACAGAAAATTGACAACAAGGACAAGAAAGAAACAACACATAATTTAAAGATGTTCATCCTCCATTTCAAGATGTACAATAGTTTTAAAATACCTGTAGGGCAGCCAATGAATGTCAACCCATACTTGGTGGAAACAGCCAGTAAGCTTGAGCGAGCAGTGGGTAAAGTTGTTGGTGACTCAAACATTCTTATTTTCCTCATTTGTTTGAAGCTAAAATCCTATTTAAGACAAGAATTTAGGCACACGTGTTTAGTAAAGTTGATAGCATGTTCATAGAAGCCTAAACTGTCACACACTAATGAATCATATCGTTTGGAGAGTCTAAGCTATGAATCTTTTGAACGGGTATACAGTATCAGTTACATTTCGAAAAATAGGTTGACACTGAATACTCAAGTAGCGAGAGTTCACTGGCTTCAACCACTCACAAAATCTCCTCATGGTTCACCGAGAATTACAGCTTTAACAGATCATTTTTGTAACGCACGAAAAGATGAACTTGTACTTCACTAAAAGTGAGTGACAGCTAAATCACGATTGGTGTTTATATTATTACTATTGCACTTCGACGTACGAGTAAATTTTAAAATAAAAAAGTACAAATTTGGAGTAAATCACTAATAATTAGGATTCAAATAAAGCTTAATTTATCAGGCTAGCTGTAACACTACGACCTATTTTAACCCACAATTTGTTGACGTTACTGACGTAAAGTGTCAGTTTAAACATTAAAGAGTTGAATTTAGGTTACTTGCACTTTCAAGAAGTTAAAGAAATTCTTCAATACCACCTATGCTTTACACTCAAACTATAGCTAAACTTTGCACATGGAGGCTTTACGGTCGTAAAACGAATACCTTAACATCCCTCTCTGGAGGCGCTTCTTCATCTTCACTATCTGCCATTTTATGAGTTTAAGCTTCTACTTATTTTTTTCTGAGTTTTACTTTTCCTCTCTCAATTTTCAATAGTTCAACACTTGCGTCCGCAGTTTTTACTTCCGTAGAGAACTGCCGGAGGTAGCCATTTTGTTAAACTGATGTCGCTCCAGGCTTTGGCTGGTTGCGGTTGAAAAAGACTAGGAACTAGGAGATGGGATCTATCGATAATTAAATATCATGATCATTGGTCGATGATATTCCCCTAAGACGAAGAAATAGTCCTCTTTCTCGTGAATCGCACGTGAGAGTCTCGAAAACGTAATGTTACATTTTTTCTTTTGATGGACGACACCGGGGGACAAAGAAATACTATTTTCACTCAAGTGACTTTCATTTGATCTAGAAACGTGTTATTTCCAATTCTCCCCAGAATCAGGTACGCCATTAATTTTGCATTGTTTACTTGATTTTTCGTAATTTTGCCGTCGAAGGCTCAATTCCTTTACAAAATGGCGCCTCGCTGAGCCAGTGGATATTTATTATCATTTCCCATGACGATTTATTGTTATTAGTATTATTTTAATTTCCTTTGATCCAAGAGGTAAAACTTGTACATGTTGCTGAAGAGCATGTTGTCAGTTATGAACACAGAGGTAGTGTAGAACTGGGAATGAACTCATTTGATTAAATTTAAGATGAAAGATTTAAGGTTGCATAGTTTTTAGGCAGAACTGCAATGTAATACACTATACACATGTTTAATGTACTGCTTTGAAAATTTCACCATTAGTATTAAAATTATTTGAAGAAATTCTTTCATTTTCTTCCTTATGCCTTCAGTCTTGGGATACCAGTACCTACCACAGGAGTAAAAATAAGAATGACTGACTAAATACAATGATGGAATTTGAAGAACGAAACAAAAAGACAGAGGCAAGTGGAGGCCCTCATTTGCTTGTTGGTTATGACAAGCTGTTGTACATGTCTAGGTTGCGAGGTGTGCCGTTGCGAGGTGTGCCGTTGCAAGGTGTGCCGTTGCAAGGTGTGCCGTTGCAAGGTGTGCCTGGTGATGATGAGTATGGAAGTCAAGACCTTGATGTCAAATTTACCAAATTTACTCATCTTAAAACTGAACACATAAAAAGACTGAAGAGAGAGGTCATTGAAATATTAAGTTCATGTGAGGGAAAGTGCTTGAAGCTTTCTCAGTTTAAAAGCAAGTACAACAGACGGTTTAAGAAAAAATTCAATGAAAGTTATATGTTGTCAGGTGGAAGACAGGAATACTGGAATCTCATGGCTGAATTAGATATTATTGAATTTGACCAAAATGGTTCAAGACCTCGCATGAAACTTAAAGAACCACATACAAGCCAGTTTATGCTGGAAATGGGTTTTGAAAAGGTAGAAAAACCCAGTTCATCAGAGGAAAAAGATCCTGAGGGTGTCAAGAACAAGAAAGGGCTGATGTCCCGAAACATTGGAATTGATATGGATTCTGGTTATCTCTCAGAGAAGTTGACAACATTGAAGAAAGATATTGTAAATTTGCTTAAGTCTTGTGAGGGAAATTGCTTGTATCTCTCAGAACTTAGTGATAAGTATTGGCAAACATTTAGAAGAAAATTCCATCGTACCTTTAAAGTACTGTTCCAAGGAAAAGGTCTTGCACAATTTCTATCAGAATTAGATGTGATCAAATTAGAACATACAGGTGAAAAAGGTGTGAAGAAATTTCTAATAAAGTTGAAAGAACCACATGTAAACCTGTCCATGCAGAGAACAAGTTTGAACACAGCAGAAGAGCTTTATTCCAGTTCTAATTTTGGGTATCAGCTGGATGAATTTGATTCCAAAGTACCAACCGAATCAAGAAGACCAGCCACTCTAGCAGATGATTTGGCAGTTGCTGCTGGCCCAATTATTGCCAGAGTACCTGCTGTCCCACTAGCTCCTTCGGATCAAAAAGTTTTGGATTCAGGAGTTCAATTTCCAGCCCCTGCAACTACCTTCCATGCTTCTCCTCCTTTAGTGTGGTCACCATCTTTAATGCAAGATCCAAGTCATGCAGCCAATATACCTGAAGGTATGTGAAAGATATGGAATTTATATCATGAGGAAACAGGAAATATTTCTTAGAATTTCTGACTATAATGATTACAATAGGTAACTAAGGTTTCTGAGAGTAGCTGAAGGTGTGGTCATTTGGAAATAATGAGACAAGTCAGCCACATTATAGGTATTGAAGTATTACAAGGACATTCCCTCACTCTGCATAGCATCCCCTCACTCTGCATAGCATCCCCTCAGCAAAACCTAAAATCAAAGCAATTTGCTGACAGTAGTTTCTGAAACATCAACATCAGTGCTACACTTCTGTCAATGATTTGCTTAACTTTCTAAATTTTTTGTATATTTTCAGTACTATGAATCAAATTTTTTGTAGTACTACTAGCATGTCAGTGTTGACTAACACAGTGAAATATTGCTGGCAATGTATTTATATGTATTTATATATATATAACACTTCTAGAATCAAAACAACCACAACATCTGGAGACCAAGTGACATACTTTTCATACATAACATGGGTGGTCATATTGAGTAGCAATGTCACCATTCCTGCTTTTTCAAACTTTTTTGAATGAACTTGGTTTGCTTGTTGTTTGGAATAATGGCTACAAAATTTGTTGTGGTAAGTGACAAAGATGTAAATGGATTTTCCAAACAACATGAGAACAGAAACAACAAAAAGAAATAATTTCAAATAATTTCTTGAAAGTTGCAACAAAACAAGAGAAATAGATAGGAAAGGTTTGTGCTAAAACCTTGCTTGTGCTAAACAAGGTTTGAAGTGAAAAGTGGCTGAAAATGAATGGTATCTGATGATTCAAGTCAGAGTCAGTAAATCAAATTTTTATCAACTGATAGGTTGTTAAAACAGTTCACACGTATTTGGCCAGACTGATGGTGTTATACATGTATGTTGACCTTTTTTTATAATTTGGGTACTGGCAGGGTATTTTGTTCCTACTCAAACCCAGTACTTGTATTAAAACTAGATTATTCATCTCTATCATGTATATATTTATTGTCCAGAAAATAAAAGGAAAATTACATGTCAGCCTAAAGATATGAATTTTATGTTCTTGTGGCTTGAAGAATATCTCACGAGTGAGTTAATCGAATGAGTGAGATATTGCTCTTGGAATTTGAACATAAATCCATGTCTTATTGCCACCGTGTAAAATCCTCAATTTCTTACGTAGCGGTCAAAATTACTATAATTACTATTGTTCTTTCCTTTTCAACGTAAAATTAATATCTTCTTGCCACTGTGTAATACACTTCATCACATAAACTGCGGTGTTATACAGGAATTTTCGGCTCTGAGAAAAGCCGTAACAACACGTGAAAAAATATCGTTTTTTTTTCCACGTGTGTTGATACAGCCAATCAGCTGCTGACACGTCACTCGCCTTTGGCGCTACTCGGTCAGATTGATGAATGAACGGCAAAGCCTTCACGATTCTCAATACAAGTTGTTTATCGGAGCTTTCTCGAATTATGGCGACTAAACATTAAAAAATACGTGTCGCTGACAGACTGTGAGGTTCAAACTTTATTAGAAGGGGAAGGAAACCAATATACTAAAAGAAAAACGGAAAGTTACATATTCAGTGGCTTTGGTGTTAGCATTTCTCTCGGCTGAGAATGAAAATCGACAACTGGAAGATTTGCCACTGGCCGATTTTGACCGTTTACCTGAAAGACTTCTTGTGTCGGTAAGGACAAAGTCAATAAATTAGAATTTTGTAAATTGAAAATTACGACCGTTGTTGTTCTTGTAATGAGGATTCAACACAGTTTTCTATCTTAAGAGTTAGCGCCAACACACTCTACGATTGTTATTCGGGGTTTGTCGATTCATTTATTTTCATTCATCAATGAAGTCGGCTTTTCTTCTCAGTAAAGGGCTATTGTGTCTATATGATAAACAAAATAATTCATGGTTGCTTGTAGAAATGGAATTTTTCTTCTCGTATTCAACTCGACATCTCACTCGTGAGCTATCGAGTTAAACACTCGAAGAGAAACTCCATATCTACGCATGCCCATGTATTATTCTCTTTTTTTTTATCTATGACATAGAGGGCAAAATTACTGAATGCTGATTGGCTGAAACAGAGGGCTTTTTTGAAAAAAAAAGTCGAAAAGAACCTCACTCAGAAATATTGTATCATGCTTGCCAAAAACAGTTTCTGCGTTCACTACCCAAGTATTTTATGTAATAATCATGTGATTGATTACAGTTGTATTCAGTCATCAAGGGTGTGTTCCAACAACAATCCCCAATACAACTCCTGCAAAGTCTGAACCCCCCAACACCGGGCGAGTGGATCTGGAAGTGAAAAGCAAACATATGCTCCCTACTGGAGGTCTTCCTCAAGCGATACCAGTCATTCCTAGTTTAATGGAAAATAAAAGTTTTCACACTCCGCTGGATCAAAAGTGTCCACGAATCCAAGGCATTTGTCTCAATGCTGATGAGGACTCAGAAACGTTAACAAATCTGAAGCGAGATATTATCGAAATTTTACGTTCTTGTGAGGGAAATTGCTTGTATTTCGACAAACTCAAGGAAACATACTACAATCGGTTTGGGAAGAGATTCCTTGACTGCTATCCATGGACAAAAGGAAAAAAAGTCCTTTGCGATCTTTTGGCAGGGTTAGATATCATTGACCTTGAACAATTAATACTGGCTCCGAAAGGTCGTACCAAGTTTATGATGAGGCTGAAAGAACCACATGCAAGCCAGTTCATGATGAGAATGAGTTTAAAAACCTCAAGTGAGCTTGGTCCTTGCATTTATGAAGCTGGTCATCAACTGGAAGTGTTTGATTCCAAAGTTCCGTCAAAGTCTTATACATCGCTCACTGGGGGAAAAACCTCGGCAACTGTCTCAAGTCCAGATGTTGCACGTGTCCCACTTGTCCCATCTCCTTTGGATTTCAGCGACAAATCACCATCATTGCCGCTACTAAATACCGCAGCCAGCACAGACGGAAAGGTAGACCCACTATCTGTCCCTGTTGGAATAAACCCGGAGGCTAGCCAACGAGAAGGAGAGAAATTCGGTGTGGCTGCCGGTATCACTAATATAATAACTGTCCCTCTTCCTTCTTCAGGTGAGCATGTTAAGATTTAAAAGTGAAATCATTTTAAACTGCGTTTCAATTGTGTTCGTGAAACGTAAACAAATTAATCATAACTGCCATTACTACTCAAAGTAAATGTATGAAACTCGCTTCAAGCGTGGGAAATGCACTTAGTAAAGGTGTGGTAGAGGTGAAGTAAAGTTGTGGCAAAGGTGAGGTAAGGGTGACGTCTATCGCTCTGACGAAGGGCTATCGCTCGAAACGTCAGCCTTAAAACTCTTTACGGTGGCCAACTTACGTTTTCAATTCAGTTGGTAACACTTAATTACCCTTGTATTTTTTTACTCACCCTCTGAAATATCGTGTTCCAATTGGCTGACATTTTTGTCATCGAACTAGAACATTCAATGAAGAGATCTTCAACAGTAACCATTTTTTACAAGCTAGTAACACCATTTGATTAAGAACACTGGCAAGTGCTTTTAGCTGGTGCAAAAGATATTTTGCTTATTTCTTCCTCAGGCAAAGAACCTGAAGTGAAAATGCCAACAGATGTAGAGGTTAAACCAAGACTGCTTCCTTCTGAAAAAGCGCGAATTCGAGAAGCTGGTACGCCGGGTCCTTTTGAGAATTCAATCTGTAATGCCCATCACGTGATGAATACCATAACGGGCGGCGCAAAATCAGCTGTAAGGAATGCTTCTTCACATGAAATTAACAAGGCCGCGGAAGAGATCATCTCCTCTTTGTCGGAGGAAGGTCGCTTTGTTGGCCTCGAAGAAGTAAAAGCCAGGCTCTGTAAAGATTTTGGAAAATTAAGTCTTATCGAAATGGGGTTCAGAACAGACAAGGATATCCCCGCTCTGAAGAACTTGATCGAAATGCAGGCAAAAGTGAGTTCATGTAAATCTGATTACCAAGTTTGTAGAACGAAGTGCGATAATTGCGGAGCAGTGAAAAAAAAAGTGAGGGAAGTATGGGTCGAGACGTGTGAAAAATGGGTTGTGTCCGAGAAAAATAAGTTTGACCGGTCAACTTGACCAGTGCAAACCGCAATATTATTTTGAGCCTTGTGTATTAGCCTTGTGGCCGCTTTATATAGGTTTGACTGTATTTTTTAATTCATTTTTTCCTCTCCTCTTTTGTTTTTATTATAACAGTTAATAGATAAATGTAGAGCAACTCTGTAGAAACGTTACCAATAAATCATCATCCTTGTTATTATTATTATTAATCTATTCCATGGTTTTCGTGCGTTCTACAGGTTAACTTATTCGTCCATGCTTACGTCACATTCAACAGTATAGCAACCTTGTACGAATTAAACCAAAGCCTTGCCGACTTGGGTTCCAAATCAGACTTCGAAGAGCTCCGACTAGGCCCTCTAATAAAACAACCCGTGGTGTATGACATGTTTAAAGCACCCCAGAGTCTTACCGCTGTACCTCAAGTGACGACAGTTCAAATTATCAAGCACTTGAACAAGTACATGTCAAAGATGAAAGGACCGCTATATTTAGAGAAATTCCTGGAGTATCTTTGTGAGCAGTATCATTGTTACACTCCTTACGAGCTGGGAGTCAGAATACAAAGTCTTGGATTGGCTATTGCGGTAATGTTATTTCAAACAGCACTTTTCAAAACTCTGAACACATGAATGTAGTATACTGTAGTGAGTGAGTGACTGAAACGTTGGTTCTCATCTTTACGTATGGTTGATTTTTTCTTTGTTTAATTCGTTAGGTGATGAAAAAGGCGAAACTATCCAAGACCGAGAGAAGAATTAGAGAAGAAATGTCGATCGAGATGGACGAAGAAATTCAGAGAAACTTGCGTAAAATCAAGAGAGACCTTCTCGGGCGAGAACTTGGTGATTTAAGGAGCTGTGTTATGAAATTTCTTGACAAATCTGCGACGGACGTACTAAAGGCGGTATTCGAGTGTTGTTTAGAAATGTTTGACAAAAATCGCCAGGGAAAGGTAAAGACCTTTCTGACCATGCTTACCAAGGATACACTTGGGAGGCGATTGTTTCAGCTGGCACTTTATGTGAGTTGTAAACCTTTATTGGGAGAAGCTGTGGAAGCACTGGTTAACATAAAGATTAACACGGAAGTTGCCAACCGTAAAGCAAATCACGAGGAAACAAGGATAAGGCCTGTCCCACCTAGTGAAGGTTAAAATTTTTTTCTCTATTTCAGTTGCTTTTTTTGTGTATTTTGTTTCGCTATTAATTATTATTGATAGAAATAGTATAAATGGAAAGTTTTGAGCTCGGTGAAGAATTAATAGATCGTAATAGACCTCGCCGACCGAAGAGTCTTTGTGGCTCAGTGGTAGAGCATCGGAGCGCAAATCCGAAGGTCTGAGGTTCGATTCCTTATGGGGACTCAGAATTTTTTCTTGGTCCCACGCCCGTGACAAGACGAAAAAACATCTTTCTTAATTATTATTATTATTGTTATTATTATTATTTAATATTAATATCATTGCATTATTATTGGGATCGTTATGCTGTTTCATAATATAATTATAATGATATTTAAGAAATGTGTAATGGTGTAGTTTGATCGTCCAGGTGAGTGTAGTCCTGAGAAGGACTGTTGTCGGTAGTGGTGACTGACCTTTCGACAACCTGAGCGGAAGTCATCATCAGAGTCAAATGAAAGGTTGTTGTCAGTCGAATGTACTTAGTCCGGTTTGTGTACACTGATTGATCACTTTTGCCGTGATGTTATTGGCTGTAAGACTCAAGTGGCGTAGGTCGGTCGTGATTGGTCGGTTTGGATCCGTTAGCGAAGCCTTCACTAACGGATGCAAACCGACCAATCAGTGTACACAAACCGGACAACAGTCCTTCTCAGGACTACACTCACCCGGACGATCAAACTACACTATTACATGTTACCCCCGGGTTCAAACCATTTACTGTATTTAAGAAATGATTTGAGAGGTTGTTTGGCGCCATTTCACTGGAAAATAATGTCTCTAAAATGTTTACGGTATAACATTCCGTTATATGTGGAAAATGTTGGCTATTTTGCATTTTAGATTCATAGCTTACAATCCATGTCGATTGCTTCAAATCTTAACCGTTCCCATGTTCTTGCGTCCTTTGTGGTTATCTAACCACATGAGACTTCCTTCGCTTAAAATATATATATATATATATATATATATATATATATTCAAAGGAAGGGCTGCAAAAGTTCTGTCGCTGGAATTGTTCTACCTTGCTTTTTGCGGAATGTAGAGGTCCTGAATTAAGACATGTATCAAGCAGCATTATGCACGAAGTGATAATTTCTTTTGATTTTTGCTCGTTTTCGTTTGGACGTATCTGTGAAATAGGCGCCGTTGCCTGTGAAGTGCAGGAGTGGATTAAGTGTGCCGAACGTGCTGACCTACCGACGCTGGCAAGAATTGAGACGAATGTCGTGAACAAATTCCCAGGATTTACTGGTTTTGAAGAATTTGGTTATGACTCTTTTCTAAAGTTTTTAACAAAACACAAGGAACTAATGGAAGCCATAGAAGAGGTTGGCGGGATGGCCCAGTCTGGAAGAGAAGGAGCAAGGATTGGTTGTCAAGTGACGCTCAATAGTGTCTTGGATTTTATATCTCAGTGTGGGAATCAAACCTCTACCGTAAGTTTTGCTTCCTAATGATACTAATAAGGTACATGAATGAGGTGCTACGCGTAAACGTCTGCTTTCAGTGTGGGTGCACCACAGTCACAATTCTTTTCCAGAGTATTTAACTCAGGAAAAGTAGGAACACTTAGGTAGTCTGGTATGTTCAGCCATTCTTTTCCAACGGATAAATTTACCTTCTACGTAAAGGAAACGAGAGAAAGGTAGTTCAGTAAGATAGAATTTACAAACGTGACAAAAAGACGAGCAAGGACCACGGATGGCTAGATGGCCGAGGGTGAAGCCGATTGCCAGTTTGCAAAAATCACAATGTAACCTTAACATGCTCAGGATCCGATACCAAAGCAAAAACTCACGGGAATCGCTACAAGACGTAACTCTTCATGTGGGCCAATACTGTTTCATTGCGGATAATCCAGTTAAAAGGTGTTGTTACTTTTTATTTGTAGGAGTCTATTGAACGTGAATTGTGCGGGTACTACGATGTTAACAAAGTGACGGATCTCGGACTTGGTTCTTGTTCGTGCTTACTGAAAAAAGCTGCGAAGCCAAGAGTGAAAACTTTAACGACAGTTTACGAAGTCGCTCTCCTGTTTCACGGCGCTGGCGCTTTAGACGAACATACCACCAGCTTTAGTACTCGTAGTGGCTGTGCTCTAGGCTATAAGAGCAAACAGGAAGCTTTAGATGCCATACAAAGCACTCCGCTCCTCGAGGATGTTTCCCTCTGGACTCACTGGGATGATGTATTTGGCGGCGAAGTGTCTAAACTTGGCGACTTGAAGTCATTTTTGGAAAATGAAGGAATTTTGTGGAGTGCAAAAGAGTCATTGTCAAAGGGCCACAATTCCTTAGTCGTCATGGAAACTACTCCTGGTGTACTCCTTAGAGTAACTACCCACACGTCCACAGAAACATTCAGGAAATGTGTATTTCGTGGGGATGTGATTGGAGCAGCTGGTCATTTGGTTTCCATAGTGATAGTAAATGGTGGTGTGGCTAACACTCCTGTCACCCTTTTAGCAAATTACGTGCATTCTTCTTTGGCATCGATGGGTGCTGACGATGAGGGGGACTGTGATCAACGTCCAACATTTGTTCTTGAATGTCTGAATCGTATGCCTCTCAGATTGGCTCGGGCAATTGGGACAAAGGTTTGTAGCTCACTGGCCAAAGGCCTGAAACACTGACACCTTCTCCCCTTTCTGCCCTGCCCCTCCTTCCCTTCTTTTCCTGGGCATATCAAAGTTATTCGAGTCGGTAACAAAATCAGATTTTGCAAGCCTTTCTTTTACAGAGGAGAGGGGTCTTAGTGGTTGGGAAACGGAGCGAAACAATAGCTTTAACGGTCCAGAAACCCATTCTTGAAAGTCTCGGTAGTTATCTGTCCCGAAAATTTATTTATGTTCTTTTGTTGCTCGTTCGTTAAGTTTATCCTTTTTTTTGTTTGCCGTGTTTCAATTCGAGACCAAGACAGGAATAGTCTCTGAATTAAAGTATTAGACAAGACCGTCATTGCTATTTCCTAGATTTAGATTTTTGAAATATGGTTTTGGGCCCTACAGTTACCGGAACTATTAAGTAACACGCCTCCGGCAAGGATGTGGAGACATATTTTTATACTTCAAGTAAAGCTGCAGCTCCTAACGCTATTTAAAACTCCTTTGTGAATCGGGATAAGCTCGTTCTAAGCAATTACGCGTATTACGTTGGCAATTGATTGATACCATAATCGCATTTCATGCTTGCACTTGCATTTCTCAGGTTTTTCTTGAGCCTTTCAAAAAGTTGGTTGGCTCAACAAGAGCGGCGTCGCAGCTGCTTTCAAGCTGTTCAACTCAGTCGCAACGTAACCGTCTTCACCAGCTGGGATTTGCCTTTGGCATTAGTCAGTGGATAGAGGACTTCCAGAAGAGAGTTTCTCATGTCAAAGGGGACAGCGAGGGTTTCCTCTTAAGTGAGCACTACAATGACGAAAGCAAGAGATTGATCACCGCTGTTACACCCGTGGCATCTTCTGTCTCATCGGTGTCGCAACAAGCAGAAGTGTGTACAGTACCACTCTGTTTTACGTTTAGATATTTATAGAAAGTAATCAAAATTGTAGCCTTAAGTGCATTTTGTGCGTTTCATTTTGTCGTAAAAGCGTATCATGGTATACAAAGGAACTGTTTCGTAGTAAATACAATCAAAATCACCGTTCTTTCCAACTTGATTTTCTTAGACCACTGCTAAACTTAAAACAATCTTCCCACGAGCATGCACTTTGGATGAAAAGGATGGGGACGAAGGTATTTGTAGCTGTCTACTTTTATTTGGTTATATTTCCTTCCTCCTTCCTTCCTAAATCTACTCCCAGCTTTTTATGCTGCCCCTCCCGTTCTCCTGTCACTTCCTTTGTTTTCATCTCCTATATTTTCAATGTACTTTCCCCCTTTGATCTACAGTCTATAAAGTATGTTTACCACGCCTTCTAGTCATACAATTACTTTGGAAGTGGCCATCGGACTGTTATCTCATCATTATCGAATTTATTTGTGAGTTACTTATAATTTTTTGGTTTTAAGTTTGTCATGAAAGCGTGAACCCTGATCGTGATTATGGTCTTTTTTCCATAATTCCAGCAGCAACTTCAGACACTAAGAATGGATTGTCAGCATTACCATCAGGACCGTGCACACCTAACAAGGAATGCAGAGCAATAATTGAACAAATTCGCCGTGAGGATTTTGGAATCGGTCTGGAGCTTGGAAAAGAGGAAGCCAAACTTGTTCAGCGACATCGCGAGAGAGAGGGTCGTGGCTTACACCGTCTGTCCTCCGATCTTTACACCAGGGACACCCACTTTGTCTTGGAGCTCGTTCAGAATGCAGACGATAATTCCTATCCTGAAGTGTGCCGTGGCCCAGGATTCCCGTCCCTTGTATTCGTCCTCGAGCGGGACAGGATCGTGATATTAAACAACGAAGTTGGATTTGTTGAGAAGAATATACGCGCGTTGTGTGATGTTGGCAGAAGCACCAAAGGGGCGCATCGCTATGGATACATCGGTTAGTGCAGTATTTACGTATTTGTTGCATGGTAAATATCTTTCTGACTTTCCTATTTGGGCAAGAAGCCCTAATAGAACCTATATCCAATGGTCGCCTGCTTTGCGTTTTTCTCTCATTGCACCAGTAGTCGAATATGTTCTCGATATGACTTTGTTTCAGGACAAAAGGGCATCGGGTTCAAGTCTGTATTCCGAGTTAGTGATAGCCCAGAAGTTCATTCCAATGGATATCATATTCGCTTTGACGCCAAAAGTGGTCCTATTGGTTATATTCTCCCTGAGTGGATTGGAGACAATTTTTCAGTGAAACCAAATGGTGAGCATATCAAAAAAGGAACGAAAGTCATGGAAAAGATGGATAAAGATGGTGAATTGAGCAACATTGGCGAAAGCATGAACAGGTGAAGTCATGTGCTGGGAGATGAATTTGTTCGTGAATTATATGAAATTATGAGCTTATTTTATCTGCCAAAAAAGCTAGTAGGTAGCACCACACCATAAATTGATGCGTTGAAGCTTGTTTATCGGTCGTGGCTTGTTTTCTCTCCTTATATCCTCTGCTGTTCACGTTTATCAATATTATTTATAATTGATTGTTACTTAAGCGTCACGCGCGTTATTCTTTTTTTTTTGGTAGCTGGCCAACCTGTATCATTCTTCCATTAAAAGATGAACATAAAGGGAACGAGAGGTCTTCACTCGCTGCCGGATTTCACGATGTTCACCCATCTTTATTGCTGTTCTTACATCGTTTGAAGGGAATCTTTATATATGACGAGGTGGGTCATACAGTCCGAAGTAGATAATTGAAATACTCGGACAAAAGTGACATGGTGAGGCGACGGCCGATCTCTGACTACAAGGGAAAAGCTGTGACCAGTGCAAGAACGCCCGAGGAAATGTTTCTGTTAAGGGTATTCGCCTCCTCTGGTCATTCCTGATTGGTTAAATTGTCACATGCGAGGGACGTCGTTGCTCATACAGTCAACTCAACTTCACTTTATTTTCCTTTGAGAAGATACTTTATTGAGAACACACTCGATTGCTTTCCTCGGTGTATTCTAGTTGTTTTTTATGGGAAAATTTTGAAAACATGAGGGCCGGTTATTTAAAAAAAATTTAGCCACAAAACCACGTCCTAAACAATCCTCAATTTAGCTACATCTTTTATTTCAACATTGATTTTTGTGAAAAGTCTCAAGAGGGCGGTAAGCTACCATTGGAAGGACATTTAGTTAATTATATCAACGAAAGTCTGAGGTCCACTGATTGCGTAAAATCGTAGTTTGGGTTAGACCTCGTTTAAATAACCGGCCCTGAAAGTTTCGGCCGTGCGACGTTCCCCTTATGCGACAACCTTGACATCACAAACGAGTTTAATACTTTAGCCGTTCCCTCAACTATTCTTCAATCCGATCACTTCGTTCCTTGGACCAAAAACCATTTCTGGACGATTAAGCACCTAAATTTCCCTTCTATATTACTTTTGAGAAAAGATATGATGTTCCAGAAGCTTACGTAAGCATGCCAATCGTATTTCTTTAGGTAAACAAGAGTTTTGTCAAAATGCTAAGAAGAGACCTAGGAGATAATGTCATGGAGGTTCTCCACAACACAGGCACGGAGCGCTGGCTTGTAGTCAAGAAACAACTTGAGGCTGCTAGAGTAAGAAACATGCATTTAGCATAGAGTAATTTGGTATTATCAACTGAGTTAATAACGTAAATTAACGAGTTAGACTCTTCCACCGGCACAGCACTACAGTTTCTTTGTGGATTTAGCATACCTTGTTCCTTGTCTTTGCGAGCAAGAACGAGTCAGAGGTATCATTCACATTTATTCGAAGAGGGGAGGGGGAAAATGATGGAACATTGTCTTTGTTAGTAGCCAGGTTGTTTGGGTTATTTTCCTTCTCTTCCTCCGAGTAGTGATACCAGGAAATTCACCCACCATCAATGATTCAATTGTTTCGTGTGGAGTGTAATCAATGGCTTATATTATTTTCCTTTGCTTTCACCGTTGCTATAGTTATCGATTTCTTTGCTTCTGCAGCGTAGCTGTTGCATCAGAGAAAATAGTGATTGTTTTTCAATGAATTTCCATAGTTTCTTGTAACAGGTGATAACCAACGCAAATTGCCTTACCTTTGTTTTTGTTTGTCGTTGCAATTTCCAGATGAAAGCAGACGTAGAGATAACTGAGCTGGCACTGGCTTTTCCATTGATTAGTGAATCAGGCAGCGCATCAAGACATCAGGTAAAGTTATCGCCTTATCATCTTAAGTCTTTAAGAGAGCTCTCTACACTTCTCTAAGAGTAGAAATGAGTACGGAAGGGGAGGGGGGGAAGAGTTGTGAACCAGAGTATTTAAATATATCTGCTTAATATGACATGCACTAGACAGTACTCTGTTGTTTCAAGACGAGGCACTAATCTGAAGCGGACTAGCACAAATAGCTTAAAAAATTCGTACCCCTTGACTCTATCAAAATCTTGGAGTCTATCTATCTATCTACCTATCTGTCTGTCTGTCTGTCTGTCTATCAATCTATCTATCATCTACCTATCATCGATCTATCAATATATCTTTATATCTAGCTATCTGTATCTCTATTCATCGAACTATTATTTATGCAATAAATCAATCAGTGATTCGTACAGTAGTGTCATTTTTCTTGGACCAGCTTACGTATTGAACATTTTACCCCGTACAGGCATTGCCGCCACAGAATGTCTTTGCGTATCTCCCACTCAGAAGCTATGGTTTTCGATTCATCATTCAAGGTGACTTTGAGGTTCCTTCGTCTAGAGAAGATGTGCACAGTGACAAATCCTGGAATCAGTGGCTGAGAGAGGAAATTCCACAACTTTTTATCGACGCTATGTCAGTATTTATGGTAGGCACAACTTATTTAGTTTTTAATAAATCTTTCTCCTTCTGCTTTACTCTGATTGTGTGGGATTGTCATTAGCGTAACTTGAAGATGAAATTCATAGAGAAGTGCATAATGAAACTGGAACACGTCATCATTCGGGACGAATCAAATTGTGAACGGCTTAGAACCATGGATCTTACATATTTAAGCTCGACCAAAATTCAATTTACGAGCACGGAAGATCTTCATTCATCTTACATACATATGCGTGGCAGTGATCCACGCTTAATGAACCATGGCCTGTCGTCTTCTTAGCTGCATTTGTTCGTTATACTGGCAAAGACGTAAATTTGTAACTAAGCGTGTAGAGTAAAGACAAATATTCAAAGTGTGTTAATACTTTTCAGCCGAGAAACTGCAATTTGTGCTAATTCAAATATTAGAGCTTTGCAGCTATCAGCTATGAGGATTTTTTTTGAGAGAGTACCTTCCAATTTGCCATGTTCTACACGAAGATGTCGTACAATTATCATTAACGTCTAAAGTAAAAGATGTTTAATTCTTTTCTTTGAAGGACCACTCGTCTTTTTATGGCCTTTCTTCATTGGTGTCGTATTTTAAATTTGTACCTCTTGAGGAGGAAATTCTCGACTTTTTTACACCTGTTGCTCGCCATATCTTAACACACCTTCAAGGGAAACCTTGTATCCCAGTTAAGAGGTCCAGCAATGAAACTGAGCAGCCGTACGGAGGTAACAATGGAAAAAGCTGCGATTTGGTTCTCCCTTGCCAGGCCATTGTCTGCGAAGACAGCGTCATACAAGAGCTTATACCCTCTATTCTTCTGGAGGAGCACCTAGGATTGAGTTACCTTCATCCGGAAATGGTTCCAGTACTAAACCCGACCTTGAGATCTCGTCTTGGAATCGAGACTTTGTCTATAAAGCACTTGATTGAGATTGGGAAAGCGGAAGTAAAGAAAGCTTTAGCTGTAACACCGCATACAAATGACCGTAAACCGGATGTTGGGAGAATAGCCTGGGTAGCTCGATGGTTGCAGTGCATGTACCGATGTCTTGAGCAGGAAAGAAATAGCAGTCAAGAAATGCTAGATTTGATTGGTTCTCTTAACGTGATTCCGCTAACGGATGGATCTTTCGTGAACGTGAAGGAGGATTCCATTTTCCTTCCGCTGTCGAGGAAAAAAACATCCGAGGGAGCTGTGCCAAAGAAGAACAAAGGTGGGTTCTACATCCCTTTCGTTGTGAAGGAAGAGGTCTGTATTTTGTATGCATAGTATCATTCATCTGTCACGTGGAGCTTTCTGATAAATATTTCAAGCTATCTCAAGCTATTAGGTATCTAGTGTTAAATCGAAGTGGTAGTTTAGCTATAATCCATACAGAGGTCGTGATCTGTGCTCCAGATATCCAGGGCACAATGCCAAAACAGACGTTCAAAACCCAACTTGACCGAAACTGGTCATGCAAACTTCTACATGGTTGTATCATGCTAACAAGACCCAAAACGAACCTGACAAACATGTGACACGCAAGGAATAGAGATGGCGTTGACAACAGTACTATTACTCATTGCTGGGAAATAATTTAGACTTTCTTGCCGTTAATGCATATACTTTGGGACATGTGTAATTCTAGGTTCTATGCATCAGGAGAAAACAATTTTCTCCGTGCTGGAGAAAGACCTACCTACAGTGCATCCATCACTGTTATCTGCACTTGATGATATTGGTCGTTCTCAAGTCGAGCAGCTTTTAAAGCGTCTAGGAGTAAAAATGTGGACTCCAAAAGAAGTCATTAACAATCACATTATCCCAGTGTTCAAGTCAAAGCAGTGGAAGGTACAATAGTTGTAGATTAACTCTCTCCTTATTTTCAAATTCAAGGGGAGCCTGTAGTTTTAAGTTTAGTTCTACGATAGCGTGCCATCTTGTACGCGTGTTATGACATGCCTGCCTCTTCATATACGATGGCGGTGATATGAAGCACACCGTTGGACACAAAGGCTTCCGTGCCGGTCTTTATTTTACTTCGTAAAGTTGCGATATCCCTATATTTTTTTTGTGCGTTCGTGTCGCGTCATCGATTGTGTGTCTTTGTAATCACCTTTTCAAACTGTTCTGCTTAGCTGCTGAATTTTAGGTTTTTCACTGAAAAAAAAAACGGTTGAACCGAAAAAACGAACATCGTAGCTTAGAGTTGAGAAACTATTCAAAACCTCTCGCGGCTTCACCCTTCGTTTTTGCGCTTCACGCATCATAGCCCTAACAAAAACTTCTCCTTTCTGGAACTGATTGGTTAGGTTTATGGGTACAGATCTCAGGTAGTTGGGGTCAAGAATTACTACTAACACGGATATTTCTCTTGTGCTTTACAGTGCAAGTCTGATGAAGTGTTGAGAAGCTACCTAGTGTACGTTTTGGAAGAGCGCCTGAACGACCCTTCCGTGTGTGATATGGATGAATTGAGATCCTGTGTACAGATTTTAACGAACAGGGGTACTCTGAACCCAAAATCAACGCCGATTCATTTTACCCCCAAATACGGGGGCCCAATTGACCTCGCGCGGCAGTTTCCCAGTAAGTCACCTGTAATCATTTTGATAGTTCTTTTATATTTGCTTCGAGTCGCTCTTTTTTTTTATGTGTGTTGTATGTCGTCCTCATTGCCTTGTATAAACATTAATGGGGTATGCCTAATTTGAATAAATTAAGTAGCTTAAAGAAAGTCACTCAGCAGAAAGTCAAATATTATTTACTAATTCACTTCATGTAATTTCCTCTTCTTTTGGTTAGGTATTTCGTGGACAATTATTGACGAATCTTACTTGGACTATTGTACTTCATTGAGGGTTCGCACCATGGATTGGAAAACTTTTTTAGACGACCTTGGCTTAAAACAGTTTCTTGCTATTGAAAAGAAACAAGTAAAGCTTCATCGAAAAAACATGGTGAGCCAAGACAATTGAGATCAGAACACTTGGAAATGAATGATGGACGCTTCCTAATTTTAGGTCCATCTACCGGCCGATTTGTTGGTGTTGTTGTTTGTATTTGACACCATGTCAAATTTTGAAATCGGGGCCGCAGATCTGATGACCAATCTGATCCCAATCTTATCATGATAACGGCTTGCTGGTCCAATAAAGAAAAGGCTGTTGGGTGTACCACAGTTTAAATACCTTGAAAAGGGTAGAAAGGTTAAATTCTGTTTTTGTTTTTAGGCTTGCTCTCCGTGGGAGTCGTATGAGCGAATTTGGCAGATAACCCCAGATGATCTTTTCATCATTGACGACTGGACGTGTGAAGAATTTGAGGAATTTCTCAGTAAGATTAACTCCTCCGACACTAAACAACAAGTCGTCAGCAATGAGTCAAAGTTCTTAGCTCAGTGTATTGATGCACGTTGGGATCACACGTACGCACAGTTTGCTGAGGGCTATGTACAAGTTAAAGATGTAAATGGCCATGTTCTCGGAGAGGCTAAATCTTCATTTTACCTCAATCTTGTCTCGAAACCGTGGATGCCCTCTACTGTTGAAGGGACGAACCTGTATCTTCCAAGCGACCTCTTCGTGAAGGCTGACGCTGTATATCACCTACTCGGGGATCACGTGAATTACGTTAGCGCAGATTTAAAGAGCCCCTCGTTTCTTAGCGCCTTAGGCATCAGAAAATCGATAGACGTAGATGGGATGATCAATGAGTTGAGGAGGTGGTCAGATGGTTGCGACAAAAAGATGGATAGAAATCGACGAAAAGACTTCAAAACTTCTATTGCACATATGAGCAGAGTTTACTCTTTCCTCTCTGAGAAAATGTCGCAAAGTGATAAAGAAAGGAAGAAAATAACAGAGGCTTTTCTGCAGAACGCGCTGATATTCGTTCCTCATCGCGATCGCCATTTAGAGTTTCTCCCAAGCCGGCCAGAAAGCAAAGTATCAGGATTATTTCTTTTGAAGAAAGAAGTGTGCTGGAGTGACCCGACAGATATATCCCTGAAACTGTTTAAGGAGCACGGCAAGGTTCCCACAAGACGCCTACTAGGGTGTTTCTATGCATGTAGTGGCCCCAATCAGAGTCTTGAAGGTTTTTTTGTGGATCAAATGGACGTGGACCTTACCCCCAATGTGGACGAGTACATCGAAATGGCGACGACTGTTGCTGACACTGCTGGTTTTCCAACTCCTTCGTCTTTGAGCGATATGTTAAAAATCTTTGCAACTTTGGGACGCAAGTGTGTTTCGCTAAGCCTCAAAAACAGCACACAGGTTGAAGAGAAAATCGATGAAAATATGGCCGCTTTTGTAAAAAAAACTCTGCAAGGTGAACGGAAATGCATCTTTCCTACATCTGACAAATGGGTGGCACTTTCGGATCAACCGCTGATACCTGACGATAAAGCTATGGTGAAGATTTTTCATAAGGAAAAATCTGTCTACTTCCTGGACCTCGGAGACTTCTTTCAACCGCAAAAACGTGGCTCGACTAGTCGTGCATTTGAACCTCAATTCGATAGAGACAAGATGGAGCACTTTGTTTCTTTATTCTTGATGATCTGTGAAGTAAAAGCGTTAAGTGGGTGCATAAAGAAAGAGTTGGTTCCCATTGGTTCAGTGAAGTACCAGTGCACTCCTGTGCAGAAGTTCTTTCACCAAAACATTCCATACGTGCAACGTTTCCTATACTCAAAATACCCATCTGTATATGATAAACTGAAAAACGAAGGCTTCGCAGAGAAACTGCTACACATGCAGTTCGCTTCTGTTCAGAGCCTGGAAACTTTGTACTCGTTAACCACGCATTCCAACGTAGCCACGCCCCTTAAAGTAAGATCGGGCATAGAGGAATTAGGAATCACGTCCTGTTTTTTCGTTGTGCAAGAACATCAAGAGCGTGCAGATGTTTTAAATGCTGAGATGGCTAAACTGTTGTTTGGAGGAAAAAAGGAGGGCTCCTCAGAATTAACAAACTTTCTAGTTGCAGTGAAAACTCACAGCGGGGATAATTTCGAAGGGTTTTTGGAAGACGTGCAAGGGTTGGAACCATTACCGGAACGAGAAGAGCGATGGAGTGTTCCACCTCCAAAGGAACCCGAAAAGGATGAAAACAAAAGAAGTGCTACAAATGAAGATGTTCCTTCCCTTGACAAAACCCAAGCCCAATCTAGGTCAGGTGACAGTAGTCTTCGTTCCTGGCCACCAAAATCTTCTCGTCATTATAGTAAGTCGTGTAAACGTAGAGGAGAAACCAGAAGTGACCCCAAGTTCAAGATTTGGCCTGTGCCAGCGCCCCCTGAATCTGTAGATAAACTTCCGAAAGCCGCAGGTCGATTTAACTTGGTTCAGAAAACACCTGGGCAACCGCAAATTAAGAGCTCACAAGTGTCAAGAAAGCCCCGGGAGAGAGATGAAACAAAGACAGAGCACGAGCATCTTGTTGAAGTCAATCCAATCCAACACCAAACTCCAAACGATAACCACCGGCCAGCTGACACAATGGTTGAGGGTACTGAGGTAAATGAATCACAGCTTAATATTACTGAGGCAGGAGACGATTTTTGTCCCAGAGGCAAGAAGAGCCATATCCATATCCACCCCTCTCCGCATCAAATGCCCTCACCTGGAGAAAAGTCTGCAGTCACCATCCCAGAAGATCTAACCAGACACGCTTCTTCCAGAGGCGCGCGTTTCTGGTTTGATAAAGGTCCATATGACTTCGACGACGAAGATCTTCCCATCAATGACAAAATGAGAACCATGCACGTACCTCCGTTGATGGAGAACCCTAATAGAGAAGAAATAGGCCGATGGGGGGAAGAATATGTTTTTGAGTTTCTTCAGGAGCAAGCGCGATGTGACCTTTCTGGTTCAGTGGAAATTGTCTGGATTAACGAAAAAGGAAACACAACTGCGCCTTACGACATCGAGATTCGACGTAATGGTGTCAGAGGAGGCGACGATCGCCGCCCAGTATTAACATATGTTGAAGTGAAGACAACGTCCTCTGACCAAAAGGATATCTTTGAACTGTCGGTTCAGCAACTTCAATTCGCGCGTGCTCACCAGGACGCATTTCATCTTTATCGTGTTTTTAACGCAGGCAAACCTACAAAGGTGCGAATTCGTCGTCTTCAAAACCTTGCTGAGCACTTAGAAAGGAAGGCTGTAAAACTCTGTCTGGTTATCTGAATTTTAAATTTTATAATCGCGTTTATATTAACAGTTAAGCAAGTGATAACTTAAAATTCAGTTGATTTTTGTAGGTATAAAACTAGTTCGAAAAGTCTTTTGGATCGATAGCACAGAAATTAGATGCTTCTTTAAGAGCGTCTTAAGAGCAATGATAGATTCTCTTCGACGTATTTTCAAACATTTTGATCTATGACAACCCTAAGAAAAACAAGTTAAGCGTGGTTCTGTTTGTAAGAAAAGACCGAACAAAAAAAGATAGGCTTCTTGGAGGCAAATGCTACCGAGTATTGTACTAAAAACAAGAATAAGGTAGAACAGCACCAACATGTAAATAACGCTTCATATTCAAACGTTGGAAAGTTATAAATCGCTTTGACCAGCTTACCTTTAAGGTCGACCTTGTTCAATGTTTTACTCCCTGTGTCAGATGTGCATTATTCTTGGTTGTAACGTTGAGTTAGTTTTAAGCATGATTTCTTTTTCAATGCTTCGGAGATTGAATAAGTTTTTCCAAAATTTACCTTGTAAGGTTCAAGACTCAGTAAACACCTTCACTGTGTTGTTGATGTCGCGTTGGTGTCTTCATCATCAAGAAAAATGTAACACACGTCCTTTGAAAGTGCCCCCTATGATGAGAACTGCTTATTAATCTTGTTCGTGCTCAATTATGATTTCATGGTGGGCATCGGAGGGAAGTTTTCGAAATTCTCTATTTTTGGTGATCCATAACCACAATTTTAACATTGTAACAAATTCTCTGAGCAACCCAAAGAACAAATATCAGTATACCAACAAGGAGGGACAACAGGTTCAGGTAATAAAATGAGTTTTCATAGCTGTTGCTTGATCAAATTTGCTAAGGCCAACAAAGGCCATTCAAGGCTCCCATTCAATGAAGGCGAAAGATGAAACTGGTGAGCAACAAATGACGATCACATTTGTCAGTTAAACGGCTGCAGATTGTTTTCCTTTTCCTTTGTTCCATTTATCACGCGCCAACTTTTTGGCAAGTTTCTCTGCAAGTTTCTCGGCCCAGAGAGCCTTGCATAGTCAAGGGCTTCTTTTTTTAACTTTTCCCTTTTAAAATGATGGAATTATAAGACGGTTTTGGTCCATTTACTCTCAATTGGATGAAGATTATTCTATATTTAAGTGTCACTGGAGATAACCCAGAGGAGAGACCAAAGTAGAAGACTTGAACATTGGGTAAAAATTGCTTTTCTAGGGCAAAAAGAAAAAAAAAAAAAAAAAACACTTCCCTAGTCTCGGTAAGGACATTGGATTATTAATATATGGTCCTTTTCTGTCTGATTTCACTTGTATATGAAATGGTCAAATGAGACTGCGAACTTGAAATTCAAACACTCTTAATTGGGTTTGCTTTTCTTAGTAAGGTAAATGATTTCCATAGATGTGATCATTCAGTAAACTTCAACAAACAATAAAAATAGCTTTCCATAATCTTTAAATGTATGATCTGCTCATTTGTAAACCATCATTCAACTTTGCTGGTGATGTCTGGCTGAAAATATCCATTCCTGTAGTATTTCAGTGAACCTATAACCTCAATGGGTTGCAAGTGTAGCTAAGTTTTGGCAGTTATGCTTAAATTTGTACTCAAGTGACAACAGTCATGGCAAGTGGTCATCAATGAGCTTCAACCATTAAATTAGAAGAACTAAAGAGAGATTGTCATTGCAATCTTTAATCATGTGGGAATGATTCTTTGAACCAATCAAATCATTACTTGGCTCATCTTGCTTCAAGTACATCCAGTTAAGGATTCTCAACACAAATAAGCTTTGCATGTGAGAGTTATATTTATTGGAATTTTATGTCACAATATTTTCTTTAATGGAAAGCAAAAATCTTCTCTGATTTATCTTGAGTAAACTTTCCTTGGTCCATCATCTCTCCTCTCTGGGTAAACAAAAGCAAAGAGAACTGAATACCCTCCTTGCTTATTGACATTTAATGTTACAATTCTTTGCCTTAAAAATATCAGGCTAAGTAATTTTACTGCTGAGAGCAAAGCAAAAAACTTAATTTACCTCCTTTAATTCCTAACCTAAGGTACTTTGCAATTTGCAGTCCCAGCTTTTTTTTGAAAAAGTAAAAAGGTCTTGAATGAAGAGGAAAGGATTGTATTTCAAAGGCTTTGACTTTGGGCATAACAGTGAGTGTCCCTTGACTAATTGTTGCCCATCTAGACTTTGCCTGCTTTGCATTGAATACAAGCAATAAAAAGCAGGATGCTTGCAAAGAACGATCATGTGATGGAAAAAAATCCAAGACCATTTTACAGTTGTGTACTTAGTTGCCAAGCCTTTGATTTGGAGTGAGGCTGAAGGTGACCTTGTTGTGATGGAGACCAGTATCTAGTTAGCATGATAACAAAATAATTTGCATTTGAAAAGCAGCAGGGTTTTATGATATATAACCTATCATAAACAATCTGATTGATGTGAGCATCATGTCACTGCATGTTAGCCTCATTCAGCAGCTTACCTTAATGAATCTAATAGACCATTTTACAGTTGTGTTCAAAGGTGACCTTTTGCAGTATCTAGTTAGCATGATAACAAAATAATTTGCATTTGAAAAGCAGCAGGGTTTGTATCAAACTGTAAAATGACTATTGGTGTAAGCAATATTCTTGTAAAGAGAGAGCCTTACAGATTCAAATGAAGGAAAGAACTGATTATGTCTTGTGGCTTGTTTGACAGCTAAAGGATCATTTGTTTCAGTCTACATTACCTAGTTGAGATTTGAAAATTAACCATATTTATATGTTGTTATCAATTGTTTTTTAGCCTTTAAGAAGTGACATTTGTTTTATGTTTTACAGCACAAAGTGGTAAACTTAACAAAATTATAACTCATGACAAATTGAGGCTGGGATTAATTTGGAGTAATTTCAGTCTGTGATTTTCTGAAGTCAGTTTTTTTTCACTTATAATAATGACAGCTAAGGGAAAAGAAAAAAAAATTGTTCAGTGTGACAGTGTGATGAAAAAAATGGCATATTACAACAGATCCACTGTTGAGTTGGAGTGCAGAATATCATGAGGCTCATAACATCATGAATGATGAATGAATTGAAATATAATTTGTTTAGCGGAGCAATTATCATTCATAACTTTGATTAAAGAACGTCTTGCCTTATTTTTTTAATTCAGTAGTTGTGTCGATTTTTTTCAAAGTTTTCATCAGTATCTAGTTGTATGTCGCACAACAAATTGATGCAATTGTTGTGATTTCATTCTGTCCTTGGTCCTGACTAGTTGTTAATGTCCAAATTTTGTCTCAAACTTGTTAAATGCATTATTCTTACCGACAAAATGGATAATTTTGAAGCAGTTGTACGCAGTAAGTTCCTTCGGAGTTCTAAACCTTATCTATGGAAGTTCTTTACCCTTCAAGTTCTATGTTGAAGAGAGTTCCAGTTGAACTACATTACACTTTCAAAGAGTTTTCGATGATTTAAGTCTAAGTAAAAGTCCTTGGCCGTACGCTACCTGAGCCTATCTAAAATTTGCACGTCCCAGGAAACTAAATTAAAGTAAATACCTTCACATCTCTCTCTTCACTACCCGCTATTGTGATGGCGCTCAGTTTCTCCTTATTTGCCTATGTTCAGGAATTAAACTATTCCATAGTACCACTACAGTTAATCCGCCATCTTAGTCTCCTTCGGAAACATTTGTCGCGGATGAAAAAGATTTGGAACGAGGAAATGGAAAACAATGGTCAAGAAGGAACGCCTGGTAGAAATCGTATTTCTCGGAAACCTCGTGCCGTATACCCTAGAGGTTTCTTGGAAAGACATTGTCAATCATTTCTGCGTTTTAATTGGGTGAGCAAGGTGGAAAAGGAAGTGACACCTTTGTTTTCATTTTAAAAAAATGTGTTGCGGTTTTTATTTACCGGTAAGTTTTGCATGGTCATGCAAGATCTTACCGTAGTATATAGCGAGATTTTGGCAGAATTATCGACGTCGAACCTACCAGTCGTTGAGAGTTTTGGGGAAACGCTTGAACGTAGGATCAATTTGTGCACGTTTTGATTGTGCAATTGTCAGGTTTTGCCATTGTTTAACGTATTTTGACGCGGTGTTGTTACCAGCCATGGCGAGTGATTCGAAATCGACCGATAAGTTAAGAACACTGGATCAACTGAAGAAAGAGGTTGTTAAAATTTTACGTTCTTGTGATGGCCATTGTTTGGATATTTCCAAATTCAAGAGTGAGTACAAGCAAAAGTTTGGGAGAACTTTTGAGAAGCACTATAGTGCGTTGTTGAAAGGAAAAAAGTTTAGCAGTTTCATGGCAGCATTAGATATTATTGAACTGCAAAAATCAAACGAAAACCAAAGCATCATCCTGATGAAATTGAAAGAATCGAATTCATGTGAGCTTAAATCTTCCAGTTCGGGCACTAGCTGTCAGCAGGAAAGGTCAGATTCCAACGATGCTACAGCTAAATTAGAAAAATCACCATCTAAAGGTCTTCCAAATGTTGCAAGTACAGTTGCCATCTCACTAGGTGCCAAGGATGAAATCCAACCCAATAAGATAGATCCATCACTGGTAAAATCTGCTGCATCTGCGACTGTATCTCCTTTACTACTGCCTACACCTTTACTTCCAATACCAAGTGTTTTAAGCAAAGGTATGTGAATCAAATTTCCTTTGTCTGTTTGAATCTTGTGGGAGGAAGAAGGGAAATTGGGAAGAGAAGAAAAATAGGTGAGTGCGTAAAGTGTGAAGAGTGAAAAATAGGTAGCGAGTCCATTGCTGGGACCATTTTGGTTGCACTGATAAATACATATTAAACATTTGGAGAGCATTTTTGTTCTTAGATGAAAAAGTTCTCAATATAGGGACCTTTGTTGGGCAGTCATGCTCCAACCTGCACAGATGTTCCTTGAAGTAACCCAGGTCAACAGTTAAAGAGAGAGAAACATTTGCATGATATATACTATTAAATTGTACAATTTCTTTTTCTTTTTTTGTTTTGTTTTTATTTTAACAATTGAATGATTTTCTTTTTCTTGTGACCATTTTATGACCAGAGGTTGCTAGATAATGACTGTTAAGAATTGAGGTGGTGGGGCCCCCTAGTGATTGTTTGATTCATGTATTTTGCAAAACTGCTTTTCTTTTTACATTGGACAGAATGTCTGGTGATATTTAAGAGAGTGAAATTCTTACAGGCTGCACTGCCTTCTCTTCCTTCCCCAATCCTTGCCTTATTTTGCTAGGGTTAATTTGCCAGTTCTTTACCAATTAAGGTGATTTGAGTTCCTAATTGTTACAAGCCTGTTGTTTTGATTATGCCATGAGACAAGGCCAGCAGCTTGCTGTCACAGTAAATGATGTGATCGTTTCTGGGGGGGGGGGGTATTTAGGTCAATTATCTCTTGGTATAAGTGCCGCTGGCTTCTCAGAACCCAGTTTAGTCACTTTCCATTAAACAGTACTTCCATGTTATGGACATTAAATTCAGAGAACAATTTTTTGGAGACTAATTTCCTCAACAAACTTATTTTGCACAGTTTTGAAATTATAATTTGTACAGACATTCCTTATAGAGTAATTGCCTATCAGCAAAAAAGAAACTTTCCTTTCTTTAACAGAGACTGCCAATATTTTTGTTTTAAACTCTGTTATGGACAATACAAAAAAAATCAACCTACAATTTGATGTGTTCACTTGATACTTTTTTTCCTGTGAATTGACTATTCAGAAAAAAATCTTTTAATAATAGTAAGAACAAAACTGCTTCTAAGCTTTTTAAAATCTAGTTGCATCCCTTATTCTATGTTTGATTTTGAGCTTGAGCTAAAAACTTGCTGTTATGGACATTACACAATTTTTGTTTCAGATATTACACTGTGAATAAGGGAATGTTATTGTTTATTTATGAACTTTTGATAATTGACTTTGTCAGAACTGATAATTGTATTCTTAATCAGGCTCAATGCAAGTTAATTCTCTTTTCTGGTTGGGCTGATAACCATAACATTAATACTACAATTTGTGTGTACATGTGACTGTGGTCTGTGGAGTATCCCATTAATAGAGCATACTCCTTACAATTCAGTTTTATTGAGCATGCTCTAACTAGTGTTTCTGCTGTCTTTTGGTTCTTTCTTTCTGAGATGCAATGCAGATTAGATTTCTAGTTTGAGACCAAGTTTTACATTGGATAAGCCCTCGGTGTTGCTATTTGTCAGAGTACTATTCATTGACCCTTAACAAGCCAGTTGACACCATTTTGAATGTTACACTGCACTGAATTGTTTGAATTGACATTTTTCTCTGTGATATGAGGATGGTCAGTGCAATGGCCTTTTACTTATTTTATGCTGCATTTCTGAAACATTACATGTTTTTTACCTTGTTATCTTCAGATATTTTAAAAGAAGGTACTGACTCAAAACTGTATGTCTTTCGTTAAAAATAAATTCACCATTAGACTTACATGTTTTTGTAAATTTATACTCTTCATGTCACCATGGTGTTGCTACTGTTAATGTACATGATTGTTGTTATGGTTATTGTTATTAGTGTTTAGTTAAAAGCACTGTAAACTTGGATGTGATAAACTTGAACAAAATTGGTTTGCATGTACTATTTATTTCTCCCAAAAGAATTAATATCAAAAGTCATTCAGTCATAATGTCCATAATGTAGTCCATAATGTCAAGTCATAATGTAATGTCTGTAACATAATGTCCATAACATAATGTCTGTAACACAAAGTAGGCTTTATTTTTTCTGGTGTTTTTCTAAGATTTTGATAATTTGCAGCACTTAAGTTTGGGCCCCTAAACTCGAAAAAAGGAGTTAAGCTTACAAAAAAAACCTCTGGTTTTTATTTTCAGAGAAAATGACTGTTTCAGTGAATTACGTGATGTCCGTAACACAATTGTTACTTGCTTTCATTTTCAAAGTACATCCATTTTGGAAAAAATCTTATCTGGAAGTTCATCTTTGTGTTGAGTTCAATTAGTTTTGTTCCCCTGGTGAGATTTTGGGAATAAATGTGTCTAACGAAAATCATTTTAAATCTTACAGCATGCCAGCTATTTTCACACACTTTTCATTGGACAAAAATAAATAGCCTCTCTGTGCCATTTCTAGCAAAGTCAACTTTCAGATTACTATTTTTAAAACAATTTAGGGTTCCTCATTCCAGATATCCATGATTGGGCTATATATGAAATATTTTCAATTTCACCATTTAAACAGTTCTAAAATGGAATGGCCCAGTAGCAACTTTTTATTTGACAATCTTCCTTTGTTTAAATCCCTACTCACCAGATGGAATATTCTTACCCCCAAAATTCCTGAAAAATGTGCAACCCTATTCTTGGTGACTAGTAACTTGTATGGAAATGCAAACCCATTGTCGTCAATTAAATTGTAAAAATGGGACCCCATCCAATGGCACATCCCCATTAACCTGTTGCTGGGAAGCAGCCCCCCCCCCCTGCAGGATTATTTAGGATTAAGTAATGTTCCCATTATTATAATTATTATAGTCAGAATGATCTGACTGTGCCAGGTACATGCATTTCAAGAACCTGGTTGTTTTTCTGGTTGAATGTTGAACTCATCACCCTCCACTCAACAGCCTCCTATGTTACCAATTAATCAATTATGCTAAAATTTACATGGAAGCCATTCTAATATACAATCCACAAGTGTTGTTGGCCCATTTTTAATTGATTGATGAGGATCACAAAATTGCATACCCGGGTGGAAATGGCTTTATAATAATAAATTTCATTGTTTGATGTGATTTTCTTGTACTTACCTCAATATCATTATGTCATAATTTTTGTGTCTGTACCCTCAGGTGCTCAATTACCTAGGACCCAAGCACAAAAGACAAGCCCCTCTTCTGGAAGTCCACAGGTCACACCACTGTCACTTTTTGAAATCATGAAACAACAAGCTCAAGAAGAAATGCAGCTTGCTATTAGAGGCAGCCCCTCTCCTCATACTAGCTATGACAGGCTACTGCAAGACATGAGCACACCCAGTCCAGCAAAAAGAGAGCTTCTTTTTTCTCCACCTGATCACCAGGAAACAAGGCTTAGAGAAGTTGGCACTCCAGGTCCTTTTGAGAAGTCAATCAGCCATGCCCATGATGCAATGAATAGCATAACAAGCAAGGGGAAATCTGTGAGAAATGCTACTTTTCGTGAAATTAACAAGGCAGCAGAAGAGATCATCACTTCCTTGTCAGAAAAAGGTCGCTTTGTTGGTCTGGAGGAGGTAAAAGCTGCCCTGTGCAAAGAATTTGGAAAAACAAGTCTTACTGCTTTGGGTTTCAAAAAAGAGAGAGATATTCCTGCCCTGAAGGACCTAATTGAAATGCAGGCAAAAGTGAGTTAAATTTTATGTAAAGTAGCCATGTTTGGAATATCTCATCCTTTTTTTCAGTTTTTTTTTTTAATGCCACGATTAGGAATTTGTGCTTAATTGCATGTATACTACTAGTTCTTGTCCATTTTGCAGAGTTTTGAAGTCCTTGACCCTTGTATGGTTCTGTCACTATATGTTGCAATCTGTCTACATGACATTTTAGACAACTGGCATATTGAGAAACTACGACCACCTCCAATAAACTGGATATGATATTCTTGCATTATGTCCAGTCATGGTTGAAATCAGGGATAAGCATTTATTTCACTACAAAACCAAAAACTAACTATGGTGAAAATGCTGCTTTCAGTTCAGTTATCTCACGTCCTATCGGTTCCTTCCTGTAACATAATGTTGAATTGACATGACAGTGATAGATTAGTAGAAACGAAAAAGTCACATTCAATTTATCTGATCTATTTTATCCCAAAGGTCAACTTATTCGTCCATGCGTACGTCATGTCAAACAGCATCTCCACTTTGTACGAATTGAACCAAAGCCTTGCTGATTTGGGTTCAAAATCAGACTTTGAGGAGCTCAATTTGGGTCCTCTATTGAAACAGCCCGTGGTTTATGACATGTTTAAAGCTCCCCAAGGTCTTTCCCAAGTACCTCATGTGACAACTATCCAGATTTTGAAGCACCTGGAGAAGTATATGACAAAGGAAGATCTGTGGCGCAAGAAAGTTGATTTAGGGAAATTCATGGAGTACCTCTCTGAAGAGTATCAGTGTGGCACTCCTTTTGACCTTGGTGTCAGGATACAGAGCATTGGACTGGCTATCTCGGTAATGTTACTCAATTTTTTTCTCTTACATTTCTTTTTTTAAGCTTAAGATCAAGTCTAATAAAGCACGCGCCTTATTTTACCTTTCGAAATCATTATTGTACGTCACTGGGTTGGCCCAAAGGGAAATACACCATTAGTGAACGAGCCCCTTTCTATTCTCCAGCGACCTCATTTTGATTAATCCATATGGGTTGTTTATTTGTTTTAACCAATTTGTTAGGTGATTAAAAAAGCCAAACATAACGAGAGCGAGAAGTGGAAAGGTATCAGAGAACAGGTGTCGGCTGACATGGACGAAGAAATCGAGAGACACTTGCGAAAAATCAAGAGAGATCTTCTTGGACAAGATCTTGGCGATTCAAGGAGCTGTGTCAAGAAATTTCTTGACACATCCCCGACAGACGCCTTGACGGCGGTGTTCGATTGTTGCTTGGAGACGTTTGAGGACAGTCGCGCAAAAAAGATCACTAAGTTCCTAGAAACAGTCACTAAAGATTCACACGGGAGGCATGTATTTCAGCTAGCACTCTATATGAGTTGTCAGCGTCTGTTGGGAGACGCTTTGGAAAACCTGGTTGATGAAAGAGTGAAGAAAGAGCTCGAGACAGCCAACAATCTGGCAAGTCGCACAGAGACAGAAAGAGGGTTAGATCCACCAAGCGAAGGTTTGATATTTTATGTTTTGGTTTTATAAGGGAAAATTATTCTGAAACCACTAGGCTTAGTTCTGAGCTAAGTACGTGCTATGCTTCCTCGCTGTACAAGGAACTTATCGCGATATTGAGGAAACTAGATCACGATTTCTACATGTTGCTAAGTTTAGCAAGTTGTGTCATTTACAATTAAGTCGTGTCATTTACAATCCATTCTGATTTTTCTTCAGTCTTATTTTTATTGTTCGTCTTTGATTCTACTTCCTTGCCTAGTCTATCAATGGAAGCTGTTTTTCAATTTAAGTTCTATATTTTAAGATTAATCACATAAAGGCAAATAAATTAGTCGCTGGTATAAAAACTATTGGTGACTAAACTTCAGTTAACCAAGTCATTGAATCATTGAATATTTAACAAACGGATTTCATGTGGCCGATAATTCAGAGATGACGTCGAAATGTGTTAAGGCGCATTTGAGTCCATCACCGATGTTTTTACTTCTTCCGTACGGATGCACGGCCACATGGTATCTATTTGTTTAAAATGATAAAATGTAAAGTAAATTGCTGTCAGTGGTGATGTCATCTATGCATCTGTCCCCTAATAGATCATAGATGAGAACCAATCAAACTCGCATAGGATTCACCTTATCATATAAACACAAAGTGTTATAAGTCTTATAGATCATAAATTCAACCTTTTGTACAAAAGAGTAATTCCGGGTAAACTAGTAAAATTCGTGGAATGGTCTACGGTGCTAGATATCCCTTTACTCATTTTACTAATTGTTCATCGTTTTATATATGTGATAGGAATTATTGTCGAAGAAGTAAATGAGTGGCTAAATAAAGCGGAGCGCACTGACCTAGCGACGCTAGCCAGAATTGAGGAAAATGTCATGAACAGATATTCAGGGTTTGACGGTTTTGAAGCCTTCGGTTATGGTTCCTTCCTGAAGTTCTTGACGAAACACAAAGCGCTGCGTGAAACCATAGCGGAGGTTGGTGGAATTGCTCCGTCTGGCAACGGAGGAACCGGGCTTGGACTTCGAGTGTCACTTGATAGCGTGCTGGATTTTATATCTCAATGCGGAACTGAACCAACTCCGGTAAGAATTACAATTTTATTAATTCTAGCGTTTAAATATGAAATAACACAAACAAAAGCACTCAAAGCGGAGGAATACTGTTATTCGTGTCTTGTGGTGACAGATCTTAGAAAATCGTATGGAAAAATCTTGGGCTTACTTTATTCGCTGTAAATAAACTTACATTGGTACCAACCAGCAGCTTAAGGGATTCGTTCACTTAACCCATAGCCACATATTAAGATCAAAATTCCACAATGTACGTTACGTTTACTGAGACTTTTGGTTACATTTACCCTTTGCAATCCAACATTAGTATGCACATTCTCTGCACTGTTTTGAAACGATTTCTACCTGTACTGTATGATACTGACAAGGTGTACTAGCTTATAGTTCACAATGATATCGTTTTTTTTCTCATGACTTTTATGTCAGATCAAGAAGTAATATTGTTTGGCGATATTAGCAGCTTGTCACTCTAAGGGATAAAAGGTTTAATTTACTGAACGGTAACATTTATCAAGTTGGAACGTAAGCCTATCCTGTTGAGTAAGCTCACTTCTTTTGCCTTTTTGTTTAGGAGTCCATAGAACAGTACTTGTGTGATTACTACAATGTCAATAAAGTGACGGATCTCGGATTTGGGTCCGCTGCGAATTTGGTGAAAAAAGCTGCAGAGCGAAAGAAGAACTTAGTAGGAGCGAACATTCCTTCGATAGTTTACGAAGCTGCTCTTTTGCGTCACAGCTCTGGAGTGGGAGATACGGATAGCACCAGCGTAAGCACGCGTAGCGGTGGTGTTCTGGGTTTTAAGAGTAAAGAAGAAGCTTTAGAAGCTATAAAAAGCACTCCCCTCCTCGAAGATGTTTCCCTCTGGACTCACTGGGATGAGGTTTTCGGTGGAGAGGTCTCTAAACTTGGCGACCTAAAGTCATTTTTGGAAAATGAAGGGATTCTTTTGAGTACTAGAAAGACATCTTCCCAAAGTCAAAACCCTCTGGTTGTCATGGAAACATCTCCTGGTGTTCTTCTGCGAGTCACTATGGACACATCGCCGGACATGTTTAGAGAATGCACGCGTCACCGAGATGTGATAGGAGCGACTGGGCATTTGGTTTCCATGGTAGTGATGAATGGTGGTGTTTCTAACACCCCAGTGGCTCTCTTAGCCAATCATGTACAATCGTCATTAGTATCAATGGTAGTTGACGACAGAGGTGACAGCGATCATCGATCTACTTTTGTTCTTAAATGTTTGACCCGTATGCCACTCAGATTAGCACAGGCAGTTGGAGCAAAGGTGTGTATTAGTACTTACGTAGATCGTCGGCTAACCTTTTGTATGAACTCAGACTAGCGTCAAGAGCGCGTCCTGCTCTTCCTCTCCCAGTCTTCCTGATCATCGTTAATGTTGCCTTTATTGGCTTCAAAACATGACTGCTTTAGTGCCTTAACAAACTTGGCTAGGAATGCTTTTGTCAACTCAGTAATGTTAGGTAGACTGAAAGCGTCAAGCATAGGGCCCCCTTTTGGTTTTAGGCTACCGCTAAGAGGAGCATCAGCGTACAGGAGGCTTGAAACAAGCATTAATTATAATCACTGTCATGCGAAAGGTACGATGTTTTTTTCATTAAAAAAAACATTTTTAAGTGCAAAGATAACCAGCGTTCTAAAGGCTTTTTCGTTCTTAGGAACTGAGTTGATAATACAAATTGGCCAGCATCGAGAGTTTATGAAGCTGACGTTGTGAACGTTAGCCTTTCGTCAGAACGAACACAAGAATTGTGACTTATGTGCGATTTCAATACAGAAATATGGGGCTACACCAAGGCTTGTCATGAAGTCTCTCATGTAGTCTGTGAATGGGTTACCAAAGCACTTTGATTCGCAATATTTCTTCGTTGTTAGACAGAAAATTTGGTGTTTTTTTTCCATAGTTCATTCTAACCACCTGTCTCTGTTGTTTAGGTTTTCTTTGAGCCTCTCAAAAAGTTAGTTGGCTCAACCGAGGCAGCATCCTTGCTGCTAAGAAGCTGCTTTACCCAGTCTCAACGCGGCCGTCTTCACCTCCTGGGCTTTGCCTTGGGGATAGATGAGTGGAGAGATGACTTTCTCAGCAGAGTTGCGTGCAAAAGAGAGGAAGACGAAGGCTTGGTCTCCGGTGGTTACAGTGATGACGAACAAAAGAGACCGATTGCTGTTGTCAAGCCAGTTGCGGCTCATGTTTCGTCAACGCTGCAGACAGAGGTGTGTAGACTGAAATTTCCTTTGATCTTTTTAGAAGCGTATGAAGATTGTTAAACATAGTTGTTGGAATTGTATGAAGATTGTTAAACATAGTTGTTGGAATTGCCCCCTTTCGGTACCTCTAATATAATTTTTTTTACGTTGTATCATCTGAGAGTGGCTTTTCCTGGTATAATGACTATGGTAACAGCTATTTTTTCCTAGACTTCCACGGAAAGTGAACCAGAGGGCGATGTAGCAGTTTCTAAAGATCAAAAAAACTTTGCTGAGAAGGCTGGAGACGAAGGTATTTTTTGCAGGCCCTTATTCCTTCTTTGCTTCCTTTATACCTTCCGGTTTCCCTTCTATCTTTTGCGTTCTTCATTCCTCACTCATTGTCTACTTAATCTATAATTTCTGCCGAGTACTTTAATTTTCGGACCTTCTGTTCCTCTTTCTGGCCCAGTAGCCAAACCCTTCGCATCATGATAATGTGCCTTGATCCATAAGCCTAAATTTTGTCACATTTTTTTTACAATCTTAACAGTTACATCGAGCACTCAGGATGAATTTCCAGAAGTACCTCCCACTCCTTGTGCTCCTCCCAGACAGCAAGAAGATGAATGCAAAGCAGTAATCGACCAAATTCGCCGAGATGACTTTGGAATCGGTATTGAGCTCGGAGAAGAGGAGTCCAAACTTGTCCAGCGACAGCGCGAAAGAGAAGGTCGTGGCTTAGCACGTCTGTCCAGTGAGCTCTACTCTAGGGACACCCACTTTGTGTTGGAGCTCGTTCAGAATGCAGACGATAATTCCTACCCCGAGGTGTGTTCTGACCCAGGATTTCCGTCCCTTTTGTTCGTCCTCGAGCGGGACAGGATCGTGATACTGAACAACGAGATTGGATTTGAGGAGAAGAATATCCGTGCGTTGTGTGATGTCGGAAGAAGTACCAAAGGGAAACATCGCTATGGCTACATTGGTAAGTGGGTACATGTGAGTCTTGCATTATAAGATTAATTTCGCCCATTTCGGCAATGGAAACTAATTCTCACCTAGTTTGCGCATACTTCCAGTGTGATCACAGCATCCGTAATTTCCGTCTTAAGAGGTTCGTAAGTTTGGTTCTTCGATTGCTTAGGTTATGGGTGTTTTCCCTTGTCTACAAAAAATTTTGATGTTTCAAGGTCACAAAGAGTTGCAAGGATATGACTGCAGAACAATTAAATTAAGGATCAACGCTTATCTACGCTAAGGTTTTCCTAGAGTAATTGTTTCCACATGAAAACCTTTCTTTTGATTTTGCGTACAAAATAGTTTGATGTATCAAAGTCACAAATAGCTACAGGGGGTTATCTACAGATTTAGTAAAGGATTTATGCCTATTTAAACGCAAGGTTTTCCTAAAGGAATGGGTTCACGTAGAAATGTGTAACGCAGAGTCTCAGTACTTACACACAATCCACTTTTAGAACACCTTTCTGTTTGGTCAGTATTATGACCTACAAAATGGAGTGATAGAAATTTATTGTAGATGTTCATTGTTCTGCGCAATTTTAGGACAAAAAGGTATTGGTTTTAAGTCAGTCTTCCGGGTTACTGATTGCCCCGAAGTCCATTCCAATGGATATCACATTCGATTTGACGCTAAAAGCGGGCCAATTGGTTACATTCTTCCTGAGTGGATTGGAGGCAATTGTTCGGAGGAACGAACCATGGAGGATTTGGGAGACGAATCTGTTGATGATGAGAAAGGAGATAATGGCAGTGGAGCAAGCAGTTCCGGGGATGAATTTAGCTTGTAAGTTTAGACTTTTATACCCCTTCCGACAGGAGAATCCTTGGTGAATTGTCACGCACAGAAACAGGTGTCTAAACTTAGCATGTTTCCAAAACGAATTGTTTCAGGAAAGATTTAAACCAGACCTTCAACTAAAGCCTTGGTGACACTTGAGCGCTCTGCGAACTCGTTTTTTTGTTTTCTTGTTACATTGTTTATTCAAAATGCTTTCTTTTCCCTCTTTTTTCCCCGTAGCTGGCCGACTCGCATAGTTCTACCATTAAATGATGAACATCGACAGAACGAGAAGTCCTCTCTGGCGCCCAGGTTTCACGATATCCGTCCCTCACTCTTGCTATTCTTGCATCGTTTGCGAGGAATCTTTATTCACGACAAGGTGGGTTTAACTCTGTGTCAACAAATTAAAATGCTCATTCTTCTCTTAGCAGGTTTCTACACAAACATAGGCAGTTAAGACTCCAGACAAAAACTCGTTGTCGGTGGTATTCTTATTCATAGCAGCAGCAAGTGCCATGAACATCATCAGATATCGAACCACGCAAATGTCAAATAACGTTCTAAATTGTAAAAGGTAAAATTTACCTCTGCTAATTCTTCTTCCTTTCAATGCAACGGTTTTCTTGTTCGAACCAGTCAGTTTATTTTTGGTTCTCTGAACGGATTGAAATCTGAGCCATTTCCATATTTCTCAATCTGATCACGAAGTTGGCAAGATCAAAACTTTATGCCCTCTACATTTGTTGCTTTTACTACTTGGCTGAAATTGCCGAAAATCGCCAAACCTTTCAATTTTTCTCCAGGTACATAATAGTCGCAGTGAAATGATAAGGAAGGACCTGGGAGATAACATCATGGAAATCAAGCACACCAAAGGCACGGATCGGTGGCTTGTTATCAAAAAACAGCTCGACGCCTCAAATGTAAGAAGACAGCTTACGATTACCTTAAAAGTACAAATGTATTGTCGTTTTGCTGCTGATAAGGCCGGCAATCAAAGTTTTTTATCTTTAAAATCATTGATATGTAAGTGGTACCAGGGACGATTGCAAGTACTTGTGCATTACACTGTCTTCATGTTTATTTATTCGGCATTTGTACGAATTTTTCCTTTTTTTTAGTTTTATTGCCGTAATCTCGCATTCTACACTGAGTACGATCATCTAAGATTTTAATGGGTTTTGTGAAAAGCATATTACCAAAGCCGAACTTCTTATTTTAATTGCTTTTGTCACTTTAATTCAATTCAGATGAAAGAGGATGTAGAAATGACTGAGCTGGCGCTAGCTTTCCCTTTGTTTGATGACTCAGGCAGTACTTCAAGTCTACGGATTAGGCATCAGGTAAAGTTCACCATGTTACACTTCAGTTCTTGGCTTGTTTTAGTGTTTCCTGAAAATGATATGGAGTGAGAGCCAAGCGAAAAGGGTTTTCTGGAACCCCTGAAATAAAATTACTGGTGAAGAAATGTATATCTCTTACAAAACCTGTTGAAATTAATCTACATTATACACCTGAAAAAAATACGAAAATATTCTCCTCTCGAAGAGCTTATCTTCCCCCAATTTAGTGTTGCTTGAAATATTTGAAGATTGATAAAACTGTAATTATAAAACACGTAAGCAAAATATGCAGCATTGACTGAGCTGTGGGGAAGGGAAATGTCTAGTCGTCATAGGGGCAAGGACAAGGGCAATAGAATCTGGCAAATTTGCACGCTTAAAGCAGCACAAGGGATCTGGAGCTCATCTGTTCTCTCTATGTCCCTTGCAACAAAGGGGACGTAAGAGCTAGGTACATATAAACCTGGGCATATTTAATGATCTTCTTAGAGCAAAATGAAAACAACGAATGGCACTCTAGCAAGTGTTTTGGTCATACTTTGTAATTATATGAATATTAACTTTTATGGGCGACACGGTTACCTAGCGGTAAGCGCGCTGGAGGTGACCTTGCGATGAACACTTACCTCATTCAAGTATAGTAACGATACCCCCAGGCGTTTCATGTCACGAGAACCAGTATAAGCTCCAGCGTGATGGGTTACTTGGTTTGAGTGTATACGTTAGGCTAATTTTACTTTTATCAGGGGAAGGCGGGCTTAGAATGTATTTTACTTTATATCTTCTACAGAACCTGCCGCCACAGAATGTGTTTGCGTATCTTCCCCTGAGAAGTTATGGTTTTCGATTCATCATTCAAGGCGACTTTGAGGTTCCTTCGTCTAGAGAGGATGTCGACAGTGACAAATCCTGGAACCAGTGGCTAAGGGAAGAGATTCCACAACTGTTTATTGACGCTCTTTCGGTGTTCATGGTAGGAAGACGTGTAGTTTTTCCAATCAGTCATTTTGTTTCTAGCTTCAAACCCTCTAAATTAAGGATCCAAATCTTGAGATTTTAAAATTTTGGGACTAAAACTTCAAAGTAATTGAAATATTTGTTTCTTTCTCAAAAGGTTCATCCATCCTTTTCCGGCCTTTCCTCGGTGGTTTCATATTTCCAATTTGTACCGCTTGAAGAGGAAATCCTCGACTTTTTTTCGCCTGTTGCTCGTCATATTTTAAAACTTCTTCAAAGTAAGTGTTGTATACCTGTAATCGTGTCCAGCAACGAAACTGAGGAACCGACCGAAGCTGATGATAGAAAGAGCTACAATTGGGTTCTCCCCACTGAGGCTATTTTTTCCGAAGACAGCATGATACAGGAGCTCGTAACCCCTGCCCTTTTGAAGGAGCACTTAGGGTTGAGCTACCTTCACCCAGAAATTGTTCCAGCGCTGAATCCCACCCTGAGATCCCGTCTTGGAATCGAGACTTTGTCCAGCAGGCACTTGATGGACATTGGCAGAGCGGAGGTGAAAAAGGCTTCAAATGAATCAGATGAAGCCGCATCCCATAGTAAGGACTACAAACTGGATGTTGTGAGGATAGGTTGGGTAGCTCGATGGTTGCAGTGCATGTATAGGTGTCTCGAGCAGGAGCGAAATAGCAGTCAAGAAATGCTTGATCGAATTCGTTCTCTCAAGGTGATTCCGTTAACAGATGGCACATTCGTAAACCTCAAGGAAGACTCTGTTTTCCTACCGTTGTCTTTGCAGAAAATATCCGAGGGAGCTATTTCAAAGGCTAAGAAAGGTAGGTCCGTATACAGATTTAATCACATAAAAACGGTATTGAAAGTATAATCCTTAAATTGCTAAACTCTTCACTTTTTGTCGTAAATGATTTACCCTTTTTTCTTTCGGAAGAGGGTGGCAAAAAACCCTCCATATTATAGCTCTTGTCGAGTTATCTTGAGGGATTCAACGTATTAGGGAGTCCAAATATCAATACTCAAATGAGTAGTACGCCAAAAGTAAATCTATGCTCCAGAGAGCGGCTTGATTTGAATTATCAGATCAGTATTCTGGAGTAATTGGCATTTAATGACGCTTTTTCTCATTTTCAGAAAATGATATAGAATTTCGTCCTGTTCATGAAATTTTTCTGATATCTAACTCCAGGATCCAAATCTCAGGAGCAGACGACATTCTCGGTGCTCGAGAAGGACCTCTCCACAGTACATCCGTCTTTGTTCTCTTCGCTGGATGATATCGGTCGTTCTCAAGTTGAGCAACTGTTGAGAAGTTTAGGAGTCAAAGTTTGGAGCCCTAAGGAGCTCGTCAACAGTCACATAATCCCAACTTTCAAGTCAGACAAGTGGAAGGTATTAAATTCGCATTGTACTTTTGGCAATGATGAATGTTTAGGCGAGAGTTAGAGGCCAAGTCGGTCTCACGCTTCTTTATTGGCTGTAGTTTTCTCATGCATGTAAATAATTGGTTTCTTAAATAGAAATTCATCGTTCGTAGATATCATTTCGCAGAGGCTTTAGAATTTTGAAACTTATGTTCATCTCGATATCTGATATCGTATCCCAGATAATTTTTAAAGAGACAACTAGGAAACTTTAGAGGAATCTTGGGGAGAGCTGGCAGTGTAATATGATTCCAATACGGATATACTTTTTGTGATTTACAGTCCAAGTCTAATGAAGTGTTGAGAAGCTACCTTGTGTACATTCTGGAAGAGCGCTTGAAAGACCCCTCTGCATGTGATATGGATGAATTAAAGTCCTGCGTACAGATTTTAACGAACAAGGGTGTTTTTAATCCAACAACAACGTCGATCCATTTCACGCCCAAATATGGAAGCACAATTGACCTTGCTGGCCGGTTGCCCAGTAAGTCGCCTTATATTTACCTGTGTTGCCCTAAGTTGAGCTCTTGCAGGTGTAAATCTGGCATAAATTTCACCATTTTTCTGCTGTGAAAATGGTCGTGAGACGGACTATTTTCGGCAAGATTGACTGTTTTGCTGTGATGTTATCGGCTGACTCAAGTGGCGTAAGTCCGGGTCAATTCCCATCCATCGGAAGAGTTATGTCGTTCTGTTTTTTTGGTTCGTTGTGTAAATTTTGTTACTTAGTGTGGTACTGGTAACTGTTGATAGCTGGTAAGAGGAGTCTAAGTGTTTAAGTAGTGGACCAGCTTTCCAGAGTCGTCAATGTAATGATGACTTCCGCTTAGAGTATCGAAACGTCAGTCACTCCTACGGATAGCAGTCCCGCTCAGATCTCCTTTAAACCAGACAATCAGACTTCACGATCAAATGTTACTCCTGACTTCCAACCGTTTGTTGTGTTCTTGTTGTACATTGTTTTTGATATTTGCAGTTCCCTCGGATAGGAAGGTAGAAATTAATTAAATGTATATTTTCTCTTCTCCGTTAAGGTATTTCATGGACTCTTATTGACGAATCGTACTTGGACTGTTATACAGGATTGAAAGCTTGTTCTACGGATTGGAAAGAATTTCTTACCAAGCTCGGTGTCAAACACTTTTTGTCCATTAAAAGGAAACCAGTAAGGATACATCGAGACACTATGGTATGCTCTTAAATCTTTATTTCAGCATCCACCTGGTTATATATTTGTTTATACCAGATTGTTTTTATGTCATAACATATTACCTAGGTCTCTCAGTTTCATCTTAAGAGGTGCATTTTGGAAGTATGCATTCAGAAAAGTAAATAGACAGTATAGAAATCTATGCATGGTTAGAACGTTCAACTAAATATCTCCTTTTTCTATTTCTTTAGGCTAAAACACCTTGGGCGTCCTACGAAAACATTTGGCAGACAACTCCAGATGGCTTTTACATTATTAATGACTGGGCCTGCGAGCAGTTTGAAGAATTTCTTCGAAAGATTGACAGCACCGACGCTAAGCAACGAATCAGTCCTGAGGAGTCAAAGTTCTTGGCTCAGTGCATAGATGAACGTTGGGCTGACGAGTACGCACAGTATGCTGAAGAATTTGTCCACGTTGAAGATACAAACGGGCATAATCTCAAGGAAACTCGATCATCCTTTTACCTGAATCTCGTCACCAAACCGTGGATGGCCTCTACCGCTGGAGGGAAGGACTTCCATCTTCCAAGAGACCTCTTTGTGCGGAGTGAACTTGTTTATCAGCTACTTGAGAATCACGTAAACTACGTCGCAGCAGATTTAAAGAGCTCGTCTTTCATAGAAACTCTTCGAATTCGAGAAAACGTAGGCGTGGATGGGCTGATAAATGAGATGAAGAAGTGGTCAGGTGGCGGCTGTGAAAGGATGGATGGAAATCAACGAAAGGAATTTACGACTTCTGTTGCGCACATGAGCAGAGTGTATTTCTTTCTTCTTGAGAAAATGAATCAGAGTGGGGTAGAAAGAATGAAAGTACACGAGGCATTTCTAAAGAATGAGATGATATTTGTTCCACATCGCCCTCCAAGTCTCCAATCGGCTGGATTTTTTTACCTGAAGAAAGACGTTTGCTGGACAGATCCGACAGAAGTCTCTCGGAAGCTTCTTGAAGAACAAGACAAGATGACCACAAGGCCTTTATTGGAAATGTTCTATGGAAGCCGAAGTACCCAGGAAAGTCTTTCAGCCTTTTTTGTTGATCATATCGGTGTCGACGCGACACCTAATGTGGGTGAGTACATCGAAATGGCATCGACTGTTGCCGAAGTTTCTCGTTTTCCTTCTCCTTCATCTTTGAGCGATATGTTGCAAATCTTTGCCACCTTTGGAAGTAAATGCATCGGACGGGACCACAAACACAGCATGCGACTTGATCAACAGATCGACGCAAATATGGCTGCCTTTTTGAAACAGTCCTTACAAGACGACCAAATACGCATTTTCCCTACAACGGATAAATGGGTTGCACTTTCTGAGAGGCCACTAATAGCCGATGATAAAACTCTCTTGAAGATTTTCCAGAAGGAAAAAAGTGTCCACTTTCTTGACTTTGGAGATTTCTATCAACCTCAAAAGCGTCGCTCGTCTAAAAACAAGCCTCAAGAAGACCATGAATTAATGAAGCACTATGTTTCCTCGTTCTTGAATAGCTGTGGAGTAGCAACGTTGAGTAAATGCGTCAAGAAAGAGTTTACTCCAGGCGGCGCAGTGCAATACCAGTGCGTTCCCTTGCAGAAGCACTTCCACCAACTCATCCCATGTGTGCAACGTTTCCTATACTCCAGGTATCAATCGGTGTACAACGAACTAAGCTCTCAAGGATTTGCACAGAAACTGCCGCAGATGCAATTTGCCTCCGTACCAAGTTTGGCAACTGTGTATTCATTGTCCACACACCCTGAGGTTCACGTTCCCCTTGAAGAAAAATCCGGCATACAAGAGGCTGGGGGCATGTTCTGTTTATATGTCGTACAAGAGTATCAGGATAATTTAGAAGTCTTAAATGCCGAGATGATTAAGCTGTTAAGCTGTGGAGGGGAAAAACCGGGTGCTTCAGACCTCAACAACTTTTTGGTTGCTGTGAAAAATTACAATGGGAATGATCTTGACAGCTACTTGGAGGATAAGCAGGAGTTGGAGCCATTACCGGAAGACGAAGAACGGTGGATCGTTCCACCTCCTGAGGTACCCGAAATTGTAATGGATGATGGTGAAGAGGCTATGAATGAAGCAGTTCCTTTTCATAAGGAAACCGCCACCCCTTCCAGGTCAGGCGACGATGGTCTTCATTCCTGGCCACCAAAATCGTCTGCTCAATATGACAAGGCTTGTAAACGTGAAGGGGATCCCGGTGGTGAACACATTCTAAAGATTTGGCCCTTGCCGGAGCCTCCTGAAACTGTAGAGAAGCCCTTTAGAGAAGAGAATCAGGACTATTTGGTTCAGAGACCTACACAGCGTGATATTAATACCACAAGAGCGCCAGAGGCCATGTCGGAAAATCCCCTGAAGGGAGAGGCTAGGAAACCGGCGCAGGATAATCCTGGTGCAGTCGTCCCTAGGCAACAGCGCACTGAAAACGATGCACAGCAACCACCTGAGGTAATCGTTGACGATGCTTTGGTGAACAACCAGCAGATAAGTTCTCGCGAAACAGCAAGTGATTTGTGTCCCAATGAAATTGAGAACCGTCAGCACAATGCAAAGATCGTGGAGTCCCCTCCACCCCAAGTGCCCCTACCTGGGGAGATGACTTTCGTAACCATTCCTGGCGATGTAGCGAGGCAAACGTCTCCCAGCCGCTCCAATCTCTGGTTTGATGGAGGTCCTTCTGAAGTTGAATTCGAAGATCTACAATTTAATGATAATCAGAGGATCTTGGAGCGGATCCCGCTGTTGGATAACCCAAACAAAGAAGACATTGGTCGTTGGGGAGAACAGTGTGTGTTCGAGTTTCTCCAAGAGCAAGCACGAGGCCACTCTCCTGGCTTGGTTGAAATTGTCTGGATAAACGAAAACGGGAACACAACTGCGCCGTACGACATTGAGATTCGACAACATATCTCAGGTGTTAAGGAGAGTGACAAACGCACTGTGGTAACGTTCGTTGAAGTGAAGACCACTTCCTCAGATCAAAAGGACTCTTTCGAGCTGTCCGTTCCGGAACTTCAATTCGCTTTGAAGCACCAAGTCGCCTTTCACCTTTATCGTGTTTTTAATGCAGGCAAACCTGATATTGTTCGAATTCGCCGTTTGCAAAATCTTGCCACCCACTTAGAGAAGAAGACCGTAAAACTGTGTATGGTTATCTGAAGATTGTGGGCGGAGTAACAATACTTCACTATGAATGAAAACTTTTGGGTGATCTAAAAGTTATTAGGTTGTTAGAAAGTTAAGATGATGCAGTTTTAGCGGTATATTTCAAAATCCTTGTAAGAAAAAAGGAAATGGTCTGATAAGATAATGAGAATTTAAACAATGTAGTGAACAATCAGCTACAGATGTGCAGTCTTGACGTTTTTTCGAATTTTTTTAAAATTTTATTTTCTCTTTAAGTCACATGATAGTTTCATTTGGTATTTTAAGTTTTTAACTATCGTTTAATTTTGTCATTTTCCTCGTACTGCATGGTTTAAAGGGGAATTATTGGAAACAATTGAATTGATGTTGACTCTGAATAGCTTGCACAATACTTGAGATCAAAAAAAGAAAGCCTAGGAGTAGCACAGAATAATGGAAAAACCATCAAACAGAAAAGTGTACTGAGAAAACAACAAAAAAGACAGCGGAGGTACATCAGCTGACCTTAAACCAGTTCTACATATGGTGTTCACTTTCCCAAGTTGTTTATTTCTCAAAAAAATTTACTGTAAATTGAAGTCACTCCAATGTTGTACCACTGTAATCTAAATTTTGATCGGACTGTACATTTTATTTGCGTTTAATATTTTAATGACCCTCAAACAATTTATGCTATACATTTCCAAATGTACCCATTCTTCCACAAGGGACAAGCCTTATAAAAAAGGAATCAACAACCCTAATTTTTTAGACCAGCCTTAATGCATTAATTTATAGCATAGTTTCATCGTCCTTATAAGGAAGAATAAAATGCAGTCTAACTGTTAATGGATCTCCTTATTTACACATAAGGGGCGAACGTCATTCCATCTAAATGATTAAGAGAGAGAGGAACAATTGCTTCTTTAATTTTATTATGCAAACCCGCAGAAACAGATGCTGGTGTCATGATAAACAGGTCTACAAAAGTACAACATACAGAGCTTCCAAGTGTTGGAATATTGTAAAAATATATGACAGTTTGATCTCCATCCACATAGCAGACAGGCAGAGTCACATCATCACTGCTGAGACCCACAAATTGTACAGGATGACTAATTTCTTTGAGGGCTGAAGGGCAATTGGCCACTGAAAGATACAATCAGATTACCGGTTGTGGTTGATTACTTGCATTCAGGTAATTCACATGTGCCACTGGTTTTGTGACAAATTACCAATAGCAAGTTTGATATGCATGTATCCCTGCTTTTTTATTTGCATTTGAAGATTCATGTTTTTAATATTCTGTAAAGTACAAGTAAGTTCAGAGCCACCTTTATTTTGCAATGATATAAGTTGCTAACTCTGATTATACTGGCCTATAAGGGTATTTGTTTGAAAAATTTTTAGTAAAGAACTGTACAAATATTGTAGCACGGAACAATCAAAGAATTCAGCCACCTTAAAAGCAAGCAGGGCTCTGAAAGAACAGGTGAGTGACCCATGCTGGTGTCATGATAAACAGGCCTAGAGTGGCACAGTGATGGGGAGGGAGGTACTTTAAGGGAAGGAACTGCTATCAGAATTCTACAAATGGTAAAGAGATGAATAGTTGTGCTAAGGAGCTGCTTCAACTTACCAACATTCTGCATGCTTCCTTCCTCGGATTCATTAATTCTTTAGATGGTTTCAGTTTTTTTCACTTTTATTCTTGGCAATTAGTTCCTGACATGAAATAGTAATCTTGATTTAAAAATTTAAAACAATGATAGGCAGCACAATAGTAATTCATTAAATATCCCATGAAGAAATTACATGTATATGCGATTGATGCAATTTTTGTGATTTAATATTGTCCTTGGTCCACACATATGTAAATATGTACACTTTGATCAAATTTTGTATATACATCATTCTTATCACCAGAGGCAATCAGAAAAGAAAATTCAGTTTAAGGAAAATAACACATCCAGCTGTAATCTGATGATTTTCAGGCTTAATTTATGCCAGATTTACACCTGCAAGAGAAAACTTGTGCTATCCTCTGAAACAATCAGATTCAAAACTTGCTTTGAGCAGTCTACTTACTTTTGCTGTAAATTTTCATTGACTCGTTATGATATTTTCTTTTCATCTCATTGGCTTTATTGATTACTAAGGTTTGGTTTTAAGGACACTCATATGAAATGTGCTCTCATTCAGTTAATTGTCCTTGGTTTTTGTATAAGTGCTGTTATTGTGCACATTTTTTTTTTTAACTTGTCCACTACATTTTCTCAACACCAAAACCAAAACAAAACAAAAATCAACAACAAATTAACAAAAATGGTTTCAAAATACCTGTAGGGCAGCTGATGAATGTCAACCCATACTTGGTGGAAACAGCCAGCAAGCTTGAGCGAGCAGTGGGTAAATTTATTGGTGAATCAAACATTCTCATTTTCCTCATTTGTTTGAAGCTAAAATCCTGTTGAAAAACTATTAAAAATATTTCAACACAAATGTTAAAAAATATTTAACAACTACAGAAGCCTTGACTGTGCTCTGTCCTGTTGTAAAGCATCCAAGAAGCAGCTAGAGCACAAAAGAAGTGTAGGGAGAAACACAAGACATAGTCAACAGTGTTTCTCCTCAGTTCTTTTGTGCTCTAGCCACCTACTAAGTTGCTTTACAACAAAACAGAGCACTGTCAAGGCTTCTCCATTTGTTTAACAATAGAGAATCCATTAAATTCCCCATGCATCACTTCTAGTTTATAACAACAGTATCATTAGCATGCTCGATACTCTCATAAAATATGCTACATTAAGCCAATCAGAATCCTTGCTAGAATGGCTCAGATAATCTGATTGGTTGAACAAGACTAGAGTTGTTGACAATGTCAAACCATCAAAGGTCGCAATCTGAAGTAGTTCACAAACTTAAACAGTTCAGCTGGTTGAACATAACACTTTTGCCTGAATTTTTTTTATCAGTCTGAATACAGTGTCTGAAAGTGAAATGTTGAATGCAATAGGGCCAAATTGTGGCTTATAAAAACACACAAGATTTTTCACTTCACAAATAGGAAACAAACTGCTTAAGATGTGAGTTTTATGACTAAACAACTGCTGAATTCTAAGCAACATGAACATTGCTTGGGATCACAGTGCCATAAAACTCCACTTCTGTAATGGATGTGACCTCAACAAGGATATCAGAGCAAGCTCTTAGTTGCTCACTCAAAGGGCTGCTGATTTAATTTCTGAGGCTTGCTTCACCACAATGACCAGAGATCCCCATGATGAGCTAGCCATGATGGCAGTCACTCTGACACCATCATGATTTGTATGAGTTTTAACAGTTATGCCAATTTGGTTACACTTTCATCATTCATGTTTTGTTCTGTCTTTATTTTTATGACAAAAACCATATATACTATACAAGTTTTAGTGGTGCTTGATTTTTATTAATGTCCATAAGCTTAAAAAACTCAGATTGTTCGCTTTCTCTTTAAGGATTTTTGTCTCTTCTCTCATTATAATAATGTCAATTACAGCACTTGGTATGTTTACCAACCTTTGTTTGCTCACTTGTTCTGAAATTTCACTTTCAATTAACAAAAAAAAGCTAGAGAGAAGTCTGGATAGTGGTGGGACATAGTACAAATTGGCAGATTGCGTGACAGCTTTAGCTCAGTTCCATGTTTTGTAAGGTAATTTGGTATTAACATTTGAGTTGGTTTCATAAATTGGCCACTGTTAAGAGTTTCAAAGCTGATGTTTCAAACATTAGCCCTTTCTCAGAGCTATAGTGAAGGACTCTAATGTAGGGATAACACTCGAAATGTCAGCTTTGAAACTCTTAATGGTGGCAAATTTATGTTACCAACTCAAATGAGAATACCAAATTACCTCATTATGTTCTCCCACCAATGCAGCACCACAGTTTCTTTAGAAATTAAACTTACCCTTTCTATCCATGTTTTGTACTCTGACAGAGCACGCTCATTCAATCAACGACAGCACGCGTTATATCTGAACTTTATCATAAAACTCACTACAATTTACGGCTAGTACATTGTATGCAGGAAGTCTACAGTTGCTGTTACTGATACAAAGTTAAACATAATTGTACATTACATTTGGAGAGCTATTTGATACAGCTTCCCGAATACACATGTTGACTGGTGCCATACCGCAAACACGTATGTAGCAACAAAAAACTGATTGCCCAACCACCTTTTAAAAGACGATTTCATTAAAATAACAAAAAAATAAATGGTGTTTAAAGAAGTGAAGCCAGTTGAATTGCAGGTTAAACTATTTTTTTGCAACAGTTTGCCAGCACCAAGTTCTTTTGGAGTTCTAAACCTTAACTGTGGAAATTGTGTCCTCTTAAACTCCATGTTGATAAGAATTTAGCACGAACTATCTTGGACTTTCCAGGAGTTGTCGAAAGTTTCATAAAAGGTGTCTCATCGTACGCTATTTGAACCAATCTGAAATTCGTCCATGTCATGTGTCCATGTGATGAAGCTAAAAGTACAAAATACCTTCACATCTCTCTGCGGGGGAACTTCTTCGTCTTCGCTATCCGCCATTATGACGGCACTCAGTTTCTTATTATTTGTTTATGTACAGGAACTAAGCTATTTCAGTGTATCACTTGAGGTTGTAGAAACAGTTTACCGAGTGTTGTCCGCCATTTTGCTTACGTGACTTGCACTGGCTATTGGTTGCAAAAGAGTAGGAACGAGGAAATGGAGAACAATAATCAAGAAGTAACGCCTGATCGAAATCATGATTCTCAGAAACCTTTCGAAGAGCATGAACCGGTTTCTTGGAAAGATGATGCCATAAATTTCTGTGTTTTTAATAGGGTGAGCATTTAAACCAACCTGTTGTGGTTTTGACGTAACGGTAATTTTTGCATTGTCACGCAAGGTCTTACCACAGTTGACGGCGAGGTTTTGCTAGAACATACCGACGTCGAACCTGCCAGTTCTTGACACGAAAAGTTTGGGGGAACGATTAGAACGAATGATCAGTTTTTGCACGTTTCTATTATGCAATTGACAAGCTTTGCCATTGTTTAGCATCTTTTGTCGCGGTATTGTTAGCAGCTATGGCGAGTGGCTCGAAATCGACCGAGAAGCCAGGAACACTGGATCAACTCAAGAAAGAGGTTGTTGAAATTTTACGTTCTTGTGACGGTAATTGTTTGAATATTTCTAAATTCAAGTGTAAGTATGAGCAAATGTTTGGGAGAACTTTTGAGGAACACTATAGTGCGTTGTTGAAAAGAAAAAAGTTCAGCATTTTTATGGCGGAGTTAGATATTGTTGAACTCCAAAAAAACGGAAGCAGCATTCTAATGAAATGGAAAGAATCGAATCCATGCAAGCTTAAATCGTCCGGTTCAGGCGCTGACTGTCAGCAGGAATGGTCAGATTCCAATGAAGCTAAATTAGAAAAATCACGACGCAGAGAAAGACTCTCTTCGGCTGAAGATCTTCTAAATGTTGCAAGTACAGCTACCGTCTCACCAGGTACTAAGGATGAAAGCAAACGGGATATGACAGATCCATCACTGGTAAAATGTGCTACACCCGTGACTGTCTCACCTCAATCACAGCCAACTTCAAGTGTTGAAAACAAAGGCATGTGAATCAGTATTTCCCTATTCTGTTTAAAGCTTTTATTTTAAATGTGCACGATATAAAAGGAAACAGGGGGTTGCAAAAAGAAGAAAATAGGTGAGTGTGTTAGGTACTGCTGATACATGTGGCTGGGTCAATTTCGTTGCTTTGATATGTAGGGAATATTTTGGTTCTTGTCTTGTAGCCCAAGTTGTCATTATGGGGACATTTTTTTTCTAGTCACGCAGCAACCTGTCCCGATCGATCTTCCCGCATTGTACCTAGTACATGTATCTATGGTCAACAGTGAAAGAGAAATAAACATTTGCATAAAATCTAATGATATTGCGCAGTATTCTTTTTCCTTTTTTAAGCGAATAATTTTTAACTGATGGATACGCGATAGCGTAGAAACGAGTTGTTACGGGCACATTGAGATATGCAAATTAGCGTGGACTCTTCGAAATTAGTTGTAGTTTGTCGGCTCCGAACTCGAGATCTATCCTTCCGAAGAAGTCCGAAGTCCTGGCGCCATTGTTATTGCATCGATGGTTGCGATGTTTATTGTCTTTACACGGCTGTTACGACATTCAGAAAATTGAAATGGACTTCGAATTTTTCAACTTAGTGCTATGATCAACTTAGGGACCAAATCCAAAGGGTCTTCGAATCGTCCATGCACTTAACATAACGAGTAGCAGCGAGAATCACGCAGAGTTTGTGACTACACACGGGGGCTTTTTGGTGTATGATGCATGTGTTTCCCATGAGTTAGTTCATCATATCAGTTATCATGACAGCAGGTGCGAAATTGTAGAGCGCGTCAGCGGAATCGCGCGCTAGATTGAAAAAGGAAAACAAGATGGCCGTCGCGGATAAATCAGCTGTTGTTTCGTTAAGAGAGGAACTCTCCCATGAATCAATACTACAAGAAGCGAGAAGTTGTGAAGACGAAGAATTTCTATTCTTTCTTTCGAGAAGGGAGAGGCAGAGCCATGTCCGCATTGAGAATTATTTTGAACATATTAAATCACTCTACAGTGTTTCAGATTTTTTAAGTCATTTTTGGATGTCAAGAACTACAGTCAGCTGTTTGGAACGCTTGTTAGCTACTTGCCTAGGTCTGCCTCATGGACAAAGGAATGGCGGGAGACCTACCTTCGACTTACAGAAGCAAGTAATGATTACGATACGGATACTTGGGAACCCTGATGCCTGCGATCAGTGGCCGATCGATTTAACATTACAAAATCGAGTTTATTTCGTGTTTATCGCAGAATTTGTGGAGCGATTGCCAACAATCTCTCCGGTCAATATATGAAGTACCATATATTGAAGTAGTTGACAGAATGTCTGGTGGTGTTTAAGAAAGTAAAATTCTTACAAGCCCAACTGCCTTTTCTTTTCTTCACAAATCCTCACCATATTTTACAAGGTTTTTCTGCCAATTCTTTACAAAAGATGATATGGGTTCCTCAGTTTATTAGACTTAATACTGCTAACATGGACATGTCAGCCGCACTCACAGAAACGCCGTAATTCTAGTTTGGCACCTCATATTTTTCAAAAAAGAGTTTTTGAAAAGAAATCAATAGAAATTACTTATTTAGACGTTGTTTTTTCTTCGGTTCATTGGAAGAACACAAGTGAAAAGTCACCAACACTGAAAACAGAAAATACTTTTAGTCCTTACCCATGATTTAGCTGTAAAGGCCAGGAGCTTAATGGCACAGTAATTTAATATGATGATTTGAGATGAAGCAATGTTCCCAGTACATAGTCAGAATGATCTGACTGTACCAGGTACATGTACTTGTATTTCAAGGACCTGGTTGTTGTTGAACCCACCACCCTCCATTACCAGTCTGCTGCATTTTAATACTTGACGAACTGAACTGGCCGGTAATAATACAATCGGAGGCCATTCTGAAATAAGATCTGCAAGTGTTGTTGACCCACCTAAATTGATTGATGACAATTATACAGTTATGTACTGGTGCAGAGATAGCTATGGTAACTGTTACTGTTGAATGCACTGTTTCCTTCTACTCACCCAAAACTCCATAATTTTTGTGTCTGTAGCTTTAAGAGCCCAACGACATAGGACCCCATCACAAAACACAAAACTCTCTACTGGAAATCCACAGGCCCAATCATTGCCATTTGCTGAAATAAGGCAACAACAAGCTGAAGAAGAAATGCAGTTTGCTATCGGAGGCCTCCCTTCTCCTCATGCTGGCCATGAAAGGCCACTACCAGAGATGAACATGCCGAGTCCAGCAGGAAGAGAGCATCTTTTTCCACTTCCTAAGTACAATGAAACAAGGATTCGAGAAGTTGGCACTCCAGGTCCTTTTGAGAAGTCAATCAGCCATGCCCATAATGAAATGAATAGCATAACAAGCAAGGGAAAATCTGTGAGAAATGCTACTTTTCGTGAAGTTAACAAGGCAGCAGAAGAGATCATCACTTCCTTGTCAGAAAAAGATCGCTTTGTTGGTCTGGAGAAGGTAAAAGCTGCCCTGTGCAAAGAATTTGGAAAAACAAGTCTTTCTGCTTTTGGTTTCAGAACAGAGAGAGATATTCCTGCCCTGAAGGAGCTAATTGAAAAGCAGGCTAAAGTGAGTTAAATTTTATGTAAAGTAGTCACGTTTGGAAGATCCCATCCCTTTTTCAGTTCTTTTTATGCAGGACATGATTACAAGAATGTTTGCTTAATTGCATGTTCAGTACCAGTTCTTGTCCATTTTTCAGAGTTTTGAAGTCCCTGACCTTGGTATGGTTCTGTTGTTCTGTATTGCAATCTGTTGACACAACATTTTAAAGAAGTGGCATATTGAGAAAACTATGACCACCTAAAATATTTTGGCTATAACATTCTTGCATTATATCCACTCATGGTTCAAATCAGGGAAAGGCATTTATTTGACCACAAAACCAAAAACTAATCATGGTAAAAATGCTGCTTTCAGTTCAGTTACCTCACGTCCTATTGGTTCCTTCCTCTAACACAATGTTTAATTGACACGACAATGATAGATTAGTAGAAGCAAAAAAGTCACATTCAATTTATCTGATCTATTTTATCTGTGTGAATCCCGAAGGTCAACTTATTCGTCCATGCGTACGTCATGTCAAACAGCATCTCCACTTTGTACGAATTGAACCAAAGCCTTTCTGATTTGTTTTTAAAATCAGACTTCGAGGAGCTCAATTTGGGTCCTCTTTTGAAACAGCCTGTGGTGTATGACATGTTTAAGGCTCCTCAAGGTCTTCCCCAGGTACCTCACGTGACAACTATTCAGATTTTGAAGCACTTGGAGAACTACATGGACAAGGAAGATCTGTGGCGCAAGAAAGTTGATTTAGAGAAATTCATGGAGTACCTCTCTGAAGAGTATCAGTGTGGCACTCCTTTTGAACTTGGCGTCCGGATACAGAGCATTGGACTGGCTATCTCGGTAATGTTACTCAATATTTTGCTTTACGTTCCTTTATTTTAAGCTCAAGATCAAGTCTAACAAAGTGCGCGCGTTATTTGACCTTTCAAAATCATTATTATACGTCTCTGGGTTGGCCCAAAGGGAAGTAAAGCATCAGTGAACGAGCACCCTTGATATCCTTCAGCGACCTCATTTTGATTAATCAATATGGGCTTTTTATTTGTTTTAACTAATTTTTTAGGTGATTAAAAAAGCCAAACGTTGCGAGAGCGAGAAGTGGAAAGATATCAGAGAACAGGTGTCAGCTGACATGGACGAAGAAATCCAGAGACGCTTGCAAAAAATCAAGAAAGATCTTCTTGGACAAGATCATGGCGACTCAAGGAGCTGTGTCAAGAAATTTCTCGACACATCCCCATCAGACGCCCTGAAGGCGGTGTTCAATTGCTGCTTGGAGATGTTTGATGGCAGTCGTGAAAAAAGGATCACTCAGTTCCTAACCACAGTTATTGAGGATTCGCTCGGGAGGCAATTATTTCAGCTTGCACTCTATATGAGTTGTAAGCGTCTGTTGGGAGACGCCTTGGAAAACCTGGTTAATGAGAGAGTGAAGACAGAGCTCGAGGCAGCCGCCAACCTGGCAAGTCACACGGAGACAGACACAGGGCCAGATCCACCAAGCGAAGGTTTGATATTTTTTGTTTTAGTTTATTTTGGGGAAAACATTCTGAAACCACCAGGCTGGATTTCGAGCTAAGAGCGTGCTGTACTTCCACGCTGTATAAGGAACTTATCGCGCTATTGAGGAAACTACAGTACCACTCGCGTATACGTTAACAAAATAACGCGAATAAAACGCGCCAAAAATCGCATGCAATTGCGAATTTAAACAAATCGTGTGCGTCAAAAAATCGCACGTGCGCGCATAAACTTGATACATCTGCCTCGTTAGTATGTTTGAAGTAGTCTTTTTGTTTTCCTATTGTTTTCCTAGCTGGCGGTTTATCGTTTTAAAGAATAAACTACAATGTGATAGCACGGTTTACCAACGACAAGCAAACTTGTTCGTTTCAATCACCGTTCGAACCGACCTTCCCGATATGCTGTTACTAATGCGACTTCGTAATTGGAATATTTAAATTCCGACGGAATTCTTATATCAAAATAACTATTTCTTACTTCGTATAAAAAAATCCGTCACAAGGGTTTGGAATTTGTTCAAAATAAATTTATTCACTGTGTATCGTAATTCGGTAGAATTAGCTAAGCCGCCCTTTTGTAACCCGTTGTCGCGTTCTGAATGTAAACACACGCGTGAATGCTTATTTCATAGCTTTTGTCATCGGTGAACATGCTGTTCTCGAAAACTGGTGCATTCATCCCGCCATTTATACAAGAACTAATAAGTTCTAATCGCTTATTTTGATGGTCTTTATAGATAGTTCATAGATAGTTCATTTTAATAATTTTTCATCGTTTGATATGTGTGTGATAGGAATTATTGTCAAAGAAGTAAATGAGTGGTTGAATAAGGCGGAGCACACTGACCTAGCGACGCTAGCCAGAATTGAGGAAAATGTCATGAACAGATATTCAGAATTTGATGGTTTTGAAGCGTTCGGTTATGGTTCCTTCCTGAAGTTCTTGATGAAACACAAAGCGCTGCGTGAAGCCATAGCTGAGGTTGGTGGAATTGCTTCGTCTGGCAAAAGAGGAACCGGGCTTGGACTTCGAGTGTCACTTGATAGTGTGCTAGATTTTATATCTCAGTGCGGAACTGAACCATCTCCGGTAAGTAAAAATTACAATTTTATTAATTCCAGCGTTTAAATATGAAATAACACGAACAAAAGCAATCTCAAAGCGGAGGAATACTGTAATTCGTGTCTTGTGGTAACAGATCTTAGAAAATCGTATGGAAAAATCTTCGGCTTACTTTATTCGCTGTAAATAAACTTACATCGGTACCAACCAGCAGCTTAAGGGATCTTAATTCGTTCACTTAACACATAACCACATATTAAGATCAAAATTTCAAAATGTACGTTACGTTTACGGAGACTATTGGTCACATTTACCCTTTACAATCCAACATCAGTATGCACATTCTCCGCACTGTTTTGAAACGATTTTTACATGTACTGTATGATACTGACAAGTTGTACTGACCTATAGTTCGTAGTAGTATCGTTTTTTTTTTCTCATGACTTTAATATTAGATCAAGAAGTGATATTTTTTGGCGACATTAGCAGCTTGTCATTCTAAGGGGTAAAAGGTTTAATTTAATGGACGGTGATTTTCATCAAGTTTGAACGTAAGCCTATCCTGTTGAGTGAGCTCACTTCTTTTGCCTTTTGTTTAGGAGTCCATACAACAGTACTTGTGTGATTACTACAATGTCAGTAAAGTGACGGATCTCGGATTTGGGTCCGCTGCGAATTTGGTGAAAAAAGCTGCAGAGCGAAAGAAGAACTTAGTAGGGGCGAACATTCCTTCGATTGTTTACGAAGCTGCTCTTTTGCGTCGCAGCTCTGGAGTGGGAGATACGGATGGCACCAGCCTAAGCACGCGTAGCGGTGGTGTTCTGGGTTTTAAGAGTAAAGAAGAAGCTTTAGAAGCTATAAAAAGCACTCCCCTCCTCGAAGATGTTTCCCTCTGGACTCACTGGGATGAGGTTTTCGGTGGAGAGGTCTCTAAACTTGGCGACCTAAAGTCATTTTTGGAAAATGAAGGGATTCTTTTGAGTACCAGAAAGACATCTTCCAAAAGTCGAAACCTTCTGGTTGTCATGGAAACATCTCCTGGTGTTCTTCTGCGAGTCACTATGGACACATCGCCGGACATGTTTAGAGAATGCACGCGTCACCGAGATGTGATAGGAGCGACTGGGCATTTGGTTTCCATGGTAATGATGAATGGCGGTGTTTCTAACACCCCAGTGGCTCTTTTAGCCAATCATGTACAATCGTCATTAGTATCAATGGGAGTTGACGACAGAAGTGACTGCGATCATCGATCTACTTTTGTTCTTAAATGTTTGACCCGTATGCCACTCAGATTAGCACGGGCAGTTGGAGCAAAGGTGTGTATTAGTACTTACGTAGATCGTCGGCTAACCTTTTGTATGAACTCAGACTAGCGTCAAGAGCGCGTCCTGCTCTTCCTCTCCCAGTCTTCCGGATCATCGTAAATGTTGCCCTTATTAGCTTCAAAACATGGCTACTTTAGTGCCGTAACGGACTTGGTTAGGAATGCTTTTGTCAACTCAGTAATATAAGATGGACTGAAAGCGTCAAGCATAGGGCTTCCTTTTGGTTTTAGGCTACCGCTAAGAGGAGCATCAGCGTACAGGAGGCTTGAAACAAGCATTAATTATAATCACTGTTATGCGAAAGATACGATGTTTTTGCCATTAAAAAAAACATTTTGAAGTGCGAAGATAACCGGCGCTCTAAAGGCTTTTGCTTTTTTAGCAACTGAGTTGATAATACAAATTGGCCACCATAGAGAGGTTATGAAGCTAACGTTGCGAACGTTAGCCTTTCGTCAGAATGAACAGAAGAATTGTGACTTATGTGCCGTTTCAATACAGGAATATGGGGCTACACCAAGGCTTGTCATGAAGTCTCTCATGTAGTCTGTGAATGGGTTACTCAAGTACTTTGATTCGCAATATTTCTTCGTTGTTAGACTGAAAATTTGGCCTTTTTTTCCCATAGTTCATTCTAACCACCAGTCTCTGTTGTCTAGGTTTTCTTTGAGCCTCTCAAAAAGTTAGTTGGCGCAACCGAGATAGCATCCTTGCTGCTTAGAAGCTGCTTTACCCAGTCTCAACGTGACCGTCTTCACCTCCTGGGATTTGTCCTGGGGATAGGTGAGTGGAGAGATGACTTTCTCAGCAGAGTTGCGTGCAAAAGAGAGGAAGACGAAGGCTTGGTCTTCGGTAGTTACAGTGATGACGAACAAAAGAGACCGATTGCTGTTGTCAAGCCTGTTGCGGCTCATATTTCGTCAACGTTGCAGACAGAGGTGTGTAGACTGAAATTTCCTTTGATCTTTTTTGAAGCGTATGAAGATTGTGAAACATAGCTGTTGGAATTGCCCCCTTTTGGTACCTCTTATATAATCTTTTTTGTGTTGTATGATCTTAGAATGGCCTTTCCTGGTGTAATGACTATGGTAACAGCTAATTTTTTTTCAGACTTCCACGGAAAGTGAACCAGAGGGCGATATAGCAGTTTCTCAAGATCAGGAAAACTTTGCTGAGAAGGCTGGAGACGAAGGTATTTTTTGCAGGCCTTTATTCCTTCTTTGCTTCCTTTATACCTCCTAGTTTTCCTTTTATCTTTTGCGTTCTTTATTCCTCGCTCATTGTCTACTTAATCTATAATTTCTGCTGAGTACTTTTATTTTCGGACATTCTATTCCTCTTTCCGGCCCAGTAGCCAAACCCTTCACATCATGATGATGTGACCTTGATCCATAATCCTAAATTTTGTCGCCTTTTTTTTCCCAATCTTAACAGTTACATCGAGCACTCAGGATGAATTTCCAGAAGTACCTCCCACTCCTTGTGCTCCTCCCACTCAGCAAGAAGATGAGTGCAAAGCAGTAATCGATCAAATTCGCCGAGATGACTTTGGAATCGGTATTGAGCTCGGAGAAGAGGAGTCCAAACTTGTCCAGCGACAGCGCGAAAGAGAGGGTCGTGGCTTAGCACGTCTGTCCAGTGAGCTCTACTCTAGGGACACCCACTTTGTGTTGGAGCTCGTTCAGAATGCAGACGATAATTCCTACCCAGAGGTGTGCTCTGACCCAGGATTTCCGTCCCTTTTGTTCGTCCTCGAGCGGGACAGGATCGTGATACTGAACAACGAGATTGGATTTGAGGAGAAGAATATCCGTGCGTTGTGTGATGTCGGAAGAAGTACCAAAGGGAAACATCGTTATGGCTACATTGGTAAGTGGGTACATATGAGTCTTGCATTATAAAATTAATTTCACCCAATCCAGCAATGAAAATTAATTCTCATCCAGTTTGCGCACACAAAAAGTTACAAGGATATGACTGCAGATTAATTAAATTGAGGATCAACGCTTATCTACGCTAAAGTTTTCCTAGAGGAATGTTTCCACCTGAAAACCTTTCTTTTGATTTTGCGTACAAAATAGCTTGAAATTTCAAAGTCACAAAAAACTACAGATTTAGTTACGGATTTAATTTATGCCTATTTAAACGCAAGGTTTTCCTAAAGGAAAGCGTTCGCGTGTAAATGTGTAACGCAGAGTCTCAGTACTTACACACGATATACTTTTAGAACACCTTTCTGTTGGGTCAGCATTATGATCTACAACATGGAATGATAGAAATTTACTATAGATGTTCATTGTTCTGCGCAATTTAAGGACAAAAAGGTATTGGTTTCAAGTCAGTCTTTCGGGTTACTGATTGCCCCGAAGTCCATTCCAATGGATATCATATTCGATTTGACGCTAAAAGCGGGCCGATTGGTTACATTCTTCCTGAGTGGATTGGAGGGAATTGTTCGGAGGAAAAAACCATGGAGGATTTGGGAGACGAATCTAATGATGATGAGGAAGGAGATAATGGCGGTGGAGTAAGCAGCTCCGGGGATGAATTTAGCTGGTGAGTTGAGACTTTTATACTCCTTCCGACAGGAGAATCCTTGGTGAATTGTCACGCACAGAAACAAGTGTCTAAACTGTGCATGTTTTCAAAATGAATTGTTTCAGGAGAGATTTAAACAAGACCTTCAACTTAAGTCTTGGTGCCACTCGAACGCTTTGCAAACTCATTATTTTGTTTGCTTGTTACATGGTTTATTCAAAATGCTTTCTTATTCCTCCTTTTTCCCCTGTAGCTGGCCGACTCGCATAGTCCTGCCATTAAATGATGAACATCGACAGAACGAGAAGTCCTCTCTGGCGCCCAGGTTTCACGATATTCGTCCCTCACTCTTGCTATTCTTGCATCGTTTGCGAGGAATCTTTATTCAAGACAAGGTGGATTTCAACTCTGTGTCAGCAAATTAAAGTACTCATTCTTCAGCAGGTTTCTATACAAAAATAGGCAATTAAGACTCCAGACAAAAACTCGTAATTAGTATTGACTCTCAACGATGCAATATTAATTTTGGTGAATTTCAGTTCTCCTTTTGCTCCTTATCGTTGTTGTTGGTGGTATTCTTATTCATAGCAGCAGCAAGTGCCATGAACACCATCAAATATCGAACCACACAATTGTCAGATAACATTCTAAATTGTAAAAGGTAAAACTCGCCTCTGCTAATTCTTCTTCCTTTCAATGCAACAGTTTTCCTGTTCGAACCAGTCAGTTTATTTTTGGCTCTCTGAACGGATTGAAATCTGAGCCATTTCCATATTTCTCAATCTGATCACGAAGTTGCCAAGATCAAAACTTTATGCCCTCTACATTTGCGGCTTTTACTACTTGGCTGAAATTGCCGAATATCGCCTAACCTTTCAACTTTTCTCCAGGTACATAACAGTCGCAGTGAAATGATAAGGAAGGACCTGGGAGATAATATCATGGAAATCAAGCACACCAAAGGCACAGATCGGTGGCTTGTTATCAAGAAACAGCTTGATGCTTCAAATGTAAGATGAAAGCTTGCGATTATCTTAAAAGTACAAATGTATTGTCGTTTTACTGCTGATAAGGCCGGCAATCAAAGTTTGTTATCATTAAAATCATTGATATGTAAGTGTTGCCAGGGACGATTGCAAGTACTTGTGCATCACACCGTCTTCATATTTATTTATAAGGCATTTGTACGAATTTTTCGTTTGTTTAGTTTTATTGCCGTCATCTCTCATTCTACACTGATTTGATCGTTTAAGATTTTAATCGGGTTTTGTGAAAAGCATATTGCCAAAGCCGGACTTCTTATTTTAATTGCTTTTGTCACTTAAATTCAATTCAGATGAAAGAGGATGTAGAGATGACTGAGCTGGCGCTAGCTTTCCCTTTGTTTGATGGCTTAGGCAGTACTTCAAGTCTACGGATTAGGCATCAGGTAAAGTTTACCATATCACACTTCAGTTCTTGGCCTGTTTTAATGTTTCCTGAAAATGATAAGGAGTGAGAGCCAAGCGAAAAGGGTTTTCTGGAATCCCCTGGAATAAAATCACATGAGAAGAAATGTATATCTCTTACAAAACCTGTTGAAATTAATCTACATTATACACCTGCAAAAAATACGAAAATATTTTCCTCTCGAAGAGCTTATCTTCCCCAATTTAATGTTGCTTGAAATGTTTGAAAAATTATAAAATTGTAGTTGTAAAACACGTAAGCAACATATGCAACATTGACTGAGGGGTGGGGGAGGGAAGTGTCTTGTCTTCATAGGGACAAAGACAAGGGCAATAGAATCTGGCAAATTTGCGCGCTTAAAGTAGCACAATGGATCTAGCTCATCTGTTCTCTCTATATCCCTTGCAACAAAGGAATATAAAATATGCCCAAGTACATGTATACCTGGGCAAATTTCGTGATCTTCTAAGAGTAAAATGAAAACAACGAATGGCACTCTAGCAAGTTTTTGTATATAGAGATATATATATGTATACTCTGTAACTATGTGAATATTTACTTTTATCGGCAACACGGTTACCTAACGGTTAGCCGTTGGAGGTAACCTTGCGATGAACTTGCATCTCATCCAGGTATAGTAACGATACCCCTAGACGTCTAATGTCACGGGAACCAGTATAAGCTCCAGCGCGATGGGTTACTTGGTTTGAGTGTATACGTTAGGCAGCTTTTACTTTTATCAGGGGAAGGCAGGCTTAGAATGTATTTTACTTTATATCTTCTACAGAACCTCCCGCCACAGAATGTGTTTGCGTATCTTCCCCTGAGAAGTTATGGTTTTCGATTCATCATTCAAGGTGACTTTGAGGTTCCTTCCTCGAGAGAGGATGTTGACAGTGACAAATCCTGGAACCAGTGGCTAAGGGAAGAGATTCCACAACTGTTTATTGACGCTCTTTCGGTGTTCATGGTAGGAAGACGTGTAGTTGTTCTAATCAGTCATTTTGTTTCTAGCTTCAAACCCTCTAAATTAAGGAACCAAATCTTAAGATTTTGAAATTTTAGGACTCAAACTTCAAAGTAATTTAAATATTTCTTTCTCTAAAGGTTCACCCATCCTTTTCCGGCCTCTCCTCGGTGGTTTCGTATCTCCAATTTGTACCGCTTGAAGAGGAAATCCTCGACTTCTTCTCGCCTGTTGCACGCCATATTTTAAAACTTCTTCAAAGCAAGTGTTGTATACCTGTTATCGTGTCCAGAAACGAAACTGAGGAACCGACCGAAGCTGATAATGGAAAGAGCTACAATTGGGTTCTCCCCACTGAGGCTATTTTTTCCGAAGACAGCGTCATACAGGAGCTTATAACTCCTTCCCTTTTGAAGGAGCACTTAGGGTTGAACTACCTTCACCCTGAAATTGTTCCAGCCCTAAATCCCACCCTTAGATCCCGTCTCGGAATCGAGACTTTGTCCAGCAGGCACTTGATGGACATTGGCAGAGCGGAGGTGAAAAAGGCTTCAAATGAATCAGATGAACCCACATCCCATAGTAAGGACTGCAAACTGGATGTTGTGAGGATAGCTTGGGTAGCTCGATGGTTGCAGTGCATGTATAGATGTCTCGAGCAAGAGCGAAATAGCAGTCAAGAAATGCTTGATCGAATTCGTTCTCTCAGGGTGATTCCGTTAACAGATGGCACATTCGTAAACCTGAAGGAAGACTCCATTTTCCTACCGCTGTCTTTGCAGAAAATATCCGAGGAGGCTATTCCAAAGGCCAAGAAAGGTAGGTCCATATACAGATTTCATCACATAAAAACGGTATTGAAAGTATAATCCTTAAATTTGCGAAACTCTTCACTTTTTGTCTTAAATGATTTAGCTTTTTATTTTGGAAGAAGGTGGCACAAAAACCCTGCAGATTACGGCTCTTGTCGAGTTATCTTGAGAGATTCAATGTACTAGGGAGACCGAATACCAATACTCAAATGAGTAGTACACCAAAAGTAAATCCATGCCCTGGAAAGCGGCTTGATTTGCATTATCAGATCAGTAAACTGGAGTAATTGGCATTTGATAAAGCTTTTTCTCAATTTCAGAAAGTAATGTAGGATTTCGTTCTGGTCATAAAATTTTTTCTGATATCTAACTCCAGGATCCAAATCTCCGGAGCAGACGACATTCTCGGTGCTCGAGAAAGACCTTTTCACGGTTCACCCGTCTTTGTTCTCTTCGCTGGATGATATCGGTCGTTCTCAAGTTGAACAACTGTTGAGAAGTTTAGGAGTCAAAGTTTGGAGCCCCAAGGAGCTTGTTAACAGTCACATAATCCCAACTTTCAAGTCAGACAAGTGGAAGGTATTAAATTCGCACTGTACTTTTGGCAATGATAAATGTTCAGGCGAGAGTTAGAGGTTAACGGCAGTCTCACGCTGTTTTATTGGCTCTAGTTTTCTAATGCATGTAAAGAATTGGTTTCTTGAATAGAAATTCATTACTCGTAGATATCATTTCGTAGAGGCTTCAGAATTTTGAAAACTTTTGTTCATCTCGATACCTGATATCGTGTCCCAGATTATTTTTCAAGAGACAACAAGGAAACTTTAGTGCAATCTTGATGTGGGCTGTCAGTGTAATATGATTCCAACACGGATGTACTTTTTCTGATTTACAGTCCAGATCTAATGAAGTGTTGAGAAGCTACTTAGTGTACATCTTGGAAGAGCGTTTGAAAGACCCTTCTGTGTGTGATATGGATGAATTAAAGTCCTGCGTACAGATTTTAACGAACAAGGGTGTTTCGAACCCAACAACAACGTCGATCCATTTCACGCCCAAATATGGAAGCATAATTGACCTCGCTGGCCGGTTGCCCAGTAAGTCGCCTTTTATTTACCTGTGTTGCCCCACAGTCGTGCTCTTGCAGGTGTAAATCTGGGATGAATTTCACCATTTTGCTGCTGTGAAAGTAGTCGTGAGACGTCTATTTTCCGCGGGAGTGACTGTTTTGCTGTGATGTTATCGGCTGACTCAAGTAGCGTGAGTTGTTCAATTCCGATCCATCAGAAAAGTTTAGTCGTTCTTTTTGTTGGTTTGTTGCGTATATTTCGTTAATAAGTCTTTGGTGTGGTACTGGTAGCTGTTGACAGCTGTTGAAAGGAGTCTAAGTGTTTAAAGTAATGGAGCAGCTTTCCAGAGTCGTCAGAGTGATGATGACTTCCGCTAGGAGTAGCGAAACGTCAGCCACTCCTATGAATAGCAGTCCGGCTCAGAGCCCCTTTAACCCAGACAATCAGACTTCACGATCAAATGTTACTCCTGAGTTTCAACCGTTTGCTGTGTTGCTGTGGTACATTGCACTTGATTTGCAGTTCCCTTGAAAAGGAAGGTAGAAATTAATTAAATGTGTATTTTTTCTTCTCCATTTAGGTATTTCGTGGACTCTTATTGACGAATCATACTTGGACCGGTATGCAGGATTGAAAGCTCGTTCAACGGATTGGAAAGAATTTCTTACCAAGCTCGGTGTCAAACACTTTTTGGCCATTAAAAAGAAACAAGTAAAGATACATCGAGACACCATGGTACGCTCCTAAATCTTTATCTCAGTACCCACCTGGTTATAATTTTTTTTTACCGAATTGTTTTTATTTTATAACAGTAACATAGCACTTAAGTCTCTCAGTTTCAACCCAGGAGGTGCATCTTGGAAGTATGCCGTCAGAAAAATAAATAGAAAGTATGAAAGGTATATGCATGGTTAGGACGTTCAACCGAATATCTCCTTTTTTGTTTTCTTCAGGCTAAGTCACCTTGGGCGTCCTACGAAAAAATTTGGCAGACAACTCCTGATGGCTTTTACATTATTAATGACTGGGCCTGCGAGCAGTTTGAAGAATTTCTTCAAAAGATTGACACCACTGATGCAAAGCAACAAATCAGTCCCGAGGAGTCGAAGTTCTTGGCTCAGTGTATAGATGAACGTTGGGATGACGAGTACGCACAATATGCTGAAGAATCCGTTCGTGTTGAAGATACAAACGGCCATAATCTCAAGGAAACTCGATCTTCCTTCTACCTGAATCTTATCACCCAACCGTGGATGGCCTCTACCACTGGAGGGAAAGACTTCCATCTTCCAAGAGACCTCTTCGTGCAGAGTGAAATTGTTTATCAGCTTCTTGAGAACCATGTAAAGTACGTCGCCGCAGATTTAAAGAGTTTTTCTTTCAAAGAAATTCTTCGAATTCGAGAAAATGTAGGCGTGGATTGGCTGATGAATGAGATGAAGAAGTGGTCCGGTGGCGGCTGCCAATGGATGGATGGAAATCAACGAAAGGAATTTACGACTTCAGTTGCGCACATGAGCAGAGTGTACTCCTTTCTTCTTGAGAAAACGAATCACAGTGAGGTAGAAAGGAGGAAAATATGTGAGGCATTTTTAAAGAATGAGATGATATTTGTTCCACATCGCCCCCCAAGTCAGCCCCAGTCAACACGTCAATCAGCTGGATTTTTTTATCTGAATAAAGACGTTTGCTGGACAGATCCAACAGATGTCTCTTCGAAGCTTCTTAAAGAACAAGACAAGAAGACCACAAGGCCCTTATTGGAAATGTTCTATGGACGCCAAGGTACTCAAGAAAGTCTCGCAACCTTTTTTGTCGATCTTATCCGTGTCGACGCGACACCTACTGTGGGTGAGTACATCAAAATGGCTTCAACTGTTGCTGAAGTTTCTCGTTTTCCCTCTCCGACTTCCTTGAGCGATATGTTGAAAATCTTTGCAACTTTGGGAAATAAATGTGTCGGACGCGACCATAATGACAGCCTGCGATTTGATCAACAGATCGACGAAGCTATGGCTAATTTTTTGAAACAACACTTACAAGACGACCAAAAATGCATTTTCCCCACAGCAGATAAATGGGTTGCACTTACTGACAAGCCACTTATAGTTGACGATAGAAGTCTCTTGAAAATTTTCCAGAAGGAAAAAAGTGTCCACTTTCTTGAATTCAAGGATTTTTTTCAACCTCAGAAGCGTGGATCATCCAAACATGGGCCTCCAAACGAACATGAATTAAGGAAGCACTATGTTTCCTTGTTCTTGAAGACCTGTGAGGTAACAACGTTGAGTAAATGCATTAAGAAAGAGTTTACCCCTGGCGGTTCAGTGAAATACCAGTGCGTTCCCGTGCAGAAGCATTTCCACCAACTCATTCCATGTGTGCAACGTTTCCTATACTCTAGGTATCAATCAGAATACCAGGAATTGAGCAATCAAGGATTTGCGCAGAAACTGTCGCAGATGAAATTTGCCACCGTACCAAATTTGGCAACCGTTTATTCGTTGTCCACACACCCTGACGTTCATGTTCACCTGGAAGAGAAATCTGGCATAGAAGAAGCAGGAGACATGTACTGTCTCTATGTCGCACAAGAGCATCAGGATAATTTAGAAGTCCTAAATGCCGAGATAATAAAGCTGTTGTTTGGAGGGAAAAAACAGGGTGCTTCAGACCTCAACAACTTTTTGGTTGCTGTGAAAAATTACAGTGGGAATGATCTTGACAGCTACTTGGAGGATAAGCAGGACTTGGAGCCATTACCGCAAGACGAAGAACAGTGGATCGTTCTACCTCCTGAGGTACCCAAAATTGTAATGGATGAAGGTGAAGAGGCAGAGAATGAAGCAGTTCCTTTACATAAGGAAACCACTACTCCATCCAGGTCAGGCGACGATGGTCTTCATTCTTGGCCACCAAAATCGTCTGCTCAATATGACAAGGCTTTTAAACGTGAAGGGGATCCCGGTGGCAAACCCATTCTAAAGACTTGGCCCTTGCCGGAGCCTCCTGAAACTATAGAAAAGCCCCTTAGAGAAGAGAATCAAGATTATTTGGTTCAGAGACCTACACAACGTGATATTAATACCACAAGAGCGCCAGAGGGCATGTCGGAAAAGCCCCTGAGGGGAGAGGATAGGAAAACGGTGCAGGATAATCCTGGTGCGGTCGTCCCTAGACAACAGCGCACTGAAAACGATGCACAGCAACCACCTGAGGTAATCGTTGAAGATACTTTGGTGAACAACCAGCAGATAAGTTCTCGTGAAACAGCAAGCGATTTGTGTCCCAATGACAATGAAAACCGTCAGCAAAATGCAAAGCTTGTGGAACCCCCTCCACCCCAGGTGCCCATACCTGGGGAGATAACTTTCGTAACCATTCCTGGCGATGAAGCGAGGCTAACGTCTCCCAGCCGCTCCTATGTCCGGTTTGATGGAAGTCCTTCTGAAATTGACTTCGAAGATCTTCAATTTAATGGTGATCAAAGGATCTTGGAGCGGATCCCGCTGGTGGATAACCCTAACAAAGAAGACATTGGTCGTTGGGGAGAACAGTGTGTGTTTGAGTTTCTCCAGGAGCAAGCACGAAGCTTCCCTCCTGGTTCGTGTGAAATTATCTGGATGAACGAAAACGAGAACACAACCACGCCGTACGACATTGAAATTCGACAACATATCTCAGGTGTTAAAGAGAGTGACAAACGCACTGTGGTAACGTTCGTTGAAGTGAAGACCACTTCCTCAGATCAAAAGGACTCTTTTGAGCTGTCCGTTCCGGAACTTCAATTCGCTTTGAAGCACCAAGTCGCCTTTCACCTTTATCGCGTTTTTAATGCAGGCAAACCTGATATTGTTCGAATTCGCCGTTTGCAAAATCTTGCTACCCACTTAGAAAAGAAGACCGTAAAACTGTGTATGGTTATCTGAAGGTTGTGGGCGGAGTAACAATACTTCACTTTGAATGAAAACTTTTGGGTGATCTAAAAGTTATTAAGTTGTTAGAAAGTTAAGATGATGCAGTTTTAGCGGTATATTTCAAAATCCTTGTGCGAAAAAGGAACATTGTTGAATGGCCTGAGTAGATAATGAGAATTCAAACAATGCAGTGAACAATCAGCTTCAGATTTGCAATCTTGACGTTTTTACGATCAGTATGTATTTTCGATTTTTTAAAATTGGCCGTTTTATTTTCTTTTTAAGTCGGATCATAGTTTTATTTGGTATAATAAGTTTTTAATTATCGTTTAGCTTTGTCATTTTCCTATTACTGCATGGTTTAAAGGGGAACTATTGTAAACGATTGAATCAATGTTGACTCTGAATAACTTGCAAAAGACTTGAAATCAAAAAAAGAAAGGCTATGAGTTGCACAGAATGATGGAAAAAACAATCAAACATAAAAGTGTACTGAGAAAACAACAAAAAAGACAGCGGAGGTACATCAGCTGACCTTAAACCAGTTCTACATATGGTGTTCAATTTCCCAAGTTGCTTATTTCTCGAAAAACTTGATTGTAAATTGAAGTCACTCCAATGTTTTATCACTGTAAGCTAAATTTTGATCGGACTGTACATTCTATTTGCGTGAAATATTTTAATGAGCCTCAAGTAATTTATGCGATATGTTTCCAAATGTACCTATTCCTCCACAAGGGAAAAGCCTTATAAAAAAGGAATCAACAACTGTAATTATTTAGACCAGCTGAAATGTATTAATTTATGGCATAGTTTCGTCGTCTTGATAATGAAGAATAAAATACAGTTTAACTGTTAATGGATCTCCTTATTTACACACGAAGGACGAACATTATTCCATCTAAATGATTAAGAGGGAGTGGAACAATTGCTCCTTTAATTTAATTATCCAAAGCCACATAAACAGAGGCTGGATTTCGGAGAAAACCCTTAAGTCGGCAGGATGTGCTTAAACTTATCAAACAACTTTGAACTGCTGCGTTGCGTTGTCATTATGAGCATTTTGAAATACCAATTTTCTTTTTATTTAAGTATCAAAGCCTTAAACCACTAAATTATTTCGAAATGATCGTTATTTAACTTTCCAACTGCATCAATACACCTCCGAATGAGACAAACTGGAATTGATATGAAAAATCAAATTGAAAGAGAGATGCTAAATTCCAATCCACTACTGCAACAAGTTCTCAGAAGCAGACACCTGAGTATATGGCGATTGTCAAAAAGAGTTGATATCTTCAGCTAGTAGCTGGAAAGTTTACTCGACTGACGCTTCACTAAGCAAAATTCAAAGGGCATGCGGCATCCTCTTTATTCCTTTGTTTTTTCTTTAATTGCAGTTATTGAATTATTCTAGTCGGATGATTTAAATGATTATTCCAATACTAATTGTCGCTGACGATAATTAATCAACACAAATATCTTCTCAGGTTATTCCACATGAAATCGTGACTATTGCCAAACTATAAACTTTTTATTTTTCCTCTCTAGGACCGAAAAGTAAAGTGTGTTCTTGCTATTTCCCTCAACTGTCGATACGTAAAATAATTAAACGTATCCTGTCAGTTTTATAAAAGATTGATTTACTTACACAATTCAACATGGTCGGTTGATGTTCTTTCCGTCGTTTTGCTCAATATCTATTCCCAACTATTTGGATTTCTTTTGTCTTATCTCTTAAAGTCTTAATTATCTCTTAAAGTTTTTAAATAATCGTCCTCTTCCATATTTATCTTTATCCTAAACAGTCCTACAATACCTTCAGGTTGAAACGTAAAAGACTAAAGACCATTAAAAAAAACCCAAATCCATAGTTAAATTTTTTTTTTGTGCTGTCATGGACTGATTATTATCACGTCTTGCCGCCCTTTGTTTGCGTCCAGAAGCACTTTCATGTACTTTATGCATTTTGATAGAGCTAGCCTATTGATTATTCAAAGTTTGTCACTCGAATCGGCCACAATCGTATCCACCCGAACCATGCTTGTCTATGTACGAGCGGATATGGTTACTACGCCCCTGTCGTACGTAATTATAATTTCAAGAATTCCTGTTACTTGAATATGGTTCCTTGCGTCTCAAAACTACTTTGAATAACCTAATTTAACGCAGCTCCTTTCAAATGGATAAAAGCTTAAACGATTATGTAGATTAGCGCAAAAGGAGCCATGTTCGGTTTGAATTTGACAGAACTTCTTTATTGTCTGAAAAAGCGTTAGGGTCATTGCGTTGAGGTTCTGACTAAAAAAATTTACATACCTGACCAGATTTCGTCGAAACTTCGACCGTTCTACTCTTTCGAGATTAAAAGAGAAAATACATTCATAACATCGACATGTTTCATGATCTGAACTGGGCTATTGACCTAAAGAAATGATGAGAGACGAACTCTTAAACACTGTTATCACGCAATTAACAAAGCACTTAACACCGGATTATGCGAATAGAACTCCTGCAAGGTTCGTCAACCTGTTCCCAGCTTCAACTTGAATTGATGCTCTAGGATTTAGAGTTATCGACAACCACAATCCGACGCGACCATACCCGGAACATCTCTCAGCACAATTGTATCGTCATGGTCGTAATAGAGAAGACTCATCGAGCGAAGCTCAGTGGCTACGCAAGTGGCGGCCGGTATTTTTTTGCCCAGCCGATGATGGATAATGTTTTGCAGAATTGCGTGATTTGTCGGATTTGAGTCCAGGCTGAGAGTACCGGGACATGAACCCTCACAGTAATGAAATCCAAATCGCGTAGGTGCAATAATCCATCCACTCCACTTTAAGTCGCGGAATCGAACTGCGAGTCTTCGTTTTCGACACATGTTATCCTCCGAACGCTTCGTTCGGGAAAGTTTGCCATGGCTGTTCTCTGTCGCGTTACCTGTCACGAATTGTCGCCTCTTCATTGGGGGAGCGCCGAGTACTCCTTGGTTTGGAATTTCGAGTGGCTCGTTGAAAACAACAAGGAAAGGCTTTCGTTTTCCTTTTGTGGTAATTCTGAATGCAGGATTAGTTGAAATGGCCAGAGTTACAGTTCCTCTGCGCCTTTTGACCTTTGAAAGTATAACTTGAGTCAGGTTGAACACAAGCCATCTGCTTTTGATCGTCTTGTGACAATCCCGAGTTGATATTGTCTCCTTATCGCCGTCTGCAATATTTTGTGACCCATCGCTGTAAACGATGCTAACTTTCACTTTCACACCCTCTCCACAAAAAACTTGGACGTGCAGTTCAGCTTTTCGTAGAATTTTACCGGAGCCGAGGTCAACCGAAGACAGGTTGAACTGGAGAACTGAGCTGTCGGTGTCCTCATTAAGATCTGTTTGAAATCGATCGTGAAAGCAAACAAACAAATTAGAACCTGCTTAGCACATATTCATCACGAAAGAGACATGTTGGCACCTCGCATGGATTTATGTACAATCGAATTACTGCTGTAATGCCTTAATACATCCGGCATCGTTACCTTGCGGGAACAGAATCCGTGTGGTAGAGCCATCTGGAATTCTTCTGCCGACGCTAGATCGCTTCCATGTAAGCTTGCCCTTGTACAGATTTAAGATGTAGCGCGGAATGTCATGGCGATCGCTCGAGATATTAGGAGCATGATCCATGTCCAGCATTTGAAGGAAGCCAGAGGCGAATTCCTTCTCTGCTTGGAGCGTTAAGCTTTCAGATAAAGCCAACATCGCCAGAGATAACGCGGCAAGAACTGAAGACCACGCTTTGAACATGTTCACTGGAAAATTTGTGTGCTGGTCTGAAGCATGAAACGAAATCCTCGACTACTGGCACCAAGTTAAACAATCACGGCGCCCTTTAAAGGTGCTTAAAATATCAAATGAGATTGCAATTCACTTCTTATCATGTCAAAGTTATTAAATTAAATAAAAGTCAATCATGCGTGTGGCTTTAGAGCATCATTAATTCGCGATGACCAGAGAGAGCGAAGTCTCGAAAGTTCGAGTGAAGACCAAGAGCGTTGAAAATTGAACGCTGTTCCCTTTCAACTAAGCTGTAAAGATTCAAAGGCCACCGCTGATAATCTAAGATCTATATTTGTTAATATCTTGGGAAAATCGTCGCGAGGATCTCATTCCTTCAGCAACTGATAACCTCCAAGTCTTCCTGAATAGTGAGATAAACGAATCATCACGTATTTTGTGTTGTAATTCATCTTCTTATCCTGACTTTCCTAACAGGGAGTGCTTGGTTGGAAGCGAGTCATTATAATAAAGGGAAATAAATGCAAAACTTAATAATCATTTTAACTTAAAAAAACGCAATATTGAAACTAGAAGGGTTGGTTTTGTTTGGATCGTTCCCATTTACAAAAACAAATACAAATATTTGGATCTTTAGATATTGTTTCGCTTTACAAGTGTAATCCTTACTTGGAGAATATAAAGAGATACTCTATTTACTATTGTAAATTGGAACTTTGTCAAAGGAAACACCGAACAATTGGGATGCTTTGATAGAATCCGTTAATATCTGTGACCTCCTAATAAATTGTGTTTATTTTTGTCATCTAACTGTTTTCGGCAACCACACCTTGCTAGCGGAAATCGCGGAAAATAAGCTCCGATTAGAACTGAAAACAATCTGGATAGGGCTACAGTTCGAATGCAAGTTTTGGATCTATCAGACAGATCTATCACATTGATTATTTTCAAATGATAAGATGTTAGAGGTTGTAGGCAGCCCGTATCACAAGAAAACGATACGAAGAAATGCTAGCAAATTTGTAACGTATTTCAATTGATTTCGTAAAGAGTGGAACGGTGGTCATCAGAACAAAGAAAAAATATCAAATAAAGCCAAATAGAACTCAAAGAGAATGCATTTGATTCTCTGCACGCAAGGAAAACACAATGACCGAGTCGCAATTGGGTTTAATCTTGATACGAAGAGAACTGCTTTGCGTACGGCACGGAAAAAGGGCTTTTAAAAGGGTGGCACAGTTCCATTACACAAATGTTACACATGCTCTTAACCATGGCAAATTAATTTCTTCATAGTGCTGTCGCGTTTCTGTTGTTATTTTTTACTGGTCTCCGAGTTATGTGTAAATCTAATCCGATTGATTGCATTTTCGGCAGGCAATAAATCAAGAAAAATGGCCGCCTCAGTTTTTGTAACTTGAGGCGGCTGGTAATATCAATTCCCTCGCCTTCCGGACGGGATACTGGCCTATTCCTTCCTCCCCCTCTCCCGGAATTTCGTTGAACTTTCCCGACAGATCGCTAGTAACCAGTTGAAACTCTGGGTGTGCCTGTGCCAGGTGCTGAGAGGGGTAGGGAAGAGGGGAGGACGCGGGTAACGCGATTACCCTGATTAAGGTCACACATTGTCGACAATTTTAAAGAGTAAACTGCGATTAAAGAGGAAGCCTTGGGAATATACAACCTGCAAAAATGTACAGTCGATTAAAAATTTCCGCAAAGATCAAAGTTGACTCCACAATGTCTGGAGAAAATAAACATCAATTAACGGCTGTAACTAAGCCGATTGCAGACTACTCAACCATAATAGGTATGCAAAGTGCGAAAATTGGTGTGGCGTTTGTTGAAATGAAATCAGCTGGAAAGCTTCAAGGAAGATCAATGGCATGTACTGTTCTTGATTAGTTAGCTCGTTCATTAGTTTTCTTCTTCAGCTGTAGATCATCTGCGGCTCAATTTATCCTTTTTTTCAATTAATCGAGATCACATTGGTTGTAATATCAATTAGTATCAGGAAGAAGGGGTTGGATTAACTTTCTCATGGCATTTGTTCTGCAACTTCTGCAGGGATCTATAGTTTTAGTTGTTCATTCGATGATTCGTTGTCAGTCAGTTCCTTGGTTCATCACAGCTTTCGATCGGTTTGTTCTCAGTGTGTTCCTTGGTTGGTTCTTTCCCTACTTTGTGTATTCGTTCCAGTTCGTTTGGTCGACAGTTTTTCCCTTGACTCGTTTCTTTCCCTCCTCATTTATTCTTTCCAGTTCGTTCATTCGTCTCAGTTGTTCGCTTTATGGTTTCACATGGGGCTCTTTTCACGATTTTTCATTTGCAGCAACAAATATAGTCAAACGTTTGCTTACAACGTCATGATCGAACTTGTAGGAATTCTGAGACAGTAATACCCGCCTTAGAAATACGCCATGAGCAGAATCTCCAGTCTTATGCAGATTGTATTCTTAGTTATTATTCTATCCTGCTAAAATTTGATGTTCGATTAGCCGGGGGAAGAGTATCAACCCTGACTAACTTCCTCTTTATCTTGGAGTGATATGGCCTGAAACCCGAGAAGAGAGTAGCAGAGATGATGAAGCAAGAATATAGTGAGCTATAATATTAAAGTAATACTCCCTAAATCGCACCAATCAATTAAACATCTCTAGCTAATCGTGAGCTAAGGTGATCTCGGAGCTTTTAAATGTTTAGTAACGCCGGAAATTAACTTTGAATAAACTGTATTTTGCATCAGACCTGTAATACTTATGTACAATTCAAGAGATTCGTTAAGCCCAGGATTATTTCCAAAGAAAGAAAGGCACAGCAATAGCCGGTCGCAACTTGAAGAGATTGTGGGTTTCGCGAATATTTGTGCGGTCTCGAAATCTCGTCAGCCTTTGCAGTAAGTCTCGTATTTCTTTCAGAGTTTTCAATGTTTGGGATGTTTATTTTCTTATAGCCGAACGCCTTTAGAAAAAGGTAGCTGAAGAGGCGTAGCGTTATTGTTTCAGATGTCTGTCCTTTTCTTTTTATTTTGTTAATTCACAACCATGAGAATCACAATGAGGCCAACGAAGGGCACTTACTTTTATGATAGTTTGTTGGTATTTTCCGCCCGGCAGACCGATTGACAGTCAAAATATGACTCCTGATTCAATGCTTTGGTTTCAGGAACTAATTGTAATAAGTCAAGATTCCTTTGACACGCAATTTTCCAAGGTTTTAACGAGAAAGAAATTTGTCTCGCTCGCCTTGAGATAAGTGGTGATGATTTTTCGTCGTAAAATGGACTTCAAAGAAATAACTTTCTCTAAACTCTTAAGCAACGTAAAATTGTAAAGCACTAAACGTTATCATTCTCTTGTATTCATTTAATTACTTAAAGCCTTCCGATTTTTTAGGTTTAAGGTACTGTTAAAGAGTGAAAGTCCCTTATGCAAACAAGGATGATAGGTAAAGTAACGCAAGTCACTTAAGCAAACAAGGATGGTATGGAAAAAAATGCAAATTATCAGAATTTTGATGCTCAAATCAGCTTGTGATCTTATGTACTATCAAATTAAATGAGTGCCCTCTCCTCTGCGTAGTAATGAATTTTATCAATCCAATCATCTGTTTACCTCGCATCCAAATCCTCAAGGTTTGAAGGTTGGAATTCTGTTTATTCACACAACTCACTGCACCTACTGTTGCCTTGAAATTAAGCTTAGACCATACCGTATGATATATTTCGCGACGGGGGCATTAAATCTACTGTTTTAGAATGTTTGTTACCTCGTGAAATGAAATGCCTGTCACTCGTAAGTTTTTATTTGAATGTTTGGCGTTATTTTTAATAAAATACATCGTTATCCCTAATACAGCCCTTGTTTCACGGAATACAACCCATATTTTGGTTATGCAAAGGTGACAAATTCTTCAGCTGGAGGTCTATTGTCTCGTTTTGACCCCTCTTGTCGTTGAAAACGCGTGATTCTATTAAAGTTGAATCTTTTTTACCCAAAGAAACAAAATAAATTTGTCTAAAGGCTATTCTATCGTTCAGGAATTATAAACACGACAAGAAAGCAGAGAGCCGTTGATAATCTTCTTTCTTTTTTAAATCCAACAGTGCTGCACTTAAGCTTAACTAAAATGAAAAATTTTTCTTTTGGTTGAGTTTGTGTCAAGAGGCAGATACTCCTGTACCTTCTCAAAGTTTATAGAATATTTTACAATTTTCTCTCTTTGAAACAAAGATAAACCAAAGAAACATTGGCCTAATCAGTTTATCAAGGCTCGTAATTTGCAATCTTTTAATCTTTTCTATTCATACCTTCCCCTTTCCTTGTCAGCTTTCAGCTTACAGACGTCATAAATGTCAGTTTCTTTGTACTCCAGATCTGGCAGAGTATTCTTTTTTCAGTTTACAAACTTGTTTTACTTGACGCGACGTTAACCATCGTGAAGCAGCTACTTGAAATTTACTGTTGGCAGGTTTCCACGAAACAACTATAACGGTTATTTTCTTTTTTGCCTGGACTATTTCTCTCATTCGAGGATAATAGATTCAGAAAGCTTATTATCATTTACCCATCCCCTCCCAGCTTACGTTGAAATATCCTAAATAAAGTTAAACCGTTTGCGTCATTGATTTTTTCGGCGTGTTAGTTCTTGGACAATTGTTAATTGAATGCGGACTAAGCAAACTAAATACCAGCGTTGAATTTTGCCTAAATGCTTAGAGGCTTTGATAAAATAAAGTACTACAGCCGAGAACTTCCATACAGAATACTACAACAATTACCAAACACACAGCGCGGGGATCTGATTATCAAAGCACATTGTAAAAATAGCTCGACTGAGCAAGCTTGGACTTGCACAACCCATAAGGAACTTTTTGGTCGAATATGTCAGCTGCTACGTGACTGATCTCGCCGAGAGTAACCTCATACTGAGCGAGAAAAACAACCGTTTCAGGTCCCTCGTTGAAGGCCGCTTTTCATTTATGGTCTCGTTCTAGTTACTTCAACCCTTCTCCAGTAGAGTGTTCATCCATTTTGCGAGCAGACCCAATATAATGAAGATCCTACTTACCGCGTGTGTCATATGGATTGTGTCGAACGCTCGCGACGTTGAAGGTTAGCCAAATTTCATTTCTGGTCGAATCGCATTCCACTGTTTACTTTTATCAAAATATTATTTCATGATTGGTTCTACCTCACTGAATAAGAAATCCTCACGGCCCTAAACATTTTGCAAACAGACTACCTGTTATATTTTGATAAAAGTCGCTGAGGGACTCATCGTATTGATGTGGTTGCTGTTATAAGCAATAGCCACACGTAAGCTGTCGTAAGACGTTTCTGCGTTGGTGGTATACATCATAGCTTGTTTTGATATTTGTATTTTCCCCATGCAACGCTCTTTGTCAGCGTAATTTAAATTTTTTTTTCAATAATAGTCCTAAGATCTATTTAATCAAAAATCTAAATGAAATAAAAAAAACCTAGACTGCGCTCTCTATTTACCTTTTTTCGTGTTTTCCGCAAAGGAAACAGGAGACGCTAACTTATAAAGGACGTCTGTGCAAAGATAGCAACGAAAGCCATTAATATACTAATATTTCAAATCATCAAACAGGAAGTTTAAAAGATAGGAAAGTCAAGCAAACGTGAGAGATTGAGCCTAAACAATGTATCTGCCCTAATCAAATTTTTAGTCCAGTTTCATCCCCATGCCGTAATTTCTAGCTATATTTATATGTGAGACATTGGCCTAAGTCTCATCGATAATCTATCTGTGAGATAGCTTTCGGTATTAAAGGTCAAGTGTTGAAACTGACTGATACTTGAAGTATTTGTTTTGTTTAGTAACACGCAAGGAAGTTTATATTACTTATTACCCCCTGAGCGTTGTCGGAAAATTTTCGTTCATTTGGTTCCATATGTTTCATGTTCGGACAGAACTCCTGTGAGACTGAAATGAAAGGATGAATCATGGAATTTTTTTATTTCTTTTGCGTGGTCGGCGGACAACTCCCTGGACAATTAACATAAAAGAAAGGAAAAATTAAATTCCGCGGTTTTTCACCTTACAAATTTGAATTTTTCGTTGAACTTTCAAGTTCCGTAGTCAGATCCCTGAGATCCTTGTCAGTGTATGCTGCCACTTCTGTACAAATTAGGACGCATTTGTTCGCTGATATGGATTCGCCTCGAACATCCCAACTATCATGCGAACAAAGGCGTTTATCCCGCGCGAGGTGCTTAACGCTAAAATTCGACTCTGTTCTCTGAAAGGTGCGTGCAATGCCAGCCTGGGAATGCAGAACAAGAAAATTCAGGACAGCAGCATCACAGCATCGTCGCAATTAAGTATAAACCACGTCCCTTCCCTTGCTCGACTGGACGGTGTGCAGGGGGCCTGGTGCTCGGCTCCGACCGACAATCTGCCCTACATAGAAATACTGCTGAGCGAGGAAAAGTTTCTTACTTTGATTAAGACGCAGGGAAGCAAAAAGGACTTAAGATGGGCAACGAAGTACGAAATTCGATACCAGAAGGATGGAAAATGGATCGTTTACAGGAGAACGGACGGAACTCAGGTTAGTAATAAACAAACAAATCCTGTGTCGGATCCATATCGCTTGCACCGACATCCGAATATCGGCATTCTGCAAGCAAAATGAATATTGCACGCACAATGTATTATGCATGCCCAAAAAATGCACGTAATACGGTTGGTGTGCCAAACGCAATTATTCACAAGTTTATACTATGTACTGAAAGACCCCCACCCTGCCCCACTCTTCCTCCCTTAATTACTTAAATCTGAGTTACTACGCTCGAGGAACCAAAGAAGAATGAAAAAAAAAGTCATTCCTTTGATGGAACAGTTATCGTTTATTACCTGTGGAAGGGTGGGGGCGGGTAGAATTGGGGAGGATCACATGGTTTTCAGGGGGGAGCGAAGGGAGGATGAGTCGACTCCAAAAAAGTAAAGAATAGGGGGGGTGTGGTAAATTGACTGCCAATTTACCCCTAGTGAGAAGGGATATAAGAATATTTCAGAACCCTATGGGGGAATGCAGAACCTTATGGGGAATCAGGTAGATTTTAGCGTGACACAAGCAAAGTCCTCCTACTAGTCCCCTCCCCCCCCCTCCCAAAAAAAAAATAGTAACAATAGATAAAATAAAAATAAAATAAAACAAGGCAGGAATCAGCCCTTAATTACATTAAGAAAAAAATACCAAAAAGAGAGGGGCTGGACCGAGAGATTAACATCAGCGATAAAATAACGACATCAAGCGAGTGTGATTTACCTTTGAACTGGGTCTCGCATCTTTTTGGTAACCATGACGTTTTGATAAAGTTTATGAATAAAAAAATATTATCGTTTCTTACTTTTATCTTTCGACGTACAGAAATTTGATGGAAATGTTGGCATAGCCTCCATAAACGGTATTGCACTCCAACCTCAAATTAGAACACGTTCGGTTCGTATCTACCCAAAGTTTCCACTTTCTTTGGATGGTGATGCGTCTCTGGCAAATGTTTCCTGTCTCCGCCTGGAATTATATGGCTGCTCTGCCCCTGGTTAGTTATATACTAAATTTCAACTTGTCTTTCCAATTAAGTCTGTGAGTGATTTAAATTTTTCTATCACATATTAGGAGTGTGTTTCGTTGGTATAACTCAGATCTGTATAAGTGATTCAAGATTACTCAGATAATTGCAATTGAAAGAAGTTGATGAATCCTGTTTTTCGAGTAACTTCACTGGCTTACTTGGTTAGCTCATGGTGGTTATGATACTTTAGCGGGACACAAACAGAAACAAAGTTCCCATTAGAATTATGGGCCTGTTAACACATATTTGAAGTTCAGTGACTCCTTTGCGCCAGGGTTTTCAACTGTTTTGTAAAGTAGCGGACATACTTCTGAAAGCACCGGACGTGAATGTTTTCTTGGCGCCGTAAGGCGCCTCGCGAGCGCCGAAGGCGCAAGGACCTAGGGGGGTCTGGGGCATGCTCCCCCAGGAAATTTTTAAAATAGAATACTCAGAAACGCCATTTACAGTAGTAAAAAAAAATCGCCCATATTGATCTCAAAGTACCGGACGTGGAATGGCAAACGACCGGACGAAACGTCCGGCCTCCGGCCTCAAATGAAAACCCTGTTTGGGCGCCTTAAATAGGGGCTAATACCAAATGGCGTTCTGAGTACGAGAGAGCAAGATTTCCTGGACTCTCTCTATATGGCACTCTTTTTTCAACCCTCTCTATTGGGCGCGGGAGGAAGAGTTTTAAGGCGTTGAATAGAAGGAATTTAATGAGTGCGGATGTGACTATATTTAATTTTAATTGGTTTTGCTTTTTTCTGTGTTTTTGTTTATTTGTTTGTTTGTTTGTCTCTTTTTTGGTGGGGTGTGATAAAAGCTACGATTGATTTGAATGAAACCTTTAAAGGTTAGACAAACAAGAAAGAAAGAATAACCTTAATAAACATAAGGATGGTTTAAGGATAAAGAGGATTAACGAATACTGGAAATAGAATCTAAAATAAATTTTTCACGATGCACAAGTTTTGACTGAGTTGTAACTTCTTTCAAGGCGAATCCTTTCAACTGTCAGACTATTCTCGTGTCAACAACGTCATAATCTCTGAACACCTAATTTCTTTCCTTTTTTTTTAGTTGATGGCTCATGGGGAACGTGGACTCCTTGGTGGCCATGCAGTGTGACCTGTGGTCGTGGAAAGCGGTCACGTGAACGATTTTGCGACTCGCCAATGCCTACCAATGGTGGTGCACCGTGCAACGAGAGTGAAAGAACTGAAGACGAATATTGTAGATTAAAAAAGTGCATTAAACCAGGTGAGCCAATATTGACTAAAAGTAACATTTTATTTCCAGTGTTTAATGACTTCTTTACTACCTAAGGGCAAAGGACTGAGGTGTAGATTGTGATTAGCCTGCGCTCTGCCGAGAATTAGTTTTTGACAAACCTAAAGACTAGGAAGGCGACTTACCGGAATTTTATACTGTTTGGTGGTTATCTTCAACGTCAACGATACTAAGAAATAAGTAGTGTGCATGACTAGCCCTTTTCGTTCTTAAGGTAATGCATATAAATGTATACAAAGGTCCCTCATGGCGTGAGAAGCCGTCTAACGATATTGATCAATACCATATAAGAAGATTTATCAAATGATTGGTAAATTTAGTCAGGCTGGCCTCCTCGTGTCTTTTTTCTTTTCTATCTTCGTTCCACGTTCGATCGATGAAGTTAAGTCCTGCTGGAAAACTTCCAACCCCTAGAAGTCTCCGTATTGTAAAGATGTCTCTTCACAAATGTAATCAAACCTTACTTTTTTGAGAATCAAGGTTTCGAGGTTCAACCCTCAAAAGTCTCCGTACTGTGAAGATGTCTCTTCACAAATGTAATAAAACCTTACTTTGTTGAAGAATCAAGGTTTCGTTGCGCTTCACAAATGGTGTGAAATTATGATATCTTTTCTAATTCAGTATGTTGTCTTATTTCAAAGCTGTCGACGGAGGCTGGGGTAATTGGGGTCCTTGGTCAGAATGTAGCTTGACGTGTGGAATTGGATTGCGGGCACGTGAAAGGAAATGTGATTCACCTGAACCAAGGAATGGGGGAGCGCCGTGTGACAAGGCAGAGCGAATGCAACAGAGATTCTGTAGGGAAGCCACTTGCGGAGGTCTGCCAAGCGTCACACGTTTGATAATTGATTCAAGAATTTAATCAGAACGTATTTTTCTGTTGGTTACTTAGGCTCTGGACTGACTCGCTGAGAAACTGAATTACAGATCTGTCTGACTAAAAAGGTTGACGGATTGATTAAGAACCGATTATCTGCTCAAGTAGCTAACTGACTGACTGTCTAAACCACTGCAAGAGTTGGACTAATTATCAACAGACTGACTGACAACCCGCTGAAAAGTTTGTCCGGAATTTTGATTTCCTGTTATCCTTTCATGTCTTAGATTTGTGTTTTCTTGTCCGATGTCTTTAAATCTGGGAGTATTATTGTTAATTTTTTTTTTTTGGTACTCCTTGCAGGCAATGACGTGGGATTTTCTGGCTCAGGTTATGGCTGGGAAACTTCTTTAGGTACTTCGGGATTTTTTGAAGAAGAAAATGGTTGGAAAGTATGTTGCAGAACTAAATCTGGTGAAGAGAAACACCACCAGGAACTCAGCGATGACGAGGACTTCACGGTTAAGTCAAGTCTTGATGATTAAGTCTTCGCCACGAACTTGGAAGGGTGTCAACAGCTTAACTGTCCAGAACAGACAATAACATCGAGCTTTTAGACCTTCAGATTGCGCTTAAAGCACTAAAACCTTTTTTTTTATCGTTTTAGAGGATTAACCGTCTAGCAGTTCACAGTATCTAGAAGCTGTTTCTTCACTAAAAACCAAGACACCTGATGTTAATGTTTGACAATTGCGAATACCTCCAAATAAGAAAAGTCATATGCAAAGGTTGCTACATCCGGATTAAATGCGTAACTTCGTTCAGTATTCTTTTGTAAAAGATAAACTATAGTTCATAACTGATCTAGCAAAATTCATGATTACTTAGCTACCGTTGTGGATGTATTCATTACTAAATTCAATACCGAGGTCGATACTGTCTTTTTTCTGTACAATAATCATGTGCGGAAACTAATGAAGCCACTTATTAATAATAAAGCAGCAATTTATTTCAATTTAGATGAAATAATTGCGTTAGTTCGGAAGCGAATCATCGACTTAAGAATCGTTCAAATCCTCTCCATCATAATACGCAGATCAGCGATAAGCTATTGACTGCAGTTCAGCGAAATATGGTTCTCAAATTGAAACTGCATACTGATTTTATCGACTGGATGAGCAAATGAGAAAGATAAGATAAGCTATAGTTGATAACTGATCTGGCAAAATTCATGATTACCTAGCAACCTTTGTGGATGTATTCATTTCTATATTCAATACCGACGTCGATACGGTCTTTTTTCAGTACCATAATCATGGGCGGAACCAAATGAAGCCAATTATTAATAATAAAGCAGCAATTTATTTCAATTTAGAATAAATTATGCACGGCCAAAAGTCCTAAGGACTCCCAACTGCAAACAAAGTTTAGAATAAACATAACTTATATATATAAATATAAATATAAATTATATAGAATAATATAACATTCGTAATCCAGATGAGCGTGTTAGTGGTTCGAGTAGTGAGTCTTTTAGTCTCGGCGAACTTGTTTATGAGTATAACACCACATTAAAGTCGTTGTTAGACAGACACGCGCCTCTGAAGACTAAGACCATTACTCTTCGCCCAACCGCCCTATGGTACACTGAGGAAATACGATCTGAAAAGAGAAAACGCAGAGCTCTCGAGCGGCGCTGGCGTTCTTCAAAACGAGAATCGGATTATTCTAGATTTAAGGAACAATGCCTTAGAGTGAACGCTTTGATCAAGAAAACGAAAGTTGACTATTACTCAGGCATTATACGGGAGAGTAGTAATAATCCCCGAACTCTTTTCAATACGGTAAATAAGCTCCTACATAAGCGCGTGCCACCGGAGTATCCTTCAGGGTGTGCGTCTGATGGTGATCTTGCTAACAAGTTCATTGACTTCTTTAGTGAGAAGATTACAGTTCTGCGAAACTCACTTGACTCCACATCTGATATTGTTGTGGAGTCCGATGGCATTGTCCATCAGTGTGCCTTGTCATGTTTTAAGTCTGTAACATCGTCTGATGTCTCGGAATTACTTAGTAAGATGACCATCAAATCCTGTCCTCTTGATCCCGTCCCTGCTTCTGTTTTGAAGCAGTGCACATCAGGTCTTTTGCCTGTTATGACTCAAATTGTAAATCAGTCTTTATGTCTAGCTGTTTTTCCAGACTGTTTTAAGCTTGCATTGTTGAATCCTCTTCTCAAAAAGCCCACACTTGATGTTGAAGTTTTTTCGAATTTTCGTCCTATCTCAAATTTGACGTTCATGTCTAAACTCACTGAGAAGGTGGTGGCATCTCAGTTGATTAATCACATTTCTAGTAATGGACTTGATGAAATACTACAATCTGCATATAAACAATTTCATAGTACCGAAACAGCTTTAGTTAAAGTTTTTAATGATATTATCTTAGACGTTGATAGGAATAGGACTGTTATCTTACTTTTATTAGATCTATCGGCCGCTTTCGATACGGTCGATCACACTATACTGATTGAGAGATTAGCAAACCGCTTCGGTCTTTGCGATCTAGCTCTGGCCTGGTTTAAATCATACCTGAGAGACAGAACTCATTTTGTGAGCATTCGTGGTGCGCGGTCTGTCACGTGTTCGCTGTCGTGCGGAGTACCACAGGGCTCCGTGCTTGGACCGATTTTATACCTGCTCTATACCTCCCCATTGGGGGATATTGTCAGACAATACAACATGGGCTATCATTTTTATGCTGATGATACTCAGTTGTATCTGTGTTTCAATTCTCTCAGTGGGGATGATCAAGCTTATTCTGTTGAATCTTGTGTTAGAGATATCGACCGTTGGATGTCTTGTAACAAACTTAAGTTGAATAGGGACAAGACGGAACTGCTCGTTATCAGTTCAAAATATCGACCACGCCCATCTTTAGATAGTATCCTGATTGGTGATCATCGTGTAGAGCGGTCTGACAAAGCTAGGAACATAGGAGTTATTTTTGATGAGACCTTGTCACTGGATAAGCATGTGAGTTCCGTTTGTAAATCTGCTTTATTTCATCTTCGGAATATCGCTAAGATTAGAATGTATCTGACTTTTGAGAGCACAAAGACCCTTGTCCACGCTTACGTTACTTGTCGACTGGACAATTGTAACTCGTTGCTCCTCGGGTCACCGGACTATATTATTCAGAAGCTCCAGCGCGTTCAAAACTGCGCCGCACGCCTTGTAGCTGGGCAACCTAGGGCTGCGCACATTCGCCCCGTCCTTAAGGAGCTACACTGGTTACCTGTGGAGCAGCGAATTACCTTTAAAGTATTACTGTTAACTTTTAAAGCTCTCAATAATCTGGCGCCTCCGTATTTAAGTCAACTTATAGTCCCATATAACCCTACAAGAAATCTTAGGTCTGCTGGCAAACATTTATTAGAAGTACCGAATGTGCGCCTGAAGAGCTATGGGGACAGGGCCTTTTCGGTCGCTGCCCCAAAGCAATGGAATGATATTCCCTTAGACATTAAATTAAGTGGATCAGTTGATGTTTTTAAATCTAGATTGAAAACTTATCTTTTCAGACTCGCTTTCATTTGACTTTTTGTTTTAGTGTTATTGTTAGTTAGTTATTTTCTTTTTTGATTGTAAAGCGATATAGAGCTTTTGTATATACCGCTATACAAATAAAGTTATTATTATTGTTATTATTATTATTTATTCGCCGAGTGTGTTTATGTTTATTATTTTTATTTGAGCTTTACTATTATTGCAGCATTTTCTCTTCTTTCCCTCAAGAGTTCTAGTCAGTTAATTCAGTCTAAAATGATTGATAATTTGCACCTTTTGTCGTTATCAATCCTTCTTCAGCCCGGGAGAAACTGTGAGCATGAATTCACTTGTGCATCGCTCCTTAAGCCTGAGACGATTTCACGATGTCAATTTCGCAAAAAACCTTGAGCATGGTGAAAAGTTTATCGGTGGATTTTACTTCAAATTTCATGGTAATTCAAACAAAGACTTACGCTTCCTGTGTATCAAAATTACTTAAATCTATTTCTGATAAATCAGCGGCGAAAAAGCGATGATCTCTCTCCATAATCGTTTTTGTTTTACCTTGAAACAATCCTTCGCCATACAGTTGCAATGTTCGCCCCGTGGCGATCCCAGAAATCTTTGCAAAAATAAAAGGATCCTGTTACTGGCAACTCATTCATTTGGTCTGTAATCATACCAGTGATTAACAAAATCGGACGACCACGAAGCGGCGATCACAGATGTCCGATTACAGCCACCTGTCCGATTACACTGTCCGATTACAACTGTACAAAATGATTTGTGAAAAATGAAGCTACGGATGCACCAATAATATTTGAGGAATTTGTAATGATTATGATTAATAAGGAACAACGCCATCAAACCTTCCGTTGGAAAAATGCACTTCTACAAAAAGATATAGGCTCCTGATCATATAACTATTTCGTTCCTTATATCGTATCAACAAATCAAAAGGACGACGAATACCCCAATTTCTAATTTCACATCTTTTTTTGTAGACCTCAGACGTGAAAACTTACCAAAGGTAAAAACAAGGGCGTTCTAGCTTCAGCAATGGCAGCTACTTTCGCAAAGTGGTGACATATAAGAGTAAGAAACCGTGTATACTCCGCGGCTCAGAAACACGAACTAGAATAGATTTCGTTTACAAAATACGGCTCAGGGCCAGTATTGTTGGCTTGTTAGCTCAGTTGGTTGAGCGCTACACCGGTATTGCAGAAGTCATGGGTTCAAATCCCGAACGGGCCTGAATTTTTTTAGGTCCTATTTTCAACTACCAGTTCAGTAGTGTTCTTAGCTGCGAAGATCTCTTAAATTCGTTTCTTCAGCGCAGTGCAAATATATGAATTTCATATATCGAAAATCATTATTCATCACTTGGATGGTTTATTTGGACCCAACATATTCTCCAGCTCCCAGTTGGCTTGTTAGCTCAGTTGGTAAAGCGCTGCACCGGTATCGCAGAGGTCATGGGTTCAAATCCCTTATGGGCCTGAATTTTTTCAGGTCCTATTTTCAACTACTAGTTCAGTAGTGTTCTTAGCTGCGAGGATCGTAGAATTCAGCTTCACGACCCTTAAGCGATTTCGGTATTTTCCCCTCCACGCGCGTTACCTTTGCCTGTGTCAACTAAGTTACCACGGTCACGCGTGACCGTGATGACTTTCCTTGCGTGCCGCCAAATCTTGCCCCAGACGGATGGCTAACGTTTTATAGAAGTTTACGGTGAGGTTCTGTCGAAACTCGCTGACTCCCATATCACGACTAGCACTCTTTAGCAACTTGTGTACATAATTATTCCCCCTCCTCTCTCATTTTTTTCCCGACAACTGCCGCAACTTATCAGACATATCTAGCTGTGAAAGAACATAGCCATTTCTTAGTAATAATATCATTTCCGGTTGAGTTGACCGTAACTTGAGGAACTCATTTTGTCGAAGCGTTTTAGTGATGCGTTGGAACGGAAGCTATAAACGTGTAGAATTCGAATCGATATATAGAACAATGTGGAAAACACTTCTCTTGGGGGCGATTTTCCTTTGCTGTTATCCAGTCATTGAGGGCAAACCAAGGCAGAGTGGTAAATATGCGTTCATTAGATACTGTAAGATCCTCACAGTTTCTTCTTAATCGACTTCTTCGTTTTCATAGGCTGCCCCAGAACAAATAAGGTACGATTCTGTGGCAAGACCTGCTCGACTGACGGAGATTGCCGAGGAAATAGAACATGTTTATGTGATGGAGACTGTGGAATGATTTGCGTTAAAAACAGTGAGTGGATATGATATGATTATGCGAAGATTTCTAGAAATCAAACGAAAAATTTAAAGCAAGGATATATGAACATGTCTTGTTTCATGGCTGGACTTTAACGAGATTACATGGAATATATTTCACGTAGGCGCTTTCTGAGAGAAGTACACACATGTAGAAATTAGAGTACTCTGTCTAGAGAACATATCTTTACGATTATACGACATATACAGAATTATCTATTATAATTACGGAACTGTAATGTATTCAGAGATAACAGCAAGATTTCTCTCAAACATCACAAAAAAACAAACAGGAAACACGACGAAGATTACGTTTAATACGTTTTAATATAATCGTTTAATTCAGTTTTCCATTATGCTAAGAGAGTAGTTCTATGTGTTCTAATCAAACGTGTCTATCAACAAGGACTCTTGATAAGACATTATTTTCCCCGTTTGCGTCACGCAATTTGATAACCAAGATTTTTCGTGATGAGCCAGCCACCGGCGTGACTCGACGAAAATGACGTAGAAATTCCTATTACGTTTTAGGTGAGGCATGATATCTTAATCAACAGATAACTACCCCACTTTTTGCCACCTGGATACAGTTACCTATACTTAGTTCTTGAGATAATTCTGTGGATATGTTAAAGGAAGAATCACTGTATATGCTCTCAACGCTTTATTCGAGGTGAGATTACTAAGCTCGATAGTTAACACTTGCAAGCCTTACTGAATCAGGCCTACCCGCTCGTGTGAGAGCATTGTTACCCCAGGGTTTATAGCTGGGGTTTTACGGATAGTGGCTGGTAAGAACTACGCCATCAAACCTTCCAATGGAAAATGCACGTCGAGAAAAGATGTAGGCTCCTGATCATATAATAATTTTGTTCTTTGTATCGTATCAACGAAGTAAGAGGACGACGAATGCCCAAATTTCGAATTTCCCTTTTTTTCTTGTAGACCTCAGATGTGAAAATTTACCTAAGGTAAAAAATGGTCGTTCTAGCTTCAGCAACGGCAGCTACTTTCGCAGCGTGGTGACATATGAGTGTAAGAAAGGGTATAGACTCCGCGGCTCGGTAGAACGAACTTGTAGAGCCACAGGAAAATGGGACGGAGCGAAAGCGAGATGCAGTAAGTATTATGCATCAAATTCAATACATGTTCCAACAATTTATCAATCCGACCGTCCTTCCGATTTTGTAGCCATACACATTTAAATAGTTTACAATTCTTTCTCAGGATAGCCTTTTTTTTATTTTTTATATTTTTTTTATTTTTTCTCACGGCCCTGTCACAACTTTACAATTTATCCGTCCGTGCGTCCATTTACTCACATTTTATGCGTTCGCTTATCTTTGGCCTGTTCGTTGTTTAGTTCAGTCATTCTTTGTCATTTCTTAAGGTAAAAGTCGATTAGCTAATCTTTTCGCCAAATGCTCGTTCATTCACCGAAAGTCATTTGGTACAGTAAACAATTCAGTTCTTAAATCACGGACATAAATATTGGATCATTTCTTCGCTCTTGACAGGAACCTTGTGTCAGAATCCAGGACATATCTCTTTTGGAAACAGACGAATTGAACGTATTAAGGGTGTGAAGTATATTCATTTCTGGTGTTTTGATGAAGACATGTTTAAAATGGTAGGAACTCCTCGAATACGGTGCCAGGAAAACGGACAATGGAGTGCTCCAAAGCCAAAATGCATTTATTCACGTGAGTAGTTCATTCGGGATTCATTCCTCATACTTAACTATGCTTGGTCGTCAAATGAACCGCTGAAATAAATAAATCGCGGTCGTTGGTGAGTTTAAAGATCAAATTAACTTTGATTTACTAAATTTTTTTTATAATTCGCAAGTCGCAATCACGATTCATGCAAATATTTCGGTTTAGCGAAAAGACGGCTGAACAATCTGAAGGTATGCAGACGGAAAGAAGTAAAATTTTTGCCTTTTGCTGTAAACGACATGCTTAACCTCTCTAATTTTTTCTTTCACTAGCTCCGTTTTGGTTTTTCCTTTCCCTGTTCTATAATTTGTTTCCATGGTTTTTGTTTGAACGTCACTTTGCAAATACTTTTGGTTGCGACTTTTAAGACAATAGCCCCATATCCTGAAAACAAATAAGTTTGAATATCTTTGAAAGATAGCATCATGTGTTCTTAAATTATAATTCTGTGTAGCTCCCTTATGTGACAAGCCGAACATCCCAGACGAAGCTGCTGTTATCTACCCTCGGTCAATGGATAGGGAATTCAAATACGGTGACAGAGTGCTATTGAAATGCAAGGAAGGATATTTTAAGTCAGGACTTGGTGTTTACCAATGTAAGAAAGGCAACAGGTGGAGTGGAGGCATCACCTGCTCACGTGAGTTTAGTCTGTTTAGAGTTACAGTGCATACTCAATCTGTGCTGACTCGCCAAACTCAGTCACTGAGATATCTAAAAACAAACGCCAGATCTTTGGGTCGTAACTGAGCGATACACGAGTTAGGCGTTTTCACTTGGCACTGATGCACATGCATGGTTTTAAGTGCATTCCAGCTTAGAAAAACAAATAACAAGGAAAAGAAAAGGAAAGATCGACTCTCTTTTCTTTACACTATAGATAAAAAAAAAAAAGGTTACAAGAAAGACGGAAAATTGTTGGTTTAGTTGTCCATCTTTTCGTTGAACAGGGCTGTACTCTTTGGAAATTTAACCTTCCTAAAGCGTTGAAAAATTCCTATAGTAAGATCACGCTGGATTTTTTTTCACATTTTTGCTCCCTAGTATTCTTCATTTGATTTCCCCCAGCGTTGTGTCTGTGGCAAAACCACCCAGCAATTTAACTCAAAATGGATCTTGCTCAAAATAATATTGCACATCGTGAAAAAGAAACACACGGTTGTATGATTGAAATCGAAAATCATTTACAGAAATCAGTACTTGCCTAAGATTTTTATTAATTTCATCAGCTAAAAACTGTGGCCGCCCAAACGATATCCCTAACGGAAAGATCATAGGATACGTATATTCCTTTAAAGAAAAGATCAGATACGAGTGCAATGAAGGCTACAATCTTAAAGGACCATCTTATAGAACATGCCAGGCTAACGAGAAATGGGGCGATAAAGACCCTATTTGTGAAGGTAAGATATTCGATAATATAAATATTGAGATCATTTCGTACGTGTTTGTTATTAGTCATGTAAGTATTACAGTTTTGTGTGGAAGATAAATTTTTTCAAATTTACTATTGCTTTCCCACAAATTAAACACAGGCGAGAGCGAAGCATGTGAACATGGATTTGAAAGTCACGTTTTGGAATAGCGGATCAACCACTAGTCCATAGAGAAAAATCTCACTGTGAACGTAGATTCTACTTTGAAATAAATCTGATTTTCGTTTCATTTATTTAATTAAGGCAACAAGGAACGTGTAAATTTTTATGTTACATTTTCTCGGAAATCTCCTAAGAATTATTTTGTAGCTGCCTTATACATTTATTAGTCTAGTGTTAGCAGTTAAACAGCAGTTTTAGGTGAGTGAAGATTAGAATAGTTTATGGCAATTGACGAAAGAGTCATAGACTGTTTTAAACGCACGAGAAACGAAATACGCATTCAAAAAGAAAAAAAAAATTTAGTAGGTAAAGAAAAAGTCTGCACTAAAGCCAAGAGGCCTGTTGGAGCTTATCCCGCTTTCTATTGTATGAAGCGACTGGGAACATTACTACTCCCGCTTGGATGCAATATACCAGTTGATCACAAGGTTACCCCCAAAATTCGCCGATGCTCATTTATAATCCTGGGTATGAGGAACATTGTTAAAAGAAAAGTGTTTTGTCCAAAAACATGCACAGCGGAGTCAAGGCCATCGCGTCTCCCACATTTAGAAAATAACATCTAATATTATATGTCATTCTTGTTTGTTGTTGTTTTCTTTCGGAAGTTGTGGATTGTGGCCCCTTACAAAAGCCAGATCATGGAGATATAATAGAGCAAGTAGCGTTTACCTATGGAAATAGAATAGTGTTCGACTGCGCAGAGACGGGTTATGAGATGAAAGGATCAAGAGTAAGGACATGCTTAAGTGATGGAACATGGAGTGGCTCTCTTACAACATGCGAAGGTACGTAAGAGAAAATTGATCAGTTAAAGAAGTCACGTATAGAATATTTCAATAATAGCATTTGCTATGCTACAGAATTTTAACCTTACTAAATGTAAATAGAAACAAACTCAAGAAACAGTGATAAATAAATTTAAACAGAAAAAATGAAAAAGACTGTTTTCATTGTTCGAAAGGCTTGATGACTGAAATTCTTATGTGGCAGCCCAAATCATTTCAATGTCGTACCAGATAAAGTTTCACGGTTAAGATGGCATATGTGCAAAAAGATTTAGACCTCTCTGGAGCAATTGCAAAGGAAAACAGCAATCTGATTTGGAGACGGAAAAATTCAAGATTCAAGTCAAGCGTTGGAATGGGGTGCGTTAGCACACTGATTGTAAACCTTTGTGAAGGAAAAGAAGAATGCACTCATAGACTTTTTCGATTAATGACAATTTTAACAGAGTAACGAAAAATCAAGAAGTACTATACAACTTAATGTTAGCTGTAGGCATGAAAAGCTTTAACGCTTTAACCCGTGGGAGTAAACTGAAATAAAAATTAGTAATATAGAGAACACAATTTTCCCAGTGATTAAACCGACGCTGACCTATAAATATCACAGTTCTTGTCCAGTTCTTGGAAAATGTCTTTATTGCTCACTGCCACATGGTAACTAATAAAAAGACAATAATTCCCATTAAAATGTAAGGCAAAGAGCAATTTAATGATTGCCTTAAAGCTAAAATTAGCAATTCTTACATGTTTGACTCCATAGCACCATGTGCTAGGCCCACCATACCTGTGAATGGCAAAATAGTTGGAAATATCTTCAGTCATGGAAAATCTGTAAACTTTTACTGTGATTCTGGCTATAAAAGAGTTGGCGCCCGTTCGATTAAATGCGATGATGGTAAATGGGATAAGCCGTCTCCAGTCTGCAAAGGTTAGAAATGTTGTTTTTTTCGCAACTTCATGCATTCACGTGCATTCGTGATGACTTAACCAACGTTCTCTTTATGATTAATCAGGCATTTGCTCAACACCGAGAGATCCACAGAACGGAAAATTGCATCAGAAGGTGCCCCCAGAACGTTTCCTTGACGGAGATGAAGCAAAATTCTTTTGCAACAGCGGTTATGACTTGATTGGTAAAAAGAAACTTCGTTGTGTTGGAAAAGTGTGGGATTCCAGCGAGCCTGAATGTAAAGGTGAGTGTTCCAGCTCTTCTGAAAAAAGGTGCCCTTGAGAAATATTTTTGTTGTAATGACTAGACTAGTGACCGCCTAAATTAATAGCTTTTTAGCTTTTCTTGCCCACTCAGTAGGCAATGGTGGGACCTTAAACACAACTCGTGGGTAACATTTTCCTGTAATAAAAAATATCAGCTGGAGGGAAAAGGACAAATACAATGCAAAGATGGCGTTTGGAGTGGTAACCGTCCTAAATGTGTCGGTAAGAAAATTCGAATAAGATGTTCCTTTGAGTTCTAATTCATATGAAAAAGAAATTCCGAGCGATATCAGTTGTTTTGTTTTTACGAAGAAATTGTATCTCTCTTTTATCTTTTGGTCTTCTCCAAAGTGTGGTTATAGCGTTGTACATTGTAGATGTATCGTGACAGCCCCATCCTGTGCTTGCTTTTAAAGTTCTTCTCCTTTCTTTTTTGATCTTTGAAACCTTTTGTTTTTTCCCCTGCCTACTTTACTAATACAGCCATGTGTCCAGATCCTGGTAAACCATTGAATGGCAAACGCTACGGCAACAATTTCGAGAAAGGTAGCATAATAAATTTTACGTGCAACACAGACCACGAGTTAATAGGAAACAATACTATACGGTGTGAGGATGGCGTTTGGAGCGGTAGTGTCCCTCTCTGTAAAGGTATAGTGTTATATTAGAGGTTTCGAGAGATAATTTAGGTAACCCTTTTGATCCATTCTTTGGTAATTCACAGTTCGTTTAGCACACAATTACATTACTTAAATTGTGAGGAAGTAATATGACTCTGAAAAAATACGAGTTGAAAATATTCAAATTTGAAATAATAAATAATTGCCTCTTTAATAGGATAACCAACGACCCGTTAAGTTTAAGTTATGAGGGAGGGAGGGAGAAAGCGAAATAAAATTGAAGAATCGTGCACGACAAACTTTAAGCGAGAAAAATGTTCATGAACAGAAAGCAGCCTAGGAAACTTGATCTTCAAACCATGCCTTAGCCCTGAAACAAAATTTCAAGGAATTTAAAAATTCTGTCAATACGCTCTGAATGACCTAGCGAGAAAGAAAGCAAGGACAATGCGCACAAAACAAGCTTGCCAAAAAACATTTTTACTTTTGAAGGTAAATGCAAATTTGAAGGCAGTCCTAAAAATGGATACACACCAAATGAAAACTTCCCTAGAGGGAAACTCTTACCACATGATAGCCACATCGAGTACGCTTGTTATGCACCGTACACTCTGGATGGCACCAACATTCTGCACTGCAACGATGGCTTTTGGAACGCTAGCATTCCCTCGTGCAAGGGTATGTACTCATTCTGCGCTAACATGAAGATGGACTCTCAATTACCATTATCACCTTGAAAAAGTTAGAAGTAATTCTATTAATGCATTTTAATTGAGCATGGCTGTTCTCTTTCGTAGCCACTTGTACTGACCCTGGGTTAATAGACAGAGGAAGACGAAATGGTACAGATTTTTCTCACGGACAGGTGGTCACGTATGAATGTTATACTAAAAACTACAGTCTGGTGGGAAATCCTCGTCTGACATGCAACGATGGAGTCTGGGATTCAGCTCTTCCACTTTGCAAAAGTGAGTATCTTAAAATATACATATTTAGAATTTCTTATTATTATACAAGACGAGGCACATAGTTTTCAATTATAACCGCAGAAGTTTGGTAAATTTCCTCAGCTAGAAAGACGAAAAAAAATGATCAAACATATGTTCGCAAAACATGTGACGCAAACCCGTTTGGGCCACACACTTCATTGCATCTAAAGTCAAGACTTGTGACATATTTTGTTCTAAAGTTTAGGATGGAAAAACTTCACTTTCTTGTCGATGTCTACACTGGGTATCATATTTGCTGAAACGGAAAGTGATTTCTGTCTTGTAACATTAGATATTCTTATCAGGTACTAACTGAGAGTTATGTCATTTCGAAATATGTAATGAACTTTAAGTGAGGTGAGTGCAGCGCCAAATTGCGTGAAACAATGACGCCCCTATTTTGAGTGCCGTTTTGATCCCAACAAATCGCCAAATTTGAATAAAATTTCGTGCTTAGCTTTGGAGTTCTCTCTTATTGATTTAAACATGTAGGAGATTTTTTTCCAATTTTTTTTTTTACAGTTCAGTTTTTTAAAGATATGAACCGGCCAACAACCACTTCACATCCCTTTCTTTCATACATTGCGCTCATCGCCGTAAGTTAATTTGATTTTACAAACTGAGTGGAGGGGGGGGAGGGGTGGGGGAAGGAGGAGGTACTACCTTGTTTAGACGTTACTGTTACACGCTGTAGTATAATATTGGAATAAATGAATTATAGGTATAGGGCATGCAATTTAACCTAAAACAAAACCTTGTCTCTGAGTCTAAGAACTAAACTGAACGTTAGTGATTTGCGTTCTATGTAATTCCTAATTTAGACCTCCTCCATAGCAGCAGGCTTGATTACTCTTCCTTTATAAGCATGTATTAGAGCCTTCCTTACCCCGCTTTTGAGAGAAAATTCGATTGTCCTGACAAATGTTAACGAGACCAACAGGAGTGGGCTAATTAACATGTATACAAACGGATAAAATGCTTAGCCAAAAGGTATAACAGAAAGATTAAGAGAGACGTAAGCAAGCAAGCAAGCCTTGATTTTTATTCCGAAAAGACAGTCCGAAAATCGAAACTCCCATCTTGTCTATTGCAACTGAGCCAGAAATATGATTATCGGATTTGGATGCTTCCGTCCCGAATTCGCATGCACTCTACCCCGGCGCCGTCCGATTTGGAACAGATGGCTTTCAATGGGATTCAAAGATTCTCCTTTAGGCTGATCATCTTTTCTTGTTAATTTTTTTAGTGCAAGACTGCAAACCCCCAAATATTCCTATAAACGCGAGGATTTCAAATCCGAGCAATAAATACCATTCTGGTTATAAAGTCACATTCAAATGTAATGAAGGTTACAACCAAGAAGGGATGGCGACTCAAATGTGTTTCCTTGGTTCGTGGACCGTGCTGCCTTTCAAATGTACAGGTAGGTCATTTCCGTACAGTCTGGTAGTCATCCTCAAGGCTTATCTCTACAAACCACAAAACGAAGTATGTTTTGGAATCTTTCAAAGGCGACGTCAACCTCAAAACAATTAACAAAACCTCAATTAATTTCCATAGCAAAAACATAAAATTTAAGATTAAAAATAAGCTTCTTAGTTTCAGAGCTCGGCCACACATTGTGCGCGTTGTTATGATCATCTCTCTAAATACAAGTATTCGATAACAAATTAAAAAGGGGTAGAAGATGGCAGTTTTTTATTTGTTGAATGAATGCTTAAAATAGTTTAACGAACGTGACTACGAACGCGTGGGGGTGAGCCAGAAAATCAGTTTGTAAGTTTCAAAACTTATTGTCAGGTTTCTTCCAGCAGCGTTTACTCTGTTTTATCCTATAAGCGTTACCTTGGTGCATTTTGGCATATAGGCATAAGAGATGGAAAGATTAAATTCGGCGGCGTTTGTCCTTAGAAATTTGAATGTTTCGTTGAACCTGCCAAGTGTCATGGTCAGATCCCTGAGGTCCCTGTCAGTGTATGCTGCCACTTCTGTATAAATTGGGACACATCCGTTCATTGATATGGATTCGCCTCGAACATCAGAACTCTGATGCAAACAAAGGCGTTTAACGCTGAAATTCGGCTCTTTCCTTTGAAAGGTGCGTGCAATGCCGTCCTGGGAATGCAGAACAAGAAAATTCAGGACAGCAGCATCACAGCATCGTCGCAATTAAGTATAAACCACGTCCCTTCCCTTGCTCGACTGGACGGTGTGCAGGAGGCCTGGTGCTCGGCTCCGACCGACAATCTGCCCTACATAGAAATACTGCTGAGCGAGGAAAAGTTTCTTACTTTGATTAAGACGCAGGGAAGCAAAAAGGACTTAAGATGGGCAACGAAGTACGAAATTCAATACCAGAAGGATGGACAATGGATCGTTTACAGGAAAACGGACGGAACCCGGGTTAGTAATAAACACACAACTCCTGTCTGTTATTCCATCCGAATATCGGTATTCTGCAAGCACAATGAATATTGCACGCACAATGTAATATGCATGCCCAAAGAAGCACATACGGCTGGAGTGACAAACGCAATTATTCACAAGTTTCTACTATGTACTGAAAGACTCCCTCCCCCGCCCCACTCTCTCCTCCCTCACTCACCTAAAGCTGAGTTACTACGCGACATTAATAACGACATTAAGGGAGTCTAATTTATCTTTGAACTGGGTCTCACATATTTTTAGTAATCGAGACGTTGTGATGAATTTTATGAATAAGAAATATTATCGTGTTTCACTCTTATCTTTCGACACACAGACATTTGATGGAAATGTTGGCGTAACATCCTTAAACGCTATCGCGCTCCAACCTCGAATTAGAACACGTTCAGTCCGTATCTACCCAAAGTTTCCATTATCTTTGGATGGCGATGCGTCTCTTATGAATGTTTCCTGTCTCCGACTGGAATTATACGGCTGCTCTGCCCCTGGTCAGTTACTAAATTTCAACTTGTCTTACCAATTAAGTCTTTGAGTAATTTAAATTTTTCTGTCACATATTAGGAGGGTGATTCGTTGATATAACTCAGATCTGTATGGGTGATCCAAGATTACTCAGATAATGACAATTGAAAGAAAGACGAATCCCGTTTTTTGAGTAACTTCACCTCACTGGCTTACTTGGTTAGCTCATGATGGTTATGATACTTTAGTGGAATACAAACAGAAACAAAGTTTCTATAGAATTATAGGCTTGTTTACGCATATTTGAAGTTTAGTGCCTCCTTTGCGCGCATTAAATAGGGGCTAATACCAGATGATGCTCTGGGCATGAGCAAGCAAGTTTTCCTGGCCTCTCTATATGGCACCCTTTGTTCAACCTCCTAAATTGGGCGCGGGAGGAAGACTTTAAGGAGTTGAACAGGAGGAATGCACACGTCTTGACTGAGCAATAACTTCTTCCAAGACGAATCCTTTCAACTGTCAGATTATTCTCATGTCAACAATGTCACGATCTCTGAACATCTAATTTCTTTCTTTTTTTCAGTTGATGGCTTGTGGGGCGCGTGAGTAGTATAGAAAGTTGGCGTTGCGAGATCAATTTGAAAATGACCTCGAAGTCAACTCAATACTACGTAAAATTTGATAGAAACTATTTTAAAAACCCCAAAAAGTGATACTTTATGCATAAGAAAATTTTCAATCATGATTCTTGTAAAAAAAATAAAACTATAGTTTCCAAAAAAAATCTTCACAAAAAAAGAAACATCTGTGATATTATTTTACGAAATCACAAAAAAACCAGAGAAATGTCAAACGATACATCTCGTTCTTCTATGTCATTTTTTTTACATAAAATTAATGTCACTATATTTTGTAGGATCCATTGTAATTTAGAAATTCATGATGAAATAAAAATGATGACTGTCTTACATGCCCTTTTTGTAACTTTAAAATAGAAGAGTATGTAAATAATAATAAGGAAGAACCATGTTGTTATAAGATAGAAATTATTCATGACAATGACACACGTTTATGCTCGAGTTGTGGTTTAGTTCATGGTAATAAAAGAGCAGAGTAGTATATGAATTATCGTGAAAATCGATATAAGATTCATAACAATAATATATACAACCGAAAATGTCGTATCAATGAGGTCATTTTTATATTAATATTTAAATGGATAATAAAATCAGATGGAAAATACACCTTATATTTCAGGAAATAGATAAAATCATGAAAGAAAATAATTTCATATATCAGACTATGATAATGAAATAATTTTTGGTTCCCTCTAATATCGTTCCATTATCAACATTGATCCAAATTTCTGTGTCAACTTGGATACCTAAAAGACAAGAAAAGCTGAATGTTTCCAACGAACTAGTAGAATAAAGAAGATGTTTGATGTTCAGTTAATGATTTATGATAAAAACGTTTATGCTCAAATGCAATCTAAGATGGTTGTCATTTTGTGGTGATTTTTATCTATCAAACTAACAAATTTAATATAGACCGGCTAGTTTAATCAAATTTAGTCATTAGAATTTGAATCGCAAAAAAAAATAATTGTCCGCACTTTTTTTCACCTCAATGCTTTCCCCGATTGAATTATTTGGAACAAAAATGAATTTGAATCATTGCTATGCGTTCCAATGGCTTTATAATAAATTTATCCGAATTTTCGAATGAATTTGGAAAGGTGTCAACAGCTTAACTGTTCAGAACAGCTTTAAGATCTTCAGATTAGGCTTAAAGCACTCAAGACCTCTTCTATTGTTTCTAGAGGATTTAACGTCTAGCCTTTCACAGTATCTAGAACCAAGACACTTGATGTTAAAGTTTTACAGTTGTGAATACGTCCAAATAAGAAAAGTCATGTGCAAAGGTTGCTACATCCTAATGAAACGGGCTTCGACAGCTCATTTCTAGAAGGGTTTCTGAATGAGTACAAGAATTGTGTGAACTATAGTTCATAACTGATCTAGCAAAATCCATGATCACTGAGCAACCTTTGTGTATGTATTGAGTACTAGATGAATACCGTACTCGATACCGTTCTTTTTCTGTACCATAATCTTGGGTGGAAACTAATGAACTTGGAGCCACTTATTAATGACAAAGCAGCAATTTATTTTAATTTAGAATAAATTATGCACGGCCAAAAGTTCTAAGGACTCTTCAGCAAACAAAGTGTAGATAGAATAATATGACATTCTTAATCCAGACGAACGTGTTCGTGGCTTGAGTAGTGAGCCATTTATTCGAGTGTGTTAATAATTTGAGCTTTATTATTAATACAATATTTTATCTTCTTTCCCTCAAGCATTCTGGTCAGTTAATTCATCTTTCTTCAAATATTTAATCCTTCTTCAAATATCTAATCTTTTCTCACCAGCTCTTTGATTTTTTTCCTTGACGATAGCCCTTTGTTTGTTCCTTGACGATATCGCTATCACTTTCACAATTTTACCGTGATAATATCCTCTCTCCTTTCTCCATTGCAAGTTCTCCCGAATAGTAGCTCACACGACTTGAGGGGTATCAGCTGGGAGTTCCAATTAGCTAAGCGCGAGAGCGACGGTAATTTGCCATCTGCTGTCACAGAAAGCGCATTTAGATTTCCAGGTCTGATGACCAGTCGCTGTTTTGAAAAGTAAGGCAGCACATTACAATTTGTACTTAGGTAACAAAAGTTATTGATATGGAAGATTGCGTGACGTTTCCCAAGAGAGAAGACGGGAGATCGATGACGACGTTGAAGGCTGGGAAACTCGAGAACTATTTAATAATAGTTCACAATACTTCATTTCCGGTCCGGTTTCACATTTTTAGTTTATTGCCAACAATAAGTCACCAGTCTGTGCTTTTAACAGGGCCGTTGACGTAACTGGTCAGTGTCTCTTTTGCAAAAAATGAGAATTCTGCTCATTTCATGCCTGCTATGGACTATTCTTTTCACACATCAAGTCAAAGGTGAGTTTATTTTACCGTCCGTTGTGAGTGAATTTTGAGACAAGATTCCGCACGCAGACGCAGACGAAGACGTCGTGAAAATTGTTTTCCATGGCGCATATTCATATCACATAAAAGGTAGTTCTTCCCAAGCTTCAAAAGACACATTTTACGTTCGTTCAGAAGCGAATTATCGACTCAAGAATCGTTCAAATCCTCTCCGTCATAATACGCAGATCAGCGATAAGCTATTGATTGCAATTCAACGCAATATGGTTCTCAAATTGAAACTGTATACTGATTTTATCGATTAGATGAGCAAATGGGAAAGATAAGGCAATTAAGATGTGATCTCTCAAAGTCGCCCGAAGGAAATTTCGGTGTATTCACTGATGATTCTTGAACATAGTTTTGGTGTGGATTTCACACACAGGAAGACTTCCTACTATGAGCTAAAGTAGAGGTCACGTTGAGCAATTGTGCTTCTCTTCTTCAAACAAACAAATTAAGCCTTGCACACAAAGGGTCATGTAAACAAAACCGCGCAGTCCCACCTGAATACAGAAACAGCAAACATCGTAAATGCATTTACTTGTTTTGACATGTTATGAAATAAGAGGTCAAGAGTTTAGTCATTTATCCTCGACCACAATGAAAATTGAACATCGAGGAGTAGAGAGATCGTGTAGAGACCGGGTTTAACTAAAGTTTCACTGGAAAAAGGGGATCAACCGGCATGAGAAGATAAAAACTGATATTCGTTTTCCATTTCTCTTAGTTGTTGTTTTAAATCACATCGACGTAAATTTTGTAACAAAAGAGATGGCTCATGTTTTCATAATTCCCACCAAACGACGGAAGTTGAGGATGAAAAAAGTTCACTTTCTTTCAATGTCTACATTGGGTGCCATATTTGCTGAAACCGAAAGTGATTTCTGTTATGTTACATTAGACATTCCTATCAGGCCTACTGAGAGGTATATCATTTCGGAATATGAAATAAACTTTACGTGAGGTGAGCTAGTGCAGTCAGTCGGACCACTTCACGCACGTTGGTCGTGCGTGTTGGCAATAAATTTGGAATCATAGAAATTCGATTTCCTTCCATGAGTTTGTTTTAATCATCATGTTTTAATAACCCTTGAAAGCGAAGATGACTTCCCAATGGAGGGAATATTTGCTTGTATTGTTCATTTTTTCTTACCTTTGTTCAATTTCATCTTGATTTGTTATGTCCCCTATTTTGAGCGCCGTTTTGATCCCAACAATTCGCCAAATTTGAATAAAATTTCGCGCTTTGTTTTGGCGTACTCTCTAATTGATGGGTTTTTTTTTTGTTTTGTTTTGTTTTTTTCCTAACGGTTCAGCTTTTAGCTTTGACCTCTCCAACAGCCATCCCTTATTTCTTCTTTTGTAGATTACGCTCATTTCGAAAGAAAAAGAGCCATCCAATAGGTTTCAGTTAGGAATTTGATCGGCGCTGTTTGTGCGTTCACCAATTGAATTTTAAAAGCGCGTTTTGAATGAGGTTAACATTTGCTTGTGATATTTACTAATTTTTGGGAGAAGCGACCTCCAGTGCTTTGGTTTGAAACTGCTCCATTGCTTTGCGGGTTTGTTCCATAATTTTATATATCAATTATGTATTAATTGGTTTGTTCCATAATTTTAAAGGCTTGATCAAACATTTTATAATTTAATGAATGGCGAATACTTTTCATTGTTTGGCGTTGTCGTACAAAAATAGAATCTCATTCAGCTGATTCGTGTATTTTACAGTTTATCGAGGCGACCTTCTGTATTCGTTAAAAAATAGTTGCGCGACTCGTGCAATTTCTGCAACTTCTGAAAACACGCGTGAAATTAATCCTTAAATTTACTCCACCCAATGCAATTACCTACCTTACTTATTCATCTATATTCTTTCTTAGGCGAGTCGAAATGTCTCCGCACTAATCGACAGCCCGATCGGATGTGTGTTACTAAGTGTGATCCTTTAACTGGCTGCAGGGCTGAAGAAAAATGTCTTTGCGATGGCGACTGTGGGTATAGTTGTGTAAAGAGAGGTAAGCTTACTATTTGATAGCTACCAGTAGGAATGTTGAAGAAAAAAAAAAAGAAGAGATTATAACGAGATTTCACATTTTTTCAGGCTTCATTTCTGCAATTGCTAAAATTGCAGCTCAATTTTTAAAATTTTGCCTCTCTATGAATCTAAATCCGCAGATCAAAATAAATTTGTTCACAACAAATGTGCATCGCTCCCAACATCAACGTGGGGCTTCATTGCTCAGTCGGTGGTACTGCCCAAATTTTGTCACGGTTCTTTTCTGCAATTAATAAAGTTGATCTCATTTGCAAGGATCATGGTTTTGATGTAAAAGTATTATTGCCGCCAAAAATTCGTTAAGCGCCTTGTATTAATAATTTGCACTTTTTCCCCGTTGTCATGTCTTCATTTAGTCCTCTTGTTCAGCGTGCACAACTGTCATCAATATTCTGTTACTTTTTTTCTTGCATAATTTTTGTCAGTTCAAAACGCTCGTACCAGCTCTTTACCGTTGATTTATGTCATTCGCATCTATCGTTCTAACCATTCAAATGCCTTTGTCGATTGCTTTCACATCGTTTTCAATTCGCCGATTAGTTCCTGATCTCGCACAATGATCGTAAGTGTCTTTGTTTGCTCTCTGGTTTTGTCAATTTCTTTATTTATAATCGTAATAACTTGTAATTTATCTGTTTGAGCAGTGTAGTAACGGCTTCAATTCGATTTACTTCGCTTCAATTCGCTTAACTTCACTTCGCTTCGTTTCTTGGTAGTGAACGAAGGGATGCGTTTCACATGTAATTAACGAATGTTTTGGCCTCTCCATGTATGCAGTCTTAAACAAAGCAAAGTTGCGAATTTTAACATGAGCGCATCGAAGTTTTGCACAGAAAACTTTGATTTGATTCACCCAAAATCCTAAGCAGCCAGTGGAGAGAGGCATCGCTTTGTATGGATCCTGGCAAATTTTTGGTGTCTGCGCATTTTGGTTATCTGATGCTGCTAACTTATTAATTAAAGTACTAAAAGATTTTCCGTGATAGCCTGAAATACCATCCAAGAGGAGTGACAGTAACTTTCGTGGCATCATACTCCGGGAAAGTGACACTCGCTGACATACTCCGACATCAATGACTTGTTTAGACTCCTGATCTTTTTACCTACATATCACCCTTTACGTAAAATTGAATTGTATCTACTACTGATTATCCTGAGACGAAGTAACTCGGAGAAAAAGTCAACAAGGGCTGGAATGGGGTATCCAAAGTACCCTTGTAAGATCAAATTTCAGTTGTTATTAGTAAGCTCAAAATGTTTGTGTCGCTTCACTATCTATCTTTGTTGTTTGCTTTCGAACAGATTTATCCTGCGGAAGGCCACCACGGGTGTCCAACGCTCGACCTCAGTACCCAGCCACTAATTTCAGTTCCGTTGTTACTTACGTTTGTAACGAGGGTCACACATTGTCCGGAGCAGCCAAGAGAACCTGCCGGGCAAATGGCAGGTGGGACGGCGTGGGACCTAACTGCTGTGAGTATCGGCTAGTACGGTGTGTCCTCATCGATTTTGCTGCCTTGAAATTAATATTTTTTCCATTATTTCTTTTCAGTAAAAATGTGTTCTTTACCAACAATTCCATTTTCTACGTACATCGCAAAGCCCGTAAATTACACCCGGAAATACAGGACTGGTGAGAGAATAACTTTGGCCTGCAAAAAAGGGTTTAAAAAGAAACCGGGCGGTAATCCTGTAAGAATCTGCATCAGCGGGTTGTGGACTCGATTTCCGTTTCAGTGCGAAGGTAAGGTCGACTAAAAATCGTATCTCCGCAAGGTAATTTAATATTATGAACTCAGTTGATTATAGCAAATTACCTTCTTATACTCTCTCACCGACCCAGCACCACAGTTTCTTTAGAAACAACCCCGTTTATTCTTATCTCCGCAGTTGAGGAGGCCATATAATATCAGGTTAACATGGCCGTGGTACAGACAGATAAATTAATCTTTGATTCAAACGAAAAAAAAATTAAATCTTTGGCTGACAAATACCAAAATGGGAAGAATTACCCGGAAAAGAACTGAATGCTTGCTTATGCGTGAGAAAGACTTACATAGATTGCAAATGAACAAGTTCAAAGATCACCAGCTTCTGTTTTTTTCCCCTTCATGGATGGGAGTGGGATAATGAGGCATGAAATTTTTGTGAGACAGGTAGGAAACCAGCAACCAGATATTAAACCATCGGAAACAACAATGACAAAGGCGCACATAACAACGATAGTAAAACTAGAACTTGAATCCTTCATGTGTTTCATTTTAGATTGTACTATTTTTTCCTGTATGTATGCTAAAAAATAGACTAATATATATATATCATATAGTAATATATTACATGTTCCTATCAAGTAACTGGTCCGTGTGTGTGGACATGTGTTTAGGTACCCACGCGTGTAAAAGAACCATCCGAGCCCCCAGAACTAAATGCACACAAGAGTGTAGTCCTCAAAGTGGGTGTGATTCAGATAAATACAAGTGCCTTTGTGATGGAAGTTGTGGGTTCAGTTGCGTGGAAATAGGTAAGTTATAACTTTGTGATCAGGTAAAAGAAAATAGCCTTGTATTCCTGATAGCCAGTGAAGCGGCAACTCTCACATGACTATGAAGTCGCTAAAGTGACTATTGAGGTGTGTCAGTCCACGGTTAGACAAGGAGATCGGTCACGAAAGTTGGTAATAAAAAGGAATATAGAAACTTCGGTGTTGCTCTATGTTGGGGAGCTCTTTCAGCATCCACATTTTTTTAGACTCATTTAACGGCTGAATGAAAATGGGACTTTACCATTGATCAGCTAATTTGGCGTGACGAAATGGTGTGAAACGTTTTGGACGTTCAGGTACAAAAAAAGGGTGAACAAAGAACAATGATCGGTCCAGTTGAGTTTAAGTTGAATTTCTGAGTTGGAAAAATGTATTTGTTATTTAAATCTGCGAATGAAAGAGGCACGTGAATCTTGAGAATCTGTTGGAAGTTCGAAGGGACGTATTAGCATAAAAATATGAAGAGGTAAATGTTCCAAAACTCCTGTTCAGTTCATCAGAGGGGAACGTACGTTGGTTGTTTCGACATGGAAAGGAATGTAGTGTCTATCGAATGTAAGATTATTGGTTTTTTTTATTTTAAGAATCTTTGAAGTTTTCATTTGAGTGATAATTGGTACTCTTCTGAGCTCTTTCATTTTAGTTTCATCTCTTTTCTTTTCTCTGTTATACGCCATTCGCCGTGAGAGTTTCTTACACAGGTTATCTGAATCAGCCGTTCCACTTTTGTGGCATTCTGTCTACACATTCGGTGTCTGTATGTACGCCGGGTTTGTATCGCGTAAATGTTAGCTGAACTAGCGCATAGAACTGAATGATTTGTGGTTTCATATTTTTTTTTGGTCCTAAACCATCAAACAGGAATGTCTTGCGGAAATCCACCGTCAATCAGCAATGGCAACCTCGTTTACAATGACACAAGTTACAACTCAACCGCTCATTACTCCTGCAATGAAGGATACAATTTGAATACAGCTCCAGTCAAGAGATGTACTGCTAAGAAACGCTGGGAAGGCCTTACTCCTAGATGCTGTGAGTACACTTTTGCAGTGCGAAGTTCGTGTAGGCTTAATTGTTGATCCATCCTGTGGGGGGACTGCCCTATCTAGGCTTTACGGCTACATGCTGTCATATTATATCGAAAGTGATGATTCATAGGTATAGGGTATGCAATTTAGCCTCAATCAAATCTTTCTTTCTGAGTCTAAGAACTAAATTGTTGTTGGACGTTGGCTATTTGCGCTCTATTTAACTCCCGATTTAGACCTTTGTTCCTTTATATGCATGTATTAGAGCCTTCCTGATCTCGCTTTTGAGAGAAAATTATATTGTCTTGACGAATGTTAACGAGACCAATAGGGGTGGGCTAATTGACACGCATACAAACGGATAACAATAACGCCCAGCCAAAAGGGGTGACAAAATTCAAGAGAGACGTAAGCAAGTAAGCCTTGATTTTTATCTCGAAAATACAGTCCGAAAATCGAAACGTCATCGACCAAACGTCCATCATGGCCATTGCTACTGAACCAGAAATATGCTTATCGGATTTGGACGCTTCTGTTCCGAATTTGCATGCACTCTGCAATCAGAATTTGTACGGCGCCATCCGATTTGGAACAGATGGCTTTGAATGGATTGAAAGATTCTCATTTAGGCTGATCAGTTGGTATCTTTCTTGCTAATTTTTCAGTGCAAGACTGCAAACCCCCAACTATTCCTAGAAACGCGAACATTTCAAATCCGAGCAAAAAATACCATTCTGGTTATAAAGTCACATTCAAATGTAATGAAGGTTACAACCAGGAAGGGATGGCGACTCAAATGTGTTTCCTTGGTTCGTGGACCGTGTTGCCTTTCAAATGTACAGGTGGGTCATTCTGAGCAGACTGGTAGTTTTTCATATTCAGGGCTTATCACTACAAACCACAAACCGACGTATGTTTCGGAATCTATCACAGGCAATGTCAACCTCTAAACAATTAACAAAGTTTCAATTAATCTACCACAGCAAAAACATAAAATTTGAAATTTAAAAAAAAGGCCTCCGAGTTTCAGAGATCGCCCACACATTTTGTGCGTTGTTATGGTCATCTCTCTAAATAAAATTTTTTTGTGCAGATTTAGCAGATTAGAGATAAAATATGGAGAGCCACTTTTTTAAATGATTATTTTTGGTCTCTGTGATACTTAAATATACAAACTTTGTTAATCCTTTTAAGTAAAATGCCAAAAACCAAGACGAATGTATCGGCCTTGTAGTTTTGCCCTGGATATCTCCTAGTTACGCTACTTCCCCATGGACTTGTGGATTTATTTCCGTGTCTCACGATTATTTTGCTCTCAGGGGACATCTATCGTAGAAGAACTGTAACTGTAGAATATCTCGACCTTACGTTTGTTCCTAGATCATACCGGCGGTTATAATTCCACCGCGTGTTGAATTTTTTCACATTTTATAAGCAGCATGACTCATTCTGTGGCTCTCTTATGACAGAGGGAGGATGTGGAGACCCAGGCACACCTGAGAATGGTCGAAAGCTGGGAGTCACATATTCTGTTAATAGCAAGGTCTACTTTGATTGTGACTTGGGCTATGAACTAGAGGGGTCAGCAGACCGCAAGTGTCAACTAAATGGAACTTGGACAGGAATTCAACCAGATTGTAAAGGTAAGGTGTCCAAATTTGTCTACTGTCGACGCTTTATGCAATAAATACAACGTTGAAGTTCTGTATATAGTGCCTAACGTTTTCCCCATAGCTTTTCTTCTGATTTTTTCCTATATTGGTACTTAATTTTGCGTTTTCCGCGGTTGCAAAAAATCGCGAAATTAAATACCCTCGCATAAAAATCCTTGCGAAATTAAATCCCAACAGAAAATTCAGATCACACACAGAAAAAAGAAAAAAATGATCAACGTGTAATAACAACAACATCTACAGGATATGTATCAACAAATACACAATTTTTTTACTGATCTTGCTAGAAACTTCTAGTGTGTATCTTCCTTTTGTTGTGAAATGATGTTAATTTGCAAAGATTGCGCCTATGGAATAGAGAATCTTGCTGAATCGCTCTATTCATACAAATTCCTTGGAACATCTTTCGTGCGGTCGTCAAAAGTTGAGAACGCTTTAATTGCAAATTTCATATTTGCCTGTTTTAATCGCGAAAATATAACCCTGCAATGCACCGTCTCGTCAAAATCGTGAAATTTAGTACAAAAAAGGAAGTATGAAGTGGCTGTGAGGTGTTAAGCTTTGTGACTATCCTAGAGCACTAGGGTTTGCATCTGAATATTTTTTCTGGGTTTGCGATACTGGGAGGTAAACACTTTTACGGTATCCATTCTTATGCTAATATTCTATGTTAATGTTTGACAATGGCTAAGTTGCGATATCTCTCTTAGAAAGAGGCATTGTGCATTGAGCTAACAAGTTTGAAACAATTTTGAAATAACGATCCAAGATTTGCCATACCTTACTCTCATTGTCTATCTGTTCACGTTTAAAGTTGTAAATTGTGGCTTTCCGCCTCGACCAAAGAATGGAACATTTATTGGTAACGAAACAACTTTCAGAAGTGAGCTCGAATTCAGATGTGACGAAGGTTTTGAATTGCAAGGCAGTGCCAGAAGAATGTGCACCACGGACAAAAGCTGGACCGGGAAGGATGTGACATGTAATGGTAAGTGTATTAGAAATCGTTTATTTCTATGGTTTTATTTTCGCTCTCACTTTTTAACGGTCCATTTTGAGGCTTAACCTCACTTTTCCAACCACCATTGAGGCTGGAAGACGTTCCTTCAAAAGGCAACCTTACTTTTTTGGAATCGACCTCATTAAGTACGTGGTGCGATAGACACTTAATGGATTGAACAAATAATTTCTGTCACTCTTAACCTGATTAGGAAAAGTGGCATAAAGAACGTCAGGTCCACATCGGGTGCGAATCCACATCTTTGAGATAATGGTTTATGCTCTAGACACTTAATTAAAGTTTACTAGTTACAACTGATACTGCTTTTGTTACTGGCGATACAAGCTTGATTTTCCAGTGTCTGAGCTATAAAATAGGATAAATGGAAGCATACAGACAGATGTTAAGCTTTTGTCATCGGCGTGGTACAAAGAAAAAAGTTCGAAGACTCCCGAGAGCATTCGTTTATCACATTTTGCGATGTAGCGGGGAAAGGGAAGGGAAGGGAGGGTGGGAGAGGAAGGGAAGGGAGGGTGGGATGGGGGTAGGAGGGAAGGAGGAGGGGGCTCTGAAGGAGGTTAATTACATCAGATTCGCTTATTAATTTCACGTTTCTTGTGAAGCTGTTGACTGTGGGAGCCTCGATCCTCCCAAGAACGGCTCTTTAATCGTAAAAGAAACTACTTACCCAAACCATGCGGAGATCAGGTGCGATGAAGGATTCACCCTGCTCGGACCACGAAGACGAACATGTCAAGCGAACGGAACGTGGAGTGGAAATATAACGGAATGTAAAGGTGATTAACTTTACTTTGTTTGAGCAGATATTTACCCTTTTCTATTAAAAGAAAAATTATCCATTTCACTGAGAACGAATTGACCCCTGATCATGACAAATGCACCTACTCTTTAAATCGTGCAAAAATTTCAGGTACGGAAGTGTAGTAATGAGGAATCCAGAGTTCGTTATTGACCCACCTGTGTTCTTGCCAAATGTTTCGTTATATCGTCCAATAATTGAACGTAAACTGCTGGACATTCAGTAAAGCTGGTAAAAGAGAAAAGCCTTAAGCATCAAAAGAGGGCGAATGGTGTTCCAGTAAACATCAATGAGGTGTAAAGACTTTCCTTTAAAATTAAACTAAACTGTAAAATATGTCTTGTCCCGGATTGAGCGCAAGTCCTGTCTTAATGAGCTCGAGCGCTTTATGTCTTATTGGGTTTGTCTCGACAATATCAAGTTATTTCATATTGCGGCGGGAGATTTGAGTGAGTTCAACGATTGTGTGTCCCAACAAACTTTTATTAATGAAGTTACTTTGCTAGTGCCTCTCACTAAATGGCTGTCTGTCGTGAAGCCAAACTTCTCTGTGATAAATTCTTGAGGGTTGATCAATTAAATTAAATAGAGAAATCTTTGAACTTTAACTTTCGAATCTTTAGCGGTTGACTGTGGTGCTTTATCCGTCCCTACGAATGGTTCTTCCATTGGCACCGAAACGACATTTCCTAACAAGATAAGATTCCGTTGCGACACTGGATTCGATCTGGTTGGGTCCTATGTAAGGATGTGCATGGCTGACAAGAGCTGGAGTGGCGTAAAGACAGTTTGTAAAGGTAATCTCCCTCAACGATATTAATGAAGAAAAAAAAAGCAATTTAGTAGGCCCCTGAGGGCCTTTAAAAGGTCTTTTTAGAACACGAGTATCAGATCAAGCGAATGGAATCTCAGGCTTTTAATCATGAAGAACCAAGAGTTTATTTACCAACACGGAGGGTGGGATTCTGGGCCAGATTGACCTATTTTGTCCATTTACCGCAGAAGGAAAGGTTGGCTCCTCCGCTGAATCTCCTATGTACTCAGTTTGTTTTATCCAGGCAATTATGCCAAGGTGTATTGGAGAACCCGTAGCGGCTTTTTTTCTAACTACCTATTTTTGATGATGGAAACCCGAGTTCAGCGTGACAGTCATTGGATTATCGTTACGTGTCTTTTAAAGCTAGAGCGCTGTGGGTTTGAAATGTGATCATGTGTGTAAGCAATTTAATTAAAACATCTCGACCATTCTATCATGTAAAAACCCACTGATATGGGAACTTTCTAAGTTTCGAGTTTTTTGGGGTTTATTTCACTGACTTACCATGAAATATTTGTAATTCCTTCTCAGTTGATTTTAACGCAATCTGTTGAAGCAGAGAACTAAAAAGAATATGAAAATGTTAACCTCCAGTCCTTCTAACTCGGGGTTTTAACCCAGTTTCAAACTCGTCCATTGACAAATGATGTATCGTCTTTGTTCTTCGACCAACTTTAATTGCTGTTTATCAATTGTACTTTCATCCAAGCCGTGGACTGTGGGAAGCTTCCTCATCCCACGAACGGCTCAGTGATAGGGAAAGAGACAACCTTCCCAAACGAAGTGGAAATCAGCTGTGACAAAGGTTTCATTTTACGTGGATCACACCGTAGGAAATGTAAAGCGGACAGAAATTGGAGCGGAGACACTACAGTCTGTGAAGGTGATAAAAGCGATGAGTATAATCAGTTTCTATACTTTTGCAAACAGCTTTAAATGACAATTAAATTTTGTTATCTATAAAAAAATATGTAATTGTGAAATTGTTGTCTTTTATGCTATTATTTTTGTCCGTCCGTCCGTCAGAACTTCCCTTTGTTCGTCCGTCTGTCCGTCCGTCCGTCAGTCCGTCCGCTCGTCACTATCTACGTTTCCAAACTTTCGTTGGGCTGTTAAATTATTTATCCGTTTTTTCTCTTATACGCACTCGGTTCAACGGTATTTCTACTTTCTCTTTTGAAGTCACTGATTGTTCCGCCTTTCGTTCTAAATTTTCTGCAGCATATGAATGCATTTTGAATGCGCACCGCAGCTATTGCATTTGCAGCAAGTAACGTTGTGTAACTTGTCTTAAACTTAAACTTAAACGATTCAACCATGTTTTATTTAAAACTAACTAACTTAATAAGAATCATTGCTCATTCCTTGAAAACAATAAAACGTAAAAAACAGCATTAAATGTTTCGCTTTAACGAGGCCAGTCCTGGTTGTAAATTTCGCCAGCTGGACAGCTTTATTTTGGAGGCCAAAGCTTTCATCTGACGCTACTACATTCGTGCATTTACGACGTCAGTTATTCGTTGTTAACTGGCACTGTCTTGGAGTGGAGTTCTTTTGCTTTTGAAGCTTGTTCTCTCATTTTGAAGCCATCAACTGCGGCAAGCCAACACTGCCAGACCATGGGTCCGTCTCAGGAGTATCTACTAGATACCCTCACTCAATAACGTTTACTTGCATTATCGGATACGAAATCTATGGGTCTGTTGTGAGAAGATGCCAAGCTAATGGGACATGGAGTGGAAATAAAACTACCTGTAAACGTAAGATACACTGTATTTTTTTCGTTCCTCTTTTTCCATAACTCGTTCCTCCAAGTGAAGCACAGCACATGTATATTTGGTCAACCTTATCGGACTTTTTTCTCCGCGTAAAAGGATTTCCCTCAGTTAGGTCTTTTTTCTTAATCTTTATTTCAAGAAACCAGTTGGATGTGTTGTACTTAGCTACAGTTTCCTATTAGGTACAAAAAAAGGCATGAAGACATGAAACAAATTAGCCAATCTATAATGCAAATACTAGATAAGCCGAATTTCAGTTCCGGGAAGCATCTTTAAAGCGGCTATTCTTGTCTTTAATAAGAACTGGTAACAAATTATTTAATGTCTCCGTGAATCTAGTGTATGTCTCAAATCCAAATCCATTTTTTTCAACTGTCTTCTAGCGGTTGACTGTGGGCTCCTTCAGAGACCGAACAATGGTACTAAGGTCGGCAATAAAACAACTTTCTTAAATGAAGTCAGTTTCTTTTGCAACAAGGGATTTTATATGTTGGGATCCTCAAAGAGAACTTGTCAGGCTGATAAGCAATGGAGTGGAGTCAAGACTTTCTGTAGAGGTAAGGCAAAAACATGATTCCTGATTGCCTCATTTCCTATTCCAGAGTATTGCGTTTCCAACAAACCAGTTAGAGGGCTTTTCGACTGAGTGTCTTAGAACCAAAATGAAAACAATTATAACAGCCAATCATAGCAAGGGTAAATATCACCAGGAGCCAATGAGACCTCGAATTAAAAAAAAGGCAAGAAGCGCGGGAAAACGCGTGTGACAAAGTTGCGATTGATTTTAGCTTTGAATGTGATCGGTCGAGTTAGTGGCGCAAGTTTTCTAAACCAATCACATAAAGGAGTGAGGCAAAATCAAATCAAACCCGAACTACTTCCAACGCTCAATTGAAAATTGCGCCATCAGAAATAAGAGAAATCGTGTACTCGCGATTATTTTGTGCGAAAGTTTTGAAGCTTCAAGTGTGCGACTTGAAAGCGGTAGCGCTTAGAAATAAGACATGGCAAAAATCGCACTTTGTTAAAGAACTTATGAACGTATTTCCTGTGACATGGCTCAACAACAAAGAAATAAATAGTGTTGAAACTAGAGTCCGGGATTGCCGTGTGAATGATGAAATAATCTCGCATTCTTCAAGACCTATCGCGTGACTCAACGCGACACAAACACGCGACGCTTTTAGCGGTAACTTTGCCTGCAATGCACCCAACCAGCGATATTCCCCAATAACAAGCCTGACTGTTGGAAACCTGTCAACCAAAGCAGTGGCTTGAGATACCTTTTTTCAACAGAAATAACAAGAAATGAGTTATTTTGTCGGGATAAAGAAGGGGTGAAGTTTTCTCTTCTCCATCGGCGATTTTACAGACATCTGGTCGGGGCATCCGGGCTCATGTTCATTCTGTATAAAGTTTGAACATTGAAAGATGTTAGCGAAGTTGGCACAACGGAATAAAATCAAGCAAATTGAACGTAGGCGTTAATATGGACACGAGGTAGGCACCTTAAAGCAATTAGGAGAAGCTTTGAGACATCAAGGACTATTCGTTCGTTGGACACTATGTCGGTAAATCGTCTGCTCAACCACCAAATAATTACGCAACATCGATACTTATTTGGAGGTCGGCAAGTACCGGGTGTGGTACTTCTTTTGCGCTTTCCTTTGCTGATTTTCTTTAAGCTGTAAAATATTGTAAGAGGTGTCTTCTCCTTGTTTTGGCCAACTGTATCAACTACTGTAAGATATGTTACCCTTTGAAAGTCCTCAGATTTTCTCTCCACTGTTAAAATCTATCAAGTGAAGTTATTGATCAGGGACAAGTAGCCAGAAATTTATGTAGCTGCTATTTCCTTGACTTCATTTCGCGTGAATTTTAAATGTGCAAACACGTGAATTTATCTGCCAAGTATGACCAATTTGGATATGGCTCAAATAGCTAAATCATGCTTTGTTAGTAGCATATGTATGTGGGCAGCATAATTACACTTTTCCTTAGACATCCACTGACAGGCATGAAACCAGATTACCATTGCTGGTGTGTTACCAAGGTGTTAAATATACATTCTCTATTTTCTTGCAGCGGTTGACTGTGGTTCCTTAATTGTTCCAAAAAATGGCAGCAAGCTTGGACAGGAAACAACATATCCTAATTTTATCAAATTTAGCTGTGATGAAGGGTTCATCTTGTTGGGATCGACAGTAAGGACCTGTTTGGCAAATGGCTCTTGGAGTGGTATGCAAACACTTTGCCAAGGTAACAGAAAGTTTTGCGGTATACATTTTGCTATGTGTAAGACTAAGGTCATTAATGGCAACTTGAGAAGGTCATGGGTCCTATACAGTCTACTACTGAAGTCAAGTAAATTTCTCCTGATTATTTACCCACAAAGCTTGTTTGAACTCTCCTATCAGTTTCTAGGTCCATTTTTCATGTTTCTTATTCTTTTTCCCCCAAAATGAAGACAAAATGTCAAATGATTCTCATAGATGTCTATCTAGAACCCAAATTCTTTCTTCTTCATTATTTTCTCTCTAAGTTGACAATTAGCTATCATTGCTCAGTAATCAGATCTTGTTAAAGGGACAGTCTCTTTGGTGTGGGTGTAATGCAGGTTGAGTTTTGATTACTGTTATAGCTTTTCTACCATATTGAGAGCAATTGTATCTTATATAATTTGAATTTATTTTTGTATAGCTAAAGACTGTGGGCCCATTCAAACACCAAGGAATGGAACTAAACATGGAAGTCAGACCACTTATCTGAACAAAATTTTGTTCACTTGCGACAATGGGTTTAATTTGATTGGCTCAAATGAGAGACAGTGTACATCAGATGGAGTTTGGAGTGGTGCTGAAACTTTGTGTGAAGGTGAGATGATACTGGAGGTTTGACATTTGTTATACCAAGGATTGTTGAATTTCATCTTGACCTTTTCTATATTCCACTGAATTAGGATCTATTTTGGAGTCAAAATTTGGTAACTGAACTGCATGCATCCTTTCCTTCTTAGCCAAAGACTGTGGACCAATACGCACACCCATAAATGGCACCAAACATGGTACAAAAACCACTTACCCAAGCAGGGTCACAGTTACCTGTAACAGTGGCTTTCATTTAAGAGGTTCATCTGAACAGGAATGCATGTCAGATGGTGTGTGGAGTGGAGTTGAAGCATATTGTGAAGGTAAGGAAATGAAATTTGCAAAGAAAGTGGTTGTTTTCTATTCGTGGGAATTTCATCATCATTTGACCTAAAAATGGTATCTTGAATCTTGCTTGTACATCATTTTTTGTGCAGCTAAAGACTGTGGCTCGCTTGAGATTCCCACAAATGGATCCTTAGTTGGACTGACCCTGACAACTTTTCCAAACTCCTTGACCTTTGCTTGTGATGATGGGTTTGAACTGAAAGGATCTGTAGTAAGATATTGTCAAGCAAATGCATTGTGGAGTGGTAATAAAACCTTTTGTCAAGGTGAGAAAGTTCATTCATTAAGCTAACTGCATGGACATTTTACATATAACTTTACTCTAACCATTTGTTATTGACATACCATAAATTGCATTTGTTGTACAAAACTGTGTGTGCCTACACCCATGCCCAACATGCCTTTTTTTTATTTTAATTAAATATCATGTTTCTTTTATTGTTGGGTTAGCTAAAGATTGTGGACCAATTGAATCACCAACCAATGGATCCCTTTTTTTTGGAGAGAGAACAACTTATCCTCACATAGTGCTGTTCAGTTGTGACAAGGGGTTTCTGCTGAAAGGATCAAACCTCAGACGTTGCACCTCAGAAGGTGTTTGGAGTGGAATGCCAGCCTCGTGTGAAGGTACATTTACTGTGATAGTTAACATGTAATATGTGAGGTAACACAATTGGCAGCAATATGAATACAGGGGACATTTTTTTTGTCAACAGGAGATGAGCAATGAGATCTAATTTGACAAGCAGGGGCCTCACATGTATTATTTTTACAATCTGCACCAAGAGAAACCTTATTCTAGGCACATATTTCTTAGCTTTACAATTGCTTCTCTTGGTGAAGGTTTTCTCTGATCTATTACCTTGTAGTTTTTTTTTTTTTAGTATGACCTGGCTGACATAACATCTGAAACACATCTAAAGAATTTTAGATGGCTCATTAAACCTTAACAATTATTAAATGGATATCCAAACTTTCTAACGACTTGCTTTTTTTAGTCAAATCATATTTGGTTATGGCCACATTTATACAAAATTCAATAAAAGATATCATATTTGCCTTTTTTTCCTCATTTGTTGCAAACATCAAAGCCAGGGACTGTGGTCCACTTCCTTTCCTATTGAATGGAACTGCCATTGGGCAAAGGACGGTTTATCCTAATGAAATAATATTTAACTGTGATGCTGGATTCAACTTGGTTGGCTCAAGGATAAGGAGATGTCAGTCCACTGGAATTTGGAGTGGAAAGCAAACTTCCTGCCAAGGTAGTAATTTTTCCATGATACACTCTAATATAAATTATTACATCTTTAACTTAAGTTCACCACAGAGAACCCCATTTTCTACAATTCACACCAGCCAATGCTATTCCATCCAACTTGAATCAAATTCATCCAATCTAGTCCAGAACATCCCAGTTCTCCCAAACTGATCCAAACCCCACCCCTGTCTCCCTGAGCCATTCCAATTCAACCCAAATCATCCCAATCCACCTTAATCCTTACAAATCCATGTAAAATCTGCCCTGGCCTACCCATCCCATTTCACCTCAGTCCACGCCAATCTAGCTTAATCTGCTCAATTTTTTGTTAAATCCTTTTCTAGTATTTACTATCCACTCCATTCCCCTCTTATTTATTCTAGTCTTAGCTAATCAAACCCAATCTGCCCAATTAGGGACCAATCCACTCCAAGTCCTTTTATCCTCTTCAGTCCTCTAAAATTTACCTTTTATAGGCCAGTGTACTTCAATCCCCTTTCACTGCACTCAAATACACTCCAGTCTTCTTCAGTCCAGTCCATTATGCTCCAATCCACCCTTCTCTATACCCATTAAACTAAATCTGACTAAATATTATTCAATGTGCCCCAATCCAATCCAACCCATTCCCGTCTAGTGCAATCCCATCCAATCCATTTGAATCCTTTCCACTCATATCAGTCTCAAACCGTCTTGCTTCACTTTATTGGTCATGAAACCCCAAGAAAAGTATTGAAATTCGCCTTAAGAGAGTAAACCCATGATCACCTCACATTGTATTGCCAGGTTGTGACATCTCATAGTATATCAAATGAATACTTATCAACAAATTTATAGTTGAGGAGGAGATTTTGGAAAAGGCCTAAAAAGGCACTACGTAGCACCTCAACTACACAAAAGATTCAACTTAAGATTATGATTGGTTGATACCCATAGATCATTGATATGTCAGTCATAGTCACAAATGTGGGTCAGTGACTTGCTACACATTGATATTTAAGTGGAGTGGTTTTGGAATTACCGATATGTATAGGTTCAGGAGCGCTTTTTTACTAATATATCCAGAAATACTCAAGCAAATATTATAATCTTTTGATAGGGAGGGGAGTAACTTTTGAAGTTACTTAATGTGGAATAATTGCAATTGGTTAAACGGTTACCACAGCAATGGTTGTTAAGGAAACCAAGATAAAAATTTTTTGTGAAATATAGTTAAAACGACATTTAAATTATCATTTCTTATCGTTCTGTGATAAAAAAGAACGATCATAATCGTTTTGGGTCAGTTTTTGATGTTTTGTTGCTAATTATATTTATTTATACTGACGAGAATGAACGGCAGCTGTTGTTGGCTTGAAAAATACAGTCCGTGTGAGAAATATGTCAAATAAAGACAATTGAGAATGAGTTGAGGTTGGTTATGATGTAGAAGTTGCATTAGCCAACCAGTATCCAATCTCCTACATTTACGTAACCTGCAAAGGTAGTCAAGAGCTCATTGACCCCCATATCGATAACAAATGTCTAGCAATCGGTAGGTCTTATCAGAGCTCACTGACTCCCCGATCGACCAACAAAAGTCTTGCGATCGATAGCTCTTATTAGAGCTCTTTGACTCCCCGATCGTCCAACAAATCTCTTGCGATCGGAAGCTCTTATCAGAGCTCATTGACTCCCCGATCGACAACAAATGTGTTTTGGTCGGTAGCTCTTATCAGAGCCATTAAATCCCCGATCAACCAACAAATGTCTTACAATCGGGATTTCTTATCAGAGCTCATTGACTCCCCGATCGATAACAAATGTCTTTTGATCGGTAGCTCTTATTAGAGCTCATTGATTCCCCAATCGACCGACAAATCTCTTGCGATCAGTAGCTCTTATCTGAGCTCATTGACTTCCCGATCAACCAACAAATGTCTTTTGATCGGTAGGTCTTATTAGAGCTCATTGGCTCCTTCATCGACCAACAAATGTCATGCGATCGGGAGCTCTTATTAGAGCTCATTGACTCCCCCATCGACCACCAAATGCCTTGTGATCAGTAGCTCTTATCAGAGCCCATTTACTCCCCGATCGACCAACAAATGTCTTGCGATCGGTAGCTCTTATCAGAGCTCATTGACTCCCCAATCGACCAACAAATCTCTCCCGATCGGTAGCTCTTATCAGAGCTCATTGACTCCCCGATCGACCAACAAATGTCTTGTGATCGGTAGCTCTTATTAAAGCTCATTGATTCCCCGATCGACCGACAAATCTCTTGCGATCAGTAGCTCTTATCTGAGCTCATTGACTTCCCGATCAACCAACAAATGTCTTTTGATCGGTAGCTCATATCAGAGCTCATTGACTCCCCGATCGACCAACAAATCTCTTGCGATCGGAAGTTATTATTAAAGCTCACTGACTCTCCGATCGACCAACAAATGTCTTGCGATCGGTAGCTCTTATAAGAGCTCATTGACTACCCGATCGACCAACTAATGTCTTGCGATCGGTAGCTCTTATCAGAGCTCATTGACTCCCCAATCGACCAACAAATCTCTCCCGATCGGTAGCTCTTATCAGAGCTCATTGACTCCCCGATCGACCAACAAATGTCTTGTGATCGCTAGCTCTTATTAGAGCTCATTGATTCCCCGATCGACCGACAAATCTCTTGCGATCAGTAGCTCTTATCTGAGCTCATTGACTTCCCGATCAACCAACAAATGTCTTTTGATCGGTAGCTCTTATCAGAGCTCATTGACTCCCCGATCGACCAACAAATCTCTTGCGATCGGAAGTTATTATTAAAGCTCACTGACTCTCCGATCGACCAACAAATGTCTTGCGATCGGTAGCTCTTATAAGAGCTCATTGACTCCCCGATCGACCAACTAATGTCTTGCGATCGGTAGCTCTTAGCAGAGCTCATTGACTTCCCGATCGCCCACAAATGTCTTGTGATCGGTAACTTTTATCAGAGCTCATTGACTCCTTGATCGACCGACAAATGTCTTGTGATCGGGAACTCTTATCAGAGCTCATGGCTCCCCGATTGACCAATAAATGGCTTGCTATCGGGAGCTCTTATTAGAGCTCATTTACTCCCCGATCGACCAACAAATGTCATGTGATCGGGAGCTCTTATCAGAGCTCATTGACTCCTTGATCGACCAACAAATGTCTTGTTATCGGTAGCTCTTATCAGAGCTCACTGACTCCCCGATCGACCAACAAAAGCCTTGCGATCGGTAGCTCTTATTAGAGCTCTTTGACTCCCCGATCGACCAACAAATCTGTTGCAATCGGGAGCTCTTATCAGAGCTCATTGACTCCCCGATCGACAACAAATGTCTTGTGATCGGTAGCTCTTATCAGAGATTATAGACTCCCCGATTGAGAACAAATGTCTTGTGATCAGTAGCTCTTATTAGAGCTCATTGACTCACCGATCAACCAAGAAATATCTTGCGATCGGTAGCTCTTATCAGAGCTCATTGACTCCCGATCGACCCACAAATGTCTTGCGATCGGTAGCTCTTATCGGCGCTCATTGACTCCCCAATGGACCAACAAATCTCTCGCGATCGGTAGCTCTTATTAGAGTTTATTGACTCCCCGATCGACCAACAAATGTCTTGTGATCGGTAGGTCTTATCAGAGCTCATTGACTCCCCGATCGACCTGCAAATGTCTTGCGATCGGTAGCCCTTATCAGAGCGCATTGACTCCCTGATCTACCAACAAATGTCTTGCGATCTGTAGCCCTTATCAGAGCGCATTGATTCCCTGATAAACCAACAAATGTCTTGTGATCGGTAGGTCTTATCAGAGCTCATGGACTCCTCTATCGACCAGCAAATGTCTTGCGATCGGTAGCTCATATCAGAGCGCATTGACTCCCTGGTCGACCAACAAATGTCATGTGATCGTGAGCTCTTATTAGAGCTCACTGACTCCCCGATCGACCGACAAATGTCTAGTGATCAGTAGCTCTTATCAGAGCCCATTTACTACCCGATCGACCCACAAATGTCTTGTGATCAGTAGCCCTTATCAGAACCCATTGACTTCCCGATCGACCAATAAATGCCTTGCGATCGGTAACTCCTATCAGCGCCCATTGATTCTACAATGGACAAACAAATTTCATGTGTTTGGTAGCACCTATCAAAGCTTATCAGAGCTCATTGACTACCCGTTCGACCAACAAATGTCTTGCGACCAATAGCTCTTATTAGAGCTCTTAGACACCCCGATCGATTAACAAACGTCTTGCGATCGGTAGCTCTTATCAGAGCGCATTCAACCTATGATCGACAGACCTTTTTTTCGATCTGAGGCTCTTATAAGAGCTCATTGATTCCTCAATCTAATCATTGACTCCCCAATCAATCGAAGCTGTCGCCTTCGAGATGAATCTCCTGGAGCCTTGCACGCTCTGGTCTGAATAACTTTAGAAGAAGCAACACCGTGTTTATGTGGCTGGCCCCCAACAAACTTGAATTGATGTGATGACATTTGTTTCTTGTAAGTGCGGATGTTTTTGTTGAATACATCAAAGCTTGTTTCTCCTTCATGAGGTCTGAGCACAGAATGCTTTCCGCTGCAACCTCAGCAAAACTTCTATCTTTGAACCTTCTTCTCTACCAATCTCTTGAAATTTCTTAGCTATTGCAGCTTGGAAGTTTAACGCACAAACAAATAATAACTGAATTTCTTTTGCCTTTGTATATAAGGCAAGGTCAGTGTTACTGTATTCTCCGAGTGAACAGCATCTGTCATTTATTTTTTCCGGAATATTCTAATATATTTCTCAAACTCTCCTTTTTTTGGTTTCCTTAGCAACCATTGCCATGGTAAACAACCGAAATAATCCATGAAGTATTTTTGATCGCGCTCGATTTGGTGGAAATGCATTATGTGATCGTAATATTCCCGCGCGTTGTAAAATATTGGAAGGATAACAAACAGAATAGCCTCCATTTGGCGCGAAAACACACTCAAATATTTGCCTTAGATATTTTCTGTTCCTCAAAGGTCACATAATTTATTGAGTAGTTCCGTATATATTGCTGAAAAGTTCCTGAACACACAAATTTTGGTACTTCCAAAAGCGCTTCACCGTCCCTGATCTAAGTCACAAACTAACCCCGCAACACTTGTGACTACGACTAACATGGCGATGATCTCTGGGTATCAGGCCATTATGATCTAATGTCATTATAATCTGAAGAGGAGGTGCTACGAGGTCGACTTTTTCTGGCGTCTTCCTCCGCCATCAATTGCCTTACCTTTAAGCGCTGGACTGTGGTCACATCAAAACGCTACAGAATGGAAGTAAATTCGGAGAGGAAACAACGTATCCTCATTTCACAAGATTTTCTTGTGACGAAGGCTTCATACTTTTGGGATCTTCTGTAAGATACTGTCTTTCCACTGGAATATGGAGTGGTCAGCAGGCTTTGTGTCAAGGTAAAAATGGCTTGTCCTGATCGTGGAGATTGGGAGTTGATAAGAATTTGAACCTTGCATTGACTGTTATTGAACTTAAAAAAATTGCATGATATTGATGAAATCTGGAGAATTTTTTTGCTTAGCAGGATGTCAGATTTACTTTGTTGAATCCGGCCAAAAACCTAAGGTATCCAAATTTGACCAAAAGAATGCAAACTGTTAAGAATACCTCACAGGTCTATCTTCCAGATTAGCGGGACAGAATGTAACAGTTATCATTCTTGTCTTTTCGTTAGCAGATATCTTATTCAATAGTTTTGTCAAAGAGACTAAGAAGATATACCTCAAGCAAAAGCCATTTTGCTTAAAATGTTCGAGTTCGTGATTGGAACCAAAGACAGTGACCCACGAAGCGATCAGGCACCCTCTTGTAAAATTAGCAGAACAGATGATGATTTAAAATTCAAGTCCTTTTTCTCCAATATCAGTGTGTTCTAAAAGTGTTACTGAATATTGGGCCCAAAGTTATGCCTATGTTTCAAATTGGGTTATTACCGTCTAATTTTAGCCAAAGACTGCGGTCCACTTGCATTGCCGTTAAATGGATCTTCCTTTGGACGCGACACTACCTTCCCAAATGTCATATCATTCTACTGCGATGTCGGCTTCATAATGATTGGGACACAAACAAGAAAATGTCAGGCAAACGGCAAATGGAGTGGCAACGAAACAACTTGTAGAGGTAAATAAAAGGAATAAAACGTGTCTCGCAGAATTTTCGGTAAGAACAGAAACCTTGTTAGTATCTGTCGAAAGGTAACTAAGGAATACGGGATTAAAAGTAAAACCGACTTTGCACTCACATAGGTTAGTTCGTTTTCAGCCTCCAATAGATTCACTTAACTTTGGACTTTTGACGCAGTGTCACGCTTTGTTCGCTCATTCAGTTGCTAATTTTGTATGAAAGATATTTAGAGACTTTTTCGAATTTCAAACAGCTTCTCGAGAGGGATTGTCGTAAGAAAGGTATTGAAATGCAACTAAACCACAAACATGAGTTGTCCTTCTTTTTCAGAAATCTCTCTCTTAACTAGAAAGCAATTTTTTGTTACCAAATGTTTCTTCTTTTAAAGGTAACAGTACACAGTTCACAATTTTTCATTTTAATTTTTCCAGCTGTTGAATGCGGTTCCCTAGCGATGCCAACGAATGGTTCTACGTATGGCGAACTTACTACTTATCCCAATAAGGTGTACTTCAATTGCGATGAAGGATTTGTCCTCCAAGGATCTTCTGTAAGAGTTTGCATGGCAAATGGATCTTGGAGTGGAACTGAGACTCTCTGTGAAGGTGAGTTGGATAGTTAAAGAACGTCTTCACCAATTCTTGTCAAGTCTGTCGTTCTAAGTTCGGATCAGTCGTCTCTAATAACAACCATTATTATATCGCTGGCAGTGCCCGTGGGTAATATGAAGCAAATCCTGTGTTCTGATCGAGGTTGCCTACCCTGATCCCACGCAAGAAAAAGGAAATTAGTTGGAACGGACAAACAAAGTTCGTAATTTTTGGACAACTTCTGCCTTAGATTCACAAAACGCGGCAACCGTGATTGTTTCATTTCACTGTGGTACTTGTAACGCAAAATTGTAAAACAATAGAGGTACTTTAAGTGTAATAAATTTTCAAATATTCTGCGGTAAAAATTGCTTTGATAGTGGTCAACTTTTATCCCAAAGATCTGCACCTTTTTTTAATGTTTTTTACTGGAATTGTCTTGTGGTAATGGCGACACTAAATACTCAGGGATGCGTTTTATGGAAGTGGAAAATACTAGAGGAAAATCTTGCTAATGAAACATGTGGAGCTAGTTGGTAAGGTGTAGGATAACTGTTAACTTTCTTGTCCTTAGCTATTAACTGCGGTGAATTAGCTGTTCCGCAAAATGGAACGTTGCAGGGATCTGCCACTACCTTCCCGAATAGAGTTGATTTTTCTTGCGACGAGGGCTTTGTGCTCGAAGGATCTGATTTCAGAAGGTGCCAAGCCAATGGAACATGGAGTGGAGGGAACACGTATTGCAGAGGTAAAGAAAACACACACAAGGGCACTGAGCTGTAAGAAAACATTCCGCGAAATTCATTTAAGTTATCCTTACTCGCCTCGCCTTGCCTCCCCTCCCCTCCCTTCCGTCGTAGGCTTCGGCATCATTTCTCCGACCTTAATTCGTTACATATTTCTCGCGTACATAAGTATTATTTCATTTTGTCAAAAAGGTGAAGATCCATCACTAATTAATTCCCCACTTGTAGCTAAAGATTGTGGAAAATTACCTTTTCCAATGAATGGTTCAGTTTTTGGAAGTCAAACTACTTTTCCAAACAAGCTACAATTCTCATGTGACAACGGCTTTGACCTGATTGGGTCCACTGTCAGGAGGTGTGAGGCAGACGGGATGTGGAGTGGACAACAAACAGCTTGTCAAGGTAAAAGAAACGATAATATTTTATCATCATTTGGCTGAAATGAGTGCTTTAAAAGACTACATTTCTTAATGCAGTTATTCATTAATTAACTGATATTAGTTGAATTTTACCCATCGTATCAACACAAATATTGTCGGGGAGACCAACAGTGTTGAAGGCAAACAGTGAATGACACAATAACACCACTCCGTTTGCGCACGGTAATTGTATTTTGTTATTATCATTATTTTTTAAAATTTGCTACTGTTTTCTTTTCTTATATCTCACAGCTGTTGATTGTGGACCATTGCCTTTACTTCTAAATGGCACCTATCTAGGAAATTTGACTACGTATCCAAATGAGGTGTTATCATTCTGCGATGAGGGGTTTTTGTTAAGAGGTTCAGCACGAAGATTCTGCCAGGCGAACAGAACTTGGAGCGGCATCCAAACAACATGTGCAGGTAAAGAGATCTGAGGCGTGTTCGACTAAGAAGCAGAAGCCAAAAAAAAATTCTGTTAGGATTTGGACAACAGACCCTCTGATTTCGCGATCTTACGATCTGCTCATTGAGCTTCAGGGAACTCGTTGATGAGGCCACATCGTAGGTCCATGACGTTCGTGACAATTTCTTAAGGACTTTTGAAATAATTTTTTGTTTTACATTCAGCGATCATCTTTTATACTACACGGGACCTTCTTAGATGCTATCAGTATGCAAGGGGCTTGTTCTTAATATGACTGGTTCACCACAGAGTTTTCACAAATCCTCTGCAGAAATGGTTTTCTTTTTTCTCTCATTAGCGACAAATGCCTTACGTATTTCGTTATTCGACAACTGAGCTGAAGAATTAATTTTGTACGAATTGTATTCTTTTTTTTAGCCCATTACGGAATTTATTTTAAAACCAAACAGCTTTTCAAGACTGTTCATTATCGTACCAATTGCATTGAAAGAGTAAAGGTAGTGCATATGTAGATTCCATTGGCCGTGGGTCTTAGCTATGCTTGTTTTTATTCCTTCTCTGTGGGATTATCTGTGGGTCCTCCAGTTTTTTTCCTTACAAAATCTTGCGCTCTAAACTCCCAGTTGATGATTTGAATGACTGTAAACTTACAGCTTATTGAAATAGGAACACTTTTAACGAAAGGGCTGTAATATATTTATTGGTTGGTGGAATTGCTCTTTTGGCCTGACTGTTTAAATGCAAATCTTGACATATCATATTTTTGCCTTCAATCAAATTTCCGTATTTATGCATATTCACTATATACACATGTTTTTAATCTATCAGCGGTTGATTGTGGACCTCTACCTGTTCTTATCAATGGTTCTTCTTACGGATCGCTGACCTATTTTCCGAATTCGATACAATTTTCTTGTGATTCTGGATTTCTTTTGAGAGGCTCATCAGGGAGAAGTTGTTTACCTACTGGTTTGTGGAGCGGAAGCAATACCACCTGTGAAGGTCAGCTATTAGTAAAGTGGAGATTGTTTTTACATTTTCTACAATTCCTTTCCAGTTGATCGAACCATTGAATAGCATTGAGTACTCTGCAAGACGCAGACGTACAAGATGTATCAAGAACGTACTACCAGAAGATGGAACTTATGAAAAAGTGACATCAATCTCGCCTAAAACGCACCAAGCGAACTCAGCGGAACTCCCGCTGGAGCTGCTGCATTTGTTGGCTATTGCTAAGAAAATGGCGTTCTGTCATGACATCACTGCTTACGCGTAGTTTCCCAGTTTTGTACTCAAGTGTTGATTATATTTTATCTCGACTTATCTGTTTTCTAGCAATTGATTGCGGAACACTTGCTGTGCCTATGAATGGGAGTTTTAAGGGAACCAGGACTTATTTTCCGAACGTATTACAGTTTTCTTGCGATGAAGGCTTTATCCTGGGCGGGGCTACAGAAAGGCAATGTTTAGCCGACGGTTCGTGGAGCGGAAATGACACATCATGCAAAGGTTTGATTGTACAAAAAAAAAGAAAAAAAGAATTAACGAAACTAAATGCTTATAGTTGTTGGTCGTAGCTGGGAGAACACCTTTTTCGCGTCAATTTTGCCACATTTGCGTAGTGATTATCTTTTTTCATCGTTATTCTATGGATGTCCTATCTAGGAAAGTTATTAGAAAATATGTAGAATTATAAAACTAATACCACATCCGTAAAGGTTAATAATTTGCTCTGAAACAGACAAACAAGGATAACAACAACAGTTTTTAATTTAGGTATGTGGTATTCATTAGAGTCATTCTGCTCCTTTCAGCGGTTGACTGTGGCCCTTTGCCTGTTCCAAGAAATGGATCCTCTCATGGTGACATGACTGTTTACCCCAATAGTGTCTGGTTTTCCTGTGACGCTGGATTCTTTCTGAAGGGATCGTCGAGAAGAATATGCCAGGCAAATGGAACTTGGAGTGGCTCTTTGGCAAACTGCAATCGTTAGTAGAGACCAAAGAAAGAAAAAAAAAAGAAACCTTGAGGTTTCATTTCCAAAAAAAAGTTATAACTTTCACTTAGAATTTCAATCTTCGTCTCTATACAAGCATCCTGTAATCTGTTACTAAGTTTAGACTTAGGTAATGGTGTAGGTATTCTTGTAATGTTGACTCTTATGGGAGAAGCCAGTCTTCCCACTGAACGGTCCGACGGACGGACGGATACAGACCCTTACATTTTAAATGAAAGATTCAGTAGAAAGATACCATAAACTAAGGTATGTTCGTGTCTTTGGGTAAAAATACTCAATTGTGAAAATGTCAATATTATAAAAAAATTCTCTCATAGAGAACGACTGCTTACATCCTGTACCTTTACTTGTCTTGAAGCTTTGTGCGACCATTGTAAATGTTTGTTGAAAATAACATGTCTTTCTATTTTAAGCTGTTGAATGCGGACAAGTCGCAGCCCCTGCAAATGGCTCTGTACGTGGAAATTACACAACATTCCCAAACAAACTGCATTTTTACTGCGACGATGGATTTATACTGAGCGGATCGTTTATGAGACGTTGTACTGAAACTGGGACATGGAGTGGTGAACAAACAGTGTGCATTGGTAAGAAGTAATAGCAGAACTTATTACGAGTTGTAGGTTCTTGCTGGTGTATTTCGTGATGCTAACAATGTTGTCTTTCATCTCCTATAGCGAGGGACTGTGGCCTCCTTAGAACTCTTCAGAATGGTTCTATGTTGGGAACTGAGACCACCTTTCCCAATGTGGTAACATTTACTTGTGATGAAGGGTTTTTGATGGATGGTCCGAACAGAAGGAGATGCCAAAACGATGGAACTTGGAGTGGAAACGAAACAATATGCGCAGGTTTGAGATTAAAGACTTGGATTTGAGGTTCTTCTGCACATGTGTTAGTTTAATTTTAGTGTACAATTCCTTTTTGCAGCCATCGATTGTGGGCAGTTAAAGAGTCCTACAAATGGATCATTGCATGGTGAACGTACAGTGTTTCCTGAAAGCTTACGATTTAGTTGTGATATTGGTTTCGTAATGGGCGGATCACCTGTTCGACAATGCCAACCAAACGGAACATGGAGTGGGACTGAAACCACTTGCAGTGGTAAGAATTACTTTTCAACAAGTTGAAACGAATTTATAGATATACAATGTCATTTAACAAGGCTCCAAGCTCATCTCTTCAAAAAAACGTCTGATGTAAAGTCTGATATCAGAAATTATTTGCAACAAAGTGATTGCGAATGAATTCATACTATTTTGGTCGATTTCCCAACAGAGAAACATCTCATTTTAAGTGAGTTAAACTATTGGTATTAAAACCTTCCATACTGTCAACAACATGTTAAATCAGTTGATAGTTAAACGCCATGTTTCGTACTGCAAAGTTACCAGTTAGAGCTAAATGCTGAAAATAATACCTCGACAAAATCAGTTTGACTTGGTCACCGCTCACTTTAGGTTAATGCGCATGTGAGAATTAAGGAACGGCGAGAGAGAAAAGAAGATAGACAGGAGATAATTGCGTATGTTTGCTTCGTAAGTCGACCCCCCTTCTTTTTCAATCTGTTTGTCGCAAATTTAGGCCGCAAAATTTATTTTTCACTCGCCATGGCGACAAAAAATTGCCGCAGCTCAGAGCGTTGTAATTTAGATGGATTAAGTTTATCTTTGTGTTTCTTTAATGCGTTTTCTGGTTGTTTTATCGTTCAGCGATTGATTGCGGTAGACTTCCAACTCCACTAAATGGCTCAGTGTACGGAGATAAAACCACGTATCCTAACATTTGGTACTTTTCATGTGACGAGGGGTTCACTCAGCATGGTTCTACAGAAAGGAGGTGTCAGCCAAATGGAACTTGGAGTGGGAAGAGTACTTTTTGCCAAGGTAGCTTGCATTTATGTGTTAAGCTGAATTATGCTTTTTTTCTTTCACTTCTGATCGATTAGAGGACGGACGCATACAAGACATCACCGTTAACAACATTTTGCATTCTTATCATACAAGACAAAGGTTACTGGTCGTTTCGTTTAATGTAAGGTCGGTTTCTTATTACGAATAGCAGTATCACCATCATTAAATAAGTTTTGTTGACGCGGTGTACGTTATTGAAGAACGATCACCTAGTGCAAGGCCTGGGACCGAGAATGCGGGAGTCATAGGACAGACGCAAACAACATTTCGTCCTGAAACATTTTACAATTTTTTTCATTCCATCCCAAATTAACCGACACAGCAACCTAAAGTAAAAGTCTTAAAAATTATAGAGCTGAATTGAATTACTATCTTTTGCTTTCTAATGTACTATACTTAATGACAACGTGTCGTAATAGCGTTCAGGTTCATTCGATTACGGCTCAGTTGATCTTGGCGCATTCTTTCAGTAATTGTTTTAGCGAATAGCAGGTAATTTAGGGTTAACAACTGAGTTGAAAACGTAAATTGGCCACCGTAAAGGGTAAAAAGGACAGACTAGCTTTTTTACCCTTTACCCTTTTTGATTTTTACATTATCCGACTCAGGAACCCAAGTTTTTTTTTTATAAACAGGAGGAAGTAATTTCATTTCTTTCTTTCTTTCTCTCGTTGTAGCAAATGACTGTGGAAACCTATCAGTTCCGCAAAACGGATCCCTGTTTGGGAATGAGACAACTTTTCCAAACGTCATCACCTTCAGCTGTGACGAGGGTTTCATATTGAAAGGATCGAAAGTCAGAAAGTGTCAAGCCAATAAGACATGGACTGGAAACACTACTTATTGCGATGGTAAGATAAGGCAGGCAATCAACGGTTTCTCCCAGGACTAGAGACCATATATTGTGTCTCTAATCACATTTTATGCAAGGATCTAGTGGGTCTTTCCTTTTTTTTTTTTCGGTCTCTTACGTTGCACTCCAGTGGAGTTAAGCCGACTATATAAGTATGTAACACTAAGACAGATGTAAAAGTGAAATGAAAAGTTCATGCAGATTTCATGGCACTGTAGTAAAAACTTTGGAAAGTATTGGCTCTCACTCTGTACTTTATTTTTTTGCATTGTATTTGTTCAACCGTAATAGCACGGACAGGGAAACAATATGTTTTACAAAATAAACCAATGACCAATGGCAACTAATGACCAAAATACTTAGCCTTAGCAAACAAGCATTTTTTTATGATTTGTTCGCTTGTTTTGTTTGTTTGCTTGGCTTTTTCCCCAGTTTTGGTACTAGTCCAACCACTTATGGCTTATAATTTTTGTTTTTCCAGCTGTCGATTGTGGCTCACTTGACTCTCCAATGAATGGCTCTTTTTTCGGTAACCTCACGGTTTTTCCAAACAGCGTTCGGTTTGATTGTGATGCGGGGTTTATTCTTAGTGGTTCCTCTGTGAGAACGTGTCAGTCGAATGGTATCTGGAGTGGATATGAAACAAAGTGTAGTGGTGAGATTACCAGTCTAAAAGGCCTTATAAAAGTTACTGCTCCGGCTAGCGATCGTTATCACATCTAACACGTTTTTTTCACGAAATGCTGTTCAATTCGACGAAGAAAAATTAAAAAATAATTTTTAAAAAACAGACGGATGGACAATAGAAGAGATGGACAGAATCGAAATTTCTATACTTTGACTCAATAGCGTAAGTACAAACTGCTCAGTTTCTGTTGAGGTCAATAATGCTGTTTCATGTTTTCCCTAATTATTATTTTTTTGTTATTGCTCTAGCTATTGATTGTGGGCCATTACCTGTCCCACAAAATGGAAGTTTATTGGGCAAAATGACCGTATACCCCAGCATTCTGCAATTTTCCTGTGACGAAGGATTTACGCTGCACGGATCTAGTTACAGAAAGTGTCAAACAAATGGAGCATGGAGTGGAAACAGCTCTTTTTGCAAAGGTGCAAACGGAATTTTGTTATTCTGTAATCGCTTATTATACATAGAAAATAATTTATCTTAAAGCAAGGTCAGAGAAAGGTTTGGCGGAAACTAAGATTTATGCTTGTGCCCCCAAATGGCCGTGCAGTAACTCAATTTAGGTAACAATCTTCCAATGTTTTTGCAATTAACTGAGCATCAAAAACACATTGTATGTGGGGATTTTTTATTTGTTAGTTGGTTTCTTTGGCTTATCTCCAACAAAATCCGATTCCTAGTTCATTTCCGTTTCCTTCTAACGTTTAGAGAACGATTGTGGTCCTTTGTCAGTACCTATGAACGGCACCTCATTCGGAAATCTAACAACGTTTCCAAACGAGATCAGCTTTACATGTGATGAAGGTTTTATTTTACATGGATCTGTTTTGAGACAATGCCAAGCTAACAAGTTGTGGAGTGGAAATGACACATTTTGTGAAGGTAATAAGCCCTAATTCTCAACCTATTGCTACAATTTGAAACGGAGATGAAATTAAACAAATGTAGATGAAAAGCTATTGCAAGTATTGTAACTACTGCCTCATGAATGCAATTTTTTTACAGCTGTTGATTGTGGTCACTTAGACAGTCCAAAAAATGGCTCGTTGTCCGGCGACTCGACAGTGTTCCCAAGTAGTCTACAATTTCAGTGTGACTTGGGGTTCATTCTTAAAGGATCCAGAATTAGAAAGTGCCAGGCGAATGGCACATGGCATGGATTTAAGACCTCTTGCCATGGTAAGTTATTACACTTCTGATATATACATTATTCTTATTTCTTTCCTATCAAGTTGAGGCTTAACGAATAGTCTAGTTTAAGTATTTGATCCGGAAAGGACCAATGTCAGTATCTGAGCAACTGGGCACCCAACAACAGCCGACTGATATCAAGCGAGAGTTACTGTTGGGTTAGGGGAGGGGTAGGTGTGTAGTTGCTCGTCTACTGATTTCGATCTGGAAACTTACCATCTAACAAGATCTGAATAATGATAAAAACTAACCAAGAAAAGACGGTCAACCTAAGGTACCCGTGCGAAACAAGAACGAATAATTTTTAAACGTCACCGCTACACGTAAATGAATATGGAGAGGAGTTCGCGCACGAGAAGCTGTTCATCTATTTCCTTGGAGAGTTATCTTCTATCATGTTACAATGGAGGATAGAATGAGCATCTATCTAAGCTTCCTCACTAACAGTTTCCTTCACCTGCAGCTATTGATTGCGGACAGCTACAAGCACCTCACAATGGAAGCATGATCGGTAAAAATACGACCTATCCCAACATGCTGCTGTTTACTTGTGATGTTGGGTTTACACTAGTCGGAGCCGTTGTTAGGAAGTGTCAAGCAAATGGAACATGGAGTGGAACCGACGCACTATGCCAAGGTGAAAAGAAAATTTTTTTTTATGAGCAAACTGAACCATCATGATTCCCCTCTTAAACATGAGTACATGAACCTTCCCTATATTTACTATTTCTTGTTTCAAATTACTTTGTTAGAATTATTTGGTTTTTTTATTAAGTTTCTTTGTTTCTTCGTCTGCTTTTCTATTTTTGTTGTAACTTTAGATGCAGTGATGGAACTATCTTAATAAATGTATCAATAGTTGTATTGTGTTTGTGTTGTTGTACGTGCCACTATTGTGACATGTTGAGGAAGTGCCGTAGTAGAGATTTTCCGTTTATCAGAGAAAGAAACGGTAAGAACGCTTGGAAACAAAGAATTCTCTTTTTTTGAGATATATTTTATTTGCCCTTGTAAACCTTAGGGGTTTCGATTAACATTTTAAAAATTGAGAGTGACCAGTTTCTAATTTCTCCTTACGGTGATATGGCTGAATCGTTTATCAGAGAAAGAAACGGTAAGAACGCTTGGAAACAAAGAATTCTCTTTTTTTGAGATATATTTTATTTGCCCTTGTAAACCTTAGGGGTTTCGATTAACATTTTAAAAATTGAGAGTGACCAGTTTCTAATTTCTCCTTACGGTGATATGGCTGAATCATTCATGAGATCATGAGAATAAAGGAGATGATCAAAGAAACTTTGATTGTTAAAAAAATTCTCCTTCAGTACTAAAGGAAACGTATAGAAAAGAGTATGGAGAATATGGATGCTGATGTTAGAGTGTAAAGGGCTAAAACCTGCAACCGGTGGTCTACCTCCGTTTATAAGACCCCTTACCGCCGTCTGTTAACCCTGCAAGCGGGCTCTCGTTCTTCGTTTCGCCTTACTGTCCCTCCCGGGGTGCCGTGGCTTCCCTTTTCCCTGGGAGCTATGGCTTATAACACGAACGGCAGTCGCTAATAGAAAAGTTATCGAAATCCTATAAACCCGTGAGGCAGAAATGTGTTGAGGTGTTTTCTATTCATTTCGTGCTTTTTCGGTACAAACCTGTTCTTAATCTTATTATCTGTTCAACTCAGCAAATGACTGCGGACCTTTGTCCGTTCCCTTGAATGGCAGCCTTATTGGTAAACTGACTACTTATCCCAACAAGGTCAGCTTTGGTTGCGATAAAGGTTTTGTTCTGAGAGGGTCTGCAGTGCGCCAGTGTCAACCTAATAAACAGTGGAGTGGAAATGACACATTTTGTGAAGGTATGTTTTAAATAATTTTGTTGCTTTTAATAGAAAACGAACTGAAACTCACAGAAGAATTGCAATGGAAGAAATTCCAGAAAATGAAGCCCGTATCATAAAGATCTCGGCAGGGCTCGAACCCTTGCCACTAAGATATTAGTTGGCTTTTTTGGGTTTTAGCTACCATTTTAGCTCCGAACTCAAATTACAAGAACTCCGAAGTCAAATTATGATAAATGTTACTTTATTGTGACTCTTATCGTTTTGATAATGAATCAAGGTGTTCTTGTCCTGACTACTTTATTAGCAAAAGATTGTGGAGTGCTTACTATACCCATGAATGGATCGCTGGAAGGATCACTCACAACCTTTCCGAACAAAATTAGTTTCGGCTGTGATAAGGGCTTCATCCTGAGAGGCTCAAAAGTTAGGAGATGTCTATCAAACGGGAAATGGAGTGGAAACAAAACATTTTGTGAAGGTAAACTTTCAAATTGCTGGTGTGTGTTAATTAACGCTGGGTATAGAGTGTTGTAAGTGCTATGCATCGATATAACCATAGAGGAGCTTTAACTGTATCATTACTTTCCTCCATTAGCTAAAGATTGTGGTGAGCTGATGACTCCAACCAACGGGTCTTCATTTGGTAACCTAACAACATATCCGCACGAAAAGATATTCAGTTGCGATGAAGGTTTTATTCTGCGAGGGTCGAGGACAAGGCAATGCTTGCCAAGTGGAAACTGGAGTGGGAACACTACTATCTGTGTCGGTACGTATATTTAACAAATGTTCCATGAGCGTGCGTTGGATATGAGAGTTGGCTATAACCAATCACGTATCTAACAAGCGCAAATGGAATAGATGTATTTTCAGTTCTGCAACAGTTGGCGAAATGCATTTCCATATAAGGTGAATATGGAAATAATATATAATAATATGAGCCGATAGCCGGAGTTTAATGAACCATTCAGAACACTAGAAATTCTATATTCGGCGTTAAAAATTTAATAAATTGTTATATTATTTATGTAACAAAATGACTGTTGTTTTGGACAGTATACCTTAACTAGCTGAAAGAAAATAAATAAGATCGAAAAGATTTCAATATGATGTCCGTTGGTATAACAAAAACTGTTCATTGCGTTAGATCTAAGTTCAGTTTCTTTTTTGTTATGGAGAAGTTATGTTTACTACCATCTGTCGTCCGTTTGTTTATGTGGAATTCTTGTGGCACCACTTTTTCATCATTTTACAATTGAGTTCTCGAGATTTAAAAATCTAATAGTCAATAATCTCTTATTAGCTTAGACAATTAATAGTCAATAAACTAACGACTTCTGAATGTTATAGCCAAAGATTGCGGTCCTTTACCCGTTCCATTAAATGGCTCCCTATTTGGAGAAAAGACAACATACCCAAACCAAATAACTCTCAGTTGTGACAACGGTTTTGTTCAGAGTGGTTCAGTGGTTAGAAGGTGTCAGTCAAATGGAACATGGAGCGGTGATACCACGTTTTGCAAAGGTAAAGTATTAATCCTCGCGGTATCAACGAACGCTTTTCATTCAACTGATTTATTCTTGTTTTTCTCGTTCCCTTATCCCCACTATTACTATAGCTCCATTTTCTGCATAACAAACACGCACAAGCCACAATTCCTCTGTGTGCTCTGACGAAGGGCTAACGCTTTACACGTCAGCTAATTAACTCTTTACGTTGGCTAATTCACATCATCAACTTAGTCGATAAAAACAAATAAAGAAATAACAAGTCTTGAAATTAGGTTTTTTTTTATGACAGCCTTTATGACCATTAGACGAATAGCTTGAATTGTATCTCTCCTCTGGAGAAGTACTACTTGTGAATTGATTTTTTTCCGTTTCATTTTATTCCAGCCAAGGATTGTGGTCCTCTTCTGGCTCCAGTAAATGGCTCCTCTAGCGGAAAACTTTTTACGTTTCCCAACATAGTATCATTTCGTTGCGATGAAGGATTCATTTTAAAAGGATCTGAAGTAAGGAAATGTCAGGCCAACGGTGTGTGGACTGGAAACGACACCATTTGTGAGGGTGAGAACAAAAGAAAGGACGAGGCCAACTATTGCCGCTAAGGCACCTACTTCAGTGATATTTACCTGCATGAAAAACGTGTAATATGTACCTTCTACTATATTAAAGTCAGAGGCAATATTTATTTAAAGTCCGCCCATTTTTTCAGTACTTTCTTTACGTTTTTTGCTGTCATCTTTTTTTTTTATGGATTCGTTTTATTTTGCGTTTATTCGTTTCTACCATTTTAGCTGTAGACTGTGGTCTTCTTTCATCTCCTTTAAGTGGATCCTCTTCTGGAAATCGGACGGTGTACCCTAATAGTGTGCGATTGTGGTGTGATTCTGGATTCGTTTTGCATGGTTCCTGGCTAAGAACTTGCCAATCTAATGGAAAATGGGATGGAAACGAAACCATTTGTGAAGGTAAAAACCCGGTGGTGAAATTTGCGCCCCATTACGCTTTCTTAAGGTTACTTTGTTTCTTACTAAAATAGCGATTTCTAAAACAATTTGAATTACACGAATTTATTATTTTTCGGCAGTTACTGCATTCTTTTGATTATTATTTAATTTGTTTTCGTTGTTTTCGAAGCTATCGATTGTGGAGAGCTTATGACCCCACAGAATGGAACTATGTTTGGGAAAGTGACAACGTACCCAAATATCTTAAGGTTTAATTGTGACGAAGGCTTTATTTTGACCGGATCGTCTGTGAGGAAATGCGGATCTAATGGTACTTGGAGTGGCTATGAAACTAAGTGTCAAGGTTCGACAATCTTTTCTTTTTCTACATTTAGATAAAACTGAGTAACTTATCTTGAAAATTTTGAGCCATTGAGACTCGTATTAACCAAAATTCAAGCGTCCCTTTTCTGTCTCCTTCTTCTGCACATTTTAATATTGTCATCCTATCTGGTTGCATACCTGTGCTGTCGAAATATTTTCGCGGCCTGACCCTGAGCTGGGTTTAGCAGCTAACTTAAGTTGTAGCAAACTCAAGAGGAAATCATGCTGCTTTCTAGTGTAGCTAAACAAACAGTTTGTTTGCGACGTTGGTGATGATTCATGATAATGATGACGATGATTAATATTTTATTTAGCGAAAGATTGTGGTCCCCTAGCCGTTCCGGTGAACGGCTCGTCTATTGGCGATCTGACAGTATTTCCACACAAAGTCGTCTTCAATTGCGATGAAGGATTTCTCCTCAGCGGCTCTCGTATCAGGCTTTGCCAAGCTAACGGAACTTGGAGTGGGAATCAGACATTCTGTCAAGGTCTTTCTTTGCTCTTTATTCAGTGAGATTAGATGTTGAGAAGATGCTAGTTGTACCGTATCTCAAAATAACTCAGTCGTATTTAGCGAAACACTTTTGATCTTCTAAATTTTAATGTGACAATGGATATTATCCGTCGCTTGCAAGGAAAAACAAAAAAGGGAGAAAAGAGAAAAACGTTTGCGTTAAATGAGATAAGGTGGATCTTAACTTTAGACCTTGTCTTCCTGAAATTATTTCGTTGGGTCTTTCAGATTAGAACATTCACTTTGGTAATCTAGAGGACTCTAGGTACCTAAATAAAGTCTTCTAAGGGCTATAATCTGTTTTTCTTTGTAGGTGCTGATGAAACTTCTTTCTTATCTCCCTCTTATTTTATTATTTTTTTACTTTTTTTCCTCTTATTTCTTTTTCCTTAGCTGTCGACTGTGGTCCTTTGTCTGTTCCTGCGAATGGCTCCTCTATTGGTGCAGCAACAGTTTTCCCAAATAGTCAGCGTTTTATCTGTGATCCTGGATTCATCCTAAACGGATCTGCTTTAAGGACGTGTCAGCCTAATGGAACATGGAGTGGCTTTACAACCACATGTAGTGGTACGTCTGAAGCAGACATCAATAAACACGGACATTTGATGTTGCCTACGTGTTCGTTTTGAAGAAACGCCCAACTGCTATTGTCTTATTGTATGCCCAATTGCGCTTACTTCCTGTTATGGCACTCACTGTCGTGTTCGACTCAGTCTGTTATCATTTGATATTCGCTTTATGTGTGTTCTTTCATGCAATTGCAACCTGCTCCACAATTGTTTACATGCTGAATTTCGTTCATGCTGATATATTTTCTGCCGCCTATTCCCTTTGAGCATTTTGCGCTACTCCTGAACCGATCAACGTGTCAAAACATTTGTATCTTCGATTTCGAAATTTAATTTTGTTTGCTTCATTCGTGAAGGGACGGAACGGGCTGACGGACGAACTAAGGATTCGTCACCTCTGTCACATATTCTCGATCATCGTCTTTTCATGAAGTGCCATTCTTGAATTTGTTCTTGTCGTTCAATCTAAGCAATTTATATCACTGTCACCCAATTAATTGATTTAAACTTACTGTCCAGACCAGCGTTCATAATTTATTAATTATTCTAAAAAGACGTATTTTTTATGGTACCTCTCTTGTTTTCGGCGGTATTGCATTTCAGCTGTTGACTGTGGTCGGCCTCAACCTTTGCGAAATGGGAGCGTCATTGGAGAAAACACAGTGTATCCAAATTTTGTCATTCACAATTGCGACGAAGGTTTTATCCTTCGAGGCCCCGCTAAGATAAAATGCCAAACTAATGGAACCTGGAGTCAAACTGATAGCTTTTGTGAAGGTAAGACCTTGTTTCATACAAATAATCAGTGGATAGTAAAGTAAGACATCGGTGCTCAATCGTGATGATATGGAATTGGCGATTTTTAAAACAAGTACCAACATATCCCCTGCTTTTGTTTTCCAGCTAAGGATTGCGGCAATCTTTCAAAGCCCTTAAATGGTTCCATGACGGGTCTTGAAACAATGTTTCCCAACAAAGTTTCTTTTAATTGCGATGAAGGATTTATTTTAAGTGGTTCAAGTGTGAGGTACTGCCAATCAAATGGGTCCTGGAGTGGCACAGAGACCACGTGCACAGGTAAGGACACCTACAGCAGATAGGTAGATCCCTTCATACAACTGTTTTTAGCTTTGGGTATCTTGCGGCATCTGCAGAAGATGCCACTTGACAATTGCGGCGTCTGAATTTTTAATATACTGTTAATTAGGTTAAGGTCTAGACAGTGGTTACATTTAGAGCGCGATTCAGTTACTCAGAGAGGAACAGATGCCTTCTTTGGTTGACCGAGAATCCGACAAAATACTTTTTCCTTATTTTCATTTTTAACTCTTGTGGTGTTTTTATGACAAAGAATGCATTGAAATAGAGATATACGAATTTTGAATGACAGACATTCTTGTCGACAAGAGCAGACCTACTCGCATTGAGATCCTTTGAAATTTAATTTTTTTCGTAGCTGTCGACTGTGGTTCTTTACCTGCACCCATGAATGGCTCATCTCATGGTGTGGCTACAGTGTTCCCCAACGGTATACAATTTAGTTGTGAACCTGGCTTTATTTTAAGTGGTTCAGCGGAGAGAACTTGTCAGCCCAATGGAACTTGGAGTGGAGTCACAACAGTATGCACTGGTAGGATTTATTTACTAATGTATATTTTGCAAAGCCGATTGGCCGAGCAAAAAATATTCCCTCCTAATTCTCTACGTAAGTATTGCATAAAGTAAATTTTGGTCGATATATTTTCTCTTATTTCATCAAGCGATAGATTGTGGCCCTCTCGCTGTCCCAACAAATGGCTCCAGTATTGGTTTTCTTACAACTTTTCCAAACAAGATCGACTTTAGTTGTGACGAAGGTTTTTTCTTGAGAGGCTCTCAAACCAGGCATTGTGAGGAAAATGGAACATGGAGTGGAAATCAGACCTTTTGTCAAGGTATCTATAGTTATTTTTGTCTTTCTGAGTTACGCAATACATTTGATTTAGACATGATACATTTATTTTCTTTTATTTGCTGTAAAGTAATAAAAAGATTGACGAAAGTTTTTTTTTATAGTACTTTATGAACCAATAATCCCCAATATTGCGCTACATTATTGATCACTTAGTAAGTGTTTTGTAAACTTCTTATTTCAAGCTGTTGATTGTGGTTCCTTATCTGTTCCTGTGAACGGCTCCTCTTCTGGTGACTCCACGGTATTTCCGAATAGTGTGCTTTTTAACTGTGATACGGGCTTCATTCTCAGTGGATCTATTGTAAGGACATGCCAGCCTAATGCGACATGGAGTGGTTCTCCAACTACTTGCAGTGGTACGTCTAACACGAAAATAAAACTGGTGTGTTTTTGTTTGTGGTTTTACAGAAAGTCGTTTTGGCATATCGATCGAGGTAACATTTTTTGTGGTTAATGTGAGCACTGCTGTGCGGTTTACGCACTAAGCTCACGAAAGTGGCACTAATAAGTGTATTATATCTTGCGCAGTTCGGACTTCAGGTTTTAACACCACCCCTTAGCAACATAATTTCTTTTGCTATGTGAAAAAAGCAACTGAAATATTTCGAGAAACAGTCTCACGGCGCGGAATAGAATAGAAACCTTGGTTTGCCACAACTAACAGCTATTCTTTCATTAAATGTTTATTGTTTTTATAGCCATTGACTGCGGTTCGTTATCTGTTCCCATGAATGGATCTTCCTCTGGTAACTCAACGGTGTTCCCCAATAGCGTACACTTTCAATGTGATCCTGGTTTTCTTCTCAATGGATCTGCCATAAGAACTTGCCAGGCAAATGGGACATGGGATGGACTTGAAAGCCTTTGCATTGGTACGTTTGAAGCAGAAAAGGAAAAACAAGTTGTTAGTTAAAAAAAGTTATCGTCTTGCTACAACGAGACGGAATGCGTCAACGCTTTGCTTATGCGACTGAATGTTAAAAATTTCTCACCTTACCTTGCTCTGACCCTAATATCCTTTGTGATCCTTTCACACCGTCGATTCCTTGCTCTCAAGCTTTTGTCTTTTGTGCTAATTTCAAGTTGTTCACATCCGTCGTTATGATTTTGTTTGGGTGTACTTTCTGGGTTTTAAACTCTTCGTTATCAATATCACGTAATGCTTTTGAATGATTTTATGCTATAAGCGCGCGACAAACCTTTTTCTTGGTAAGTAAACCTTAAACATAAAACGTCAAAACGAATGGAAAGACGGACAATAGTTATCTCCCACTATGTTTAATATCATTTATCCTGGCATGAAAAAGTTCCCTGATGAGCACTGGTAAGCAATGAAAGCCTTTCTAGTTTTTACGCACACGCTTGATTTCGCGTCGTCATGGCAATTGTACCAGATAAAGTTTCACGAAACGAGAATCTTGAAATGGTCTATAATTACTTGTTTTACGCACGACGCAAATGTAACAGCGAGGCGGTTAAATCAGTATTTAGGGTGCAGAACAGAAGCTCTGCACGTGCGTTTTAAGAGTTTTTGCATTTCAAAGCTGTTCTCTGTAAAGCAGTAACGTGAAATTCCCCAATGGCGTGTCTTTTGAGAACGGAGAGTCTGACTTTAAATTGTACTCATCAGCTCCCATCCCCCATCTCCTTGTCAGTTATCTTATGCGACGTCACAAGAGGTATATGATGAAGTTGTTGCTCGACGATTTTTAACCGTCGCCTCGTTATTGTTTGAAAGTAAGATTTCCAGAGCTTGTTTATTTTCTCCGCCTCTATCATGATTTATGTGTATATTTTCAGCTGTTGATTGTGGCAATCCTCAGTCTTTGCAGAATGGAAGTATTTTTGGCAATAAGACAGTCTATCCAAATAGTGTCACCCACAGATGTGATGAAGGATTCATTCTACATGGCTCCTCAAGGATTACTTGTCAGACAAATGGAACATGGAGCAAAACTTCAAGCTATTGCGAAGGTAAATTTTATCAATTGAATCCAAATTAGGCCCAAAGTAGTAGCTTATTTCTTGCAGCATTTGGGTGCAACCAAGACATTGTAGCCTATATTCACGTGGACAAGTGTATTTTACTTTGGATGTGCGGGTAGTCTTAAGATGACGTTTTTCGGTATATTTTAATAGTTATGCGGTTTTGAAAATGTTCATCCACCTTCATCAGGATGTTGTCAGTCTCTACATCCTGTCAATCATATTCAGTGTTACTTTCTCTTTTCACACAGCCAGAAACTGCGGTGTTCTGGATATTCCTGTCAATGGTTCAATAACTGGAAGCAAAACAACCTATCCTAGTAAACTTCATTTTAGCTGCGATGACGGATTCATCTTAAGAGGATCCACTACAAGACAGTGTCTAGCAGATGGGACTTGGAGTGGTAATGACACCTCTTGTGAAGGTAAGGTTTCCCGGTGATCATGCTTTTACTTCCTACAGAAATTGATTGGTAAGCCCCTTCTGAACTATTCTTGTCGACGCTGCTTGCAGTAAATGTGATTTTCATCAGAATTAACGGAATCGAAATTTGATGTTTATCAGGAGATCGGTTTTTCTTGGTTGGGTAATGCAGAAAAAAATCAGAGTTAAGCCAGACGTATGCAGAAGCTTTTTTCAATAATCGCAGAATGGTTTTGAATGAAATAACCTTTTTCTTAACTCTTTTTTCTTATAGCTGTTGATTGTGGTCGTCTATTGGTTCCCGTGAATGGCTCTTCTTCTGGTAACTTCACAGTTTTTCCCAATAGTGTGATATTCAAATGTGATCCTGGATTCAATCTCTACGGATCCCCCATGAGGATGTGTCAGGCTAATGGAACTTGGAGTGGAAAAGCGGTTTCATGTTCTGGTAGGTTTCAACGAAATATGTGAGACGCGTTTGCAGCTACCTTTACCTTAAGTGTTGTGTGTTTTGCAATTACGTCAGTTCGCTGAATTCTGCTCTAGCCCGCAAGAACAACGCATGTAATTCTGCTTTTATTTCTACACAGCGAAAGATTGTGGTCCGCTTGCAGCTCCGACGAACGGTTCTTCAACAGGCGAACTGACATTCTTTCCAAATGAGATCGCCTTTGATTGTGATAAAGGTTTTCTTCTCAAGGGCTCTTCCATCAGGCATTGTCAAACAAATGGGAACTGGAGTGGAAATCAGACCTTTTGCAAAGGTTCATATTGTTCACCTTTTAATCAATATCCTGGTTCTTCATAAGATTATTACGATTCATGGCTGTGTATAAAACTAAATTTTTGCAATTGTTTATGAAAAGTTCGATGGCAAGATTCCTTTGTAACAGCGGAACAAAGCATTTCGAAACCACCACTGGAACTTTTTATGGGGTCTTGCGTGCGTTCGGTCCGTTGGCTCTGTTCCCCAGATAGGCGAGTTCGACTAAAATTCGCTGCTTGGCCCTCAGTAAAACAAGGATTAAACCCGCTGATTCTTTAGAGAAAAGAAAAGATAATTCATCCATTGTCGAAGCACAACTAGAGTAACAGTATTCTGAGCGATAGGAGAAACCTGGCTCGTTTCACACGACATCCTAAAGGTTTATTGAGAGAATCAGAAGAACTTTTTCTCGCTTATATTAGTGAGTGCTGTTGGTTTTCAGTTTTCCATTTATGAAAACACAGTTGCAGCAATTATTATTTTTTTCTCTATAGCTGTTGATTGTGGTCTTTTATCAAATCCCATGAACGGCTCCTCTTCTGGAGAATCTACAGTGTTCCCCAATAGTGTGCTATTTGACTGCGATTCAGGGTTCATTCTCAGTGGATCCCACGAAAGAAAATGCCTGGCGAATGGATCCTGGAGCGGTTTCCCGACCGTATGCAGTGGTACGTATTAAAAGAGCATTTTAGTAGGTGAAAAAGGAGATCGCAGGAGTAACAGAAAAGACACAATTCGCACATATTTACAATTCTCGACTTCCTCACTAAAAATCACTCAGAAACACTACCGTCTGTATATGAAGATGCGAGGTAGTAATTATAATTATATTCCAATGCTACGGGTCCTTAGGTTCCCAGTTTTGCTTTTATTCAAGCCTTAATGAGATAATAAGGTCCTTAACTAAGAGAAGAAAGTTTACTTAGTGCAGGTACTGACGTAATTAATGATGCCTTTCTAGCCGTTGACTGTGGTCCTCTATCCGCTCCGAAGAATGGTTCCTTAACTGGTAACTTAACAGTGTTTCCGAATAGTGTAGCATTTAACTGCGATCCTGGATTCCTTCTTAATGGTTCTGCTACGAGGAAGTGCCAGGCAAATGGAACGTGGAGTGGCTTACAAGCTGTATGTAATGGTAGGTTAAAGGAAATGCATTCCATTGAGGTCGCACGTCAGGATTGTCATGGATGTGCTTGTCACTGGCAGTCATTTAGAAGTAACAGGAAGGCGTTCTACACAAGACGTTAAAATTATCGACGCTAAGTATTTCCATTGTGTGTTACAATCCTCTGTCGTATTTCCTTTTATTTGTTGTCGCTAGAACGTTGCTACGGTTATGGTAAGTGTTCAACTGTCGCCTAAAAGCCAGTTTCCTTCTGATGTGTATTTGTTTGTGTTACGAATTGCTTGCGTCTTTGTAAGCACCTATTGTTCTATAGTTTGCTGTTTGCACCCCGCATAGTTAATATGGTCTGACGGACGGACGAAGTTACCTCCTTTAGTTATAAACTTTAGAGCATAGATTACTCATGTATTAGGTCGTCGTGCGTTTTGTTTTGGCCATAATTATTTACAACAAGCTTGAGCTTTTATTATACTTTGTCCTATCCCGATGTGATTTATCTTTCCAGCTATTGACTGTGGTATGCCCCAGCCCTTAAAGAATGGCACCGTCATCGGAGAATTTACTGTGTATCCCAATTTTGTGACTCACATTTGCGATGAAGGATTCGTTCTTCGCGGTCCTCCAAAAATAAAGTGTCAGACGAATGGAACCTGGAGCAAAAGTTCCACCTTTTGTGAAGGTAAAACACGTTTCCAGATCTCACTGCAAATATGCATTGGAAAGGTGCATGTGTATTTTCAGAACTGTTGTGAAATACGTCACTGGTGTTGTGCCACTGGAGTGCCGAAGACATTTTAGAATACATTGATCACAATAGAACGTTAAGATATGTAGCAAGATAATGCACATATGAAATGACGTTCTAAATTAGTACTTCAAGGCTTTCCAACTTTCTGCTACGAGAGGGTGTTCAAAGCAGAAATACAAAAGAAGAGATATATATTGTTATTTAGTAAACTTGGCCTACAATGCTGCCTGTGTTGTTTTTGGTTTTATTTCTTTCGTTTTCTCTTTATCTACAGCCAAGGATTGTGGGGCGCCTGTTGTTCCTGTGAATGGCTCTGCAACTGGACAAAAAACTACTTTTCCAAATGAAGTTACTTTTAGCTGTGACGAAGGATTTATTTTGAATGGTTCAACAGTCAGGCGATGCCAGGCTAATGGGTCCTGGAGTGGAGTTCAAACATCTTGCAGAGGTAACATTGCCATATTGGTAAGACGGAATGCATAGCACATGCTAATGAAATTAAACGTGTGGAGACACATTCTAGCATTCACTTCGTTAACCCGAAATTTTAAAAATACCTGGCGTCAAGCAGGGAAAAACTTGGGGCGAAGACGAGATTGCTTTTGTTTGAACATTCTAGGTGGTGTTGGTTAACCATTCTAAACTCGGAGCACAGTGAAAGGAAATGATTTTGGATTGCTTTCCTTAATCGAAATATTTTGTAAAAAAGGAAACATGTCTAACTCGATTCTAATTAAAACATTTGTGTGAACTCTTTTTCAGCTGTCGATTGCGGTCCTCTCTCGGCTCCTAAGAACGGATCTTTCGTTGGTGACTCCACAGTCTTCCCTAATAGCCTGCTCTTTGCTTGCAATCTCGGATTCATTCTTGATGGATCCTATAGGAGGACATGTCAGGCAAACGGGACGTGGGATGGGCTTGAAACTGTTTGTATTGGTAAGTTTACTGTTGAAATCGAAATTTATTTCAGAGTCCTGCCTAGGTTTGTGCAATCTATATTCCTTTCTGTTGGGCTTTTTCTACGGATCTCAGTAAATTCTAATATACACTCGCGGAGCTCATAGTTGCAATATACCTCTTCCCTAAATGACAAGTTTAGTTGCAATTCTTTTGTATTCATTTCATCTAGTCTTTGTGGACTCAAAAACATTTAAGGGGAAAAAAAACAGGATTTTCACTCAAAAGCATGCAACAAGCCTCTCGCCCTCGCTTTTGAGTGAAAATCCAGTTGTTTTTTCTCCTGAATGAGAATAAAGACCATGTCTACCGTCATGTAAAAGGTCTATAATGTTCACAACTGTCCTTAATACGCATGTACGTAGATCACCACTCAAACACCCTTTATTGATAATATCTTGATTCAGCAAAAGATTGTGGTGCCTTGGAAATCCCAGCAAATGGTTCTTTACATGGTGATCTTACTACTTTTCCGAACAAGGTCGACTTTAATTGTGACCAAGGATTTCTTCTCAGCGGTTCGCAAACCAGGCGATGTCAGGGAAATGGAACTTGGAGCGGAATTCAGACATATTGTGAAGGTTTTGTTTTCTTTCTTTCCTTTTAGCTGTATTAAACAGGCAATTCTTTTCTACTCCAGTTCATAATAGCGGGTCATTCTACTGCGTTATGAGGATTTTAGTGCAAAGAGCACCCTTCCGTCCCACTTGATTTTTTAAATGTTTAGCATTGTATTTATTTCTATAGCTGTAGACTGTGGCCCCCTGTATGTTCCGATGAACGGCTCCGCTTCTGGTAACTCCACTGTGTTCCCAAATAGTGTGCAGTTTAGCTGTGACCCTGGATTTATTCTTAATGGCTCTGCTGTGAGAACGTGTCAACCTCATGGAACTTGGAATGGGACTAAAACTGTATGTGTGGGTAAGTTGCAAGGAAAGAACTGTTAAAAGCAGGTAAATAAGAAAAGTAGAAATTGCAATTTTCCCTCAGAATGGTTAACCTTTTGAAGACGCTTCTTTTGAGGAAATGTAATTATTTAAAGAGGAAATTTATTATGAAAAGGTGGCTCGCTACAAAACTGCGTCCAGTTGCGATTTATTAATGGTTAAATCTATGCTTCAAAGCTAGAAATGCCAATGTTTAATTCAACTAGCTTGAATAGAAAGTAATCTTTTAATAATAAGTTACTGGCCGAAAGATGGAAATCGATGGCAATGTCTCATGAGCGAAAATTGTATACCTGATGCATTTCTATTCTTTGTAGCTGTGGATTGTGGACCTTTACCTGTTCCTACGAATGGTTCCTCTTCTGGAGACTCCACAGTCTTCCCTAATGCTATACAATTTAGTTGTGATCCAGGGTTCATTTTGAGTGGATCTGCCTCAAGGATGTGCCAGACTAACGGAACATGGAGTGGTTTCTCCACTGAATGTAGTGGTAGGTTGAACGAGCGGTCTTGTTCCTCTCCGTCTTATCCTGAATCAAGAACACCTTTGGCAGTTATAATTTCATTTTTTTGATCAATCAATGATCAATCAGTGAAACAATCAATCAAGGATTCCTTATTCATTCAATAATTCGATCATTCACGTTTTTACTCATCTACTCATTTCATTCATATGTTTATTCCAATCAAAACAAGTGCCTCTGCAACTGTGCACCTACCTCTCCCCTAACCCAACAACAGTCAACTGTTAACAAGTTAATATTATAGTCAAGTTAGGGGAGGGGTAGTTGCGCAGTTGCTCATATACTGACGCTGATCTGTTCATTCCTTCTTATTTATTCTGATGCAATTATCTTTCCGTGCCTTTATTCATGGATCTCTTCCTTTTTCCTTTTATTTCATTTGCTCTCTTCCTTTTTTTCATAATTATTATTCGATGAGATTTTCAAATCTCGCGCGCATAGTCAGTCAATGAATGAAGGTCATCCAATATGCATCATCTCTCCAGCGTTTTTGTGCATGAATCCTGAAAATTTCGGATGCATCATCAAACAGTGTTAAATTGGCTAAAATCGCTCTACCTTTCGATGCTGCAGTTTAAGTTGATCATGTCTACATCGATCCTTCTTCCTCTTGAATTCGCATAATTTCCTCCACATCATATCCGTTCTGTGAAAGGTGACCTATTTACTTACACGGATTAACGCAAGGCTACACTGACGTGTCTCTTTAAATCTTCGAAGTAGTCCAAGTGGAATAAATGGCCTCTTGGTCAAATGGGAGAACGGACGGACAGACAGACGTACGTCAGTGATCGTCGTTTATTTCTAACTCTGCGATTTTTGTAATCATAATTTTAACTCGGATAATTAACAACGACGACATTGACGTTTCTTTTACCTATCGCAGCCAAGAGTCACCAAATAACCAAGCTTTTTATTTTTTGGCGGATGTTTTCTTGTAGCTATCGACTGTGGTTGGCCTGAGCCATTACAGAATGGAAGTATCATTGGAAAGTTTACTGTGTACCCGAACTCTGTGCGCCACATTTGTGATAAGGGATTTGTTCTTCGTGGTTCTCCTGAGATAAAATGCCAGGCAAACGGAACATGGAGCAAAACGTCTAGTTTTTGTGAAGGTAGAAAACAAATGTTAGTGGTAACTATGTGCCGTGGAATAACTTCCTACAGCAAACAACAGAGGCAGATCTTGTTTAACTTGAAAACGGGTGCATCGATCTTTTTTTTATTTTTATTTTTTTTTAATTTTTTATTTATTTATTTATTTTTTTACTTTTGATTACCAATATGGCTCGTCATTGAATATCGCTGCTGTATGGGCTAGGCGGTTAATTTCTTATTTCAAGCAGTGTTACAACTTTCACTTTTTAACGTCAATCAAATTGTCTGTGACTGGAAAGTCCACTGTTTCTTACAGCTAAGGACTGCGGTGCTCTTGAGGTCCCTTTGAACGGTTCTATTACTGGACGTGAAACGACCTTTCCGAATGAAGCCATGCTGAGCTGTGATGTTGGGTTTATTTTACACGGATCGTCATTCAGGCGCTGTCAAGCAAACGGAACATGGAGTGGTACTAAAACTGTTTGCAAAGGTACTTAGTATATACCTTTTTATCATTATGACAGATCATTTGATTTGCAGTTTTAGTTTGGCTAGAGTTGCGAATATGTCGAGTATCTATCACTTTGGATTTTCAGGTTCGCCGAAACGAATTCGATTAAAGTCGATTTTTTCTCTGCAGCTGTTGACTGCGGCTCATTATCCGCTCCAAGGAATGGCAGTTCACTTGGAAACTTTACGGTGTTTCCTAATGAATTATTGTTCTACTGTGATCCTGGATTTTTGCTTGGTGGTTCCTCCACAAGAACATGCCAGGCTAATGGTACATGGAGTGGAATAGAGACCATTTGTACTCGTAAGTTTAAATTGTGAATACCCTAAGAGGAATCAATTTGATAATTCTCGTTGCACGTAGTAAAAAATTTATAGTTGAAATTTAGCCCAGAGCTTACGCATATAATTAAAGCTTGCATCGCTTGGCTGAATAGATTTACCCGAATGGGTCTGTTGGCTGCTAGGGACGTTTGAAACCGTGCACCATCTGAGATTTAAGGAGTCAAAAGTTACATTGGGTGTAATTTCGCACGTAGAGGATAAAAAATGTATTGCTTGCGAAGTCTGATCATAGCTGTTCTGCCAGCTGACTTTGTTGTGATCGTATTTGTCTATTTTTAGCCGTGGATTGCGGTCCGCTACGACCTTTGCAATACGGGAGTTACAACGGGACAAGTACAGTGTTCCCAAACGTTGTGAATGCAGTTTGTGATATGGGATTCATTCTTCGAGGATCTTCTCGTATTAAGTGTCAAGTAAACGGAACGTGGAGTTCGAATGACACTTTTTGTGACGGTACGAGATCTACACGTAACTGCATCTCTACCACAATTCCAACAAAATGATTTTTCTATTGAGAGAAGTGCATCGCTAGAGTATCCGATCACAAAGTAAAAAGGGTAGAAGGATGCTTTGATTAGTTTAACAAACGTCACTAAGAACGCGTGGAGTGAGCCAGGAAATTAGATTATAAGTTTCAAAACTTCGTGTAAAGTTACTCTCAGCCACGTTTACCTTGTTTTATCCCAGCTGTACTCGTTATCTCGGTGCATTTTAGCATATAAAAGTTTGGTTAGCCAAACTTATCTGCTTAAAGTAGTAATTTGAGCTAAACCCTGTTGATCTTAGATGAGCTAAGTGAAGTGTACTCAAGAAGGAAAACGTTATTCCCGATTCAAGGTTTTTTACTCTTAAGTTCATGAAATGTCTGCCCCTCATTAGCAAAGGACTGTGGAAATCTACCAAGGCCTCTCAACGGGTCCGTGATCGGTGACAAGACGACGTATCCAAGCGAAGTGGAATTTGAGTGTGATGCAGGATTTAACCTTCAAGGATCCACCATCAGGAGATGTGAGGCCGATGGTCAATGGAGTGGAGTGGAGGTTAAATGCCGAGGTACATTTAATCTATATGAAATAAGGAATTCTCCACCCATTTTGTTTGCTCGTTACCACTCGGCTTTTAGAGGGTGGACGCCTTGATTGACGGCTGTCTTAGTTGTTTATTGTTTAAAGAAATGAATTCTTTGTTTCAGTACACCTTTCCCGGTTCTATTTGTCAACAATACCACAGTTTGAAGACCACAGTCTACATTTAAGAGTCTTTACATGACAATTGTTCATGGTCTAGGTTTTACCTGTCTATCACAGCCTTTCAGTTTCTTTGTGTTTCAGGGAGTAAATAAAATCGCAAAAAACGGTCATTGTTAGTAAAAGAATCGTGTTATGATAAGGCGTTGTAAAAAATGAAAAATTATTCCTTTCTTACATGTGGAACAGCTGAAACACAAATTGGAGACAAGCTTCGATCCTCTCAACATTTGATTCTAAATGCTCGATTGGATTCAGGGAAGTGTGTGCTTTCTAAAAAGACGCATTTACTCGACCCCGCGCTGGTTGAGATTAGATGCATGACGTTCGTCAGGACACGATTTGAAGCTGGTTCTCTTTCGAGACCCAAAGTTCATTCCCCAATCATTTATAACTTTATTTCTTCCAGCGGTTGATTGTGGTCGTTTAGCTATTCCTGAACATGGCTTTGCCCATGGCAATTCCACAACATATCCCAATACGATCACCTTTAGTTGTAACACAGGATTTTCCTTACACGGAACATCTTCCCGAACATGCCAAGCGGACGGGACATGGACGAGTGGAAAAACACGTTGCCAAGGCACGGTATTTTCTTCTTCGTCAGTGTATCACAGCTTCTCGAAGTATCGTACATGTATTGTCTTCTAGTAGTCTTTGGCATAAGAGGATTGATCAGCTCGAAATAAAGATTAATGGAGCTGATGCTAATCGGGTATTTGTGGCAATGTTACCCGACTTTGCATCTTTTTAAGCATAAGTAGGTAAACTCCCACACGAGGGGTTTTTGACGATGGATTGCTTTTCGATTAGACTCGTAAACCGGCGGTAAACCAAAGTCAAAAAAAAAAGAAAGAAAAGACCAACGATAAACTCACTTGAGTGAGAGCTCGAAGTAGACACTTACAAAAGGCCTTAAGGCGGCAAGAAGCGAATGTTTAAACTACAATTGATTAGAGGTTTGTAGCAGATTGCTTAAAAGTGTGGAGATATGATCTACACCAATGACAGAGCGAATTAAAAAAAAAATAGATAGAAAAGCAAGAACAAAATATATGCAATATCAGATTATTTTCGGCATTCAATTGAAAATTGTTCTATTTGTGTCCAGTTTTGCTTATCAACTGTATACTTTTATTTATAGGAGAAGATTGTGGAAAGCTACTGCCTCCTGAAAATGGTTGGATGTTTGGTTCCGACACATCTCATCCCAGTAAGGTGTTGTTCAGTTGTGCATCTGGGTACAAAACGGTTGGGTCGTCTCAAAGAACTTGCTTGAGGAATGGTTCATGGAGCGGCCAACAACCGAGATGCCTCCGTAAGATATACTGCATCCCCTTATTATGAATCAAAATGGGGCCCTAGATGTCCCCGAGAAAAATTCTTATGAAACATACGAGATTATCGTTCTTATACTACTAAATCAAGAGCAAAAACCTAGCTTTTGCCCAAAGGGATTTGATATTATTTGCTGCAAGTGGAATTTTCGAAATGCAGAGAAGTATGGAGCATGCTAAAAAATAACACACTCACTTAAAACCTCCCAACAAATTTGGTGTAACATGTTCGCGATTATTTAAGACCCTGATTTGGGAAGGAATTTTGAAGGCCAACTCACAATCATAATGGCAATCTTAGTGTTAAGCACCATACTTCACTGATACCTCATCTTTTTTTTCTTCACATTCGCAAAATGCTGTGGAAGTGAAAAATAAAAGAAGCCAGACAAGCCGTTTTTCACGTTTTGGCATCATGTTAAAGCTGTTTCACCTTCGTTGATCAAATGACTCTTGGTCAAAACAATTATTGCGGCTTATCCGACAATTACCCTTGCGTTTACGAAACTAAGTCGTTTGTTGTAATTGTGATCATTGTCGTTATTTACCTTTCTCAACCAATCCATTGGGTTTCTCCGCTTTCTACTGATGTTATGTCCTGAGTTCATTTAATCGTGTACAATTAAAGTAGCTATTTCGTACTTTCGTATAAAATACTGCCTGCTTTTCACTTTTCGTTGCACAGGCTTCAAGACATTTGCTTATAAAACGAATGAGGTATTACTCAGATATTTATAAACATCGATTACTCTGAGTTTTCCTCTCCCTCTTTGAACAGCGCTCTGGTGTAGCCAGGCTCCGGATGTCCCTGCGTTTGCATACCAGACGTGGACAGCAAAGAACAAGCGCTATGAGGACGGAGAACGCATCTACTACAGCTGTAAAGCAGGCCTTATGATGGTCGGCATTCCGATGAGAAAATGTGTGAAGGGTCGCTGGACAAAAGCTAATTTCCGCTGCAGCGGTAGGTACAGTGTATACATGAATGTCAGAAGAGCAACGAAACCAGTGGCACGTCACCTTCCGTTGAAAGCATTGTGGTAAATTAGGATCTTAAATTTGGCTCAAATCGTCTGAAATGCGAATAATGTCACTTCGAAATATCGCAGAAACCATATTTTCAATTTTCTTGATAACACTTCTCGGTTAATCGATATCAACCATGACCAGATTTGCTTAATGCCTATGATTGATGCAATTGGCGACCAGTTAAAATTTGTTTCGACACACTGGTCCTTGTAGCATGCATGGTAGCCACCATTCCCCGACAAATAAAGGGCGTAAGTATATCCGTGACTGTGATAACACCTGTTGATGATGGTAGTAAGGTGCAAAAGGCAACCAGATTAAAATTCAGTAGTAGGAGCCCTCGTGGCTGATATTCTTATTGCCTTTCGCTTCTCAAAGCCACCTCTAAAACATGTCGTCTTTTAGAACTTCCTGACAAACAAACTCCGTATTTAAATATAAACATTCGTGTCGGCAACAAATATTAGTTGCCTTTGCTTGCCGTACAGCATGAACTGGACTTCCAGTTTCAAGACACTTTTGATTTTCTTTTGGCTTTCTTTTAGCGCCAAGTTGTGATGCTCCTCCAGTCCCAAAATTTGCCTACCTTACATGGGCACGTGGTGCACGGAGCAAATACCTCAACGGTGAAACTGCATACTACAGTTGTCAGGCTGGTTATGAGCTGATAGGAATTCCTTATATTGAGTGTAAAGACAGCGGCTGGACAAAAATCGACTTTAGTTGTAAAGGTACCTGTACTGTTAACATAGTGAGAGACAGGGAGGCTAGTCACACCCCTTACCACAACAAACACACCCTTACTCACGCCCATTGACTACGCATAGGTGTACCATCATAGTCATTACAGGTTGTCATGATTTCTTTTCAACAATTTCAATGCTGCTGATTGGGTGATTATGTCAATGTCGAGACTTGAAGGTTTCGGAAAGCCAATCAAACTGTACTTTGAATTAAGGTTTCCCTGGTGAAATGGAGAAGGATCACCGGAAAGATATTTGAATGAAGGGAGTAAAGAGAGTTTAGTGCTGCGTCAGTACGAGACTATAGCAACGTAATTTGGTATTATCAACTGAGTTGATAACGTAAATTGGCCACCGTTAAGAGTTTCAAAGCTGACGTTTCGAGCGTTAGCCCTTCGTCAGAGCAAATGGCGAAGGGCTAAGGCTCGGAAAGGCCAGTTTACGTTATCAGCTCAGCTGATAATGCCAAATTGAAAAAAATATATAAGATTGAACGTCTCTGATTCTTGTTTACAGAAAGAGCGAAGATCATTTGTCTTTTGTACAATTTTGAACTATGTTGATTTGGTGAGAAGTACATGATATAATGGTAATTGAGCTGAGTGGAGTACACTTTGTAATCACATGATCTCGAGTGCAATTTGGAATAAATAAGCACGACTAAATTTTTTCAAAGACTAACAAAATTGCATGAGCCCGTAGGGCGAGTGAAATTTGTGGTCTTTGAAAAAATTTACAAGTGCTTATTTATTCCAAATTACACGAGAAAAATCATGTGATTACGTATTAATAATATACAAGAAAAAATATAAGATAGCTTATCATAATTAGGCAGACGCGAAGCACGCATCGAGTGCAAAAATAAGTTATTCAAACCATGTAAGTTACATGGTACTTTCGGTCAAAACAGCTTCGTACGATAAAAAACAGTAATATTCAATGATATTTTCACATCTTCAAAGCCTAAAAAAGTTCAAAGTCCGGCTAAATAGTTCAAGGAATTGTTCAGTCTGGTTTGTTACTTCTTTGCACTGAATTAACCCTCTCCTGCATTGAAATACCTAAAAACTGCATTTACCCTAACCAATCAGGTCTGTAATAATGCACATGCAAACATTTCAGCTTGCTTATTGGCTGAGAACACGTCACTTAATCCCAACAGAGCAGAAAGTTTGAAATTTACTGCAGAAAGTTGAAATTGAGTTGATTGACAAGTCGCGAAAGCACAATTAAACAAAATAACGGACAGGAGAGAAAAAGTAACAACGTTTTAATTCAGAGTCTGAGGAAGAATGCGAAAAACAAAAATACCCAACAGAGAAAACAACTTACTCAAAGTCTGGCTTCCAAAAACGGATATGAAAGTATGAACCGCAGGTCCTGAGTAAAATTCTCGAGTGGTTTTACGTAACAGTTCGGGAAAGATTACGAGCGTGATAGCTTTCGTGTAATGGTTACAGCTGCCGACTGATACCTAATAGAGAAAGAATACAAATAATTATTCTTGAGAAAAGTTTTAAAATTTTAAAGCAAGTGCTTGAGGGAAAAGCCTGACAACTCCGGCGACTATCCGAAGGAAAGCAGCCGAACTGGTGAACCATAGCACGAAATAAAAACAACTGAGAGGGAAAACAGCGTCATATTTTTGCTTGTATATTATTTACTAGAAATTACATGATTTTTCTCGTGCAATTTGGGATAAATCAAAATCTCGTAAATTTTTCAAAACTACAAATTGCACTCGTCCTACGGGCTCGTATAATTTGATTAGCCTTTGAGAATTTACTCGTGCCGATTTATCCCAAATTGCACTCGAAGTCATGAGATTACCTTTACAAATCGTAAGAGTGAGTTCAAAATCAAAAGAGTGTGCAGTGCGAGTTTGACTTAAAATCACAAGTATGATTTCAGTCCAAAATTACACCAAAGATTCAAAGATTCATTACCACTATATCACATCGATTTTAATATCGCAAACTTCGGTTCCTCAAATACAGGATTTTTTTAATCTGTACAAATATTTTATTGAACCAGTGCTAAGCTGGTTTGTAAAAATTTACAAAAGTTGTCTTCATTTTCCTCTACTTTGATTGGTTACTTTAAACAAGCCTTGAAATATGATCGGTTGTTGTTTTTAGTAAAGATTTCTCATTGGTTGGGAAAAAATGCGATTTCGTGAATAAATTTCACTCGAGGTCCTTTAGTGTTTTCAAAATGGATGTAATAAAGAGTAAAATATCTAAACTAAGTCTCTAATGCAGATGAATCAACACAATTATCCCTAAGAGACCTTACAAAACGATTGAGAGACGCACTTAAAGAGGAAAGAAGCCCATGCCTTCAAGAAAGACCGCGGGTCGACAACAAGTACAAAAAAATATGGATATATGAATAGGAGAGGCTTTGAGGTTTAGCTGCCTTTCTTTTCTTTTTCCCCTTGGTGTAGCTGTTGATTGCGGTTTCTTAGAGAGCCCACCCAATGGTGGCATTGCAAAGAAGACAGGAAAAACGTTCGGAGCAATATACGTGTTCGAGTGTGATGAAGACAAAGGCTACCTCATGGATGGGTCTAAAGAGAGACGATGCCAGGCTGACGCCACATGGAGCGGAGTACAACCAGTCTGCAAGTGTAGGTTTCACACATTCCACTGATATAAAACCTTCATACTTAAAAGAGCTTGGACAAAATTGTCACTAGCGTGGGACAGACTAAAATCTGAGTTCATTTGCATAAATTGCAGGCCTTATCGGTACCTCTTTATCTTAATCAGTCTTTCTTGCCTCGACGACAAGGTCAAAAACAATGGAACTATCACTGAAAAGCGAGGCTAAGAAGGCTTGTTTGCATGCACTCAAAAGAAAAAAAAGATAGTGCCTGCCATTATGGAAGAGGTCCACGAGGATTCCAATTTTTTGGTTGCCTGTCGCGCCAAATGCTTAGGAAATTTATTTGTTAGACGAAAAAGCTGAGCGAGACCTCGATAGCATGTTTTAGGGGGCAGCACGTTGGTTTCAGAAGAGTTTGACTGAAAATTAATCCTCAAGTCTCATTTACACGATAACTTTTTCTTTGGCAAGTTTTTTTGATTTGACAACTTTCCCTTCTCGTAACTTTTTATCTTGTCTGTTTTTCTTTCTCAAGTAGAGATAGGCCAATTTTAAAACGAAGGCACAAGGAATAATTTGCAGTTTTCTGCTTTAAACTCTATCGAAAACTTTCGACGCAATTAAAAGCCCGTTACCCTTAGTGGGTAACTCATGACTTTCATACTTTGAAAACAGTTTCAAAGTAAATACTTTTCGGTAATGCATACAGTAAAACTGGCAAATAACAAAAATATTAACCAATTCACAATCTGAGCGAAGTAGGACGTTGAAGGCATTCCTTTGGGATCACTCGCTGTCTTAACAGTAAAACGGTCAATCCTAAAGATATGATTACCTGCGAGTGGACCAATTCGACAAAATAGCATCAGTTGTGTATCGTGTTGTTTGTTATCTATGTTCTTGCGATCAGTGTAACCGTGAGATATTTACATTTCCTTGTTATAGTGCAGAGTTGCGTTACTCCAAGCAAGCCAATGCACGGGAAGTTTAAATCAGAGCCTCGAAGCAAGTACTACTTTGAAAATATCGTTGGTTACCAATGCGATAGTGGATACTCTCTTCGTGGTCATGAAAGGACAAAATGCTTGATTCATGGTAACTGGAGTCATGCAGCACCCACGTGTACGGGTACGTTAATTGTTACTGTTTAGTGCTCATTCTTCACGTCCCAATCCTTGAGTAACGAATCCAGTAATCCTCACAAGAAATGTTTCATAGGGACCCCGTTGTTTTAACACCTGCTGTCGGGCTATGAGATTATTTTTGTTGTAATGGCAGCGTGGATGGATTGCTGCATTCGTTAAATGATGAAGCGTTCTTGTTTGGATGTTGAAATTGGTGTTTCAGAGCACAAAACGTGTTGGTTATTAGTCTTCATGAAGGTTGCCTCTTCTGAATGGACGGCATTTTATTGTGTTTAAAATAACTCGAAATTGTATTGTTTTAGGTTCACTCGCTCTTTAACTAGTTTTAGGAACTTGCAGCATTCCTACAAAAAAAATCAGATGCTAAATTAACGGCTGGTTTCATACATTTGCTTTGAGATTTTAGTGACTCCTTGTAACTTTTTCCGTTTGTTCTCGTTGTCGTTTGTATTTACCTGGTATTACTGCGTTCTGTGACTAAATCCGTGACATGCTCCCCGTAAAAAGCCTTTTCTTCACCTTGAAAGGGCATTGCGGTCACTTCCATTTTTATTTCCATCAATGCCCACAGTAACTTCATTTTAAAATAATCTCTGGTATGATTAGGATGTTCCAAACCTCTTGGTTTAAAGAGCAGAATGATCTTCAGCCGCCAGTTGTCAGCGTCATCAGAGCGAGATTCGCGACACTCCGCCCGACATGGCCGTCTAGATGGTAACAGCGCTTGGTGTTCTGCGAGAAGCAGCTTCGCAAAATATTTTCAGGTTCGTAAAAATGTTTTCTAAACTTAGCCGCCGCTTATCTTTGTGAGCATATTTTTGTGAGGCAAGGATACATTTCTACTAACAGGTTAAGAGCGGCATGCGTTTTACAGAACGAATGCCAAACTGAACGTAAAGGAGTCACTTTTGGTTCGTGCATGGGGACACATTTAAGCATTCCTACCATTCAAGTCACTCTTATCCATCCTTACTCCTTCCTGGTTCTCTTTTACCCTGTGGTGATTGTCTTTCCCGGCAAACCGTCATGGTAAGGTTTTATGTTGAAAAAATCAACCGCTTCTTTTTCTGTAAAAATGACCCAATATACTGTGACGATGTATTTTTTAATTGGAAAATACGGTGCAGCCTTCACCAAGGGACAATGCACGAGGGCGGAAACTTCTTGAAAACTTGCACCAAGACCCGTTCCCAATCCCTTATGAACCCTTTTAGTTAGCTTTTATATGCGCGGACATCTTTTGTGAACGGACACTTTTTCTGGTCACGGGAATGTCCCTTCACTCAAAGACAATAGTCCGACCGTAATCCTCTCTTTTGCAGATCGATTTCGGCCGCACCGTTGAGGTGACTTCTGTTGCTACTCAAGGACACCCGAGAGAAGAAAAATGGATCCAGAGATATATATTGAGATATTCACTGGGGAAGAATTGGTTCACTTACCAAGCATCAGGCCGTGATAAAGTAATACAGCATCTGTTATGCTTGCTTTGTTTCGCTGCTAAATTTTTTCTGGAAGATGATATCTTGCAGTATGTCGAGGTTTTTATGAGGAGCTATATAATTAGAATGAAATATTTCTGGTCGAGTCTTAGTCCTATTACAGCAAGAATAAAATTGAATGGTCTATAAATTTGCTTTTGACATTATTTTCCCTCATGGCAAGGTATTCAAAGGAAACAGGGATGGCAGGAGTGCTGTGAGACACTATTTAAAGGAACGGCTGGTGGCTAAGAAATTAAGAATAGTACGCCATGAAAACTCACGAGACTTCATGGGATCCACTGTGTGCTTGAGGGCTGAGGTGTATGGATGTTCATTCGACACAGGTGAATATGTTATTGCTATTTTTAGTTTCTGGCTTAACGCTGTAATGTGTTAAGAGCAGTTCCAGCAGGAAAAGGCGACCGTAAACAAGAAATTTAAATCAGATGAAATGGGTTAAGAGAGTAAACGCGAAGGGAACACTATAGCCGGCGACAACTTAGAAAAACGTCGGTAAAGCTTTACCATAGTCACTAATGCACCGATGCTTGTAAGCATTAAGTATCTCCAGCTATCTATTACTTATGTTACGCTTGAGAACCTCTTGAACCGATATTATTAGGTCGTAAAAAAATGAGAGAAATGTGTATCACCAACATCCTCACATTGCTTAATTTTCGTATCATTGTCCTTCTTCAGAATGTCTTACCTTCGGTTCTGAAGTATTTGCTCACTGGAATTCCATCAAGAAACATACGCGCTACATTCATGGCTACGTCACAAAGGTTCACCGAACAAGTGTCCATATATCTCCCTCGGGTAAACATGGTGGAAACGCCGACAGCATCTTTGAATTACCACGAGAAAAGGAATTTTACGTGATCAAAGATGAAAAATCCAGTCCACAAGAGATAAAAATTGGATCGGATGTCATCGTAGCTTCCAAGGATAAAGTCGGTTTTTCCCAAGGCAAAGTGACGCAGAAATATTACTCTTGGTATGAAGTCGAACTTGGCAATGGAAAGACGGCTTGGGGGACTGTGGACGAAATCAGGCTACTGAAAAGGCCAATTTATTGTGAAAAAGAATATATAACGGCATGAAATTTTACAGTTTTTTTCGAGATATCTTTGAATGACAGTGAGAAGCAACACTTTACATCTTTAATTGTATGATTAGGAAAGTGGGTACCCTTCTGTTTTTAGCCTTCGTAGAACGTTTAAGCGACCGATTATCTAAGAGTTCCATAACTTACTTTAGAGAGTCAACTCTCAATCTAACTTTTTTTGAAATTTTTCTTTATATTAATGTGAGCAAGCTAGTGTCCATAAGTGAACATGGTTAGCCTAATTAGGTACCATCAAAAGACAAGTGATCAAAAGCTTTGAACTTGCAGATTGTCAAAAGTGTTGAACAGTTTCTGTTTCTCATATCTTTCATGCTTCATACGCGTTGAAAGAGACTGATAAAAAATGATAAATTCATTGACTGCTAGCTAATATTTGTTTCCAATGTTTTTTATTTTATCGACAAAAAAGGAAATAAATTGTTAATGTAAGAAAAATTGTGGAGGCTTGGGATCAAGTTATGATAGGGGTCTGAATCTCTGACGTCATATCGGTTTTGCGTAAAAGCTTATGATAGCGCTTCCATTTTCGTTTCACCTCGTGCGGAAGTGTGCCATTTCTACTCGTTCATTCACTGCTTTACATCGCTGTAAATAAGCTGTTTCTTTCAGTATATTCAGCTGGGAGCCGGATGTTAATCGATCAAGCAAGCAACCGGCTGATTGACTAAGAGCTTGGTATCTGAATTTTATCACCAAGATATCAATCTGAGTGATACGCGCCAATTTTACCATGGAATGGTCTTGGGAAGACTTCTTGTTGCCTTTGCGTAATGGTGATCTGACGTGTCACCCTTCTCCCAGAAGTGTGACATTTACACCCCAGTTCTTATCGTCTTATTCGCTCGTACGGAGATTCTCGAGAGATCTGCAAAGACAAGATTTGCAGAAGACGGAAGAGAAAAGGATTGCCGTTGCTTCTGCCGAAGCTACCCTTAGGAGTTTGTTTCAGTTTGGTCGAGTAGATCTTAAAGAACTGAGAAGAAAATGGAAAACTTATCAAAGAGCCTTGAATAGCAAGTCTGACCGTGACAGTTCAGGTTCGGCTTGGACGATTGAAATCCTGCAAAAATACATTCAACGTAGCGACATTGTCTGTTTTCAACCTTGCCCATCGCTCTTTGCAGTGCAAGAAGCGCAATACATCAGGGATAAAGTTGCACTGTCACTGGCAGCCCTTTGTGGCAATCAGGGTAACGGAATCGACGAAAACCTTCTACTGTTTCATGGTATGCGCGACAGCACGGAAGGGGACTCAAGAATGATTCTCGAGGCAATCTTACAGCCACTTTGTGCCGCTAAGGGACTTGCACTTCGATGTGAGCAAAGCCTAACTTGCAATGATCTTCCCGATAACAGATTTGATTACATCATGTACTACAATAACCAACCGCTTGGTTTTGTCGAAGCTAAAAGTCAACATTGCATTAAAGATCAGTCCGTGGTGCAGCTAATCGTTCAACTCCTGCTTCTTTCTGCTGAGGACTCGCATGGTTTCCGATTTGGTGTTTTGTCTGACGCACGCCGTTTTATTTTGGCTGGGGTTTCGCAAAACAAAGTGGTTTTCTTTCAAAAAGACATTCATCCAATCAGAATAAGATATATGGAATCTGAAGCAGATCTGCTTTCCATAGCAAATGAGATAGCATGGTTGATTGACCTCGCAGTTTACTCGAGGCAAACAAACCGTTCAATCGAAGAATGTCTCAGTCAAGTTAACGATGTTTGCTATGAAGTTCAAGGTGAATTCTTTTTTCCATTTTGTTCCATACTGTAGCCGTAGGAACAGCGAGATTAACGGTGATAAACAGATTGCGAGTGAAACATTTAGGAGTCAGTGGCAGAGGATCAGGTTGAAAGGTCTGACGAAGTATACTATTATAATGACGGAAGCTTACCAGGGAGGTATAAAACATTAGCGAGGCCTTCAAAACCTCCCCGTTGTGATAGAAAAGCTGTGCTTTTATTTTATTTTATTTTATTTTTATTTTATTGGCGCTAATGCAATGTAATACCGATACCAACAACACAGAAAGATGTGACTTTCTACACATTGACGAAGCTTTAAAACTTAGACATCGCAGACCTTTTCTTTTGAGCTATTCACTCGGTAAAGTGAACTCTTTACCTTTAAACACTTCCACATAAAGATTAAATACTTGTATTCTGTCGGAAAGGCTGGACATTTCCGGTTCAAATCCCCCCCCCCCCGGCTAAGCCCGTAGGTTACCCGGGCAGGGAATGTTGAGGCTTCGAATTGATCGGCCCATAAACCGATAGAAAGTGCGTTGCCCTGCCTAATGAGAACCATATCTGTAAACAATTTTATCCATTTTCATCAAAATAACAGCTCCAAATCACTGTAATTGCATCGATCGAATCCTTTTTTGCTTCATAAAATTCTAAGCCAAGCGTGCATGGTGTATTTTAAACAAATACTCTTTGTCTTTTCCAGAATACGAAGAACCTATGACATCAGCTAAGTGCACTTCCGTGTTGAAGTATGAAATATTTTTAATAGTGCATATTGAAATTACGGTGGCATTAAAATGCTGCAATTATTTATGTTCATGTTATTATTTCTAGTATCTCCAGTGAGGAATGTATCACACTATAAGTAACCAATTTTCGCAAGCTACGAATAAAAAAAGCAATTTATGTTTTTTATCAAATCAGCCTGGTTGACAATTATAAAGTAAGTCTGTGACATGTGACGAGCTTGTATTTGTCTGTGATCGCAGACTATCTTATTTTGAACACCACTTACCACACTCGAGCTCATTATACTAACAAAGCTTCTCACCAACATTTGTTCTACTTTGTTTTTGTAAATCAGACTAATACTTTTGAGAAGACTTACAACGTTTAGCACAAACCATGCTTTTGATAGGTTTCTCTCCTCTCTGAGTTCTCCTATGCCACTGACGATGAAATGTTTAACCAAAACACGCCACTCTAAACATTTCTAAGGGACTGCACCAGTATGCGCGTGCTTGTGTCCTTGCCGCAAACGTTAAGTCTGAAAATACTTGTTAAAAACCATATGAATAAGACCCTTCGAAAAATGCAATGCCTCGAGATGGAGAATATTTTACCGAGTGAAACATGAAATAAACGAAAACTGATTTAGATGTGATGAAAAAATGCGTTACTTTCAGCCGTTTGAAATTCAATCATGATCCCTACTGACAAGGAGACTGGGAACGAAAATGCCAACTTGAGAAGTCAGTTTGATTGAATCTCTACGCGTCTCAAAGTTTAGTTATTTTCATTCATATTGGCCGCGATTACTCATCGACTATTATTGCTCACAATGGCAAGAAACTCAGAATATAGCAAATCACTTGATTCCGAAGTGAGCATGAGTGAAACTGGTGATTTTGAGAAAGAATTGAGGGGTTTATAAATACTTTGATGACTCCTGACGAAGATGAACCACCCGCTGAAATTGGTGATGACTAGGCAGGGGAGTCCGAGGAAGAAACAGACATCAATGGTTTCACTCTGGCCGTTTTGGCACAGAGACACTAAGGAACTGTGAGCGTGGATACTTGGTCAGTAAAGTTTTTGATATTACACTCTTAATAAACGCAATATGGGTCATAGTGGGATTTTACTAAAAGCGGGAATGAGGAGTGGGAAATTGAAAGTAGGAACTTCATTTTTTAATTTTTTTTCCCTTTGGTTTCAGATTTACTCTTTATAATGAGGACCAGATATTTTGCATCGATATCCACATTTTCCTTCATAAACTTTCAGGGGCAAAATTCGTGACATGAAATTAAGCAATGATAAGGAAAGAAATGTGCTTTGAGAAACAGATAATGTCCAAAGAGAAAGAGGCAACCATATTTTGGTGCAAAATAGAGGTTATTGTGTTTCATATCCTTCAAACGTTTTGCAATGCCTACTGTTTTTTCGTGGGATATTTTCTTACGAGGTTTCTACCATACAACTTTATGAACAAACAAGTATTTCCCTTTTTCTGTAACAACCATCTGGAACCAAATTTTACTTGAAGACTTATTGTAGCAAATGTAAGGTTTGAAAATTGGTGAGTATGACTTGGGTGATAATCTCGGGTATCCCCCAGTTTTAGCAAGGGAATATATGTTAACGTGATGCATTTAGGCCAGTCACACAAGAGCAAAAATATTTGATGGATCATAATTGAGGATATACCCCTAGAGATAATCTCTAAATTTTAAGCCCTATGTCCATTATGATATGGTGAGAAGGTGTTCTGTGGTCTTTAAATGAAGAGGGGACATGTTTGTTTGTTCATAAAACCATACCAGAGAACACTGAAAAGAGAACATCCAATGCACTGAAGGGTTAGCTGTCAGTAAACAAGATATTTGAAAGACACTAAACAAAACAACTTCCACTTGAGGGGAAAGATGCTTGTTCATTCACACTCCAAAGACAAGATTACATATGTTTGCAAGAAACCTTTGTAAATTTAAGGAGTTGGCTGCACACTTGCCACCAATATTCATGCAAATTACCACTTGAACCTGATAGATATGTTATCTGTATGAAAGTAAAATTATTCTTTGATTGTGGTGTATAATCACTGGACAGTTGACATGCAATCACTGTCCACAGTGAAATTTGAGTTGTCCTTGAGTCATTTTTGTCAGAAAGACCCTATACCAGCGGGAAAATATCAGTTCAAGGGTTTTACCTTTTCATCTTTTTTTCTTTAAATGGAATGTACAAGGAATCCCAAGTCCTTACAGCCTTCACAGATGAAACAACATTTAGAGAGCTACACCAACACAGTTTAACACCTCGTCTTCTTAGTTTTTTTTATTGTTTTCAGTGATGTACATGCTTTCATGGGATAATTGCTTTATATGTTACCATGGATAGAATCACAAGAGACAATAAGATAACCTAATTTTTGTTGCATTGTAACTATGTGATGGTTGAGAATAAGTGATGGAAGTTTGGGTAGGACCAACATATCAAGACAGGATCATAAAGTATCAAAAGCATTGAAGACAAAAAGACAAATATATAAGCACTTGATGCTTTGACCCTTTACAAATATGGCCTTAAAATTTTTGAAACAAGACAGAGATCTGCTTTGGCCATCAATCCCCAGTTAATAGTTTCTGCTTAATTTGACCTTAATGTATGTCAAATGAAGAGGCTGTGAGGCCTCTATATAGAACTAATGAAAGTTATTTTACTCATACTGTTGTTAATTAAAGGTTCTCTGAAAGCAAGATACTCCTTTATCTTCTTAAGATGATTCTGTTATAGAGACAAAACAAGGGTGATTTACATACCATATTTCAGCTGATAAGTGTTAACAAAACATACTGTACTATCCAAAGGATGGAGATCTATACAGTGCATAGCATTTTATACCCTCGAACAACCAGGGCCTGATCTTGACTGCAAATGTGTCAAAATAAAAAGTTAATAGAACAAGAAAGGGATCAATATCAGTATCTGGGCAACTGCCCACCTACTCCTCCCCTAACTCAACAACAGTTAATTGACAACAAGTTAAGGTTAATGTTGGGTTAGGGGAGGGGTAGGTGGGCAGTTGCCCAGATACTGATATTGATCCCAAGAAAGTTCTATATACATGAGAAATCCTTTAGAAAGCACAATAAAGAAATGACGAAGTCTACTTGCATCTTCCAAGAGTGATAGTCCTGGGTAGAAGCAAGGTCAGCTAAAGACAGGATAGTCTCTTTTTCGTGTTACTGTCTACCAATATCAATTCTGAAACAACACATGACCTTGCTTCCTTAGTTCATAGAAATATGGTATAAGTGACAAGAGTTCCTGGCAGGTCTTGGATGCCAACCAAATGGTGCAAATAGTCCAGCACTGTAACAAACCAATCAAAACACCACAGAACACATCACTCACGTGATGTCTGCCAAGTATGATACGAGACATCGACACGCACAGGGCCCAACAACCAATCAGAATTCTCCAAAGTCCATTTTCAATAAACATTGCAAATAAACCTGCAACCATCGCAGCTCGTGTAGAGTGACCAGAAGGAAATGAGTAATTATCCACGGACACTGTAGCAAACATGTCTTCTTCGTTGTATACTGGTCTTTTTCGTCGCACCATAACTTTTAAGCCTCCAACCACGACTAGATCGAATATCAGAGCTAGAAGCAAATTACAAGCGAATTCTTGTTTAACACCTGAGAAAAATATCACAGAAAACACCGTTCCAACAATCCATGGAACTCCGTGCCCACTGATTTCAAGAAGAATCATCAGCGATCTCCATCTCCCTGATTTTTTGTCCGCACAAACGCTTAGATTCCTTGACAACGTGATGTCAAAGTTATAAAGATTTTCCATCAAACTCGATTCGCTCGTGTTCAGATCACGTTTGTGACTTTCTTTTGGAGACAATTCTTTCTTTCCTTTTGTTTTACATTCAACCACATTATTCTTCGTTTGGTGAAAATTGTTGGACTCAATCGCTTTCTTGCGTCCACGCTCCTTCAAGTTGGGTTGATGTACCAAATCGTCTTTAACCAGAACCATTTCTCAACAACCTTTGCTCGACACAGTTGATCGCCGGCTGATTCGGTGTTGAAGGCACGAGCCCGCAATATTCAACGGTGAACGACGAAAGAAAGCAAATTTGTCAGGGGCCCAGAAAAGTAGAGTGACATTTTTGGAAATACTGTCTTATTTTGACCACTTCGCTGCCACCTAGATTATCTATTCTGATTTTATTGACAGTTTTTCTTTTTTCCATAAGATAGAAAGAAGAGTAAAAACGCATAAATGGATGAGAATCATGAGCAATTAAACCCGCTCCCTCCCCTCTCCTCCCCTAGAAAAGTAGCGATAAAAGAGAGGTTACACAGCTCTCTTACTGCATTGAGAAATATCTTTGACTTCTTGAACGTTAGTGGAATTTGTTCACAAACAGATTGATTTTTGAGTCAAATTACCGAGAAGAGGAAAAGAAACTAAATATCTTAACCTACCAAGTTGATGTTAGTCATAATTGCTTCGTTCTCGTGACTTTGTGTGGAAATTAAAATGGGTTGCCACGTGTAAAGGTACGTTATTAATGGTGATTCAGCTGATGACGTTCACGTGAAGAAACAAGAAAACACCAATTCCTTGGTACCAATTTAAAAGAAGATATGCCTCCCAAGTTTAGTCGAGTTAACGGGGACGACAGATCCACCGCCAGAGCTTCTGAAAGGGTAAGAAAGATGTAGAGTAATGATTAGTAATGACTTTGTCAGTTTGCCACGACTGACACTAAACAAACTTCACGTTCTCATTGATGTAAACTTGTCGATGCTGCACAGAAATACTGGCTTTTGATCTTAAATTTTCCACATTCTAGTAAGTACCCAGAATTTTTTTTTTTTTTACCATATGATGCAAGATTGGCTTGTATCAATAGTGCAGATAAAAATCTTTCACATTTGGAGCAAGCAAACTTGTAGTGGTCTTGCTGCTCATGGCAAGCCTATGAGGAAGAATTGTCATGAGAAGCAAACCCTGAAATAATGGCTTGCGGTATTTTACCAAATCTAAGCCAGGCATCGCTGGGGTTCCCTTTTTAGACAACTGTCTTGTGTCAAATTATTTGTTCATGCCTTGTCTGTAAAAGTGTAAGGGTTATGTGACGCTTAAATAGACAGTTTTGATGTTAGAAGTAACCATGCCTTTGAAATAATGGCTTGAGGCTGAATTTTGTTCCATGATTTCTAAGGGATATTTTGAAAAGAACTAATTTAAGGTGGCTCCTTAGAGTATTCAGTAATGAACCTCCCTTCAGAACGCAAGTTTTGAAGGAAATCAGTTGATTTATCTCCCACAAGATATACACCAGTTCAGCAAATGATTTGATAAGGCTTCTGTTTTGGGTGTCAATTTTAAGATTTATGATTTTACCATGGCAATATCACCTCAAATGACAGGCAGATAAATCACAATTTTAATTTGGCCTGAATACCGTAAAATTCTTACTTTCCCACAGTGAAATGTCTTCTTTCTTTGCCAAATCATAGTCATGATGTTGCATGACTTTTTGAGATGGAAGAAACTTAGGAACATTTGGACATTTTTGCCAATATTCTCTAATTTGTCATTTTTCTGAATGTATTTGATTAGCTCTGAGAGATTTTTACTGAAATAGACTGTTGATATTGAATGTATGTGGCTAGAACTTAGTCAATTTTCAAAATAATTTTTCCAAGGAAATGCAATAAATCTCACTTGAAAGATCTGCTTTTCCTTGCTCCCATGAAAAAGAAATAAAATAGCACTTTACAAAGATTGATATCTGGGCATACTTAAACTTTTGTAATCTGTTGCCTTTACCCAATCTTTTACCTGGTGTTTTCTTTTCTGGCCACCTCTTTTCTCAGGCATAGGGGACCTATGGATATTATGGGTATAGTTGACTACAAATTGAAAATTAACTTGGTCTTATTAACACAAAATTGCAATTGAAATCATTTATTAAGTATACTAATCACCATGATGAGCCAGCCGTGATAGACCTTAGCATGATCGTAGTCGCTCTGACACCATCACGATTAGTATGAATTTTAACAGTTATGCCAGGTTATATTTTTCATCATTCCTGTTTTTTTCTTTTTTGTTTTTGAAAACAAAACTTTATATACTATACAAGTGTTAGCTGTGTTTGATTTTTATTACCATATGTAAACTCGCAATCTAACTGAGTGTGAAAACCGTTAAAACTCAGACTGTCTATTTTGTTTTATCTTTGAGGATTTTGTCTCTGCTCATGTTACAGTAACATAAATTCATGCACCTGGAATTTTTGCAAACGTTTTCACTTTCAATTAACAAAAGAAAAGCTAGAAGGAAGTCCCAGAAAAGGTCAGACATAGTACGATTTGGCAGATGGCATGACAGCTTTAGCTCAGTTCTATGCTCTATACTCTCATAGAGCACACTCTTTCAACCAATGACAGTACATGTTATATCTGAACTTTATTACAATTTGGTTTATTATTTATGGATTATCACAGGTCAGTTTACTTGATGACTCAGATGATGAAGATGGATCCAACATGTAAGTGACAACTTAATCTTAAACTGATTTTGAGAACCAAGATATACATGTACATGTACATGTACAACATAGGTAGCCTGTGGTCATTTATCCTACTCTCTACCCAACCCTCAGACTGGAGCACCCAAGGGTCATATTTACAAGTTCTGTTTGTTTAACCTAAAACTATGTAGCACTGGGCACAAAAACACCCACTGGTATAGGTGTAGGGGTCCGTAAAGCTGATTTTTTTTTATTCGAGATGATTCTTTCAAGTTTTGACAGTTAAATTTATCAGCTACAAAAACAAAATGGAATGGTTAGGGTGCCACAACCTTCTTCTCCATTCTTTAAATTTTGATTTCGAAATATGGTTTTGGGCCTGTTTAGTTACTGGGAATTTCAAGAAATGAGCCCTAGTGGTCCAAGGGTACAGAGGCTGTTACACAAACAGTGTGCTGTAGTGTGTGTTTATAGAGTCCAAATTAAGGCTAATTGGTGTGACTGTACTTTTGGTTCTCCTTCCTTGGGTAAGGAAAGATAACCAAAATAGCCAGAATTGTATCTTGTTTGGGACAATATCTGATAGCTTTCATGATTTTAGGACCCTGTGTTGGAAAAAGGTTTCAGTTTCTTTTCTTCCTTAAGATGCCTTTTTTAGAGATAATTTGTGAATGAGATTACTTTAAAGAAAAAAATTTCTCAGGTATTTTATCTGGATTGAAATGGTAGGAAAGGGGCAGGGGGAGATGTTCCAGGAGGAATTATTTGACCTAATTGTAGTAAATTTCTTGGCTAACAGTCAAAAAAAAATTTTTTTTGAACTTGCTGCCTTCTTTTGACAAGTATGGGATATCAAAAAAATTATTTCTACAGGCTAATTTATGTTTTTCATTTTATAAAGATTTGCAGCACCTGATGGTTTTCATCACATAAAACCGCAACCAACGGTGAAGGATGGGATAGCAAAGGTGAAATCAGAAATTAAGGGTGTTATGGGAATAATGCAAGACAATATATCAAAAGTACTGGACAGAGGTTCAAAGTTAGAAGACCTGCAAGATAAATCAGGTAAATTAAATACAGGTGCAGCCGTGCTGTAAATATTTGAATATATATATATATATATATATATATATATGTTATTTTCATTACATTTTAACATACCTGAAATACTGAATTACAAGCATGAAGTAGTTTGCACGATCGTAAATGTAGCATACAACGGTGATGGCTGAAACTTATCGGGGCTCCAAATGAAAAAAAAAATGTAAAGAAAAAACTTAAGTATATTCAGTTTCAGTCAGTGGAGTACTAGTTTAGGACAGTGTACAGTGTACTATCTGTAACAATTCTTTTTTTAGTGGGTTAAACATGATGATAGTTACTGTGTTGAGCTCTTTCTTGGTTAGAGGGATCTGCATTTTAGCTCTTGGTGGGTTGTTGTGTTGTGTTCTTAGGCTAGCCTGCAGAGCAGGCATACAAAGTGTAACTTTTGGCATGTGAGTGCTCAGTATTTTCTTAGCAAAAATTATGATTGCCATCATTGATTTAAATGGGAATGGAAGGTTGGAGAGAGAAAGACATTTGTAGTGTAATTGTCAAAAATAAGGAGAGGGGTGGGAATGGGGGAGTTGATATTTTTGGCCTTTCCTGCCCACTTCCCCCACCGCCACCTCTATTTCCAAATCAAACATGGCTGGTTGAATAGACGACTGCAAGATTCTTAATGTTAACTTGCCCTAAAAAGACTCCTGCACTGCATGCTATTCTTGGGCACAACACTTTATTCTCATATTATCTCTCTCCATTGAGGTATATGAATGGGAACCAGCAAACTGTTGGAGAAACATGGCAAAATGCTGAAGGATGACCTGCAGTGAGGCAGTACTTCATCCATTGGGTAGTACAGAAACAGTGCTTTAAGTGCTGTAGCTTAATGCTACAGAAAATAAGATATTAATCTTCTGTAAAATGTCCCACCTGGCTTGTGTGTTATTTTAATGATTGCATTTTTTCAGAGGGACTGGAGATGAGTGCATCACATTTTAGATCAGGGTCCAGAAGACTACAGAGAAAGTTATGGTGGCAAAATTTTAGAGTAAGTGTCAATTTTCTTCATCTGAAAATGTCTAAAGATGTATGTCATTTCCGCTCTCAAATGGTTGCAACCACTTTGTAGAAGAATGTTACTTAATATGTATTTAGTATCCTTTGTTTTAATTCTCAAAGTGAATGCAAATTTTGTTTGTCTTAAAATGTCTTGCCTTTCTTTCTTCTTCTCCCTTTGGGCTCCTCATTCTGCTCTATGACTTCAACAATTCTTCCAAACATTGTGACTCGTTTCTCTTAGGATTATCACTTATTAATACATTTATAAAAGTCTTTCTCACATCATGGGGAGGGCAGCCTGCAAGGTTCCAGGACATAGATAGCATAGTTTTCAAAATGAACATGTAAAAAATAATTCACCCAATCAGACTTAGCCCATCAAATGTTTTTTTTTTACCTGTGAAATTTAATATTTTGGGTTGCTGGTTGGTTTGGAATGTGGAAAGTTTCTCTTGATAAATCTGATATCTTTTTTTTGCAATGAACTGTAAGAGTTGTAGGAGAAGCTTTCAAATTATTGTCCAAGAAATGTCCTCACCTTTGCTACAGAAAGTCTTACAGGTTAACTCAACCCATCCAGAAACTTTTATTTGCCATAATGTTTTCATTTGTTATAGCTTGAAACCAGGCCTACATTGATTATACATCCCATATTTTTTTTCTGATGAGATTTTCTTTTTTCCTTTAGCTCAAGTTAATCTTTGCATTTATCTTCATTGTAATTCTCATTATCATAATAGGTGAGTTTTAACAGTAAATAGAAAACATATGTTTCTTTAGGGTAATAATGATATTTACATACAGTATGTAGGGATTGCTAATGAAGGTAAAGCTACAGCCAAACTTTTCTATAGCAGCCACAATGGAGGCACAGGAAAATGGCCATTATGGGGAGGGAGGGGTGTAATGTGACGTGCTGGTTGGGAGGTTCCATTTTCAACTTTCAAGATATCTTATTGTGGCATATATGCAGTGCAGCTCAATTTAGAAAAATGTATCAAATCATTGATACATTTCAAAAACAAGTGTTCAGAAGGAAAAAAGTTTTGAAAGGAAACTAGGGAGGAAAACTGAGTTCATCAGCTTGTACAAATAATGTTTTATTTTTATGCTATTACAGGCATGTTATTGCATTCAAGCTGCCCAAAATGGTCACTAGCTTGTAGCATGGACGAGTTCTTTTGTTCCCCATAAACTTTCTAATGGGTTATCCATTGGCCATTGCTGTAGGGGCAAAGACATAGTGGCTGATGTGTTTTTGTAGCTGCTGTGGAGAGCTGCCTGTTAATGGTGTTTAGCTGTATTTTTAAAGATAGTATTTGGGATGAATTTTCATGTGATTCATAGTCGAGGTGTAGGATATGTTATTGTGTTATAATCATTCCCCTCTCGTTTTCAACATGGTTACCAGGCGACACTTTAAAATCTTGGTTACATGGGTGCCCTGTGTGAACTTCTTCTGTTTGGTGACATTTTTTTCTTCCGTTATGTTTGCAGTTCCGATTGTTGTGAAGAGTAAAAAGAAGTCAGAAGACAACTCCAGATGAAGGTCGTTTTTTCAAAAATATATTGAATTATAAATGAAATTTATTTCAGCCTAGGATTATGATCAAATGTTAGAGTACTGCTGAATGAAATCTATTAGGAAATTACAGCAAGAGGAAACAATGAGAAAAATGTTTAATGTGTAGGTGTCTTTACGTGCCTTTACGGACTTGTATATAAAAATAGCTTAACCTGATAGAACACGAATTGAAAATCTCACAGTTTTAGCCTTGACATTTTTTCTTTTCTTTTTTGTTAAATATTTATGTACTCGTATAATTATTTCCATTTGATAGATGTTCCTAAATTGTCTCTTCCATTTAAATTCAGTTTTCTCTGTGGGACCAAAAATAAATGTTCTTCACTGAGATACATATATTTTCGGGTGGGAGTTAAATTCACAATCTGTGAAAGATGAGGAATTCTTTTTTTCAATATAGTATTTATTTGAAACGCAGAGAAAGTTTGTGAACAGTTCTTCTGGAGTGTGAATTATGTCTGAATATTCACCAAGATAAGCTCATTGTGACTAAATTCCAAGCGACCTGATACTTGAAATGCACCGACAGAACATTTCGTGAAATAGAAAACCTAATTTAGCAGTAGAACACATTATTCCGGGCTCTGCAACGTAATAACGTAACAGATAAGCTTGAAAGTCACTCGCCTTCGACTTGTGATTTACAAGCTTTTCTCTTGTTCTCCCAACAGTCCATGTAGCTTTAAAAAGTTATAGATCCCGGTAAATTGTTATATGTAGCTCACTTAGGCATGCACAATCAAACTGGTACTGATCTAACCAAGCACTTTTGCAATAAAGTTCCTCTACTCAAAAACAATCAGAAGAATATCAGAATGAGCAATTGTTGCATGAGAACTTGCCTCCAAAAGTAGCCATTCTCGTTCAGCAGCGATTTGAGGGAAAAAGAGTGCTATAGGGTGGCAAAGTTTATTTATGTTATTGCACGAGATTAACTACAAACACGGAAAACGGTTGGTTTAAGTTGAGCAGGCTTCCATCCAAACGATGAAAAGTTGACGCGATAGAGGGTGTGGTTCGGAAGGAAAATGGAATGGACAAAAAGTAAATGGAAAAAAAAGGAGATAAAGAGCTTCATAGAAAAAGCACTTACGATTTCCGGTACACGTTGCATAGTTGATATGAGTATGTAAATTTTTGGTTTGTTTTTGTAATGTCTGCTCCCACGTAAAAATAGGCGCGCAGAAGGCGGAATTGAACCGCTCCGACGCTAATCGGCTACAGGTTTGAAGCCTGCACCCCACACCAGTGAGGCTCATCCGCGCAATGAAAGTAGTGTTGGCCATTCGTCTATATATGTTAGAGTATATAACGCCGTCTACTTGTGGTATGGGAGGTCCTTGTTCAAAAAATTTAACCCTTGTATCACAAGAGTAAGGTAGGTGCCTTAGAGAACCTTTTACCTGCTTTAAGTTCTTCTCCGTCACTGAGAATCGTTGAAAAATAATTAGGGTTTAAATTAAATTGTAGTACTCTCACGCATGCGCAAAGGAAACTTCGTAAATTGGAAATCAGTCGATAAGTTTTTCTGCATATTTTTGTCTCTAAGATTGATCGACATTGAACAAGTTTTAAATACCCACACATATAATAATTTTCTGTTACTCTGCTTAATTCACGCTTGAAAATCTCAAATTCTGTGAGTTAATCTAGGCCAAGCACAGTATGCCTGTCATATTTCATCTTTGTGGACTCTTGTCTCCACTGTAGTAAGTGATACTGTTCTGTTGCTAGAGTGCACCAATCGACGATTGGCATGCATACATTGATCAACTCTAATGAATTTGAATGTAATGGTACATCCCCTGGGCCCCTTGAACGAAAGCAGGGATCTATTCGTAACGGTAGACATTGGTGAGTTTTTCCCCCCTCCGCCTCCCCCTCCACACATTTTATTGAACTTATTGTGAAACAATGCTTTTGTTTTTCATTTCTTTTTTTTTTTTAGAACGATTTCTTGTGAGAGATGTGCATATAAAATACGTCAACGAAGTAAAAATATACTGTTTATTACAAATCACGTTGAAGTGACGTATCGATTTTCTGAGTTTTTTCACACTATTAATTACAAATTATCACCCCTTTCTGTCAAAAAAAGACTGATATTCTAATGATAAAGTCTCATGCGATTTGTTTATGAATGCTGACACACCGAGTTTCAATTTTCATTCATTAACTGGCACTCGTTCTCTGCATTTTAAACGGGCTATAAATTTTGACCTCCTCTTAAACGCAAACTCCGTACTGGTACGAACGTTTTATTGACACGTCCCTAAATACCTACGCCGTTTGAGTAATTCGTTATAAATTGATACTTGAAATCATGAAAGTTCTTTACTGTTGTAAAAATATGATTTAAAGCAGTTATATTTGAATAAAAGTAGACTGCCATATTCCTTCTGACAGTCACGCAGCCTTTTCACCCTTTTTTTGCGTGACGGCCGAACGAAAGGCTGATCACTGAATAGACGCCTGCCTAAGGTAAGCTGGAAAGATCTCTCTTTGGGGCGACGCCTTTCGGTTTTGCTTTCTCCTTCTTCTTTTCTTCAAACATCAAGATCCTATAAGGGGAGTGGAGAAAGGACAGAGCATAAACAAGGTTTCTTTATTTCAACATTTTCAAACGGTATAAGGAAGCACCCTGCCCCACCCACCCTCCCAACCCTTTCATTTAATTAATTTTCCCCATGCATTTTTTTAAGGGATTGGAAAGAGGGTAATCTCGTACCCAGATCCTACCTTTTAACTGAAATGCAAGTACAATTGCATGGCCGTGGGAGGCTTAGGTACGAGAATAGAAAGAGGGGGGTATTCTCCGTCACCCTCAAAAACAAGGTGATCATTACTCCTAAAAAAAAACCCTGCGTGAGTCATTTGTTGTTTTTTTTTTGTTTTGGTTTTTGTCAAAGCGCATGTACCGAATACTTACAATTTCAGAACACTTGATTTCTTTCCGAGCATCATTGTCAGAAATTCGGTATACGAAATTGTTCCTGCAAGAGTAATAAAAACATTCATTGTCACGAAAAGCAAGCCTATAGAGTGCAGCGACGGTAATTAGTTTTTAACTCGTCTTTTAGGCATCGTAACACTCTTAACTTTTTAGAATACCAACCTGAGTTCGTTGTATCGACTTCAGCGATCATTTTCTTCAGCTCCAAGTGGGTCTTCGCTTGTCCAAGTTTTTCCATCATGCGTTTGAGTTCCATGATGTCTAACAAAAAAAAATGATAAAATAGAGAGATTTAACCTCGATATCTTTGTGACACTTTAAAGTGGAACGTTGTTTTACCAGGTGCTGTTTAGAGACTTTCCATTTGGAGTGTTGGGATAACTCGTTACAACCTCACATCAAAATGCATACTCTCCAGACTGTTCTCTTTAAATTGCCTAAGGCGCTGACAATTAAGGAGAATTTGTTTGAACAGTTAAGAGCTTCTTTAGTTTGTGATCATTTCCTTTACTTTCGTGACACTGATGTGTGATTCCGTGATCATGTTAAAAGAGACTAACTGCCACTTTTAGGGGTCAACGGGCTAATAGGCTCCAAGTCAAGGACTTTCCGAGTGGATGGTTGTGCTCCAAGTGTACCGAAGGCAATTGTCATCGTTGTTCAGTCACCGTTTCAAATTATCTTTAGATAGTCTCTCGAACGAGGATGTGTTTTCCAAAACGTCCGCATAAGGGCTAAGCCCGACCCAATTCTCGAGTGAAAGCAGTACAGCTTGGCGGACAGCGTAGAGATAAGGGGGGTAGTTTTCTAAAGAAACTGTGGTGCTGCGTCGGTGAAAGGGTACAACAGGGTAATTTAGTCGTTCAAGCTATATGCATATACGTGCACACTACTGAGACAGAGAAAAAAACGAATCCAACTGCATGACAATTTTTGTGTTGTTTTTTTCTTTTGGTCGCTCCTAGAAAAGAAGAGAAGCATAGTCGTAACTGGGAATCGGAAATACTGTTGCTTCTCTACCAATTCTCACTCTCGGTAAAACTTTTAGCAGCAGATCACATGTCACACATTGGTTGTTTTGCGTGACAACATTTTACACGATGGTCCGCTGAGTCAAATGGAAGATATCTCAGGTACCTTTTTAAAATTTTGCGGAATTCTTGAAAGCAAGAAAATCAATTAATTGCATGTCACCATCGATGTAGTCAAATAGTTATTTTCATTTTAAAAAGCCTTAACGCTGAAAGCTTTCGGGCGGTTTTGTTTTGACAATTGATGACAATTGGTCGGATGATCTTTGGTCTGTCTTTTTGTGTAGCAATTGTTTTTTTTTAATCAGTAGTTCCCTTACACCAGACACCTCGAAAAAATAGTAGACATATTAATTTCACTTTTTTAAAATGTCAGTCAATCATGGGTTTAACCGAGAGTCCAAACAGAGCTATTCACATAAAATTATCTTAATTGAAAAATTGCATTATGGCAAAGTTATGAAAATTCCAAATATGGTAGCAGATCTTTGTTTGCTTTCACTTGAATACTTTTATTTGCTAAGCATTATAAGATCAATATTTCAGCCATCGTTTTATCGCATATAGATATAGATATCACGCATGAAAACTCACCGATATCCCCCGAATTATCTTCGTCAAATTCCATGAACTGCTCTGTTGACCGAGAAAAAAAAATATGAGTCAAAAGGTCTCTTGAGATCTCAAGAAACATAAAACGATCGTAAGAATATCACTTTTGGGATTTGAATTATTCGTGATTCTCACATGAAATAAATTGCTGGCAATTGTTCAAAAGCCAAACAAACATAATTAGTATTCCTCGACGCAACTTACTTTTGTAGCCTTCCAGCCGATCGTTGAGATCAGGATAGTCATCTTCATCATCGTAATCGCCGCTGTCTACGAAGGACTAGGATAAATACAGTATTCTTTATTTAGAGTTATTTAGCAATGCAAGCCAAACGTATGTTCAAGGCCTTTTGAAGTCGACTGCGTCGATGAATAAAGGAATGATTAAAATGCAACTTTAACCCCAGCTGGCTGAAATTATGCAAAGGGTTTCAATTTCGGAAGCGTCAACTTCGTAGCCCTTCAGCTTTGATTAGCTTGAGAAGTATTCGATTTTAAAGTAAGTTATTCATCTCACATACAGGTCGCAAACACAGATCAGGATAGTGGTAAGCCAGAGAAACCGGAAGCGAATTCATCAGTGAATTGTCTTGTAAGTTTACTAACGTATCACTAAGCTTTTAAACCCACCTTGTTGATTTCATCTAGATTTCTTTCTTGGTCGCTTCGAAGTTGACCATAGCGCTTGCCACCTGAAAGAACATATGATCAGCACTGATATTTTTTAGATAGCCACCGATCCAAAACTTAGGTTCACCTTGATAATCGATAGAAGTCATCTTGAATAGAATCAGCTCTTCCCGTTCCTTGACTGGCGTGGACAGGCCTTTGATTCTGTATTTAAAAGGTCGTAAATTCGACACGGCCCACCAAATTTCTTTCGTTTGATTGGCTCATGCTGATAATTATGCAAAAAAAGGCGACCCGCCTTGTGCCTACGGCGAAACCGGAAGCCCTTTTGATCCCACGTAAATCACGGTATTCGATTCCACATCTGGCTTTTATAGCTTTCGATGACTTCAACCTTTGATATTGAAATGCAGTGTACGAAGATTGGGTTAAATTTAACAGAGAACAAAATCAACGCGAACGAGGGAGCTTTTATTAGATCGTCTTTTGTACTCGCGAACGGAAGTGAAAGCTGGTGACTAAGAAAACAATGAGATTTGATTGCATGTTTTGTTTTCAAGATAGTTCAAAACGTTTCTCGTCTCCTTTAATATATAGGCAGATTTCCAACACACTGAGAGGTTAATATCTGGAAGACTTAACACATTCTCCTAGATATATGCTTAGTGGTAAGAAAGCAAAGATATTATTAATGATTTTCATATATTCACAGTCATTTACAAACGGAAATGTTAAATTTCTTGAACGTCAGTTTCAACTGGTTTGATACTTCCTTGTTTACTTTCTTTCGTTTCCGAAGACGCGGGCGTGGGACTGAGTAAGTGTTTGTGTCTACACAGCAAGGACTGAATCACTGCCTTTTATGGTAAAAATTCAACTTTAAGTTTGGATAGAAGACGACTTCTTCCTGATTATGTACGCATTAATTTTCAAGTGTATGCGATCACGAAGAAATTATCAAATCATGGGAAACGTAAAAAACTTAGTATGGGAATTTTTGGAGTGTGGCGCATGAATCCTTTTAAGGGTAACGGAAGACCACAATCGAAAGAATTTATTCATTTATCTATCTATTTATATTCACTTACATAAATTTTTCCTTCATTTAACCAGCTACGTAGGTGAGGCCAGTGAAACACTCAGTCAAATATGGACGTGAAGTTGAACTGAAATAAGGCTCAGGTAGGGGTAAATAATCTGCCATACCGAGTCAGTGAAATTTTAAGAACCAAACGGAGGGGACAGGACGGGCTTACCCTGCAGCCATCAACCTTACCAGCGGTTAACACGAGGCCGAGAATATACAGGCTGACTGATACCCACCCCTTCTCCATACCATTGTATAAGGAGGGATAGATGAAGCCCTCATTTCCTTTATTAAGAAGGGAGTTTTCATCAAGCTTTGGGGACTTTCATACGCTTAATTTAAAACGATTCAACTACGGGGGGATAAAAGGTTTGCGAAGACGCTTTTTGTTAATGAAATCGAGGTGGCGCTGTAGGTGGACTGTTAAGAGAGAGCGAGATTCGATTTATTAGGATTCTCAAATGTACTAATGAAAATTCAACTCCGATCCTAAGGCAGCCAGGGGCACAAGGCACAAAATTGACAAGAAGTGAACAAAATGTGGCTATTTTTATCCAAGTCTTTATCATACGCCTTCTTAAGAGCAATCACAGAGAAATCACCAGACACTGTCTCAACGACTGAAAACTTAGATCGCAAAAAACTATCAAATAACGCCAGGGTTGCCTGTGGGTTACGTGACGTGAGCGTGACACAACCGTGACATATAATTCGTGATGGACGGAAGACTTGGCACCACGGGAACTAATTTCAATATGGCGGCGGATAATTCAGTTCGAACGCCGTGCGACTGGCACTACCAAACCTTTCGAGGAAAAACACTCTCAAAGTCATCATTTGCCTTCAAAAATGTTCCATTTTGCTTAGCAAGAACTGAAAGCGATGGGAAATGGCTATGGTAGCGATAAAGAAGCTAAAATGGAGACCACTTAATCTATCTTAGGTAAGGATTATCTTTTTCCAAGTAAGTTCACTAATTAAGTTCAATAATGAAGACTTCATACAGTTTTCATTAAGCGTAAATAAGTAAAATGGATGTACTGTGGTTGTGATTTAAGCATGCATGTTGAGGGGGAGTATGGAAGTGAGCTTGTTTGGACTGTTACTTGTTTCTTAGGACGTTGCTGGTAGTTGAACGTAAGGCAGCGTCCTACCCGTAGTTTGATTCTCTAGTCATAATTTCGCAGAAACTATTCTGTACTTAAAAGGCATTTCCGAAACCATCTTACGGTTCCTACAACCCAGTGATATCTGGACTGCACCAATCACTAGTTAACCATATTTACTACAAGGCAAACAACAGACCTTTTGTGGTGAGTTACAAAATCAAAATTTCCTACTACCAGGCCTCCCTCATCGGAGATAAGGATAGGAACCTTCAAAAATAAAAAAATGAAAACTTTTAGAACCCAAAAAACTGTCGAGAAATGTCAGTGATGACACTATCTATCCTGAACATTGTTGACTAACAACCTCACTTTAGCCTGGAACTCTGATCAGTGTTCAACCTACAGCATTAACTACTTTCAATGATCGTTGTTGAAAAGCTAGTTCACTTGTGTGGTACATAAATAATCCTCAACTGTATGACATATACCTGCAGTAAACAAACTGTTTTCTTCACCATTTGTATTTGTTTTCTTCTTTTGCATACATGTCCATGACACAATGTAGTTACTATTGATACCCTATGAAGGCTTTGAGACCAACAATCAGAACAGAATGATGTAACTTTCTGACGGATCAAAACTGACCACCACAACTGATTCACTCTTTTTAGAATAATTCTCTCCTCCCATTAATTTATTTCTTCTGTAAATCTCATGCTACATACAGGAATTGTTTGATCCTTAATAGCATAACATGGAAAAAAGAATTTATTTTCTTGGAAACCCAACATCAGCTTGTTGTTCAATTTCACTAAACAATATTTTACAGATATAATTTTGTGTTATTTAAATGAACTCAAGGATTTGAAAGGTTGGAAAATGATGAAAATAGGAAAAAACACATTTAACTTGTATTGTAAGGGGGAAGGATAATTTTGACTGTCAGGAATCTAATCCACTCACTGAAAAATGTATTCTATGAGTAACTCTGACATTACAAAAAGGTGTTAGTATTTTTCATAATAAAGAGAAATTACTTTAAAATTTCCTTTCATGTCAGAATCCCTCTAGCTTTTCTTTGGAAGTTTGAAATTTGAGTATTTTCAAACATGTGGTATTTAATATCAGTTTCTGTTCAAGATGTTTGGATTTCAAGTAATACCTGGGGCAGAAAATTAGCCACAGGTCCTATGTGAAGAAAACAAATATTTACCAGGGCTTGACTTATTTCACAATACACCATCAAAGGAATTTTACATGTCACAAGAATCCACTCACTTTAAGATTTGCTCCCATTTTTATTTTAAAACCAATTTTGCTTGTAACTGCCCTTTTTAAAGAGCTCAGCATCTAGGAGTATGCAGTTTTGTCTTTAAAAGCCTTGGAATTTTTCTGTCTGAAACCACTACAGTTCCCCCCTTTTCATTTTACTCTTGAAGGGAGCAGGTAAATTCAGATTTTTGCCAGTAGAGAGCAAACTAATGTAGAGTGTAAGCCCATTTCCCTCCAAATTCAGAGAGTGAATGATATTTTGAACATGTTTCAGTTTTTCTGGATCAATCTCAGAGGATGAATGGCAGTAACATCAAAAAGGAAGTGGGGAAAAGAAAGAGAGGGAGAAAAAAACTTGTCTTTCAGCCCTTTTGCTCCCCTTCCATCAGGACTTCAAACAAATGAAAATATTATCATCAGGGCTCATCTGACAGACACTCTTACTTACAGTCTCCAAGCTTGACTTTTTTCACAAGTGGTTGTCAAAAATAAGAGGTTGGTCACCAAAAGAAAAGTAACACCTTTTGCAATGTAGCATGACATACCAAGCTACTGACCTTGCCTCCTGTCTTTAGAGTAAGCAGTACGGCTGGCATTTGTTCATTAGAGATTCATGTGACAAGTCAGAGCTTAACAGTCAGGAAACTGAAGATAAAGAGGCAGAGTTTTATAGATTTGAAGAACAAAAGGTAGCATAAATTAAGTTTCCTGAAAATGTTCATCTTAATCTTACTTCAGACCATAAAAACTAAAAGAGAAGAACTTAATCACCTCACTAATGATAGCTGAACACAGGTCACCAAAATTGTTCTGCAATTATTTACCAGAATTTTCCATTCTTATTTTGGTAACCCAAACTATTGCTAGCTAGGAACGATTATATTTCTCTAACAAACTCAATTACTGACAAACTAAAATACATAACTGACAGGCAGTGACTGATTAAATACCCACAAAATTGTTTTATTTGAATTACACCGAAATTTTTCTGCAAATTTTCCTTCCAGAATTTTCCATTGTCAACTCCAGAACCAAAACTGTTGCCGCTGGAAGGGCTGGGAATGACTTTATTTCTCACACAAACTCATTTAATGACAAACTAAATTGTTTACTTAAGGGCACTGACAGATTAACTATCCATGAAATTGAAGGGTTGTATTTTTTTAATGACAGGATTTTGAAACAGGCTGTTTTAAGTGGATTATACACTGACTGGCTTCCTTCCTAACACCTCACTAACCTAACCTATCCATGTAATAGAATGGCTTCAGTGTCTAAACCTGCAGATGCTTTGAAAACTATGTAAGGAAATCTTAACTGACAGAAAGCTAAATTGCATGATTATTGTATGCAGTAACCATGTTATTGACTGGTTGGCACCAGCCTACCTGCCAGCTTGACTGATGCATTGATTGATTGACTTATTGATATGTGACTGACTGACTGACTGATTGATGTACTGAATGGTGAAATGATCAAATGACTGACCCACTGACTGACATACAAGTTTACTGATTGATTGAGTAGTTGCATAACAGACTGACTGTCTAGCTGACTTATTGATTGAGTGATTGCAATTGAGTGACTGCATGACT